AATAAATATATCCTTATATTTTAAAAATATTTCTTCGAATTCATTATCGAACTTCTATGAATTGCCAACTTAAATAAACTTATATTTACAGACTATATCAATAAAGTCAATAAACTATAAAGTAAGTGAGGTTACTTTATTAACTCCGAATCTCTTCCTATTTATAATAAGAATCTCTTAGTCGGATAGCTATTTTCCGAAGTCTTTAGGTTACTTTTTTATAATTTCTTTAATAAAAGTTTAATAGTTTCGATAAACTTTAGCGATTTGGCCGATAGGTCAATAATTAATTTAATTCTTAATTTCTCTAAGCAAGTCGCGGGTAGATTTATCTTATTTAAATAAAGTATTAATATAACAAGCAGCGATATAAGTATTCATCCAATTACGAATTTGGGTATTAGCGTTATCGAAGTCTTTCTAATATTCATAACGAGCGTTATATATATTATTAATTTAATCGTACGCTACTTTCCCAGCAACTATTAAATTAGTAGAGGGGTTAATAACTATATCCTCTTTAATATCCTATTCAGTATAATATTTATTATCCTCCTCTTCTTCTTCTTCGTTTTCTTCTCCTAAACTTCCTTCCTTATTATTTTCGTTATCGCCGGCGGCAGCTTCTTCTTAAAATTAAATAGTAGGAATAATCTCAATAATAATACTATTCGTATTAATAATTATAGTAGTAGTCAATTATTATAATTATAATTATAGCCTTCTTAACCTGGATTCTTCTATTGAATTTAACGAGCTCCTTCTTTACCGCTAGAAGGCGGTCCTTTACTTACTTAGTAAGGAAGAAATCTTACAGCTTCGGGGGTAGAACCCTTTAAATTATAAGTCCTCCCTTAAGTAGCTAATTACTAAAATCCTAATTACTACCAACGAGTCTCTTAAGAATTTTATATTAATTAGGCTAATTAGTAGGGGTATTAAAGATAACTATAATAGCCTTATCGGTAAATTCCTTTAATAAGGATATAGCTAACGTTATTAGTTTCATAGGGATATTGCCTATAATCGATAATCGTAGCGTTAAATGTGAATACGCAAATCAGACTATTAATTATCAGATGTGACGGTGCAGAATTAATTAATTGAAAAGTGTATGACTAACTCGCTCAGAAGGTATAGGGGGTGCTAGGGTAACCAGTTATACCCAGAAATCAGGCAATATCAGGTAGCTAGAGCGCTAAAACCACCCTTGAATCTGACAGGGACAAGTCCCTAGCGCCACGACGACGTGCAGTCCCTGGTCGCACACAAGTGGCCATTCGCGTCATCCAAAGAAGCGCCGCGAAGAAAAGCGCAGAATGTCAATTTGTTTTCAGCAGGACGGGAGTGGTTGATCATCAGCACATTGTGATTGAAGCAGAGTGTGTGGTTTTCTAGGGTGCAAGTTTGAAGCTGAAGTCGAAATGCCAGCAGTCCCGTCCCGAGGAAAGGGAAGCCGAAAATTGTTAGTACGTACCTCCTATACTTCTTCTCCGACTCTGAATGGAGTACACTGCAGTATTGACGGGAGGCGCCGCTTCGAGTTGTAGTTCATTCGTTTGCACCGTGTAAGCTTATGGGGTTACACCACGCGAACCCCTCTTTGAACATGAAATGAAGAGGGATAAAAGAGAAAAGCCCAACAACCTCTCACGTTCAGGTTTCTATTCAGTTCCAAGAGAACACAAAAGCTACTCGATATGCGCGACGCTACAATCTACAGTCTCTAAGCATAATAGACAACTCGGTCGGTCAAACGATAAAAAAGACAATACAACAAAAGAAGTTCAAAATCGCACACTGATGCCCCAACCCCACAGCACTTAAAAGGAGACACCAACACTATGCAAACCGGTACGCCCCGATTAACCTGACGGTAGACAACTCCAGCCCGCTGACATCAAATCATGTCCCTGCCCAGTCCTTCTCATCACCGCCGCTGCCCCATTATGGTCAATATGACATGTCGATGTACTCTGGCGCTGTCTGCCATCCATGCGGGTCCTCGCTATCCAAAAACCTGCAGTCGCTTCCCAGGCTGAGCTCACTAGAGCAAGAGCCCGGACCTGACTCGTCAATCGACTTTGTCAACCCCAGCTCTTTCGCCAACTTGCTCATGCCACGCGACCCCAGGTGGCCTGTGTGATCCCAACGGAACGTCGCCGATGTTGCCGGAATACCTTCCTCATCCACCGCCTTTTCCGTGACTACCATCGCATTGCTGCTCTTTCCCTGCGCACAAGCCGTGCCCGCCGGTCCCGCCTCGTCACCACCCCAAGGTCGGCAAAGTGCCGACAACAGTGAGTGTGACAGCGCGACCACGCGCTCCTTGGCATCCTTCGGCATGGTGAGAAGGTACTCCGGATCCGGCTCCTCAAGCTGTTCCGGATCTACCATCGGTGTATCCACGCTGTTGTTGACTCCGGTAGCACCAGGGATGGGCGGAAAGTCAGGAGGCATGGTGACCCAGTCTTCTGTCCTCTGCCTGGCAGTTTGGTCGGCCTTGCTCGGAAGAGCGGCTGCTAGGCTCTTGAAGATGGCCGATAGTCGCACGTGGAAGCGAAGAGCCACCGGATCGATTCTTCCGCAAAACTCGAGCGTATCCAGACACAGCTGGGCGAGTTTGAGGTCCGGAGCCCAAGAACTAACCGGGAAGCCGTGAACCTGTTTCTGCGCAACCGAGTGCAAAATGACGACACATGAGGTATGTGCTTGAAAGCTGTTTGAGGCGTGTCAGTGGATGCGTCCAAATATTTATATTTGATGGGAATGTCGTCAGAACTTACATAACCAACCAGCAGCGCTGGAAGATACCACGTTCACCGTGCAGCAAAGCAAGCAGGCGGGCCGAGTGCTTCGCAGCAATGAGGCCCTGCGAAACGTGTTTCAGCAGCTTTCGGTCCTCCTCGGGGACGGACTCGCCAGCAACAAAGACCTCCTTGCCATTGACAGTGGTCGTTTGAATGAGGCGAGCAGCAATCCAACGATACAAGAGCTGCATGGCACCGAGATATAGCAGGTGAACGTGAAATATAGACCTTCGGACAGTGTCATCGACACCTGGGTTGGCAAGGTTGGCCAACTGCACTTCGATCGGAAGCTTCTCGTGCCACTTTTCAAGGTATTCGTTAGCAACAACGGTAAGCCTGGGTAGATCCTGGAACTCGAGTTGCATGCGGAGGATTTCGGCCTTGAGAAGCGAGATCTTGGTCATCTCCCTCTGTACGGTCTCCGTCACAGCGAGGGGATAATGAGGCTCAACGTCTGCAATGGGGACAAACTTCTGGAAGTCTGACCCAGTGCTGCCGGAGATGTACCCCAAAGTAGATGAAAGCCAGCTGGAGATAAACATCAACGTCCTCCAAGTCTTCCTGTAGTCAATCATCTTGTCGGTCCGTTCATCGTGAAGCAAAATGCTGGTATTCAAGCCGAATTGTCGAGACATGCTCATGCCGAGTTCAAGCCAAGCAAGCGAGATGGTGGCTTTGTTCATGACGTTGAAGAAGGCCAACAGGGTGCAAACCTTGATAGCATCGAGAGATGACTCTTCAAGGACATCCACGAAATACCGTCGGGCGACTTCATAAAAGATGTGTTCTGAACCCTTCTCGAAGTCGTCAGGGTTGTACTGAATTCCAATGGCAGCGACTGAGCAAAGGCAACATATCGCCATTTTCTGCGAAGAGTTGGGTCGTCCATCGTAGCCAAAAACGGTTGTGAAGTACCGATCCATCTCCTGCTGAGAAAAGACATGGAAAAGCTTTCCGCTCGAGCTGTAGAAACTGTTGAGAGCCGCACGGGTGGCGTCCGCATTGGGAATGACGAAACGAATTAGATACGCCGAATGATCGACACGCAGGCGCGCCGTGGTGCTCCCTGAACCTGAGACAAGTTGCATACTACCTTCGGACGACTCGTCTGAAGATGGAGAGGCCGATTGTAAAGCACGCTTGATGATATCGGTTGATACAGTCGGGACAGCTGATGGTGATGTCGATGACTCGGAAAGTGACCCGCCCATGCTGGGCGACGTCGAATCGTTGCGATGGAATCCAGGGACGCTGCGGTCACCATTTTCGCTGGAAGCAGCCGATGAAAGCGAAACAATATCGTCGGCATTTCGAATACGCTGAAGCAATGTTTCAGCCTCTTCGGGTGACTTTTGCTGAAGGGCGGTCACCAATTTCTCCAACGCCTCCAGCCGTGATTTCATCGCCTCCTGGCGGGACTGGCCCTCCTCGCCTTCGTAGCCGCATGGCTTATTCTTGGTTTTGCAGCTAGTGCATCTGGGGCGAAGTCCATCGCACTATGCATCGCAAACATGACAAAACATCAGCGTCTCAAGACAAAGAATCAAATGGGAGACTAGAACATACCTTGGCCTTGTATCGACGGCACGTATGACAAGCCTGAGTCACAGCTTTGACCCTCCTGGCGTGCTTGTCTCCATTAACACGGCCGGTGCCAGATGAAGTGCCTGATTTCGCGACCTTCAACGGCGCCGGCTGGATAGGCTTGTACTGCGTTGGTGGAGCCATCGGAACGGAGCTGTGTTGGTGATGCAATCCGGAGCCGCGGGACGGGACGGGTGCGGACGCGGCGTGGAGTCTCGGAAATCGGAGAGGGACGCCGACGACGGTGACGGAGCTATTGAGATTGTATGTACAGTGTAGGCCCGGCAATATGGGAACACAGCGGGTCCCGCTTTGTTTATTTGAGTGATCCGGCCGGGCGTCCAGGGTTCAGGGGTTCAGGCTTTTGTTGTTCGGCCGGTTCAGATTCGGAACCGGAATCGGCTTGCTGGGAATGAGGTACCCCGTCAATCCCGTAACAACGCTTGAGTTTCGCGGCTCTGGCTCGGGGCGGAGAATTGCGAAAATCTTGGGAAAAGCCTCAGTCGTGAAACCGGCGACGGGCACGGGTAAAGTAGCTGACGTCGGCGGCGGTTTGGCGCTTGATAACCGGCAGTCCTTCTTTGGATGGAGGGGAAGGGGGGTTGCTCAATCTTTTCCACGGTGGCGGCGGAGGATGATGGGACGTTGAAGGACGGGGAAGGTCATGAGAGAAACGACGAAGGATGCGATTGCTGCGTTGCAACTTTCGCTTGCGGCCGCCGCTTCGTGACAAGGCGTGCCGGTGCCGGGCCACTTGGGTGTGATGGACTGCACTTTTGGTAAGAATGTCCGTGCCAAGTCCAATTCTGACCGGAAAATCGAGGAATAAAGGGCCAGAACTGCAGGTGTGATAATCGGCTCTGTTGCCCTGTCCGGCAGCGATTGTGAATCCGACACCCAGGGGCACCCCAGTGTCGGGTCCCAAAAGTGGAAACGCGATGTGACAATGATCAGGAACTTTCCCATGTTTTTGCCCATCTTATCCATCAGCCCCATCCGTCCCCATCGCTCCCCTCCCTGCGTCTCCATTCGTCCTTTTCTACCACCGGCAATGCCCAATCACGGCGAGCCAACCGCCAACTTCTTTCTTGTTGTCTCCGCTGACCATGGCCAGTTGACTGCAGGTTGACCAAACAGGCAGCCCCGGATTTGCGGATTGCTCGTTGTCGGCGAGCTGCCAAGCTGAAAAACACACCGTGAAACGCACCTCGAAGCAAGAAAAGAAGAGAAAATAAGAGTCCACTGAAGAATGCATCCAACGTGCGCACAAGGATCGGTTTCTACACTCTGTCTCCCTACGGCTCCGCCCTATTGGCGGCTTCTACACTACCTACCCGAACTCGATCCAAGAACCGCCAACGGCTCGGTACCTTGTGGCGCCCAACTTCTCCAAGTCCCGGCCCAATAAGCGACAATCACATTCAGAGTGAAGTCATGGCCTGCATGACCCTCTGCATCCCATTTTCGCGGCTGTCTCTCCATTCCTGATTGAGAGAAAAACAGTGGTCGCCGACAAGGGGTAAAGCAAAGGGGCCGGCGAGCGAGGGACGTTAGAACGGCGAAACGGGTGCCACCTCAAGGAGGGGAGCCGTACACGATACACACTGTGTGTGTGGGCACCGTCACCGTGGGCATCACCCACCTGATGAAGGGGCAGACAGATCCTGGGTTGGTCGAGCTGGCAAGTCTGCCAACGATCCACGGGCCGCAGTTCGGGCAGGCACAGCGGGGAGCATTGTGTCGCAAAGCACCTGTACATACAGGTACTGCATAGCGTCTCTGCGGCGTAGGTACACAGTATGCCTTGCCCCCATGCCACACTCCGTCCGGGGGAAAGAGTCTTCCAGGTTGTGGTGATTTCAAATGCTGCCTTTCATGTTGGTTTCTGTCGTCGCCGGTTGAGTGTCCAATTGAACAGTGATCGCGATTCCCTAAAAACGAGGCAGCAAAGTCGACAAGTCGTGCGTGCGGAACAGGCCGTTCTAGCCCTTGGTGCGGCGGGATCGAGAGAGGAGTCGAAGAAGTCTTCTGGCGGTTCTGGCGTCTGGACTCGGCCGATTATCGAATCTATCGAATATTGACGACGACGCGGCTGTCTCGAATGCGTCGCACTTGGTGCAACAAAGGCGGTCAAAGTGTCCATCAAGTGATGGGGAATGGAGGGCCACAGAAGAGGTTGCGATGGTGGTCAGACGACTGACGAACCGTCCAACAACGGACGACTTGGCAGAACTGAACCAGCGAACCACAACGAACCGAACCGAACCGTCAACACAACGGCAGCAATTGAACAAAAAAAACAGCCTCGAGCCAGTGGCAGCCAGAGTTTCCACTTTGCTGTTTGACGCTTGGACAGCCAGACGGACATCTGGACCCACTCAAAAGGCTTTCAGTGGTGGGGTCCACGCTTTCATGACGACGCATGGCTATCACCAAGAACCCCAACCCTGGAACGAGGAGACGTCAAATTTGATCTCGGCTGGAACTGAGCCTTCCCGACGACACTCGGCTCCGAGTTTACCACCACATTTTCTTGGGTTTCAACAGTGGCCTCAGAAAACTCTACAGTGTCGGAACTATGCACAGGAAAAACGCCGATGAAAAACGGTCGGGAAATGCTCGACATCCATGTTTCTCCAGCCCAATGGACCACAGTGCTACGGACGGCGACAAGTACATGTCTACCTCTAGGGCAATGAGAGTCCTGCCACAATGTCGAGGCAATATCATCGGGCCGTATTCGGATCTTGTCCAGCGCAACTGGAGTGCCGTTGGAGGAGCTTGGGCGTGTGGGCGTGTGGGCGTGTACAGAAGTGCCCCGTTCATCCATCTTTCGGTCCCTGATCTTCACGTCAATGTGCACCCGTCCCGTTCTCCTCGCGCCGATCAAGGTGCCCAAGGCTTCGGAAAAAGCATTCGCCGTTCATTCCGAACCTGCGTCGCTATGATATCGGACGTACTCAACAAATCCCGCTGAGAGTGGAACATGTCAACTCCGAGGTTTCCACTTGTCAGCAGACGGAAAGCTGCATCCACGCCTGATAGACACAGAAATTCGTGAGATCCCGGAGGTGAACGGAGAAGTAGCACTGACAGTCGTCGGCCCTGGAAACGCCATACGATGATACGACCCCGACCCCCTGCACTGCCGAATAGACTCGCCGACTCGTCGTCGAGAACGAGAACCCCTCCTCGTCGCCGTTCCCATGACCGCCAGAATTCCCTGATGCTTGGGGGTCTTGAAGCACCTGTCACTACCCAGGGCCCAACCATCCAGGACTCTTCCTCTCCCTCCTGCCTTTGTTGGCAGGTTCCAGACATGCAGAACGAACCGGAACAGCAGTCATCGTCGCCTCGATGGGTAGTTCGTATGTAGTTGTGTGGTCGCAGTGTCACAAAGGGCGGGCGGGTTTCCCGCGCCCGCGCCCGCTACGCCGCGAGAGCGTTGCAGTCACTGTCAGCAAATTCCGTTTTCAGTCGAGCCAGTCTGCATTATTGACTCGCGATTATGGAACGTACAGTGTGTGCTGTCTGTCCAGCAGACCACCAGGCCTTACGGTACTTACAGGTAGTGTCCCGCTCAACCGAGAGAAACGGTGTGACGAAATTGCTGCGTAAGAGCAGACGCCAGACGGAGGTTGGGAGCGAGCGAGGCGAGCGAGGGAGCAGTTTCTGAACCTGGTCTGGTCTCACTGGTTATGCAGGTCCGCCGATAGTTTCGGTTTCGGGGGCCATGGGCCACGCAGTCCCAGAAGTTTGGGTTGTTGGTGTCAGACTCTCGGTTGGTGGCACACACACGGCATGCAAGCTTATTGCCAACTCAAAGGACTGAGTGGCAAGTGTCGTCGCTGTATAAGTTGGTTGGCAACCGAAGTTCATGATATTCGTGATAGTCCATGATAGTCCGTGATAGTTCAGCATGAAAAGTGAAAGTCAATAGAGGTCCACACACACACACACACACACACACACACATCTCACAGGTCAGGTATTTCTGGCTCTCTGAGGACGGAGAAGATATGACGAGAAAGAAAGCTTCACACTGTCCCAGTGGCCACCAGCGGCGACGGGCTGTGGTCAGTTTCTCAAAGGGGTGAGAAATCCACATCGCCCTCCGCGAGTCCACTCAAGATACCACTGCCCCTGTCTGTTCCAATCGACGCCCGTTGTTGAATCGACCAACGATTGAAGATGTTACCTTATCTTTTGTTATTACCTAGGAGAAATGAGTCATGAACTTCAAGACTTGAAGCCTCGGAAAATTCTTCAGTCAATCCGTCCTCGAGGAATAGCCGAGGCAAGACAAGCTGTCTGAGAGCTATGGCAACAGACTGTTTGGTGGCATCTGTGACCTTACTGCCCAAGTCACATCATTGTCCCATTATCGACATCTTTGTCTTAGACAGCGACTCGAAAAGCACTTCTGCTGCCCAATCATAAACTGTCCGAGGTGAATTAGGGTTGACCTTGGACGCGAAAAGCTGGGGAGGGAAAGGGGAGCGTCCCACGTACCATACGGGTGGATAAGGGGAGAAAATTTATTTCAATATTGAACGGCACTTTACCGAGAAAGGAGTTTGCTAGCGAGCCGAGCACCGTCGGCGGCAGCTCGGGTTCAAGTCTGGGATGACCTCGGTATGCGAGTCCCCCTTTCTGGTGCATCGAGCAGATAGGATCATCCTGACAGGCCACGGTCTCCTGGCTGGGCTGCGACGAGAGGACAACAAGGTGAAGTCGTTAGCAATGTCTCAGGACATACGGATTCGAAAGAACACTCCACTAGCATTGGCTTGGGGATGTGATGAAAGACATTGCCAAGTAACGGCAGATCAAAGGCGTGCTTGAGCTCATGCGTCCAAGTAGGTATTCAAAGGAAAGCTTGATCTGTCAAAATCATAACGAGAAACTATATGATATAGTAACGCTGCCTATGCGGTTTCTTGCACCATCATTCCATCGTATAATGACGAATCATGACGAGACGGCTACCCATACGGAAAGCCCGGGATCTCCGGATCTTCACCTTCTTTTCCTGATCATCACCACCTTGCCCGTTGCGGGCTTCCCGGGACGGACTTCAACTCGCACTTTTGGAAATCGGCGACATCAACTGCATGACAATTTTGGAATGATACCGCAGTGGGCCTTACTACTGCCGGTTATTGCCGGGACTTCCCAGCGATATCCAAGACACCCTATCCCTACCCATGCTAAGCTTAACCCGACGGCGGCAACAACTTCCAGTTCCGCGCCCTCCCGTCCAGACCTCCTCACCCCTTCTGCTTCTCGTCCCTAGTTCCTTGCCCGCCACCAACTCAATACCACCAGACCCACCTATTGTAGCCCGAGCACTCCCCATGGTCAAGATGAAGGAAGAGAAGACTCCCTCACCTCGCTCAGAAGGCGTTGTCTATCCTCCCCCAAACCTCTCCGCAGTGGCTTACTTGGTACTACGAAGTCCCCGTGCCCTAGCAAGCAGTGCCGCGCCAACAGCAGCAGCAGCCACAGCCGTCGACGTGGCAAAAGAAAGCCTCAGCCCTTCGTAGTAGACCTCGCGAGCCTTGAGCTGGATATCCGGGGGAAGGTCCTTGATTGCCGAGACGGAGTGACGGATTTCGTCGATGACCTAGAGTTGTGTGAGCTTCGACGAAAACATAACAAACACGACAAACGCAACAAGACAGAGCATGGGCGCAACGCAACGAAGAAACCTTTGAGCTGCTGTGGATCAAGGCCTATACCTAGGGTACGACCCTGACCCTGAGAGGCCGGGAACGGAGGGGTCCCGGACCACAACAGGACTCGGGGAAACACGAGCAAGAGAAAGAGCGACAAAGGAAAAGGGATGTTACTCTCCATTTATCTGGTATCTCGCCCAAAGCGCCGGGAAGCCGGACGCTGAGCGTGGTTTGCACAATGGCAGAGGTGATGGCAACGCCGTAGACGGTGCCAAGAGACCGGATCAGGTAGACGGTTGAGGCAGTAACGGCGTGGTCTGTTTATGTGTATTGTAAGTTAGTCGATGGCGGCAGAAGATCATAGGTGAGTACCTTGACACGAGGCTGAGGGACAAACGTACCGGCATGATCGAAGGTGGCCAGCGAGGTGAACAGAATGCCGGGGTACACAATTCCCTGGCCCAAGTTGGCGGGGAAGATGTAGACGAGATACTTCCACCTGGAGTCCTCAAAGGCGAGGGAGGTAACCAAGGCGTTGCCAAAGACCATCAAGAAGGTTCCAATGCGGACGAGAGTGATGAGCTTTCCCCAGCGAGACATGACCACGCCGGCAATAAGACCACCGATGGGTGTGGCCAACGACGGGATGGCGAGTCGGGCGCCGGCGGTCATGGCGGAGTCGAGGAGGACGACTTGGAAGAACAGAGGGAGGTTGAAGAGGTACTACAGGCACCCATTTGTCAGTCAGCTGATCAACATGACGAGAAGAAGAGAAAGGCAGGAATGACCCGAGACAGAAAACCTGAACTCGAAGTAAGAGCAAGTCGAACCAGGAGCAACTTGAAGCAACAGCAAGTTGAAGAAGGAGCAACTTGAAGCCTTGAAGCAGGAGCAACTGAACTCAGAGCAGGAGCAACTCAAAACAAGAAAGCAGGAGCGACTCACAGCATAAGCACTCAACCCAGCACAAACATTCGCAAACTGCGTCAACAGAGGCAAACTTCCCCTCAACAACCTCAGCGGAATAACCGGAGTCGCACTCGTCCTCGCCTCCACCACCAAGAACAACACCAACATCGCCGTGCTGCCCACCAACGACGCAACCACCCACGGGCTACTCCAAGGCAACTCATTGCCACCAAGGCTCAGCCCAACAAGCTGGATCGAAATAGCCGTGACCAGCAAAAACGCACCAGTAAAGTCCACCTTCCTCCGAATCAGTCCCCAAGTCCTCTCCTCTGCCCCCATGACTCCATTTACGGGATTCTTAATAACCACCCACCCAACCGCCAGCGCAAACGCTGACACGGGCACCTGCAAGAGGAAACACCAGCGCCAACCAATTCCGTCCGCAACGCTCCCCCCAAAACTCGCGCCGCAAATAGCGCCGAACCCAAACATGCCGTTCTGCAGCGCTTGGTACATCCCCCGCCTGCGAAACGGGATCATGTCCGAGTTGACGATGGTGGCCATGGTCATGAGCCCGCCGCCGCCGAAGCCGGTGAGGGCGCGGGCGACGATGACCCAGATCATGTCATTTCCGTTTTCGGTAGAGGAAGGCTTGACGAGCCCGCACCAAAGACAGCCAAGCGCGAAAGTGATGGTGCTTATAAAGAAACAGACGCGGCGCCCAAAGATATCGGAGACGCGCCCATAGAGCGGCTGGAAGGCGGTGCTCGTGACCAGGTAGGCGGTGGTCAGCCACGAGGCGGTGTTGGCGGCGCCGAACTCAGAGGAGATGATGGCGTAGGTGGCGGCGGTGATGGTGCCGTCGAAGCCGTAGAGGAAGACGTTGGACATGAGGGCGATTTGGATGAAGACGAAGTAAGGGGGAGGGGTCCAGGCATCGTCAGAAGAGGAGGAGTGGCCGGGCGTTTGAGAAGAGGAAGAAGAGCTGGAGCTGGCCGTGCGGGTAAGGAGGGGTTGATTCTCGTCCGTAATGGTGACGGCGTCATGCTCGGGGTCATCAGCTACACCAGGCGGAACGGTAGTGTTGGTGAGATGGCGGTCGGGTTTGACGACCTGATGGTCCTGGACGGTTTGGAAGGTCATTGTGCTTTTTAGAGGCTAACTATACCAGATAAGATGTTGAGATGGTCCGCAGAGGGAACCAAGGTACGTATGTGCAAAATAATCTCAAAGAATGAAGGATTGTCGTGAAGGGGGGTGACAGTCATATAAAATAACTTCGTTGCAGATCCGATGTCGCGGCGTCAACGATTGCGCAGGATGCCGCTTTTGGCACATAAACTGCCTAGATGCATACTACCCACACTGCGCAGATCTCTTACCACTTTGCCAAGTGCAAGACTGAAGACCAAAAGGGCGCTTTCGAGAGGCTAAACGCAATTCAACATTGTCAATATGACGCCGTTGAGGTTTGATGGTGTTTTCGTTGGTTAAAGTTCAAGGATCACAACGACGAGATGGATGGCGCAATCGCTGTTAAGATGATGTGCTTATGCAATAACAAAGTCTCGGAGCCCCCCTTATGACCTACGCCTCTAACTGAAATAAGTAGACAAGCAATGTTCAAATGAAGAGATTCTGTTGATTAACAATTGGTATTATGCGTATGGACTCATGCTTAAAAGATGTAACGAAAGCACAAAACCCCCATGAGCGCCGTATTCTCTACCTTGTTACCAAAGGCCCACCACCGCCCGAACAAGAAGGAAGAATGAACTGTCTAACAAAAAGAACAAGGATGAAAGCTGACAAAAATGGTATCTATCAAACTACATTAAACTAAACCAAAACGACAAAGCATGGATCTCTTAAAGCTTCTTGCAAAGCCTGGTACCATACTCAATCTGCTCCCACTTCTCCGTACCAGGAGTAGAGACAGAGTAAAAGACACCACTGGGATCCCACTTCTGCCTCAGCTGGAGAAGCTTAGGGTAGTTGGTGCCCCAGAAGGCAGTCTGCCAGTTAGGCTGGAAGGGATCAGCCTCGTTGACGTAGGCAGCACCGTTGGGACCAGCAGCCCTGAGACCGCCATCGATGATGTCGGTAAGGACACGCTGAGCGGCCTCCTTCTCCGCGATGGGGGCGTTGCCGGAGAGGGGAAGGATGGTGATGAGCTTGTCGCTGACGTTCCTGAAGCGGGGGTTGATGGCGCTGTCAGCCCATTGGCTCTGGGGGAGACCGTGGCCGCCGTTCCACATGTGGCCGACGAGGACGGCGCCGTTCTTCTGTACGTTCTTGAAGGCGTCGATGATGCCGGCGTTGTTGTTGGCGACGTCGGTCTTGCCGAAGGCCCAGCCGCCGGTCAGGGCGGAGTTACCGGCGACCTCGGACTCGAACAGGGCGTTGTAGAGCTCGTAGAAGGTGCTGTAGGTGGTGGTGGTCTTGTCGAAGGTGAGACCCATGGCGGTCCAGTCGTCGAAAAGCGGCTGGAGGACAGCCTCGAGCTGGACGGCGGTCTTGTTGACGCCGACGATGGGGTGGACGCGGAAGGTCATGCCGGGGTAGACCTCGTAGTAGGCGTACAGGCCGTTGTCGACGAAGCGGTTGGAGTAGCTGTGGAACTTGGCGATGGCATCCCACCAGAGGGTCTCGTTGTTGTTGACATTGGCAGGACCGAGGGCGAAGGTGGTGCCGGAGCTGGAGTAATCGTTAAAGGTCTTGTAGGTGGCCTGGACGATGACACCGAAAGCAGAAGGGCCGCCACCCCTGAGAGCCCAGAAGAGGTCGGGGTTGGTCGTGGCGTTGGCAGTTCGCAGAACGCCATCAGCAGTGATGACCTTGAACTCGAGAGCGGTATCGGCAAGGAAGCCGTAGAAGTTGGTCAGAGGACCGTGGCCACCACCCTGGACGAGACCACCAGCAACACCGACAGTCTATAATGTCCATGTTAGCACTTGTACCGATACCCAAGAGATATGTATACTGGGCTCCAACTTACAGCGCACTCTCCGGTTACCATAATCTTGGGCGGGCTCAGCGAGTTGAGCTTCTTGAGAGCCTCAAAGGCCTGAACACCGGCACCGACAGTAATGGCAGAACCAGTGTAGTTGCAGGCACCCCTGTAGCTGTTGGTAAGGCTGATGTCCTTGAAGCCGTGAGTGTTGATAACGAGGGCACCCCAGCCGACGGATCTGCCAAGGAAGTCATGGCCAGTGTTGCGGATGATCAGGCGCAGGTTGTTGTTCTTGGCAAAGAGGACACCAGCCTGGATATGGGCGATGGTCTTAGCCTTGATGTAGAGGGTAGGGAAGTAGCCGCCGGTGCAAGAATCAGTAGGGTTGGTGGTAGGCCTGCAGGTGTCGTTGGTGGAATATGTCCATAGTTCAGCAGTAGGAAGATCGATCCTGGTGTCATTGTCAGTTCCCTATCCTAGCCTCATGAATAGGAGCACACTTACTGCCACTGCTCGCTGGTATAGTTCGCCTGGACATCGCCGCACTGAGCCGCATTGTAGGTGCTGATATTTCCGAGAAGGCCCTGGAAGGTGTTGTAGCAAGACGCAGCCGGCGGAATGCTGACTTGCAAGTTGCCTCCAACAGTTGCGTTCAACGAGTTCCACTGGAGAGTGCTGGGCCAGCACGGGTCACCAGGATGGCACTTGCAGGCATAGTTGGCCCCATTCCACTTCCTGTAGGTCCAGTCAGCAGCCGCTTGCTGGGTGAGCAGCAGGGCGCTCGAAACCAGACTGGCGATAGTGGCCCTCATTGTAGTCGATGTCGGAATCCGGAACCAGAACCAAGGATAGCGAAGTAGGACGAGGTGAAGATCTTCATCGTGGGCGGCGCGGGAGGCTTTAATATGAGGAGGCGAGCAGAGACGAGGTCCGAGATGGGAATGGCCGTGGTCGCCGACTGGACGGTAGCACCTAATGTCACCAATGTGGTACGCTACGGCCGTGACAGTCCATGGCCCTGATTCGCCAAGGCGTGGCCCTGGCATATATCCTGCGAGCTACTGGAGCCATGATGAGGCGATGTGACGGGAAGACATGGCAATAATCTCCAAGATAGATTAAATCCTCACGCCTTTCCAGAAAGGAAGGTGGCAGGGCCGAGCTTCTGGAATTGGACCAACCCAGAAGCACACCAGAAGCAGGCGAGAGCAGACGAGAAGCGCAGACTAGACGAGCGCTAGACGGCCGATTATATGAGGTCTTGGACGGGTTCTGGATGCCGCTCGCTTCGACATCGCTTGCCTAGAGAAGAGGGGATATTGGAGATGTCCGCGCCGGTGAGGAGCGTCGGTCAGCTCGCTTGATAGTCAACGATAGTTTTTTGCAGTCGGCTATATGCACCCTGGCGGCTGTTGTCAGTTTCTGCCAGTGTTGTTACGGTATCCAGTCGCTGTCTGAGCGAGTGCGAGATGGAGACCACTAACAAGCAGGAGCCGAGAAGGGAAAGGAAACCATTATTGTTGGCGCGCTAAGTACGAGGCGATGTATGTAACTCTTATCAGGGCCGACTAAGCTCTTGGCCTCTGGACTGGGGATCGGGGATGCCTTCGTCTAGGGAGGATTGACCGAGATCGAGGGGCGCCAGGGGTTTTTTTGGGGGTTTATCAGGGTTGTCAACCTCAAGCGTGTGTCATTTTGGGTATGGCGCTATCCATTGAGTGTGCCATCGTTGGCATGGGCGCAGTTTGGTGTCAGAAGCAAAAATAACGGCGATAGCTTTATGCGTTATTGACTTGATCGGTTCGGTAATTCAGCCTCTAGACCACACGTGTATCGAGGGGAGGTCGATGGTCGAATGCGGTGACTTTTGGCGTGTGGCGTCTTGTAGAACAGAGAAGCAGAGTGACAGGTCAGTCCCGTCGTTGGAGCAAAGTTGAGGCTATTGACTATCAGGAAGATCATTGAATTCGGACGAAGGCGGGAAGTGGACAACCAAGTGGACAATGCTCTCCACCTGGGTCAGGTCGGTGTGCACGGAAGTGCCCGTTTCTTTCTCCATTGCGCCTGCCCTGTTCATGGATCCCGTCATTTCCCAGGTGGAGGTTTCAGGGGGCTACAGTGCCACGTTCCGCTAAAAAAGCGCCGCGGGGTAATCTGGGGCCCCGGCTAGGGAGGTGCCCACTGAGGTCCGGGTGCGTGCCCGACGACACACAGACCTCGACCAGGAAATTGGCCTTGACCTTCTCCGGTCGTTTGTAATCTTCCACTTCCATTCCATCCAGTCGTTGTCGTCGTCGTCAACCTCTCCAAGGTCACATCCATAACTGCCGCCTTACCGACCTTTGAAAGCCCAGATATCATGTCCAATCGGCAAACTACCAATTTGCCATCTATCCCGCGTCCATTCCGAGTATGCAAAGCAAGGACATCGTCATGCTCTGATACGCAGTAATTTCCCGTCCCACGTGGCTGGGCCGCTGCTACGACAGTGTGGGAGACGCACGCCAAATCATTTTCCGGAAATACGGCTTTGATGGTGCCGATTGCCGGAAGTGAGACATTCTTTTGGTGAAGGGATGAGACAGGACGACCGAGTGATGGAATATTCCGTTGCCCTTCGACTCTCATCTGCCCAACATCAAGATCGTTATCGAGTCTCTCGCTTGTGTTTCGTCTCGATACCGCCCGGCCCGAAGACCGATGAGGCCCTGGTTTGGCCACATCCAGCACAGTACGTGAACACAAAGAGCAGACTTCGCCAACCCCCCTTCAAAACCCAAATCACGACTCCAACGTGTTATTCCAAATACTACCCACCGTCACTCGGGACCTCCAGCCCTCTCTGCCTCCAGCCAGGACATGGTACTTGATCCTCTTCACTTCTCCTCGCAACAAAAGAAAACCATTGTCCTCAAAGTTTACCACCAGATCATTGTCCTCTGGCCCAGCACTCAGCCATGTCCACACACTCATCCCCGCCCGAGCTTCCACAATAAAGCTGTCGGACACAACTTCAAATCCAACGCTTAAACCCGGATCGACCAGGGCCGCCTTTCCAAGTGGCGTGGGGGTCCAATAGTTGATATGCGTGAAGGTCTTGGTGGCATTCATATTCACCGGTGTTCCTCTCGCCGTCACCGTCGCCACAAATATTGCACCTCTGGCATCGTTCTCGCCACCTTCGGTTGCATTCCCGAACAGCTTCGTTACGTCCAGAAGTGTCACCAACGTACTGTTCAAGCCACCCACCGAAAAGTCGAGCGTCTGGGGTGCTGGCAGCCCGGCTCCTGGGATATCCGGAGATGGCAGCAGACCCAGCACATTTCCGGTCCAGTCAAACCAGGCAAACGACACACTCCCTGTTACCTCTGTCCACAGATCACTCACCACATACAGACTTAGCAGCCCGCTCGTGACATTCCAAAGCGGCACCACAATAACATTCTGATAGAGATCCTTTGCCACGTTGTGCAACACCTTCCACCTTCCTTCGTACTCGATTCCAGCCCAAGTTGGCGCTTGCCAGATATCCTCGAGCTGCCAGTACAAACAACCCAGTTGACGCTCTGGTTTTCTCACACCGACTCGGTAGAACTGAATCTGAGACTTGTAAAAGTCTGCTTGGAACACTTGTGTCGACCATATCCACGCGGAAAAGTTACCGATTGCATCCGTCTTGTTGGGTATTGGATAGTACATCTCGACCGCTATCGTCATCTCCCGCATGCCATTTGAGCTATGGTCAAAATCCGAAGTGTTCAAGCTCCCGGAAGGATAGTGGTGATTCCGCAGCATAATAGTTGTGCTGTTGAAGTACAGCTCGTCCGCTGGTAGTACTCTTTGCCACGATGCCAGGCTCGGCATGCTGTGAAAGCCAAACTCGTTCGAGAACCGGCCTACCGGATACGCGCTAATGTTGAATGCCTGGCTGGTCTTATAATTGTAGTAATCAGTGTTACCATGGACTTCGCGAGGCCCCTTGTTCTGATATCGTTGCTTGATGGGAATTGGCTCGCTGAAGTTGATGCTGAGATACCCATTGTTGGTGCTGCTAGGCATGTAAGTGATGCCGCGGCTATTGTCGTAAACAGCTGGCAGCAGTGTATCGATGAAGAGCGTCTCGTAATCGGCCTTGTACCTTTCATACTGCTCTGGAGCTGAGTAGTTCACCAGATAGAGTTCAAGGTTCTCCAGCTCGTTCCCTCCCGCCCAGATGGCAAGAGACGGGTGATGGTTGATTCTTCGGACCTGATACTCGGCCTCCTCCCGAACATCATCCAGGAACTCGACGTCCACTGGATACAACGGTCCCCAAACTCAAACTCACTCCACAGAAAAATGCCGAGCTCATCAGCTATGTCATACAAGAAGTCCGGGGCATAGGCACCACTGGACCAGAGGCGGAGCATATTCTGGTTGCCAGAGACGACGGCATCGAAGAGTTGCTTGATTCGAGCCGGAGTTACCCGTGGCCAAAAAGCGTCCGGTGGGATGAAGTTGCTGCCCTTGGCGTAGAAGGGATGCCCATTGACCTCAAAGTGCCCTATACGAACACATTGTTAGTTTGCTCCGGGGATTTCTCAGAGGCCAAAGGGATTTTGCTCGCTCACAATGACTTCCATTAGCAACTCCATTCCCCATCTCCTCCTCCGTGACTGCACCCATGTTCATCACAACAGTTCGAAACCCAGTTGTCTTTCTCACCTCTGCCAATATCCCACCAGAAGGATCAACAACCGTTATCTCCACATCATAAAGACTCTGTTCCCCCAACCCATTCGGCCACCACAACCTATACCCTCTCCCATCCAAGACCACACTCCCCTCAATCTTATCACCAGCACCCGAGACACTCACATTCACCAACGCACCCTCACTAACAGTCCTCCTCTTCCCACCATCCGTCTCAACAACCCCATACCTCATCCCCGTCCCAACCGGCACCACCCCCACCACATCCAACCCAACTTTCAACACCCAATCCCTCTCCTGGTCTGGCGGCAGATTCGGCAGTTGGCCCTCCCGATAAATATCCAACAACGAGTTCCGGACATGAATCTCTCTCGTCGCCGTTGTCGTCGTCGGCGGGCTTTGTTGTTGTTGTGGTTGTTCAAGTTGCACCACCCACGCCTTCTGCCACACCCCCGTAGGCATAAACGCCGGACCCCAGTCCCAGCCGAAATCACTCTGCTCCTTGCGAACAAAGTGGCGGTTGGGAAACTCGAACTGGATTTGGACGTGGGCGGGCCAGGTGGATTGGTTGGGGCGTGAGGCGATGGTTGAGGCGGTGAGGGGGATGCTGGGGAAGTGGATGCGGAGTTCTGGCCCTCGTTCTGGTCCTGGGTTGGGGCTGGAGGTAGAGTTAGAGTTGGGACTGGAAATGCATGATGGGGATGTGCTGAGGATGGAGGTGATGTTGAAGAGGTATTGGCGGAATTGGTTGGTGGTGTAGGCTACGGGAAGGCCGCAGAGGGAGATGTTGGCGAAGGTGTCGAGGCCGTTGAAGAGGAGGAAGGAGTGAGTGGTGGGGGTGGTGTTGCTGTTGGGACGGGGGATGGGTGTGTTAGTGAGTACGAGGGTGAGTATAAGAGGAGGGGGTTTGAGGGAAATTGGTTGCTAACAGCCCTGCTAGGTTTGCGGTGTATACCCAGTCGTTCCAAGCGATCCAGCGGAGGTTGAAGTCATTTAGGCCGTAATACCTGGATTTGCACAAAGTTCCGTCAGCTTTGCTCACATTCATTCGGAACTAAAGGTGTGCTTGTGAAGTCAAGAGACGTACGGATCACCGATTACTCCCGCCTCGAACAGGTCGAGATGAACTTGAGAAGGCACCTTTCCGCGCACCGATATGTTGAGCGCTGGGCTGGAGAGAGTCCATCTTTGAGTGGACAGGTCGAGAAGGTTCAGGGCATTGATGACGGACAGGTAGCACGTTGCCGTCAGGGCGGAGATGCAGATACGTCGTGTGCTGCTCATTATCAGTATTCCACAAGGTCTCCCCCCTTTTGCAGGAGGAAAACGCTTTCTTCGACAACTAACGGCACTGTTGGACTTTAAGGATCAACAAAAGGTTGCTCGCACGGGACTGCACGTCACGATGCGGGGGGTCGGAGGGGTTGCAATTTATTTCAACGTACCTATCATCCCGGCCGAATGGGGATCGAGATATCGTACCGCCGGGTCAAATGCACCCTTCATGTACATGGCTGTACTGGGCGGGGATAAAATGTTTGGAAAGTCGAGGACGGGAACATCTCGTGACTCGCAGTCTCAAGGTTTGCTCGCCAACTTTCGACCAAACTCCGATGTGAAGCATGGCGTAGGCAAGCAGATGACCATAAGTACCTCTAGGTACCGACAGGTAATACTTCACAAAGGATATGTGCTCGAACGCAAACAATCACCCAGAGAGTTTGACCAAAACATAAAATTGTAAAATCAACATTGAAGTGTCAGGTCGTTCGGAGAATGGGAACGAGATGTAATACTGCGAACATCCAAGGATCCCTTCTCAAGCCGACGAAACATTTCATCCCGGAGGACAAAGTTGATAAAGAAACTTCCATTTAATAGGTATATAGATTGGACGTAGCACCATTACTAATGTACAAGATACGTTCTTGGATGAAAATAGAGAGAGAAAGACGTACGTTCTATATGCAAGTATCAAATACTTCTCCCATACGTATTAGACGTCAAAACCCGGCCCCATTTCTTGAATGACATCAGTGCCCGTATAAGGATTCCCCTTGGGCTACATGTACTTGAGATTATTTCTGCTCTTTCCGAAGAAGCGCCAAAGCGGCAGCCTCGTTATTGGTAGCAATGCAAGAAGCTATCGCAAGATAGCCGAAAGGCCCATACACCGCATCTGCGGCCTTCACCAACCAGACAAGCTCCTCATCGTCAATTTTCGGGAATTGCCCAAGCCTTTGAAACACCCCTTCCAGCAACCACCGGAAATCCAGCGTGTCGCCATCTCCTCCCCAATCAACCACCGTCACGGCCCTCAGCAACAATATATCCGACATGGACGCAACGGGACTTTCGTCGGATCGTTCCGCCACGTGGAAGTGATCGATGCACCCGTTTTCGATTTCGACGATGTTAAGTCGGATACGGAAGCCTTGTTTCGGGGCATCGAACGCTATCTTTCCGTCGGATTTGATGGAAAAGTTGAGAGCGCCGTCCGAAACTCCCTTCCAGATGTCGATCAATGCGGCGGAAGGGGGGCTTTGCCTGGTTATTTGAGCTGTGCTGCGTTTGCTGCCTCAACGCAGAACGCAAAGGCTGGCCATGCTCTGTGCAACTGTTAGTAATAGGTTTCCTAACCTGGAGATAACATTGACCTACTCTTCTTTGACCCAAAGTTCCCACTAGTGCTTGGGGGGGCAGCGGGCTCTTCCGGTTCTTCAGGCCCAAGTTCGGGATCCTGCTCTGCTGCGGCTGCTGGCGTTGCTGCTGTGGCTGCTGCCACTGCTGGTGCGAGTGCTTGTTCCGGGGCGGCAACATCCTTGTCCTCAGTCTTCTAGACCGTGAAGTGGGCAATACTCCAGGAGTGCTCCGCGCATTGGTTCGGAGACAGCGACAGGTCTGGGCATGGTGATTGCTGGCCGGGGGGTTTGAAAGGCTTGCTGGAACTGAAAGTCCTCAAGTGTTAGCCGCAACATACATGATAAGTAGTCAGGTGCTCGTGATAGAGGGTCTTACTTAACGATGAGGAGCTTGTCTGGTTGGTGAAGGTCGGAGATGCGGTGTATGGGCCTTTCGGCTATCTTATGGTCGCTTTGACAAGTAAACATCAGTACCTGAGCAGATAGCACAGTGCGTCTCGAGCAGAGCTTACCAAAAGAAAAAAATGATTTCTAACGGTACTTCCAGTCATCTGGGGTCATTGGTGTTAGCGTCACAGTTATGTGTCTTTACCCAGTTGAACTTCTGCTTACCAGACGGATCAATGCGACTCGTTGAAGAAGAAAAGAGACAACAGGTAAGACCGCGTTTGTTCTGGTACGGTTTTGGTATAAAGGGCCTGATACGACCGGTGTAGTTCTCGAAAAGGCGGCCAACTCGCCAAATGTCCCGAGTCGAGTTGTTACTCGTCTTGGGGGTCTCGAATTGAGTTGAGTTGGGTAGAGTTGAGTCGAGTTGAGTCAAATTGAGTTGAGTAGGTTGAGTTATTTCAAGCGCTGTACGAAACCGTACGAGAACAGACGCAGCCTAAAGCCAGACCGGGGGTGTCTGTCAAGACGAAAAGGCTTGTGTGTCAATGGAATTGATTGAAGAATGAGATGAAGATGAGGAGAAGAAAACAGCTCCCAAAGCCAGGGGAGGCCGGTCTTATATACAGGGAATCTCGTGGCCAACCTTCCTTCCTGTCAGGCCTTGCCAGGTACCGGCTTTCCCTGTGTGCCTGGCTTCCTTCTGTCTGTGAATAGCTTCCTTCCTTCCTGTATTCATGTGTGCCTTCCCATAGCCTTTTGCTCCTTCTTATCAATGACAGCCTCCTTCCATATATCTACCAGTGCTTTCCCTCACAGAGGGATGTGCGGGCACCTGCCCCTCACGGGCCCGTCGGTCCCGACAGTGTCACTCATCTTATATAGCTGTATTACTTCAACTCAGTTCCTTCTTTGCGTCGCCGTCACTACTTGTTGGCACGGAAAGTACGTCAGGGAGTGTTGGTGTAGGGGAATGTGACTTCCTGTCCTCAAACCATCTGATACATATGTCAAGTATGGGGAAGGAAACTCCCGAGTATCTGCCAATCTTGTAGCATCATACTCTTTCCATGTGTCTAACTCAAACATTCCACTTACAATGTTAGGCTTTTGCGTGTTTCTTACCTCGTGTTAGGCTCGGAAACTTTCCCATGGAAAACGACGAATTCAGGGGAAAGCCCGAACCATCACCACCTCCCAAAGCACTCACCACCCTCAACGACGCGGTCGGAGTGGGTTGTTCGGGAAAGGGATGTGGGCGGCGAGGAACAAGACAGTCTGTCCGTCGGCATAGGGACCGGTCAACGTTTGTGGTGGTCCAGTTGAGTCGAGTAAACATGGGAACACTAAAACCGCTCCCAATCCCACATTGTGCCATGAATTTCGAACTTGGTTCCCGAATGGATACATGTAGTTGGTCCTGCATGAATTGCAGGAGAATGCCCGGGAATTCGGCTTCGGGACTCGGAAATCCTTAATTCTGCATCATGTTCGACCTGCAATGCCGCTCTCCCCTCCATAGCACATCTTTGCTGCAAATGACTCAAATGAGAGAGGTTGTTCTTGTTGGAGTCAAGCTTGCTCTGCAGCTCACAGATACCTTACCTGGCCCCAAGTAAAACTATTTAAGAAACCACACATTCCACCCGGACATTTGCTACCCATTTCTTCGTTCCCGTTTTCCACACACAACAAAAATCCAATCATACCTCTCTCCATCAACAGTCATTCAGTATGGGGTTCACAAAGACCACCAAGACCTCCTTCCTCATTCTTTCCGACACCCATGGGAAGGATCATATCATGCCCAAGGTATCAGTCGATGTTGCCATCCACTGCGGTGATCTTACTGACCACTCAAAACTGGAAGAATTTCGCTCCTTCCTTGAGCTTCTCAAGTCCATTGACGCCCCATTGAAGCTCGTCATTGCAGGCAACCATGACTTCTCCCTCGACGGCACAGCCTTCGGAAAAATAACCGAAGAAGCCACTACTCGTACCGAGGGCAAGATCGAGCCCGAACTCATGAAGAAGGAATTTGGCGATGTTGGCCAGGCCCGTCAGCTGTTTTCAGATTCAGAGGACGAAAATATCACCTTCCTGGACGAGGGCATTCACTCCTTCCGCCTACAAAACGGAGCGACCTTGACAGTGTACGCAAGTCCATATACGCCATCCCCCGTAGCAGACATAGACTTCCAATTCAAACAACACGACGAGAACAACTTCCGCGAAGTACCTAGACTGTCAGGCTTCCAATTCAAACACGACGACGGGCACAACTTCTCTATTTCGACGCCAGACAACAAAAGGGTCGACATTGCCATCACACACGGGCCACCAAAGGGCGTACTTGACAGAACTTGCTCCAACGACCGCAACAAGCGGGGCGGATGTGGCCAGCTGTTCGCTGCCATCGCAAAGGCTCGCCCTCGCCTCCATTGCTTCGGCCACATCCACGAAGGTTGGGGGGCCAAGCTCGTAACTTGGCGCGGAAAAGAACCAACGACCACCACACCTTCCCACTTCACTGAGATTGATAATAGCGCTTCAATACTCATCGATAGCCTCGCCAATTACAAGCCCAGGAAATTCGAATCGGAACAAGATGCGAAGGATAGAAAGAAGCGGAAAGAACGACTTTTCAGACACGGGTTTAGAAGCACCAGTCACTGCAAGGATGACAAGCACCCGTTGGTAGCGGGACAGCAGACGTTGTTCGTCAATGCAGCTCTGGAGACGATCCCGGAGGATGAGGAAGGGAAGGAGCATGTCCCTTGGATTGTTGAGCTTGAGCTTCCGAGCTCCGAGTGAAACCTATGCCAACCGTTATTTTATCTCAAATACCAAATTTACAACAATCTTAAGCATCGATCCGTCACCTATCGAATAAAACACATAAATTGGGTGCAGAAACACCTGGGCAAGTTGACCAGAGGTCTGGATCTAACATGGTATTTTTAAGGGTGTATTACCGTGTATTTTACAGATGCGAGATAGAAGGACACACTGGTGCAAGCGCGGGCGGCCGAAGGACCCACAAAACCGAAATCCGAAATTGGGAAGTGACGACAGGTGTAAGTGATAAGGGTATACTTGATAAGGGTTCGGGGTAATGCCCTCAATCTCTTCATCATGTACCCCTCCTCCCACCCCTCTTCCCACCCCTCTTCCCCCCAAGCTCTCTCAAGTAAAGTAAATCCCACCATCAACAGCATAAGTCTGACCCGTGATATAATCCGCCCCCTCACTCGCCAAAAACCCAACCAACCCCGTCACATCCTCCGGCGTAGATGACCTCTTCAACGGCACCATCGCGTCCGTGAAGCGTTTGATCACCCGGGCCTTCGCTCCTTCCCCCCCTACCGCCCCTTCTTCTTCCACCCCTCTTTTGCCTCCTCCTTCCAAACCTTCCGCTCTTGCCTTCTCAACCCTCTCAAGCCCCTCCCCAATCGTATCCCACATCCCCGTCTCCACCACCCCGGGAGCATACGCATTCGCCGTGATCCCCTCCCCCGCCAACTCCGCCGCAAACGCCTGCGTCAGTCCCCTCACAGCAAACTTACTCGTCGTATACGGCCCCAACATCGGTATACCCCTCAGCCCAGCCACGCTCGACGCGCCTATCAGTTTTCCACTCGTTCCTTGTTTGATGAATTGTTCGGCGGCGGCGCGGTAGCAGTTGAAGACGCCGATGACGTTGATGTTTAACATGTGAAGGAAGTCGTTGGTGGTGACGGTGAGGAGAGGTTGGGCGGCGACGATGCCTGCGTTGGCGACCATTGTTGATAAAGAGCCGTATACTGACAAGTGGGAGGAGAGGAGGGCGGAGACGGAGTCGGGGGAGGTGATGTCCGCGTGGAAGGGATGGGCGGAGTGGCCGAGAGTGCGGAGGTCGTGGCAGAGGGTTGTGAGGGCGTCATCGGTTTGTGAGGAGGAGGGAAGATCGTTGAGGGTTAGGGCGTAGCCGTCGGCGGCGAGGCGGTGGGCGATGGCGCGGCCTATGCCCCGGGCTGCGCCGGTGATGATGGCTGATTTGATGGGGGGTTGGGGCTTGGGAGGTTGGTGTGTTGAGAGGAAGCGCCATCGGGGGTAGGTTGTGGAGAGGGGCTTGGAGAGCAGGCGGAGAGGGAGGTGTAGCTGTCGGAGGGTCGTCATTGTGTCGTTAAAAGGGAAATGTCTGGAAGGGTGAGATGGTCTTCAAGCTGACGATGCCCGAGTTCCAGGTTCGTGGTTGAGCGACGTCTTATATGGATTTCCGTCCCCAGAAAGACACAACAGGAGGAGGGCATGGCTTGCATTTGGCGTCGGGCCCCTCACCTACCATCCCGGCGTCTTACAACCTTCGTGCTACGGAGATATACCCGCGTGTCTCAGACCTGCGTCTGTGGCTGGCGTGGTTCGTCAAGTGATCGGAACCCGGAAGATCGTGCATTCGTGGCATTAGGCATATGTCAAGCGGCCGCCGAATATTACGCCAGTGAGTTATACGTCATTGCGGTCCTGACTGTGTCGACTTACTGAAGCTGATATCAGAACAAGCGGTCCAACCCTTTTCCAGTAGTGCTGAATTGTGACATATTGGGAATAGCTTCAGCTGGAGTGATATCCGCTTCAGCTACCTACGTACACACTAGCCCTCCACGTACGAGATGCGCTTGACCCTTTCCGGATTTTCCATCGGCCTCAGCTTCTCAACGAGTCCCGGGTCGACCGATGCGCGTTTGGAGGCCGCTACGCAGTTGCTGATCTTGAAGAAATATCTCCGTGTCTGATGATGATTGGTCGGGTACGCCTTTCTAAATCTAGCCACAGCTACACCGGGGCTTCGCACATTTGCGGTGCTGTCTGGTCTTGCACCTCTCACAAGCGTTACTCATTGCGCTCCAAGGGACGTGCGAAAGGGTTTCAAGAATCGCAATGCTAAAACACTTCAAATCGGTGAATGATTGACGCTGGTTTTCAATCTTTTTTTTTCTCTACGTGAGATTAAGTCATTACGGTCAGCTGTCTATCTAGACCAATGCCCACAGCATATGCCATATTCTTCCCCCAAATCATCCCCCATTTTGACGAGTCTCTTGTTACATAGGTATGCTCTCTCTATGGTGCTGAGAGAGCCAAAGCCCGTTGGGTGGTCGAATGCTAAGGGGACAGATTCCGCTAAGGACCAACCAGGCCAAACCTGTTGACTCCAAGGTCAGCCTCAAAGAGGAAGCACGGGAGTGGAATGGACTCCTTCCATAACCTTGCTAGTAGCTGACTAGCTGGCCGCTTGGCGGAGGTGCGTGTGGAAAGACGACGACAAAACATGGGGTTGATTCTGTAATAGCAATGAAGGAGGAAGAACAGAACCAGGAAAATCTACCTCTAGGTAGAAATACTGGAATGGAGTGCCTGTGACGGAAAGCCGTGTGAATGCCAGCCAAGGCAAAGACTTCCTTGAGGAGGTGCGTTGACCCTTCTGGTAATGCTCCGATGTTGCCGATAAGCTTGAGAAGTTGGCTTCCTTCTTCTTCCTCTCCTCCTTCTTCTTCCTCTCCTCCTTCTTCTTCCTCTCCTCCTTCTTCTTCCTCTCCTCCTTCTTCTTCCTCTCCTCCTTCTTCTTCCTCTCCTCCTTCTTCTTCCTCTCCTCCTTCTTCTTCTAAACTCTGGACTGGCCGAGATGTCTGAGGAAGCACTTTTGCTGGGCACGCGGCTCGAAGAGGCCTTCCATAATAAAGAACAACCTTTCAACAACATCCAAACCACCTTTCAAAAGGTGGATTGCTCCGAGTTTCATCAGTACTTCCTCAACCAATTGCCAAGCCAGCCCCAAAAACAATACATAACCCAACAGGAAGTTCAATCACCGTTTTTCCTTTGCCCTCACACACTTAATTTGACCAGGCGTTGTGGTACTCCTCTTGGACGTTCTCCATTAACGTTTCGAAGTCAAGATCATCCCAAGAGACTGGTGTCGACGGCGACGCATGCGGCTGTTCTGCCACAGAATGATCGGTGGTGGTGTTCTCTGCCGTTGCCTGGGACTCCGTTGTCCGTTGTCGCTTTTCCGGCGCCACCGGCTCGTCTGGTAGAGCGTGCTTGTCTGGCCTGGTTGGCAGCTCTACTGGCTGCGTAGCCTCTGCTGGCGGCATGGGCTCTTCTGCTTGTGTAGATTCAGCAGGCGGTGCGGACTCTGCTGCCGTTGTAGTTTTAGCTGGTGTGGGCAATAAGGGAGAGTTCTGAGGGATTGGACGTTTCACCTCCCCATCTCTAGGTTTGAAACTCGGAAAATAGTGTGGCACCCTCCCTCGGCCTCCCGTTCTGCCCAGATAGATGAGGCCGGACTCGCAGCTAAGCTCCCAGCGACGCCAGTGAAGCTCCCCAACAACTCGCCAATAGACAGAGTCTGACATTTCAGGGATCTCCGTTAGCATCCTCTCGACGAATGCCAAACACTTCCTGGCCCAAACGTCCTCGGAAAAGGGTTCAAGAGGCTTGTTGCCAGGGCCAGCAAGGTCCGCGCCGTAGTCGCTGTAGTACTCTTCATCTTGGCCCCAGTAGAGTGCGCCTAGAAGAAGCTGCAACGGGGTGCACTTCTTGACATCCTGGGCCAGCAGCTCTTCGGATGTACATCGCTCGAGGAGGTAAAAGAGGACATCATGCTGTTGATCGAAGGCTCTGTCGATATCCTTTGTAGGCTTGCCCTCAACGTACCATAGCTTTTCGTCGAAGCTATCGATATTCAGGGCGATATGCAGAGCAGTCTGGCGTCGAACATTGACGACTTTGGTCTTGTGGTCGTCCGGCATTAACTCAAGCCAAATGTCCAGAGCGACTGTGTTCCGATGCCGGTGACGCGCTAACAACGTTAGCACGGTCTCAGTGAGAAAGGGTAACGCGGCATCAAGCCTCTCCCGACCATAAAAACGGACTTGGAAATTCACGAGCTCTTGGAGCAGCTCGGTCTGCCATTTCCTCCCGTTTATCGGCTCATTCTCGGGGTACCGGTCTTTAAGCTCCTTGCATTTGCATCGGGTTCCGACCAGGCATGCCTTGATCGAGTATGCACGGGGATTTTTGTTCAAATACGTGAGATTGGACATGGAGAGAGTGTGCCTGGTGAGGTTCGGGGTGTAGGGACAGTTCCTCGGAAACAAGGTTAGCTGGATCGCTGCTAGAACCTCGATTTCCTCCAGTGTCCCGTCACAGGCTCCTGTCCTTAGCAGGATGCTTGCGAGGGGCCAATCAGGCTCGGTCGCTCTGCCTTGTCCAGTACCTGTGATGAGTTGAAGGAGGAGGTGAACCATGTTCGTCCGTCCTGGAATTTCTCGTACAGTTGCTTTCGCGCCCAACCTGACGAGCTCGGTGATTACCTTCTCTGTGGGCTTTCGCGGATTGTAACACAGCTTTCGAAGGATGGACTTTCCAGCAGGGTCCGTTGACCATCTGGGTACATCATCAACATGACAACCCGCGTTGACATCCACTCCCGCGCGGACAATGAGCTCCAGGAGCTTCCACATACCGAGATGAGCTGCCAAATACAAGGCTGTCTCCTTCGCGTGCCTGCCGGTACCGGGAGGAGCCCACAGAGGCGAGGCACCATGGCTCAAAAGAACCTCAGCGACATCCTCACTTTTCGTCTTAAGCGCTGTGAAGAGAGGGGGGCGTGGGAGTGGATCATTGACATCTGCGAGGACAAAGTAGCCGTCTCTGGGGCAGACGGCCTTGACATCGGCTCCGTGTTGGAGGAGAAACTTGGTAGCTTCGACTTGGTTGAACACGGCAGCGAAGTGCAGAGCCGTCCAGGGCGACCTTTCCCTTCGAAAACCTGTTGTTCCGTCCATGTAGTGCCATCTAGAGAAGCCAATGTCGTCAGAGCCGCGAAAAGACATCCGTCCGATATGGGTTGTAGTAACATCCACTCCGTTTGCAACTGCACATTCGTCGACCCTTTCTTTAAAAAGGCGCGACTTGGGGGGCCAGATAAAGACTTGATTGATGTCAGCTTTATATTGGCCGATTGCGAACTCCATGGGGCGAATTCGGTTATTGAACACACCCCAGAGCAAGGCTTGGGGGTTGAGGGATTTGGAATCCCTCCTGTATAGCTCCCAATTGCATTTGGTGTAGTTCGCATTGCATGTCCGAGCCAGAGAGTTCAACTCTGAATCCTTGAGATGATCCGCAACCATGCGCATTACTTCGGGGGGGAGGTCGAGAAGTGTCCGTGGCTGTACCGTCGGCGGGAGTGTGAGAGCTTGCTCAGCAGACGAAGACATTTTGGAGATGGGTTGTGTACTGAGTCGGGGGTATCTGCAAAAAGACATCTGTTTAGCTGTGTCTCAAAAGCTTTTCAGTGAGCGGGTAGTCCCCCAGAATACTGACCGAGGAGTGATTACGGCGATGGGCTGGTCTTGCCTTCCAAGTGAGGGGGAATAGCAAGTGATAGTGATGACGACGATGAGGTCATTCGCCTTGGTGATCCCAAGACTGCAGTCGGTCGTCGCTTCCAGCAATAATTACTGGGGTGCGAGGATGGAAGACCAGGAGTGAAAGATGGGGAGAAAGATGAGGGCGAATGGGGAGAGGAGAAAGATTGAGGCGGAAGGACCAGCAACATGTGGACTTATATTACGATCCCGCTGGCAGTGAGTGAATGGCTCTTCCCGTGTCTCTAAGCACGTGAACTATTTGCCCGCTGCCAGTGAGCTGGCTATCGGACCAGTGCCGGTCCCGTGAATCGTCACTGCGTTTCCTAGCAGAACCGGCAGTGGTCAAGGAAGGGTCGACCGACAGGCAGCGGGGTATCGCACAGACTTCGACGGGAAGTTTTAGACGGCTCTCCTAGATCCAACGACCAAACCTCTTGATGGTTTAATTTTCCATGCTGGATTCAGGTTTGGAACATGCAAGGTACGGTATCATAGGGAGTTGTCGGAGGTCTTTCACACCACCATAATCGCAGTATGAGCTCCGCTTTCACGGTCCGATTTTATGGAATTTGACTACGTTGCCCCTGTTTGCACTATCTCTTTTAGACCATGTTGTCATTTGGCCATCTTACCCTTAGCAACATCCTTTGATGACTTCTCTCGGTCTGGAAACCGCCAGTAGACTCTCTCATCGTCCTATTCAATTCTCACCTGCTTCAGCAACATCTTGTAAACGGATTCAGGCGGATGCCAAAGGGCTCACGTATGGAGATGGACGTGTTCCTCTTCGCTTTTACAAGATTACTCCAACTTGGAACAAACACACCCGTGGCAAGCACCTTTCTTTGAGTGTAGGTTGTTCATCAAATACCTACTACGCGCCCGATATTTCGTTCTAACTCTGGCTTTGCGTCTCAAATCGCTTGGAAAAGTTGCAACGGTCTTAGGGGAGTATATGCAGGTTCACCTCTGTCCCGGTCATACGACGGCTGTCGTCCAAGCAAAACGCGTTATTCGGGGAAAAGTGAACTAAACTGACACTTCAACCATAGTCCGTACGTACTTCCGCCGGTAAAATACCTCTAGCTAGCCCCGCGGGAGTCAGGACACTGTCCGCACCAGTGCCGGAGCGAGAATGCCTGGTCCCCTTCAATTACTTGATCGCGTTGCTGGGTACTCGTCTGGATATGAAGGAGTACTTACACCGATCTGCCAGTTTCGCTTCATCAAGTAGCCAAACTCGGATGCAAGTGCCGCTGGAGACCCATCAATTGGCCGTCGTGGAGATTCCATGTACGTGATACAACTTCCAGAGAAGATATTCGATAATTCGCTCCTCACCAACCGTTGGTTTTCTTATCATTATTTGGTTCTGGCTCAAACCATCGCATTGCCTCGCCTTTGTCCATTAAACTTTTCGGCCTTTCTCCTCGTATGCAAAGGCACCAATTTCGTGATTATAACTGTGAGAACAAGGCAACAGCGTGGATGGCTTGTTGAACTCTGTTCTGCTGGATTGGCCAGAAAACAAGCCTTCATGGACCATGGCTGACGGAGACTATAAGCAATTATGGCATTGTGGGCTGGAAGAGCAGGGCAGTCAGCAGGGCCCCATGTTGTTCGGGTAATTCACTGTCCTCTGATCCATATTGCTTTCCCTTGTAGATGTGTCGGCTGGTGGAAGTGGACGAGCGTCAGGGTGGCATTGACGTTGGTGTATTGCTTTCACTATTCACAAAGATCACGAGGCATTGAACTTTGACTTCAAGAGATACCATTCTTCATTAACTACCAAAGCGGAGGCCTGTGCAGGGCGACTGGGGCTGTTATATAGCAGTAGCAACTATAAAATATGCGGCAGGAATAACAGCAGCGACAGTTGGATCAGCTGCGATAGTTGGCCCCGGCAAGTAAAAAAAAAAAGTTCCGGCTTCCTATCCCCCCTATCTTCTAGAGCTTAACTTGCCGCACCACCCCTTTTGTCTACGCGCACCCTAAAATGACTTCCCGCACCATATTTGCCCCACACGACAGCCGATGACAGCTGACATGTAAAACCCCCCGTTTTGTATAGTAAAACCCGCCCGTAAAATGTTTTAAACATTCAACCGTATGCCAAAAAAACTTGGCGATTTTAACACACAATAATTCCCGCACAGTCAAGGCTATATTTCTATATAGCTATATCGCTATACAACTGTATTATACCTCCCAAATCGATTGCGCTTAATTAAATAATTAATAGTAAGACCTTCGTTCTTTATGTTTAATTGTATTTAATTACTTATATTTCTATAGTATTGTAATTATTTCAAGCTTCTTTTATAGCTAATTACTATACCGCTAGCGATAGTGACCGTTTCCCTAATTCTTCTTTTAATAATACTTCTAGTAATAACGATGTTTCTAATAATCCCGCTGTTAATAATAACGAAAGCGATACCCTTAGTATTAAAGAAGAGGAGGAAGAGACCGCTACTACTACTCCTATCGACGAACTAATTTAGTTTATAAATCTAAACGACTAATTCTTTTCTATAAGCGCTATAATAAGCTCGACGATGTAAGCGGCCTTCTACGATTTCAATATCCGTTATTAGATGGGGTTAATTAAATAACACTTTCGCTTCGCTAACGGTACTAATATCCTTACGAGTATTAAGATATAATACGAGTATATTGAACGCCGTACTTATCCTATACTTAAGGAGCGTCGCTATTATTACTACGGCTCTAAGAAGACTATATAGTATTATTCCTTCCGCTTATCCCTTAAGCGCGTTAGCGATAATATATTTATAATTACCCCTATTAACTTTGAATACTATAACTACCCCCCCGCCGCCTTAATAACTGCCTTTGCCAAATATCGCCTAGTTATTATAGACGCGTAAGAGGAATATATTTATAGTTTATTTATATAGAGAGAATTAGCCATCTATATTATAAAGCAATTTATAGAACGAAAGTATCTAGAACTCTTATTTACTTCGAAGGATTATTTTAATATGCGTTACTATGCCTGCAAAAAATAAAAAGCTAGTTATATTAATATTTAAAACTTTGTATAGATATTAAACGAAGAATTACGCTTTAATTAGAGTGAAAAGATAATAGCCTATATTAAAGTTGATTTCAAAGGTAATAACTATAAAATATTTTATACCGCCTTCTAAGTCCTTAAGAAGTAATAGAAGTTTTAGAAGTGATTCCCCTACGTTTTAATAATCGATACGACCTATAAAACTAATTAATTTTATAAGCCGCTAATTATAGGAATTATCCTTACGTTTATATATACTATTATTCCCGTCTTTTAATATTTAATTAATAATAAGTAAGAAGAAGGGGGCTTCAAATAATACTTCGAATAATTATACGACGTATTATTCGAAATAAAGGTCTTATTCTTTAATATGCTTATTATAAATAGCGACCCTTAGTTTATTATTACGCTAAACGCCGCCTTAGAAGGTAAATAGTAGTAATAGTATATATAATATTTTAATAATAACGTTATTATTACTATTAAGAAGTATTAGAAAATAGATAAAGTAGTAAAGAAAGTAACGAAGAATAGTTAGTAAAGGCGTAGCTCTTAGAAAAGGCGCGGCTTTTAGAGAGGGTACGGCTCCTAAAGAAGGCGCGGCTCTTAAAAATAATAAAGGCGCGGCGGGTCCTAATTATAACCCTCCTAACCTTCCTCCTCTTAACCACCCTAATTTACTTAGCCTTAATAAAGTAATAATAACGATTCTAATAATAATAAGGATGGTGAGCTATACGTCGTCGATAATAAAAATGCTATAAATTTTAAAATATTCTAGCGAAAGTATTAGAAAGTACGTACCGCTATTAGAACGAAAGTTAAAACAAATTCCCTACCTACTTAGGTAATGTAAACGAAGACCGCCTTCTTTATATACTAGTAATATATAATATTTAGTAACAATCTAACCGATTTTATTAAAGCTAAGCGACTTATTAATATTAATTTTGAAGAAACTTAATTAAAACCATTTTAATATATCGACGACGAATTTATATTTTATAAGAGAAAGTAGGCTAATTACTATATTAACTAACTCCCTAATTTTAATTATAAAATACTTTTACTAAACGAATCGATTAACGCTAGTATTAAAGTAGAAGGATTATTAATGCGTACGGGGTTCGATAAGGTATTTTATATTATTAAGGTAGTCGTCGATAAGCGGTATAATTCGTTTAAAGAAAGTATTACTACCTTTAATGCCCAAATCCGCCGTAAATATCTATAAGCAGGTAATTGGCTAGGTAATTACAAACTTTAAATTACTAGTTGGGGGTTAAATTTATTTGTAAAGTAATATAGGAAGGCTTTATGTATTATATGATTAAATAATAATCCTTACTTTTAAAACCTTATTTTATATAGAAGTATTTTTAGAATTTAATAGGGGTTACTTTATATTTATAAATTATTATAACGATATAATAAAGAGAGCACTAAAAGGCGTTAATTAATAAGGATAATTATTACCCCTTCTAATACTTAAAGGAGGTAATAGTAAATAATATTTTCTTATTTCTCTTCTAAATGCTATCGCTATATTAATTCTAATATAGGACGTATAAAATTAATACCTCCGCGTCGTCTCTACGATTAGAATAGTACTTAAAGAAAGGCTAAAGAATTAGTATAGTCCCTTTAGTAATAAGGCCGTCGTCCCTAGCGAAGTAGTTCGAGGCCCCCGCGGGGTAGTTCGAATTAGGAGAAGTAGGCGTATTTCTAATAGTATAAAACGTATTTATTTTCGTATTGCAATATTTAGGCCTAATTTAGAAGTAATAAATATAATTAACAAAGAGGTTAGTAAGGAGGCTAGCGAGCAAAATTATATTATTATTAGTAATAATATTTAGTAGTCAAATTAGCCGCTATAATATAAAAGGGGTAGATTAAAGGGATTAAATAAAGTAAAGAGGGCTCTAGCTGCCTCCTCCCATAAACGCCTTACTCTAGAGCTAAAACCGGGCTCTCTAAAACTAGGCTCTCTACTAAATTTACTATTAAACTCTATTATCGACGTTAATAATATTAAAAAGGAGCACTTTACTACTCTAAATTACGCTATAGCGGAATAGAAGAAGCGAATTATAATTAGAAAGAAGGAAAAGGAGGCTACAAATAAGGAAGAGCGCTAAACGTACCTATTAAACGATTACGCAAAGGACCCTAATCTACGTAAAGTATAGCCGGGTAATAAATTAAATCTTGTAGTTATGAACGACAAGTAAGAAGTTCAATTGAACCTTATAGAGCTGCATAAAGCCGTATAGAACTTTAGCAAAGCCTCAAATAGAGCCTCAATACTATGTAAATATTATAAGATTATTACTTTCCTATGTTTAATACTAGAAAATATTATTAGATGATTTGGCGCACCACCTTTGACTTAGCGCACCATGTTGTGATTTGGTGCACCATGATGTTTAAAATATTGAAAATACTAAAATTTCTATGGGAAAACAGCTTGTAATTATAATAGCTGTCATATGGTGTGGTAAGAAAAAAATAGTGCGCGTAGACAAAAGTGGTAGTGCGGCAAGTCAAGCTCATCTTCTATCTCTAAACTACTCTCTTAGGAGGTCACTTTTTTACTTATAGTGGTTTACTTGTTCTACTAGAAGTGGACTTGGACATTGAAAAGTTGAAATCAAGAATTTAAGAGGAAAATATCACAACTAGGAATCGAACGGTCATAATTACAATAAGAATTAAAAGAAAAATTATACGAAGAACTACTTAATTATTTGGCCAAAAGTTTAAGAGACGAGGGAATTCTTTCCTTTAATATAGCCGGGTGGTAATTTTTTAGGAAGGAGTAGGGCGGATAGTGAAATTTAGGATTTGGGACTTGTAAAAATCTCTATATCCTGGCCTAAGACGGACTTCCCACTAGAGCAACGGGAGCAATAGTTTCTCTTTTCATTGCTCTCTTCATTACTCTCTTCATTACTCTCTTTATTACTCTCTTCATTGCTCTTTTTATTACTCTTTTTCATTACTCCCATTACTTTAGTGGATAGCCAAGGCATTACATTGCTCTAAGAGAGGCCAAGGCAATGCAATGCTCTGGGACAATATTAGGGGAGTTTAGTGGTTCGGAATTGATATACGAAGTTCAAGGTAGTCAGGGTTAGGGTTATTAGTGAGAAGTCAACTATCGCTACTAATTCAACTGTCGCTTCTACCCCTATCAGCGTTGGGAGCGATAGCCGCCTCACACATTTTCCCACTACGGTACCTGACTGAGCTGGAGCTACCCAATTGCCTGCCATGAACCCCATTGCTGCAACCCTTCCAGATCTTCCCGGACGGCGCCCCTTCACTCTACCATTTTGGGAGTCTTCCACTTTTCTTGCCAGAGAAGTTGGCATATGTGTGAAACCCTCCCATCACCCGCGTTTCTGCGGCCGCCATCCTCAACTTTCGGCGAAGCTCTGTCAGTTTCGCAATGACGGCCTTGCGAACCTCCTCTTTCTCTGCGCTCCATCCCCATCCCCAGTCGATATCATCTGCCGATCCAGAAGGTCGCGATTGATACCCACTGAACAAGGACTCAACGAACTGTAACCGCATGGTCTTCTCAATGATTCCCACGCCTGGAGGTGTCCTACACGGTACGACACCCCCGTAATTGGCCGGGTTGTTGAGCAAGTTGGCCAGGTCGATGTAACGACGGTCTTTCCAAAAGACTGAGTCAAAGATGCATTTCAAAACATCGATGCCGTCCTTGTTGACCGCGTTGAACTTGTCGGCAGGCCAGGCTGCCAGAAGAGAGCACAGCATGCTGTCCGGACTACTATCAACGCCGCCGTGATCCAACTCACTCAAAGGATCCAAACTGTAATCTGCTAATTGGTCGAGGAGCTTCCAATCGCTGGCATATAATCTCATTGCACAGTGAATCGCGGTCTCCCCATTGCCGTTGGCCTTGGTGATATCTGCACCAACGTCAATGAGGCAACGGAGCATGTCGGACGAACTGGCATTGCAGAGAGCCAGGAGCGTGACAGGTGTCTCAGCGATACTGGGTAGGAAACTATTGACGTCGACTCCATAGTCTTTGACAAGGAGCCGTACAAGCTCCTGTCGCTTCGGTGAGTCCATGTCACTATCGTTTGGGGATTTGTGCCAGCCGCTGTCGTAGGAGGCCCAGTATCTCCTGTGAAGTAAAACAGATCGCCGGCTGTAGCTTGCATCGGACAGGTTGGCAATTGAGACATCCTCAAAGCTAGAGGCATGTAAGGCTGCTGGAGTCAGCGCGGCGTGCAGGAGGTAGCCGAGTCTCTCCGTGTTGAAGTTTGTGTACGCTCGAAGGTGTAACAGATCAACAGCCACGGCACATCTGCCTTCTGCCACGGAACGGACAATGAGCTCAAAGTCGATATCATCTTGAGCATCCAGTCTTGCGCCCATTTGCACCAGCTTCCGAATAGTTGCGCGAGGGTGTTTCAGCATGACATGAGCCGCGTAGTGGAGCGGGTTCCGGCCGTCACAGTCAGTCGCATTGACAGAAATGCCGTTTTTCCCTGCGAGAAACTCCACCAGATCGATACGCCCGAGACTTGCAGCAATATGCAAAGTCGTTACCTGTGGAGTACCAGGTTCTTCGTCTTCAGGCTCGTCAGGACCCCATTCGGGATCTTCGGGAGGCTCTTCCCCTTCCACTCCTTGGAGTGGTTCGAACTCTTCATTGCCTTGAGGCAGTCCGTCCTCGGCTGGATCGTCTTGAGACAACTCGTCCTCTGAGTCGTTCGAATCGTCTTCCATGCTGTCTGCAATGTAGAAGGCAGAAGCTTTATGGCGCAAGAACAGCTTTATCATATCCTTGTGTCCGTAACACACAGCCGTGTGCATTGGAAAGAATTCTGTGGGACAGGATTCCAACGAATGGGAACAGGCTTCACCATAACCGGACATTGAGCAAAGCCCAAATGATCGTTTGTAGAAACCTGCCCCAGCCTGTATCAGCAATTTAGCTGCGGCCACCTGGTTTGAAAGCGCAGCGAAATGGAGGGCTGTACCCCACAAGGTCTTTTCTCGATTTTCGGGCACCTCGGCGTGCCGCATAAACGTTGACGGGTCAGTCTGGCGCAATCCGTAACTGAACGAATTTAATTCCCGCTCGACGAGAGTCCTGTGCTGGCCAGAACGGAAGCTGAATTGTGAAACTTGATCCACGGGTGTTCCATGCTGAATCGCCAATTTCATGCATTTAAGGTTTCCGGTCAGAGCCCCCCAAGCTAGGACGGTCGGGTTGCCAGATTTCGCATCCAAGGTGTATAGCATTTGGATGGAGAATGGATTCAGCTCACGGCAAGTGCGAGCCAATGACGCGAATGTCAAGAAATCATCGCCAAGGATGTCAGCGATCATGAACAGAAGCTCATTTGGGAGGTCAGGAAGCGATCTAGCCGCTGGCTGGGACTGATGCTGAGAGTCCATGTTGAAAGAGTGGTGGTCGACTTGATTGATATTTGATTGTTATATAAAGAATCTGGTTCTCAATGTGTGAGTTAGTGGTAATTCGGGAAGTGTGTGTAGGGGTGAACATACCTGCTGCTTTACGACAGCCGCGAAGTCAAGAGAGTGATTTTGGGTTGGATAACAACAAGAGTTTTGCTGCTTGTGGAAGCCAAAGGTTGGCAGATAGAGAGTTGCAGTTGGTTGCTGAGGATTGGGTTGAGGAGTGGAAAGAGTAGAAGGGGAAAAAATGGATGGGGGTTTCAAGAGACTTTATACCCCAGCGGTAGAGAAGCAGTGCGGCTCAGGGACAGCAATATTTACTTCACCTGCAAGCTAGCTTGTCACCTTCACCGGGCTGCTTGGCTTCAATCTTGAGCAGGTCCTCTACATAAGTGGACCCTTGAGGGAGTGAAGGACTGTTCTGTTCGCACCAGGAGTGGTTCCCGCCCATCATGTTCCATTCACCGTCGATGCACAAGACCAATAGTCGGGCCGCCTGCGGGTCCTGTGGGACATCGAATCAAACCCTCGGGCAGGTGTCCTGATCTTTCTCGCATGGGACGATTCGGACTCTCCACAGGAATACCAGTGGCGGGTCTTGAGAACCAGAAGGGAACGGGTGAATGGTACCTAGGGAGATGGAAAGGCCCTTCACCAGTCACCGATACAGGACGGAGTGAATGGAAGTGGAGACTAAACCTCAGAGAAAGTGAAGTGAATTAGAGAAATCCATCGAATGATAGATGTCTTGGGAACTTCACCATGTGGTAACTGGAGACATTGGACGTGCGGCTACCAAGCACTCAGGTCCACCGTAAAACAGATAGAAGTCGAGTGAATGGCATAAACAGAATGATGAAAGCCACTCAGGCAAGGTTTTGGGGGTATCTGAAGGTAATTAACACGGGGAGAACTCCGAGAGCGTGAAATTACGAGGGCAAACAGGGAAATAAGTGCTCGTACCTGTGTTGTCGTTGAAAAATTGTCCCCGAAGGCATACCATGTGCCCTCTACTGGGTGACATATGTCCAGACTGTAACACTCCAGTTCACGAAGGAAAACACCCTGCCGCTGCCCTGGACGGAAGGTGTGATAGGTATTCTGGGTAATTGGAGTACCCTGCTCGGTTGCACGTTCCATGCATTCAAGATTGCCTGCGAGAGCCCCCCAAGCTGGAGCAGTCGGCCTCTCTGATTCTGCATCTAGCTTGTAGATAGTTTCGTTGAGTAGGTGGTGAAAACTACGGCATGAGAGGGCCAACGCCGCCGATGCAGAGATGCCATCACCGAGCAGGTCGGTGATCATCAAAACGAGCTCCGGAGGAAGATCAAGAGGCGAGAATTCTCGGAAATCCGGGGGCTGCGTGTTGGAGGCCACGTTAGAGGCTTGTCTTTGGTTTGCGAATTTGTGAAATTTATGTTGTTATATAAGATGCCTACCCCTCAATATGTTAGTGCAAACCCCCAAAATCATCCTGTAGGGAAAGAAATACCTGCTGCTTCACGACAGCCACAAGGGTAGCCAGAACGGAGGAGTGGATTCCATTCCACTTGAATAGGCCAGGATCTGATGGTTTCCCGGATCCACAAAATCGGTGCGCCTTTCTCCCTCTGTAGGGGCAGCGTGAACATTGTTTATTTTCTTGACTTCGCCATCATGGGATAACGATATCCCCATGACCTTGGTGTCCCCCATTTAATTCAACGCACGATGTTCAGCGAAGGTTACCCTTTGCCACTGAAAAAAAACAAGAGTCCTCGTGGCTCTCTAGCACATGGCTCTGCATGTCTTGAGCAGTTACGATGTACTCGCTATGGCAAGATATAAAGATACGTGCTCGTTTGGTTATGAGCTCGACTGGGAGTCGAACACTCGGTGCCGCGGCGACTTCGGAGGCCCACGTCGTCATAGTGGCCATCTCTGCGTGGATCTTGGCGGGGGGGGGGGGTTGGTCTCTGTCCGTCATCGTCAATTCGAGTGTCTTTGGGCCTTGGGAGAACTTGGAACTTACTTGCAGGAGTCGTCTCCGTCTTAGTTGCTCTTGGAAGTCCGGATTGTACCGTGGGTCATGTTGAGCTTTCTCATCGGCAGACATATTCTTTTTTAGTCTAACAATAATCCGTCAAAAATAGGGGGTCAAGACACTGAGGAACCTGTGGGCAGAAGTATGGCAAATTATCGCAACAATGGTGTAAAGTGGATCGCTGCGGAAATTGAACCAACACCGAAAGTTGGTCGCTCTTGCAGCGGACGGGTTCTAACTTTGAAGGCAGGAACAAAGCACCCTCCAATCCGTAGAGGTACCTGTAGGTAAGCCGCGGGTTCATGCATTCCGTCCATTATATCCCAGCTACCGTATGCCTGCATCCTGGCACCCTTGTCGCTACATTTGATAAGAAAAAAACCTCGCGCGAGACAAGCGCAAGGAAAGGCAAGACCGAGACAGAGTAAGGAACAGAGCAACTGTCGGGTGTTCCCATCCGTCGGGCTACCTCTAGTAAGAAGGATGACCAGACCACCAGGGAGAAGGGAGTTCCCGAATAACCACGCCTGGAAAATCAACCTGGACCAGCTCTTCTACTGAACTTTCCTTCTACGGAATGCATGATTGAGGAGCCAACAAACAGGTGAATATGAAGGACTTCCGCAAACTTGGTTTACCCCGTAGACCATGCTACCATACTAGATACTAACTCGGTCAAAGACAGTGGAAAGGAAGGACGAGCGAACGAGGATCCAGTGCCATCATTGCAGGAGTAACAAAAAGAAAGCGGAGATGTGGTTGACACTACTACTACACTACACTGATCTAGCAAGATATGAGCAAAGTAACTGAACTGATGTACAGCTTTAGACCTGAGACATGACTCCAAAGATGCCTTGTCACCGTTGGAAACTGATGGCGGCGATACCCCGGACTGTCCAGAATTTAACCACCAAGCAACCCATAAACGACCCAAATATGAAGCGGGTGTTCGAATGTGAGAAAGGTGATGTCAGCTTCCATCATGATATCTTTCTGTCTCCATCGCACAAACCACACGCGTGCCGTGACAAATAGCTGTCTCGTAAAGTTGCGCCCACGTTTGACTTTGGAGTTTTGGGTTCCTAATTTGAAAATAGCTCCTATCGCAGAGCTCTTCGGGAAAGCCAAGACCATGTTGGCGCAGCGGCAACCGTTTCTTCGAAGTCCGTCAAATCAAGACAAAGTACCAACACTATCATTGTGCTGTCTTCCGTAGACAAGGGTCAAGACACGTAAGCCGCTGATGAAACTTTCTGGATGTGATGACCCAGGTTGGAGCCGGATATAGCCTAGGTGGACGAGGAATGAATACCTGCATTCTTGCCTAGTCATAGCAGCCAGCAATGGAGTTCAATAAATGGACTCGTAAAGACCCCTCCATAGATCTTTATTTCCACTTGGCAAGCCTTTAGCGGGCTGCCACACCCCAAACTGGTGTCTGAGGATCTTGAGGAGCTTCTGACGCTTCCCTTCCCAGGTGTATACCGCATTCATGTCAACGTCATGGCGCCAACTGGCCTTTAGAAGCAACGATAAGATGTTTCCATACGCTGCGCGCAATCCGATATCTTCCTCACTTTCTAATGAAGCCCATAAACATGCGACAAGGGCATTGTGGCCAAGTTGATCTGCGACGTCGAGTCTGGCGCCAAGGTTGATCAAGAGGGTGACCAAGAATTTGAGCTTTGTCCGGTTTCCAAGATGAATAATGAAGTTCAACGGGGTGTGGCGGCTATCGTGGAGCGGGGTGTTGATATCGAGATCGTACTTCTCAATCATGATGCGGACAATCCTTGCTATCAGCTCTTCGGGCATTTCCCTCACTACCCTCCTAGCCCGCGAATCAAGGGGGCCGTAATTAGATGTCGTTGTCCATTGCCCATATGATACTGGATTAACCAAGGCACAGAAGAGACCATCCACAACCGGGCGCAGGTGGTCATGACTGTAGACGCCCGCTTCAAGAAGAGCCAGGGCGTTTCCCAAATCGCGATCTGTGAAGCAACGCCTGAGGAGGTTGGCGTGTGGAGGTAAGGTGTCAATTGCTCCAAGCTGTACTAATTTGGCAATAATCTTGCCATTATTTGGTTCGTAAAGCGCCAATTCCAATGGAGTTGCTTCATCATCGTCTCTTGCATTGATGTCCACATCCGGTTGACTTGCAATTAACTTGATCATTGCCAAGCGATTGGGACCTTTGTGAACGAGTGAGTGAAGAAGCGTGTTGTTGTATATGTCGGAATGGTGGCTAGCAGAGGCACCACGCTCCAGCAGAGCTCGGGCGACATCCAGATTTCCATGGCAGGCTGCTGTGTGAAGTGGTAGAAATGCCCTAACACCGCCGTCCCATTCTTCATGATTAACCACTTCGCAGGGGCACATAGCAATGGACCAGTCTTTTTCTAAGTCGCCGCGAGGGTGCCTTGCACTGTTCTGTAGTAGATACTCAGCCGCCTCGGCATTGTTGATCATGGCGGCATAGTGAAGGGGTGAGCCTCGTCCCTGCATACTGGCTTCATCTCCCCACCACCACTCATATTGGTCATCGAAACGTCCTGTTAAGCCAAGCTCATATTGATAGCAGGATAACCAGTCGGTCGCCCATAAATCTGCCCCAGCGACTACTGCCATCTCGATGACTCGGAGTTGACGCGTAACAACGCCCCAAGTAACAGGTCCTCGCTTAGTCTTCGTGGGGACGTTGTCCTTGTAGACAATAGGGTTTGTGATGATGTAAGCGCCCTTGCAAGTTTGCCCAAAGCGGTTGGCGTCGCCAGTACCAAGGTACTGAACGATATGGCTGACTGTCTCAACAGGCAGTAGGTCCATGAATGACACCATGGTGAGCTCGATGTGAACCGGTCGCGGCTCAAATCTGTCGCGGTCAAGGCTGGAAGGCGTTGGGATCAAGCGGTGTTCATTTCTGCGGTAGTGTTAGTAGAGATTCATCGCTGAAGGACGTTCGCGGGGCTACTTACGATACTCTTCTTCAAACCAGCAATGGGCGCGTTTCTTCTTGGCGGGGTGGAATGGGAGAGAATCAGTCGGTTCTTGAAGGATTCGGGTGCGAAATGGCTGGCGCGTCGTATGAGAACGAGAGTCCCCGTCGCGCGTTGGCGAACAGGTAAGAGTAGACCACAGGGACGTGAGACTTGAGTGCAGTTGTGGTGTGGATCAGAAAGTGAGATTGGTCTGAGTTTGGGGGTTGAAGGAGGGGAAGAACAAGGTCGTGGTGGAAAAGGGACGGTAGACCTGGAAATTGTGGTTGAGTCGTAAGTACTCGTAACGGAAGACCGAAACAAATACCATGGCAGCCTGAAATACCAGGAGGGGTCGCCGGTAAAGAACCCAGGGCACGGACTTCCACCAGATATTTTGACCCAGCAACATCCGTCTCAGCATGGCATCACCCAAGTGGAAATCTCCCGGTTCTCGGACTGAGGTGAACCTCAGGCATTCTTGAAAGATTACGGCCAGTGACACATCTTCAGCCAATCTTTCCACCATACAGGTCACACTTCCGGTACCGACCGTAATCCATAGTTCCGTCTGAGTTCTCAGTCACTTGATCTGGGAACTGAAGGAGGAAGGGAGTGGTACTTAAAGTTGTTCGCGGGCATCTTGATCCAATATTATTATCGGTCGGTCAGACCGCGCAGTTTGACTTCAGCCAACCCGCAAAACATTGTACAGCTTCCAGTGTAAAACAAAGTGTATGACTGTACGTGTCCTTGACAAATGCCAGGAGAAGAAAGCGAGTAAGAAGACAACTTGTCATCGCTCTGTCAGCCGGAAGATATGACAGTGACGGGAATGAGTACCTGCCGGCAATAATCATCATCGGCCCATACCCACAGTCATCACATGTGACTCAGTTGTAAAGGCAGGAAGGAACGAAGGCTCTTCCACTTGGTCTAGCCGTTCGGTTGCTCTTTCACCAAAGAATTTGAAGACAGGGAGAGATGCCCGCGAATATGGTTTACCGCCCACAAGACACCGATGATAACCGCGGGCAGAGAGAATGGATTTTACATTTAGAATGGAAGGCAAAATTTGCAATCAAAACCACATCGAGAAGAAAAATCAGGAAACGCAGTTGCGCATTGAACTAAACTCAAAACAGCTACCAACCGTTTCATTTCTTCCAATAACTCCAATGACCTGTCTTCCTAAATTCCCTTCAATCAGACCCCAGCTCCAAGCTGTCCTCAATGTGCCGAACAAGATCTTTCCACAACGCCCTATTATTCCCCAATCCTTCAGGGGGCTTCCACCCCGGGAACCGGATCTCCAGAATCCGACAAAGCGTCAGCTCTGCCTTTCCCCACGTGTACTTCTCATCGATCCTGATGTTCGCCCAGCTGCAGGCTTGAATGAGCGCCCGAATTGTCTGCTGGCGAATGATTGATGATCCTGAAGAACCCGCTTCTGCCCCCTCGCGGATGCCCTTCTTCCGAGCTTTGTTCCGAGCTTTAGTCTTCTGAGCTGCTTTGGTGACCGACTGCTCCATCCATAGACAGCGCACAAGAGGATTGTGGCCTTCTCCGTTTCGAATATCAAGCCGAGCGCCTAGGTCGACCAGCAGCTGGATCAGATATTCTGGCATTGGGCTGCTGACGATCAGGTGCTCCAGGGGCGTGTCCTTTTCGGTACAAGTGTGGGGGAGACGAGTGTTGAGCTCCAGGCCATAGTCCTGGACTAGCATGCGGATGATCTGCTTGACTTGCTTGACATGGTGCTCCTCCAAACGTGCATTGAATGTAACAGCCTTGGCAAAGAGTAGGACGGCATCCGATCGGATGAGCCTGCCGACCTCGGAGTCTGAGGCGTGAAGGCAATATTTGAGAAGAGCCAAGGCGTTATCGTACAGGCCAAAGTGAATACACCCGTAAATACACCCTTCAATAATCCAACTCTCCGAGTGTCTGTCACATGTCTCTATGGCGCCAAATTCCGCCAGCTTTTCGATGACGACAGTATTGTGCGGTCTCGAATAGGCTATTTGTAAAGGGGTTGACTATGAACCCTCTTCTGCATTAATGTCCGTATCGGGAGATTGTGCGATCAAGTCGATCGAAGCCAGATAATCAGGGCCTTTCCAGACGAGTACGTGAAGGAGGTTATCGTTCGATTTAATGGGGTGATTCTGCTTTGCAGCAGCCTCTGCTAAATGACGTCGAATACTATGGAGATGGACGCTGGCTCCGTGTTCTAAAAAAAGTTTGGCGACTTCAAGACTTCCGTGGCAGACTGCCGTATGTAAAGGTAGGGCAAGATAATCTTCGTAGTAATTGCCTTGAGGTTCCACTCTATCTTCGTCTTCGTCTGCCCACGGTGCCTAGTAGAGGTAGGTTTTTCCTAAACAGTGGCATGAGCACATGTTGAGTGCCCAATTGGCAAGCCCGGTGTTGTGAAGAGTCGCACCTTTTTGAAGGAGGTATTCAGCCGCTTCGAGGTTGTTTGTCAAGGCGGCGAAGTGAAGTGGCGAACCATTTGCGTCCTTGCTCGCCGCTTTCGCCAACGACCATTCATTGGGGTCGTTATTATAACGTTTAGGTATGTGAAAGCAAGATAACCAGTCGGGTGCGTTGATATCTGCGCCAGCCTCTACAGCCTTTTTGATAACTTTGAGTTGTTTTGTGACCATACCCTAGGTGATGGGGCCTGGTTTGGTTGACGTGGGGATATTGTCTTTCTAAATAAAGGGGTCGGCCCTCCAGTAGGCCGCCTGACAGGTTTGAGCGAAGCTGTTGGCGTCACGGGTCGAGAGAAATTTGACAATATTGTCGACCATTTCGACAGGAAGAAGATCCAGAAATGACTTCATGGTGGTGGCAATGAAGGGTACGACTGGTGTCTTGGTCAGCAGAGAACATCAAAGAAATGCAGGCAGGCTTCCATACGAATATGAGTTGGTTACCAGTCAGCGAGACCCCAAGATTGTTCTTGAACACTTCTCGAGGGCGGGGTGGAGAGTTGCAATGTGGCAGGTCATCGGCGAGGGTGATTGGAGGCCCTGAAGTGGACGCGGATACGTCAGGTCTTGTAATTTGATGATCTTGGTTGCCAGTCGCCGAGTGGTTGAGCGTAAGAGATTTCGCTCAAGGTGCGGTTATCGTGGGTGGGAGCTAAAAGAGGTGTGTCGAAGGTGGGAAGAGTGACCAGATATCATTGTCGAGGAAGGGTCCAGGATAAATAAATGTTCGGGGGGCAACCGTGTCATCGGGCGAAAGCGGAACTCCGAAAGAATTGTAGGCACAGATCTGTACGCCGCAGTCCCGAAACAACATCCTACGGCGTATATGCCCGCCCAATACATATCTTCTAGTCCAACATACAGCATGTAAGTGGGAGAACAGAGAGGCTTAGTCAACAGATGAAGCACGTTGACTTACGACAGCTGTATGCCCCGCCTCTCTGCATGTGGTCCAGCAGAAACGGCATGGTCCACACTTTTTCGGTGAAGTTCCTATACTCGTCAGGGCGAGAAACGCCTCCTATCCGTACTTGTCATCTTCGTCGGCGAACACAAGGAGTAAACCTGGGCTGGGGGTAACAGGCCTGAGCCGTTCAATATATCGTCGTCCCTCTCACATTGAGAAATCTGCCTTCCTCAGGCCGGCCAAACGTCGTCCCTGACCACAACAGTGCAGCAACCCGGCATGGAAAACCACAAGCCCCCGTAGGCAGCCGATCAACTTGATAACGATGTAAAGCAGGTCAACATAACTGTGTTTTTCCCAGACAAACTTCAGAACAAGAAGGTAGTTAGCAAAGGGTCGCCGTCCGTCAGCCGGAGTGATTCCGGCAATGGGCGCCTGCCGACATTCACCATCCGCTTACGGCCCCAGAAAATTACTTCCCACCATGACCATTCGCATGACCATTCGCATCGCCATTCACCTCCCTTGCTCTCTCCTCCCTCCACATCTCTCTCTCCTTCTCCGTCACGCCCGGTCCCTTGTAAACACTCCCATACAGCCCCGTCGCCCACTCATGTCCCTCCCCCATCCTATCCTCCTTCTTCACCCTCCTCCTATACCACCGTCCATAAATCAGCAGGTAATACAACCTAAAGCTCAACAGCGCAAACCCATCCCTTTCCAGATCCTCCGGGTACTGCGCCCCCAGATCCACCGCGGCCGCGATCCCGCTCATGACCGCTACCTCGTGCGCGTTGATCATTGTCCACGAGCTCGCAAACCGTGTGTGCTTTCTCCCCTGGAGCAGCCACATCCAGGGCACCACAAAAACGTAGTGCGTCCACGAGTGGCACAGCTGATGCCACCAGTCCTTGCGGATGATCTTTGACTCGTCGATCTCGTTGTCAGTCCAGAGGTGTCCGTCGCGCTGCTTGTTGAGGTAGGTAGTCTGAAACACGTGGTTGTCGAAGTCGACCTCGGGCGGAAACTGGGCTTGATAGTTGGTGCAGTCGAAGCACATCTCGAGCTTGGTCAGGTCGGCGTCGTAGGGTTTGATGTAGTACATGGGGCGGAAGTTGTTGCGGGCGAACTCGACGCGGGAGGAGTGGTCGACGCCGGAGAGGGAGGTGACGGCTTGCGAGGCGTTGAAGAAGTTCTCGTAGTGCTTGCGCATGTAGGAGGAGTCGTGGTGGGTGATGGTGATGTCGTCGGAGAACTTGGCGGAGCCTAGGACTTGGCGCTCGCGGAGGGAGGCGGTTCGGCCGAGGAGGCGTTTGGCTGTGTCGGCGCTGGGAGTGATGGTGTTAATATGGTGTCGGGAATTGGGAAGCTGAAAAAGTACTTACAGGCAGCAGATTACAATCTCGTCATAATGTTCGGTTGTTTCTTCGGCGGTGGCGTCGGCGTTCATAACTGGGTCTTCGGCTGCCCACGCGCTCGTCAGGTTATGGTTGTCCGGCATTGGAGTCCGCTTGATAGTTTTGACCACCACCCCATCCTTGTCGCGACTCAGTACCTGGGTTACCTCGGTAGACAGTCGAATGTTGACCCCTCGCTTGACCAGATCCTTGCGCCAGTCTTCGTAGAAATTGCTAAAGTTCGGGAAGACAATCATGGGCGGCATGTTACTGGCGATACTCTCCTTATCAGCCGGGTACCGCATTCCATATGTCGGACTGGTACACAGCCGCTCGAGAATGATGGTGGGCACGTCAGGCGTGTAGTTCCCTGTGCCCAGAAACAGGGCGACTATGGGCAAAGCAATGGTGTTGGCGAACTCGTAGCTGAACCAGAAGACCTTCATCAGGTACTTGATGGGGAGCAACGCGAAGATCAGCTCGAACCATCGGACGAAGGAGAGCATTCTGTAGAAGCGCTTGACCTCGCTTTGGTGCCGTTCCAGGAGCTTGGTCGGATAGACGTTGGTCCAGAACCTATGATCCTTGCCGAAGGAGACTTGAAGCTTGACGGGGTTGGCGGCGTAGCCCTGGCGGGCGAACATGGTCATCGTGTGGTGGAAGATGTAGGAGCCGCCCTGGACGCCCTGGTTGAGCCATGATGTCCCGTGCTTCTTCTTGTCGATGGGGATGGAGAAGGCTTGGCCGCCGCAGTAGTTGGCAGCTTCAATGACGGTCACGTCAAATTTCTCAGAGTGGTTCGATAGATGGTAGGCGCATGACATGCCTATTTCCTTGATGTCAGTGTTCAGGGCCGTAGAAGGGCTCGCGGGATCGATAGTGTTTACCAGCAGCACCCGCACCCACGATGAGCACCCTCTTCTTCCTATCTTCCCCAGCCATATTGGTTGGAAGCAATGGCTGTCGCTCTAAGGAGTTCCCAAGTGGCACCAAGCGGGTCGAGAAGTACGGTCGGTTGGATATCAGCTTGGAACTGGCGCCAGAAAACTGCGCGAGCATGGCGGAGGAAATCCCAAGTCATCGCGGGTTCGTCCATCAATGTTGATATACACAAACAGGAAGCAGGAAAACATGCTGCCCTCAGCAAGCAAATGCAATGCGTCATGATGTCTCACGCTGGCTTGCATTTCCAGATGCGATTGGCTTTGTCAAGGTGGTCAATGCCATTTTCCACAGTTGTCGGTAACGATCGAAGTTGGTGTCGATCTCCACAAAGATCGCTTCTTCGTTGCTTTTGCTTTGAGCACGATACAGCGGCTTACAGTTGATCTTGAGTGATGTCCAGAGAGTTGGAGGTTGAAATAAAGTTTGGCGGGGCCTGTTGCTGTTGTTGCGGGGGAACGGGTGGCCATTTGTGTCTCAGGCATATACGTTTAGTGTATTAGCGCTCGGGCCATTCCGTTGCACCAGCTGAGGAGGTGGTTTGTACTACGTGATGGGAGCATATGCTTGAACTTGAATAAATCATTCGTGTGACAGTTTGTTTCCTTTGTGAACTGCGTTTTTTCCATAAGAAGGTGTCGGGGCTGGCTTGTCGGGCGGTTGCAAGCTGCAAAGTGGTGATTATAGTGGAATGTTCCAAAGTTTTGCCTCAACGAAAGTTGCAGGGTTGTGTAGTGTAGTGGTTATCACTCTGGATTTTGAAGCACATTCAAATTCTTCCAGTAACCCCGGTTCGAACCCGGGCACGACCTATCCTTTTGCCATTTTTCCCACTTTTGTTTGATGTTGATATCATCCAACTCGGCCAGTTACGGCGTTGTTCTTTTTTTTGGCGTCTGCGAAATGTTTTTGGTGTTTTTTGGTGAAAGTCTTTTGCTGCCGTTGTATCGTTCATCGGGAGCGACCAGAGTTTTTTTTTTTGATTATACACCCAGCACAATATCCCTGGGAGACAGTATGCGTTGAACCATTGAACCTTCTTCTACCTTCTGTGCTGGAACATGTTCTTTCAAGATCGTCAGAAAGCATGAGTGATTCCGTGTTACTCGCTAGCTGGTACCACAAGTCCCTATCATACATGTGCAACACTGCTTCCTCTGTGCAACGCATCAACTCGTTTGGGTTCGGAACTTACCTGACCTCGACCTGTCGTCAATACAACTGTTCCTCCATACAGACATCAACCAAGCACCAAAACATCGATCTTAACGCCGCTGACCACCACCACCGCCCAATCCGCCAAGAACGCCGCCCAACAATCCTCCAACACCATTCGTCACACCACCAACAACATCACCAACGCCTCCAAGCAAGTCACCCTGTCCAATCTTGCCGACTCCGTCACCTAAGCCGCCAGTGATACCCGTAACGGCACCACCGACACCCCGTCCGAGTCCTCCGACCACTCCTCCAAGTGGTCCGCCAACTGTGTCGCCGAGGCCGCCGACTGTTCCACCGACGGTATCGCCCTGTGGTAGCGCAAAAAAGGATTGGCAAGTCAGCAAGCGATCGGTTACGTCCCCGTCACGACGGGGTGTTGTTTAACCATTGCCAGATCCTCGACTCTTTTTGCCCCTGTTATCCGAACACATGATCAGATGGAGCGTTGAAGATAGGAAACATGAAGCTGCAGACAATAAAAGGGGAAGGGGAAGGGAAAGGCGGTGAAAGTTGGGGTTGATGAAAGATGAAGGAGGGAAACAGAAAAACAAAGGGATCCCAAACAGACCATAACCACCAAACAGGACAACAAAAATAGCAACGCGAAAGAGTTAAAGGGGAAAACAAACTTACCAATCCTTTCCCAACACCTCCCACCGTCTGTCCCAACCCTTTACTCAACCCACCAACCGCACCCAACGGACCACCTTTCGCCAACCCATCCGTCGCCCCCTCCACCGTCCTTCCCAATCCTCCCGTCGCCGCACCCAACGTATCGCCAACACCACCAGCCGCCGCTCCAACCGTCTTGCCTACGCCACCACCAAGCGCGCCCTCAGCCGTGCGTCCAACAGTATTGGTAACCCCCTTAGCCACCTCGCCAGTAGTATCAAGCGCGGCGCCAGCCGTCTTTCCAACATTCCCAACAAACCTCGAAGTAGGAATCATTGCCTCAGGGGCGTACTTCTTCTCCTTCTTTGGCTTCTGGGCCTCCTGCTGTTGTTGTTGGTCCCACTGAGCCTGCTCCTCCTGCGCCGCAGCAGCGACCTTCTTAGCCCGCTTAGTCGCCTCAGCATCAGCAGCGGCAGCAGTCTTCTGGCGCGCCGTCTGCGGAGTCGGGACGTTGACCTTGGGCAGCGCGGTCTCGGGCTCGACCTTGGTAGGCTTGGACGGGTTCATAGCCTCGGACTTGCGGACGGCCCGCTTGATGTGCGCTGTCATGGTTGCCGGGCGGATGTTGGGCTTGGGGTTGCCGTCGGCGTCGAGAGCGGGGGCGAAGGGTTTGGCGGGCGCGAGAGGCTTGGCGATCGAGGAGCTGGTGGCGCGGGCGCGTTCGCCGTGGCGAGTTAAACTACCGTCAGGGTTGTGATGGTGGTGGGCGTGGTGACGGCGGCCGGGGCGGTGCGAGCTGGTGCTCTCGTGCTTGCTGGCGCTGCTTTCGTGTGCGTGCGGTTTGTGATGGCTCGATGTTTTGGTCGTCGAGGTGTGGGCATGGGTATGGCCGCTGGTCGAGGGTTTCTTGGTGGTGGGCTTCTCGACGGCATGGTCGATTGTCGCGACCTTGTCTTCGGCGAGCGGCGTCGATTTCGGCTTCTTCTTGACAACGTTGTCGGTTGTTTCGGCGAGTGGCGTTGATTTGGGCTTCGTCGACGAGCTGCGATGCTTCACTTCTTTGACTGCCTTGGGTGCATCCGTTGTTGTCTTCTTGACTTTGGGGGTGGAAGCTGTTGGGTTGTTCGGTCCCTTGGGTCAGTCCCGCCTGTGCACCGAAAATGGAAAATGGAGTCTTGACTTACAGACCGCAGCGGACGGCTGCTTGACCGTTGTTGCCGTCGGCATAGTGCAGTAGCTTCGAGTGGGTAGCGGATCGGGCGGCTATTGAGATATTAAGGTAGTGTCTCTCGGAGAATTTCGTGGCCTGGAAATGCGACGATCAGATCTATCTAGGAGCAAAAGTCTTCTAGACAGACACCCGGGAACTTGGGTCTGATATAGGTCGAGATTCAGCACATCATCACAAGATCATCCATCCTTAGAGGTACCATCCTTTACGCTGGGCATCATCAGACCATGACGTCCAAAGAGATACAGGATTCCCTGAAACCGCCGGTGACGTCAAAGCGTCCGAACCCCGCGCGATGCACGACTGTTGTGGGGGAAAAGAGTGGGCGCGATCGGGTCAGAATCAAGAAAGCATGAGAAGCGAGGAAGAGGATGCCATGCAGAGATGGCTTTGGGCGATGTGATTCGCGAGAAGCCTCTCCACTCGCAACGAAGTGGTGTCCTCGACTGACGACTCCTCGCCACATCCAAGAACCAGCCCCGATTGGTCTCCATTTCCGTTCGAGTCAGCCACATCACTCTCGAGTCTCGCACACATTTCCAACGGCATTGATGGCTTTCAATTTGCGAGGCCTGATGTCGTCGTCAGCGGAGGTGGCCATCCCGAAATGGCAAGGAACATGCAAAGCTTCGCTAGGGTTAGGGTACCCCTAATTGAGGCCGACCTGACACTGCAATCACAAACAGGAACTCATCGGCAGGGTCTCGATTCATTGATTTCTATTCTTTAAGAGTGGAATGCATGTCATGAACTCCTTCAACTCTGGTCAAGCGTACAAATTTGACAGATGGGAACGGTGTACGAACTCGTGCCACTCTTCAAAGAAGCGATGAATACCGCTGATGTTTGTGGGTTATCAGTTACCACTCGATAACTCAATGCGAGCAGGGAAAGCGTTTAGTCCAACGTGATAAGGTCAGAAGTCTCACTTTCCGCTTCGTTTCCCTCGCTGTCGTCATGGACAACTGCCTCTGCAACAGGCAAGATCGCAGCGGGAACTACCGCGAGCGTTGCTACTGTTCGTTCCGCGAGGGTTGCGGCCATGGGATCAACGCCAAAGCGAAGCATGAGCTGAGGATACTCGCTCCTCAGGGCCATTCTGGCGGTTGCCGCTTGGGCACGGTATGAGCCAAACACCCACTCGATGATCCTCTCCTCCGCATTCGCCTCCACGACGTACACATCTTGTGTTTGGAACATCATATTCCTGGAAAGGAAATGGTGAAGACGATGAACATCGACAATGTTCTTGTTCTCCTTAATAACCAACACCCGGGACACATAAGCTGGAAATACCTGCGGAGAGAAAGATCGTGTAGTGTTGTAGCGAATCCTGACGACCAATCCGCCGATGCTTAAATGTCCTCCGTTGACCAGTGCGAAAACATTCTGTGCGGCTTCTCGCGTGAACATGGTCAAATTAGACGTTGCAGTTGGGTAACCAGGTGCTACAGGCGTGACTGAGCATCCCCAGACTCTGTCCAGAGGTCGATGCAGAGAGAGAGCATCGAGCAGTACCTTTTCAGAGATACCTTGTGGCAGATTGAACAGGATGAGACTGTAATTCTGATGCCCTGAGATCTCTTGGGGCCTGTTTCTGGCATTATGATTTGAGAGACTCTGTCGGGTTGTTCTACATTGGTCAAGTTCGCATGGTTGGTTCCCCTAACGCAGTCCATGGGGACAAAAGCGCGTCGTCGCGCCGGTTGAGCGGGGTGATCATTGTCGTTTTCATCGTTGGTCGGTTCCTCTGAATCTTTAATGACGTCGACTTTCTTGGATTTGAAGGAGACCTTTTTGGTCTTCCGACGCTTCGCTTGTGAGCTGGTTTGGCTAGCGTAGTTAGTCTCTTGGTTCTCGCCGCCGCTGCCACCAATACGCGGGGATTTGCGTCTGTTGATGGCCTGCTGATTATCGTCCTTCCAGCGGATGGCCTGCCGGAGCTATGAAGAGCAGGGTGTCTGAAGCTCATTTTGACCGACAACGATGATGGTTTATGATATAAGCTGGCGCCTGCGTGTGCCGTTCTTGCACCGATGTTGTAAGAGAACGTTAGTACAGGCCATGACTCCAGAGAAGAAAGGATGGCATGAACAGAACAAACCTCGAGACAAAGGAGATGGCGCAACTACATCAGTGTGTTGTCGTAGAACTGCTTTGGCCGAACCCTTGAGGACAGGCTATAGGTATAATTTGCTGAGAATGGAAGGAGGGAACTACATAGAAAGTGGAGGGTGCCCTTTGCCGAGCTGTATGTTCGTGGTTCAGAACGCCGTTAAACCAATTGCGGTCCCCTATATGAACATGAAAATAAAGACATCTATATGGAGATAGTATGAGAGACCGAATTTCCCGCGTGATGTGGTAGGTGCACAAGTGCAAATTCCGAAGGGGGAACGGAAGTGAATGGAAGTAGACCACGAATTTACGTGGTGGTAGTCATATTCTACGCAGAGGTTTCTGTATCAAAAGCAGTCGAGATGGTGGCCCCACCAGAGAATATTCACTTCCTGTTGTGTTGGGACGTTTCAAGACGGCTGCCTCAAAATCTTCTCTAGCATCACGCTGTACTCATTGAGTCAGCTTCTACATGAGTACAGATACACGTCAGCAGATGTATTTGTGTTGCTTCCCATAGAAGGTTCTGTAACTTCCAAATACTTCTGTCGTTTTTCCGTGGTGAAATGTGATCAAAAGGCGGTGACTGCCATCCGATGTGGTGTACTCCATGGAGGCATTGGTAAAGGGTCTCCCGCGGGCCATCATCACCGCACGTTGCCCGCTCTGCCAGTGTTGCCAGCCGGCAAAAGCGGTTGACCAATTCACTTGCTCCTGCCCTGAATATTTGTAGGAGGCTTGGCCAGGAGTTGCGTGGTGGAGTCATGGGGACAAGTGAAGGAAGGAGCGGGGTGATCCAAAATGCGCAGCGCTCCTTCCTCTACCATGGAGTGTCAAAGGTTTCAATGTCATGGATGACGTGTGTGGTTTGCTGAACGGAAGACCCTTCACTTCCAGTTTGCTACCACTCCCGCTCAGCTGTACTTAATGAGTGATCCCGAGGAAATGATCTTGTAAATATACAGCCAGCCGGAAAGTGCAGGTCGAAATTCGCCAAATGACAAGGTATGAGGAATTTCCAAGCTGATCTTTGAGGACCATTCTGGCATCATCCACTCTTATATGTGACATCTATTCCAAGAAGCGTGACTGATCTGAAATCACAGAAACGTATGTGGCCGTAATTGGCCTTTCAAACAATGTAAAACAGTGATTCATTACGTGTTTCCACCATATTCAAGCTTTATGTCAAGAAATCACTGTGAGTGTTTTTGTGAGTCTCCTCTACGCCCATGATCTCTCATACATGTTGCCACTGTCTACGATTGAGAGATATAAAGCCCGGTATCCTGCCTCCCACAAGACCAAGAACATGTTGCAAAAGAAGTCGAGGTTTCATCAATGCTTAGCCCGACATGGCGCGTAACTACAGTCACTTGGCACGCCTTCCTTTACGGTATTCCTGACTTTCCATCCAGTGTTGCTTCGACGCTAGACGGTCACCGTGGATACCAGGCCATGGACCGAATGTCCAAGAAGCCATGCGAATGATTCCCTTCACCAGCCGCCTTCACTGCTCCCATTCACCCGAAAATTTGCACTCGTGAACGGACCACTCTCGCACAGTTTTTTCTTCTCAGGTCTCTATATAAAAACCCCAAATTCTCACCTCGAATTCCTCCTCTCTTCGACTTCCTGGAGTTTGACCACTCAACTCTTCAACCGACCCCAGATCCAACAACACAGCATACCCATCCAAGGAAGTTGCAGTCTCGATCTGGTGGTTCCCTTACCCAATCAAAACAATCTACAACTCTAGACTCGTATTCCATTGTCTTGGTTAGTGTGCCTGCCCTGCACGCATCACGTTGGTCAGTCAGTACTGACTGTATAACAAGATATCCGCATACAGCAATTCAAGATGTCGAATAAACGCAACACCGTTCAGGAGGCTTACAACCGTTCAACATCCTCGAACACTCGCACCAATTCATATGTCATCCCCGCTCAGCGCCGGACGATGACGCCCAGCGACACACCCTCGGCATCTGCCGCACTCACCATCCCAGTCTGGCGCCGTAAGGCCCAGACTCCTACCTCGGACACTAAGGCTGCCACCGAACAGGCCCTAGTCAAGGCTTCACCGTCTACTTCGTCAACTTCTTTCAAGCCGATGGATTCAGTGCAGGGTCTGGAGCCTACCTTCACAGCGGAGGAGAAGGTTCGCGCCGGTTTTTCCTGGCGCTATAAGGGTGACATCAGAAACCCGAAGAATTCCTCGATGAGAATCGCCTCGGACGACAACTGTGCCTTGTTCTTGACCAACCTCCCGGCCGGAACAACCCCAAAGATCCTTTTGGATGCGCTGGGCATCCATGCCCCTTTCGGACGCGTCTACGCCACGTCCATTGCACCCCCTACCGACGGTCGCCACAGCAGTGCTTGCGCAAAGATTGCTATGTTTACTCGTCAAGATGCTGTTTGCCTCTTCCAGTTTATCGCCGCCCGCAACCTCAAGATCGCTGGAAGAACCATTGCTGTGGTCTGGAACAGCAACAGATCTGCGCCGCAGACCGACCTGCCCCACAGCGCCTCCCGTGTTTTGGAGATCCACGGCCCTGTCGAGGTCGTGGATATCCACAGGCTTACCCGATTTCTTGAGTCGAATATCAAATTCGACACCCAAGACATTACCGTTGTCCGCGAGGACAAGCACGAACGTCGCATTCGCTGGACGTTCGGCAGCTTCCGCGCTCAGGCGCAGGTGGCCCGAAAGGCTCTGAGGGCCGAATGGCCGGGCCTTCACATTCGTTGGGGCATCGATCCCATGTCGCTGCCTATCCATATGGTCCCCAGTGTGCAGAGCACAATGCCTCCCATATTTCACCAGGACGAGCCCCAGATGGTCACCGATACCAACGACGCCGGCGATGACGAGTCCATTGGCGACTTGATGACTTTTTCGGAGGACGACGACGCGCACTCGGACATCTACGGTGTCTGAGAAGGACAAAGTACTCTATCGGCGTAGTGGGGGCCTTGGTGGATTGGGAACTGTCGGAGTTATGGAGTTCAGGGAGCATTCAAGCGGTTGCTGGAAGGCAGATTGTCTGCTCACACGATACCCATCTGTAGTTTGTAGTTTTCCCTTCGTAAGCTAGCCCAAAGTCAATTAACCTCAGTAGTTCCATCGATGAATCATCCTTTTCAACGTGAGTGATCATGATCGAGTGCATCAATCAGTCATAACCGACGAGTGTCATCGGCGACCTTGACGCAGACAGATCGTGAACGTCAGTGGGGAGCAGTGCTCGCTTGCATTCATAAGATCCACTACTGGCATCAAAAAACATCCAAGCCCGCATGGCTCAGTGGTAGAGCGCATCACTAGTAATGATGAGGTCGTCAGTTCGATTCTGGCTGTGGGCAAGAACCCATTCAAGTTTTCTCTTTTCTTTTTTTTTCCCGCTGTCTTCTGTTTTTTTTGTCTTGATCGATGTTTCGAATATTCTTTTTTGTGTTGTCATCGAATGCAGTTTGTATAACCTGAGAGCTATATCGCCTATGACACAAAACCTTTGCGCGCACAGATTGTCGAATGATGTCTTCAGCTTTTTATGTAAAAAAAAAAACAATCAAAGTGTTTTTGAAGGAAGTAAAAAGCACGAAGCAGAAGAGGATATGTTGACTTAAAACATGCTTGTTGTTGAAAAAATGCTGCAAATACGTACATGAACATAGTTTCTCCCGCTGCAATGCATCATCATCATGTGTAAACCCTATGCACGTCATCCGGACCGTGCAGTTCGGTAAACCCACTCCACTGCAAACCACCCATCACTGCATTGTCGCCTTCTCTCACTACACAACCCCTTACTTCCTCAACTTCAACCCAATCTCCAACCCAACCGGCTTCCTCAAGAACCCCTCCCTAGTATCCATATGATCCTGCAGCAACTTCACCTCATACCTCCTCGCCCACGTAGCCACAATAAGCTTCATCTCCATCTCCGCTACATTGCGTCCCACACACGCACGGGGTCCATGGCTGAAGGGAATGAACGCGTCCTTCTGCCTCGGCGTCAACTTCTCCCATCTCTCCGGCTTGAACTCATCCGCATCGGGGCCCCAGATCTCCTTGCTGTGGTGGATGCTATACGTCGGGACGGATAGAACGGTTCCAGGCGGGAAGTAGTACCCCTGAATATGCACGCCCTGGGCGGCGTCGTGGGGGATCTGCCTAGGCAAACCGATGCCGGAGGTGGAATGGAAGCGGAGGACTTCGTTGATGACGGCTTCCAGGTAGGGAAGGTCCTTGACCATGTCGTAGGTGGGCACGTCGACTTCGGCGGGAATGTTGGCGTCGAGCTCGGCCTGAAGCTTCTGCATTACACCGGGGGTGCGGACGGCGTGGAAGAGGAGAGCGCAGGAGGAGTTGGAGGTGGTATCGGATCCGGCGATGAGTTGGGTTAGGGCTTCGGCGGTGAGTTCTTCGCGGCCGAGAGGCTCGCCCTTCTCGTCGCGGCCTTCCATCAGGCGCTGAAGCAGATCCTTGCGGGTGACCGAGGGAGGGTTATCGAGGCGAGACTTGACGCAGGCGATGGCGATGCCGGCCAGGTTCTCGACGGCGGCGAGGCCCTTGGTGAAGAAAGCATCGGGAAGGTACTTGGCGAAGGGCTTGAGGGCAGGGTGGATGCCCAGGGTGGCGGAGACCTCACCGCGGCGGTTGAGAATCTCGATGGCAGGGGCGTAGATGGGAGGAGCATCGGGAGAAGAGCGGATCTCGGCCATGTCGGCACCGGAGGAAAGCATGCCGAAGGGCTGGCCGAAGGCGAGATCACCGATGACGTCGAAGGCAAGGTAGTTGAACCACTCGAGGCATTCAAGATGGGCGGCCTTGTCGGGGTTCTTGGAGTTCCTGATCATGCCGTCCCATTGCTTGACGAAGAGTTCAAGGTTAGAGTGCATGTAGGGCTCGAACTCCAAAACGGACTTGGCTGAGAAAGTGTGGGAGACAATCTTGCGCTTGCGAGTGTGCTCGGCGCGGTCGCGGGTGTTGAAGAGACCCCGGCGAATGCTGACGAAGGCATCGTAGAAGTCACTGCGAGCCGTTAGCAAGGAAGTATATGGTGTTGACCATGTCGAGGTGGGAGACTTACGACTTCAGGAAGCCGTTTCCGTGGCCGTAGATGGTGGGAATGGCAGCGTCATCGCAGATACTGACGTGGTTGGGCTGGATACGAACAACGGGACCTAGCTTCTTGTGAAGCTCGTCCACCCTGTGGTATCTGTTACCTCTCCGGCATACCGACAGCAGCCAGAGATCTGTGAACTGAGCTGGGAAGGGAGAGGGGATCTTGCGCAGGGCGCTATATGTGACAAAGTAGGGGATAAGATAGTAAAAGGCAACGCCAGCCAACAGGCTGAGAAGAGTGACGATGGCCATCTTCCAAACCTCGATGACTGAGCAGCTTTGTTCTGGACGAGTCAGGGAGTGAAAAGAAAGTTGAGAGGAACTGGGCTGAAGTGGATATGTCTATAAATACAGCCAGGCATGTCCCAGCAGCCGGGTTATGACGCTAACCCACCCGGGTTTGACTTAGGACGATCAGCTACTGTGTGCGTATTGGGGATCTTATTGCATCTCATCCGTCCTCTGCTTCATGTTTGTCTGTGTGATTGTCTCTCTGTTGTTGTGAACCCCGCGTTGACTCGCGCCTAACTTGTCGGGAGTGTGGGCAACCGCCCAGACCGCTCTCCGGTGGTGGAACCGACCATGGAAATCTTTTCGCGGGGTACAGAGCCAAGCACGGCCGCCATGGCCCGGTGTTCGATATCGGTAACCCCACAAATAAACTTCTTGCCGCTCTCCACTGCCGGCTCGGAATTGGGGTAATGGGGCTCTTTTGGCTCTTAGCCAAGCCGGTCGAACACCACGGCACGCCGTCCGAGAGGGCCCCAGTTCCCCACGAGCCGACGATGCTGCGGTGCGGGGACTGCCGTACCCCATCGACCCCAATTCCGATCCGGCAGTGGAGAGCGGCAAGAAGTTTATTTGTGGGGGAGAGAAGGTGATGATTGTTTCTCGATGCTGTTTTCCTCGACGCTCTGACGCTGGCAACCCGAGGCTCCTGCGTAGGGGTTTCGGCCTCTTCGCGATTCCGAGCCGCATCGTTTGCCGCGAGAGAGAAAATGTGATGTAGTATAAAGCAATGTATATGGAGCGGTGGCCGGGGTTTGCCTCCATTTTCAGTCTCTCGGTTGTGTTGGACGGATGTTGCAATACTGGGTGGCAGGTGTCTGCGATATATGTCGTGGTACGTTGTACGGTGTATACCGCAACGCATGCTCGAGAATATTGGACGGAATGTCACACCCAGCGCCTATCTTCAAGTTTTCTCTGCTATACACTATAATGAGCGATCCCCCGGTAGGATGATCATCGCCCAAGGAGCTGCATGTGCCACGAGACACAAAAGACATATCCTGTTCCACAGGGAAACAGCCGTTCATGTAGTGCCGAGCTGGGTGCTCCCGCATCAGCGGCCGTTGTCCACCATTGTAACCCCAACTTACCAATGGGTTGGGTTTAACAAGTCTCAAGTACAATAATATCAGAATCGAACAACTCAGCTTCCCCTATGACAGAAGACTGGCTTTTGGTTGGTCTCAGAAAAACATATTCAGTGCCACGCACAAAGACAAAAAGGAAAAACGACATTGATCCCAATGCGACACACGGAAATGGTATACAAAAAGTCTAAGGAGCGTTAGCTTGACTGCCCCAGACCCAACACAAGTATGTCATTGCTTCTGTACAGTAGTACACAACTCTCGATTACATGGTAACATCATCTTCCGCCCCATAACGCCAGCGCCATGCATGCCTGGGAGAATAGCAAGAAATCGCCTTCGACGATTACAATTACAATGTATGTATTAAGCAGGCCACCCAGCATTGTGTAGAATTGGGGGCTGTTGGCTTCTGTCGTCAATGCTCGTCCAACAGGACAGTGGCCGGATCTCGGACCGTCAACGCAACATATAAGAAAGGTCTGGTAGACCACCAAGAATTGAGCTGACCGTAACTTTGCCCTCTGTTGGCTCGCCCTGTTGTAGATCGCCGGTTGCCTGTGTCGGTGTCATTTGGCGGGCGATGGGTGACGATATCGCCGATGAAGTCGTTCCTTTTGCGGCAATGGGACTGTTGTTTCGAGTCATGGAAGAGTAGGGCGCGATGACTGATGAGGCGGAGGAAACGGGAGTAGTCACTCGTGATAAGTCGAAGGAATGAGTCGAAGAGCCAGGAACCGTTTGGGTGAAAGAGGCGGCGATCATGGAGGAAGGACGGCTTGGCGTTGCTGAGGACTTCGTGGGACCAGTTTGTTGCCGGGAAGGGGACTCGAAAAAGGAAAAGTCTGCTGACGCCCAAGGATCCGCTGCCGAAGATGTAACTGGTACGGTGGTATCAGTTCCTGCCTTAGGTGTAGGCGTGACCGAGACCGGGTCCGGGTTCGACTGGAACATGGATTCGGTCGTTGGTAATCCTGGGGTAGGGCCACGAGTTGGAGTCAACGTTGACACTGGTGCGTTGAAATCCGGGAAGCCGCCCACGGTCGATTTCATCACCGATGGCGAGGATACCATCTCTCCCCAGTCGTCATCATTATCCTCGGCGGCTGCTGTTGCGCTAATCGAAGACATTCCAAGGTCCATTGGAGTCACTTTGAAAGGGCCTGGAGCTGGTTGAGATGGTGTCAAGGGTAGGGGCGCGGTCATGGGAGGTTGTCCCGCCGAAGCTGGGGAGTCGCTACTCCAGCTGAATGTGGCAACTGGTGGTAGCTCAAGACTCGCTGGTCGATGTGGCTGATGTTTGAGAGAGTTGACCGTAGTGTTGCCCAAGGGTGAATTATCCACATGGCCAAATGCACTTGGTGGCTGGAGCGGTTGGACGGAGGAAGGCCTGGTAGGCACAGTTCTCTTTCCAAAAATCGCATCAAGTGTGACTGGCTCCGCGGAAGAATCCCATCCAAACATGTTCTTTTGCGTCTTGGATATGCCTCCACCCAGGGAAACACGGCCTGCGATGGAGTCTTCCTCCATCCATCGGCGGACAGTCTGAAGCGTCTCCTGGCATACAGTTGCTGTCGGCCATGCCACCCTTCTATAATTTTCGTCGTCTCCCGCGTTGTGTTTGCGCGACGATCCGAAACGAGATATGCGGTACCAGGCCTTGCGCTCTGAGATGCTGTTAAAGCTGTCGGTAATGATATGATCCGAGACGTCTGCGTAGGGGAACAACGGCTTGGTGTTGGTGGATGTGTCAAACAGCTTGTCTACATTTGACAAGTCGATATCGAAATTCAGGGCGCCGAATTTGGTTACCAATTCGTCCATATGGCCTAGATGAATGCCCATCGACTGCGCTGGGGACGTCATAGGGGGGGATCCGTGCTGCGGAGAAGATTTCTGAACCTCTTCTGGCGTGGATGGTCGTTCTGGGGCTTGAGACTTTCGTGGTTCCTTGACCTGGGCATCTTCGAAATCACCAAAGTCCGACGCCTCCTCCGAGATGTCGGGATGGGGGCTCAGTGAGCTTTTGCTTTGTGCGCGTCGTATCACCGGAGGCTCCTGGCTCCTGGCTTTTGCTATTCCATCAAACTTGTCCACCAGTTCCTGCACAATACCGGAGGGTTTTCGTGTGAGGCGTGGCCTTGCGCGGGAGTCATCGTCGATGGAGGTGATGGGCGAATCTTGCCGTTCGTATCCATGATCGGTGTCGTCACCAGAAGGAGAGGTTGAACGGGTCGGTTGACTGTTAGCAGTCGATTCCACGCTGACTCGTATTGGAACGCTCTGAACAACTTCCGCCTCTTCCTCTGCCTTTGCCCCAGTCGGCTCGCTCTTTTCTTCCTCGTTCGCCTGGTCCTTGGGTGCATCCTTCTCTTCGTCCCCCCAATCGGGGTTCAGCTCGGGTAATTTCCCTTTGTCGACGTCGTCTTCTTCTTCGGTAATGGATTGGGGTAGGTTGATCACCAAGCGCGGAGCGATGCTACCATCGTTGTGCGGTGTATGGGAGTATTCGGCGGCCCACGGATCAGGGGACGGCTGTCGAAGTACGGGCGCGATGGGTGAATTCGAAGAAGCAATATTGTCCGGCCAGGCGATCGGATTCGATTTGGCAAATTCTTCGTCTCGGACGGATGCAGCAATACTAGGGCTGCGCGACCTGAAGCCGTTATCCCGCGACGGTGCGATCAAACTGGGACTTCGAGACCTCCAGCTATTCTCCCTCGACGGTGCGACAAGACTGGGACTGCGAGACCTGAAGCCATTGTCTCGGGACGGTGCCGCGAGACTTGGACTCCGAGACCGCCATCCACCCGTCCATCCCGACTGAGCAGCCGTTGTTGTTTGTGTTCCCAACCCATCTGGGGCGGCCCAGTCTCCGAACCCATCTTCAGCGTCTGCCCATGGCGACGGGGCCGTGATGGCTGGTAACCGGGGCGAGTTGCTGGCGGAGAGCAGGGCTCGCTTGGGAGGCTCGAGGTCGGATTTCTTTCTCGTCAAGCTATGTCCGTGGTCTGTTGGTGCATCTGTTGTAGCCCATGGCGAACCCCATGGATCGTCCATTCTGCTGTAACTATATTGCTATGGCGCCAACGGTCATGTTGCGCGCACCGGGCGTCGACTATATGCAGCTAAGCATGTCGTGTATCCGATGTCTTTGATGTGTAATTCGAGCGAGCCGTCGTCTGGCGTGTCCCTGCGATCCAATTGAGTCCGGCCGTGATCGAGAACTCAAAAGGCGGGAGTGTTTGTGGACTGGCCAACGGACCGCGAAATGGATGTTGAAGCTTCTATGGTTCAATGCCTGGATGCCAAATGCACATGTCAGGGGGCCCCGCATCGGTCTGCTCTGCAATATGTTTATTTTGGAACAGTGGCATCTATGGCCAATGCGCCGGGCTATCCGTAGCCTTTTACAGGCCAGCGCTACAGTTTATACATCGAGCCAAAATGTTTGCCCAGGTCCCTGTTGAAGAAAACTTGGCTTGGCTTGGCAGACGGGAAGACCAGTTGGGGCCCCACCTGCTGATAAAGCACAGGCCGATTCGAGGCCGATCCAGGCGCATTCCATCATCGCTTTCCCACTTTCAACGGCGAAGATTCATGACTTTTGACAATGACATCGTCCAACTTCGTACCGATTTACAAACTTCATATAACTCCAAACATCAGCAGACTTACTGACGGTTGAGAGAACGCATCAAGGGTCTCAAACACAAAATAGCCAAAATGTCTCTCACGAAAGTCAAGCATATTGTCCTGGTATGCATCTCCGGTCATCCGCCCAAAAGTATGTCATTGATAACCAAAACACACAGGTCCTTTCAGGCAAAGGTGGTGTTGGAAAATCATCCGTCACTACTCAGCTTGCCCTTTCTCTTTCGCTCGCGGGCCATTCCGTTGGAGTCCTGGATGTTGACCTTACAGGCCCCTCGATTCCGCGTATGTTCGGTATCGAAGATGCCAAAGTGACACAAGCTCCTGGTGGTTGGTTGCCTATTACCGTCCACGAAGCTGACCCGTCTGCCGGCATTGGATCCCTTCGCGTCATGAGTCTCGGTTTCCTTCTTCCCAAGCGGGGTGACGCCGTCGTTTGGCGTGGGCCAAAGAAGACGGCCATGGTTCGCCAGTTTTTGTCCGACGTGTTCTGGGACGAGACCGACTATCTCCTCATCGACACTCCTCCTGGTACCAGCGACGAGCACATTTCTTTGGCGGAGAACCTGATGCAAAAGGCACGACCAGGCCAACTTGCTGGAGCCGTTGTGGTTACCACCCCTCAAGCTGTGGCAACTGCGGATGTTAGGAAGGAGCTCAACTTTTGCACCAAAACTAACATTCGAGTCCTCGGTGTCGTGGAGAACATGTGCGGCTTTGTTTGTCCCAACTGCAGCGAGTGCACAAACATTTTCATGAGTGGCGGAGGAGAGGTTATGGCCAACGACTTTGGCGTTCCTTTCCTTGGCCGCATTCCGATCGACCCTCAGTTTCTCGTTCTCATCGAGACAGGCAAGAGACCAACATACCCAGCGGGCACCATGGTCGACGGAAAAGATGTCTCAACTCCTGCTGGAGCCAGCGGAACTGAAGAGGAAGGGGTTAAAGATGGCTCCATGCTGGTGCACAAGTACAAGGACTGCTCCCTTGCACCTATCTTCAGCAAAATCACCGCCGATGTGATATCTGCTGTGCAACAATGAATGGGAGCTCGTTCTACCCAAGGACATTCACCAAACGCGGGGCTCTCTTTCGAGAGCTTTCTCTAACCACCGTCTCTCCACACTGGATCCTCTCCCGGTACCAAGTCGTCGGACGAACGACTCCATTCCAGCAGGAGCTCCATCACCGATGCGTGCACGCGGATCCAAACTTGGCTATGCGCAACACAAGCATATGCCCGTGGTTCGTAGAAGGCACTGCCGCGATCCGATGGACCAACTGCGGGTGCCAGAAGCCAATTCAAACCACCCGAGTTTAGCACCTTATCAGCAATCATGCACAAGCGAGACAACCACAAGAGGTGGTCGATATTTCTCGTCAGCAACTGAGACCTCCTTCATTAAAACCAATGCAACATCCTTGCCGCCTCTTGTCCGGGATGAAGACAAGGCCTTTGAGTCGTCGCTGAGGGTCGGTTTCTTTACTACACCCTTATCTTCCCGCCTTTACCGCTTACCGGACCTTCTGCGGCGCTTTCAAAGACATGGATCGTGGAAAAGGGACCATGGCTTTATGTTGGTTAATTTGGAGGGCGAAGACAGTACTTTTGATAATGAACAACTCGCTGGGATAAGCTGGCCACAAGCTGTTACAAGACCGTTTGCATCTCCAACAATGGACTATTTCAAACAATGGACTATTTCAAGGGTGAAAATGATGCACTGTACCATTGTGGTTGATAGTAGTCCTGGAACTCAACAAAGCCATGCGAATCGAGCAGGAGGATGGCTATAAATGTGGCGGATCCCAGCGGTTGATCCCGCGACTATGGGCTTTTCCCCGCGTGCCCCTGAATGGATTTATCTTCACTTGTTCCTTTGTTCGTAGAAACCTCAAAAGACCAACGTCCAGCTTAATGACCTGAGAAATTACATACAACGATGTTTGGACACGGTCCAGTTTCTTAGCGGGATTTCATTGCCACTTGCCCTGTAAGTATTATCTCACATTTTTACTATCTTGGAACCAGTCAGCATGATGATTAGTGAGAGGTGCCTTTCGTGTTGAATTGTAATTGATGAGACCAGTCAATCAATTCCTGTTCTCATTGTTCCCTTGTTGCCTTGACGGCCGGGGCGCCTAGAACATCGAAATCCACATGCAGCTTGCGCGTTAGTACTTTACTGCTGTCACGCATACTGTAGCCTAACAGAATAAATCGGCCGGCTTTCGCAACGCTGGACCTCTAGCTTGCAGCGCCGGGGACAAGGTCGATCTTGGGGCGCAGTGGGCTGCTCCTGCTGGAATTCCCACTTGTCCCCCGCCAAACAGGGCCAGCCGGGGCCAAACCTCCAGCAAAAACCCAATCCCACTTTTTTTTTCGGCCTCCCGTCCATAAAATTTCAAAATCTCTCATCAGGCGCATTGCAACCCCTCCTCTTGACCTTTTCAACTGTTTGGTCAATTTTCACTCACGCCTTTGACGACGAGATCCCCCCTCTCGTGTTTGTTGCCCGTTTCTTAGATTGCGCACCAATAGCTACATTGTGAGTCTTTTCTCGAGCAATTCGATCCCGACACGGCCTTTCGTCCCAACTCGAGTCGTCGCAAACACCCCCCCTCCTCTGCTTTGCGCCCACAGCCAATACTCCCCACCACCGGTCTCTACGGGAGGGCGACTCTTGTCAAACGGCATTCTTCCCATTCAAGATACACATGCTCAAAGAGCAACTCGAATTCCGCTTCGCCTCGCCCGTACAGTTCCCCAATCCTGTCCTGGGCTCCCCGTCGCCTCTCACTCCCATCTCTGCCGCCAACCCATGAGCTCGGTCGACCTTCTTCGCTTCCTGTCCAAGCCTGCAAAGTGCGGTTCTTGTTCCTCCAAACCGCCTCCTCTTGACTAACGCTGTCTCTTTGCCAGACCTAGATAGCATACTTTCCAATCATCCTCATAACCAACATCTCGGAGCCTGCCCGTGTCCCTCGACCCGGTTCGCTTGACCTCCCTCCCCCGCCCGATATTGCCCACAGGTATCGGTTGTGTCGCGACCACGGCGAACTCGACGAAAAAGCCCACCATTCTGCTCTCAAAGTTCTATCTCCTCCCGCTTCGTACTCGACCTCCCTAACGTCTACTTCGTGAGACGTTCAGCTACCTTCATCCACCCACTGCTGCTGGCGAAGCCAGCCTCTTAAAGGACACCACAATCCTGTGGGCCTACTCTCTCAGACGAACGCCATCAAAGTTCATCTGAGCGGCAGCTAGTGTCCCGCGGACGCTTCGTTTTAGAAGACACACTGTCAACAACCCCCTCAAATCGATTCAAAATGTCTGACCTCGGAGTTCCCACCATTCCCACCAACTACACCTTCTCCCCTTCCGATGGAACCCCTTACCTTACCATCAACCATGATGTCGCTGCCGACCTCGACTCCACCAATGCCTTTGAAGGCCCCGAGAAGCTCCTTGAGGTCTGGTTTGCGCCCAGCGCCAAGGCTCTCCCTGCCGGCGTCAAGGAGGGCGGCCTGAAGGCCGTTAACCCTGACTCCTGGACCCCCATGCTTGATTTGGTCCACTGCAAGGTCCTGTCCATCATCAACTCCGAGAATGTGGACGCCTATCTTCTCTCCGAATCCAGCATGTTTGTGTTCCCCCACAAGATCATCCTCAAGACATGCGGTACCACTACCCTACTGCTCGGTCTGGACTTGATGCTGCGCATCGCCGCCGCCGAGGCTGGATTCCCCTTCCACAACGTGGCTTCGTTGGATGACCCCAAGGTTGCCGCTACTCCCCTGCGCGTGTTCTACAGCCGCAAGAACTTTTTGTTCCCCCACAAGCAGCGTGGGCCCCACAAGAGCTGGAGGGATGAGGTTACCTTCCTGGATAGCATGTTTGAGAACGGCAGTGCCTACATGGTTGGCAAGATGAACGGTGACCATTGGTACCTCTACATCACATCTCCCACCAGCTCCCTCACTCCTCCACGCACCCCTACTTCGAGCCGCGGTGTCAGTCCTAGCCGTAGGTCTAAGATCCCTACCGGTATCGTGGCACCCTTTGGAGGTGTTATCGAAAACAACGCGGATGAGACTTTGGAGATCCTGATGACCGACCTGGATCCTGAGAATGCCAAGAAGTTCTACCTTGATGAAGCGACCGCGATTGCCAAGGAGAAGCTCTTTGCCAAATCCGAGGCTAACGGAGATGCCTCTTTTGACGTTTTCAGCAGCTCCGGAGACTGCGATGCTGATGGCCAGGCCGTTCTTCCCGAGGCCCTTACCACTGAGGGTCACGCCCTGGGCACTGTCGTGTCGGAGGCATGCGGTCTTTCCGCCGTGTATCCCACGTCCACCTATCCTGATGCTCGCATCGACGCGTACCAGTTCTCCCCTTGCGGATTTTCTGCCAATGGTGTTGTGCCCGCTGTCGCCGGCGCCGACGGAACTGTCCCCAAGGCTGGTCATTATTTCACCGTTCACGTTACCCCTGAGCCTCAGTGCTCTTTCGCCTCCTTCGAAACCAACGTTCCCGGAGGCCAGAACGGACGACAGACAGCTGAAGTCATTGAGCAGGTTGTTAACATCTTCCGCCCTGGACGTTTCAGCGTGACTTTGTTCGAGGCCAAGGGCGCATTGGCCACCACACCCGGCGAGGATGCTGATGATTCCCGTCGCAGCTGGGGCGCCGCTGCCAAGCAGCGTATGGAGCGCATCAACGGATACCGTCGTGTTGACCGTATTGTTCACGATTTCGAGGATTACGACCTCGTGTTCCGGTACTATGAGCGCGAAGACTGGGTCGGAGGTGGAGGAGCCAGAATGGGCGAGGAATTTTAGAGTGGTTCCAAGCGCTTGGATGAATTGAATATCATGACCTTTCCCATTTCTCGTCATTTCTGCATACATTCCATTCACCATCATCAGCGATATCCATACTTACCATCTGCCTGTTGCTTTGTATTTGCTGCGGCGAAAAGTCCTGGTGCCCTGCAAAGATGTTGCTTCCACTTTCCCGGATTGATCATGGCCATTCATCTGTTGTCATTCTCATCATTGCAATTCACCTCCATTACCTATCGTCATTCATAGCTTGTCTTGTTCTTGCCGATGGGTAGCATGGACATAGATGACTCTACCTCCTGCGTCATTGTCATGATGGCCTTGGCTGAGATCTACACCCAAAGTTCACATTCCAGTTCCTGATCCACGCCCCGTCGAAGAATGTCTTTTCTCCAATCCGGAACGGGCGCTGCAACATTCACCAGCTACTGTCCAGCAGTATAGGAATCACGGAGCACGCTGTCATGTAGCGGCATGGCGGTCTTCCTGCCACAATTCTAGCCCAGGCATGTGAGTCCCAGACTACACAACGCCAACCTCTGCGTTGAGGCCACCACCTCAGCAAATAACATATTTCTCCCTTATCAAGTCGATTATTCTCTTGACCTTCGTACCATTCTCTCCAACTGGATAACGGTAGAACGGCCAATCCGGGAAGTTGCGGACGACGACGACAACAGGTATCGCTGGCGATATCAACGAGATCTTCTTGGGCTACTGCACCTCGGCAGTGATCGCTCGCAACACGTTCGATATGGATCAACAACCTACTACTTCTGACGCTGCGAGCAGCATCGAAAAGCAGCAACTCCCAACACCACCACCACCAGAGCCGCGATTTGGAGGATGGATGCCGACAGTCGCTCTTACGGGACTGGGTATCGCGTTTCTTGCATCAACATCTGGAATCGTCGTGTCGATCCTTTACTTGGCCAAGAAGATTGCGGCAAACGAGAACCCGATGCTGGGCATCGCGCAAAGTTTCATGCTGTTTGCTGTAGGCTTCCCTTTGTTTCCCTTCTCCCTCTCTGTTTTACCCTCGTCTTAATGCTTACAAGTTTCTAGTCAATCCTTTCTATGGCTTACATCGGTTACCATATTCGAGCCACCCGGGCTGGCAACACCCTCTACGGCATCCTTGATTCACAGGGTCGCAAGACCCTACACCCCGTTCATGCCCGGACAAGGATGCTGATAATATCTGCCACCTCGGTCTGGGTGCTTACGATCATACTTCTCGCCGTTGGGATATACTTTGGAGGAGGGGGGAGCAAGACTGTCCTCCTCAACATGGACCTCTTTGCTTCCATTATGGCCAGTCTGGCCCTCAGTATCGAATGCTACGTCGTCTTCAGGGTAGACCCTCCCTTTCTGCTGCCGTGGTTATCACCATGGGATGCAAGGATCAGGCCTCGCGGGTTTGACTCCGAAGAGAATCCGACATCCAACAAAATAGTACCGATGGACAGATTTGCTAGGGGTTTCGACGCTTCTATCCTTGACCGTGGGTCCTCGCCTGTCAGAAGCACCAGGCCTAAGACCCCCATTCACGTATCCGCCACTCACGCATCTCTACCACCTAGCCCAACGCCTTCGAGACCTGGGGGACCACGACCGATGATGCCAGCGAAATCGGATAGTATCCTGAGCGGCTCAACTCTTCATGATGGTCAGAGTCTTGATGGCGCATCCGGATCAGGCCACAATCTCCCAAAGCCGCCACCGGCGACTTATCAGAACACCGAGCCACGGCATATAGGGCTGGAGGCTCCTGTGCCTCAGAACCCTGGGCACAACTACTCCAATTCTTCTGAGACTTTCACCAATGTTCCACTGTCTCCCAGTCCTTACCTCACGCAGAATCCACAGCCTTGGAGTCCGCAGCCGGCTGTGACACAACCACCACCGGCAATGGCTAGCCCACAAGCACCGCGCCCCCCTCCCCCACCTGCTCCTAACATGACCTATGCGGAGGCGCAACAGCAGCAACATCAGCAACAACAACAAGGCCATTTTTACCAACAACACCCTCAGCATCACCATCACTACCAACCCTACAACCCTCCCCAGTATCATTACGGCTCACATCCACAAGTTCAGCACGCACCCGTCCAACAGCCGCCTCATTACCAACATCAATACCAGTATCATCCAAGTCAGTCACCAACCCAATGGGCGTATCCTCAGCAACTAGCCGCCGTTTATGGGACGCCAGGACCAGGAAATGTCTCGCCCATGTCGTCGACAACAGATTACCGGGATGCGAACAGTGAACCGGTGTCGCCGATTACTCGAGTAAATAGTGCGATGAGCGCGCAAGTGAGGAGCATGCCGGGGACGTTCCGGGACGGGAGTTAGCGCGAGCGAGGGAGATAAGAACAAGTTAGCGATAATGACTCGGCGCGACCGGTGCGTGTCGGGCTCAGGATGAAAATAAGGAACTCGGAAAGCATAGGTTTTTGGCGTTACGAATTGGACACTTCGTTTGCGCGTCACATTATCTAGAGCCATTATGGCGACGGAAGAAAATAAGAAGGGATATAATTGAGCTGGAGGATAGTTCTTGGGTTACATAGCATCTATAAGAATACAATCAGGTGCGTATCACCTCGCGAGTTTTTCTCACTACGAGTTGAGGTTGAGGTGATAGTGCTGAACGAATGCCCCTGCTAACACATATACTATGAATTACAGAGTAAAACTGTTAGTGTAATGAGACCGGTGTGGAGACGTGAAGTCACCGTTCATCCAGTCTCTCGCAGATCGGACGCGATGTTGTGATACACTCTCGAAATACCCAGACAAACAAACAACAAAAGATCGGATTGATTAGCACCTTTCAGTTGAAAAAGTACCTAGTATTTGCTGCCCGTCGAACAGTTTGTTTGCAATGTGAGTGACCATAGTAGGTACCTTGTACCTATCGTTCCACGTGACAGCGTGTGCCAATCTAGTGTAACGACGTCAATTGACAGGCAACCGCCAGGCAGCAGTCGCGATTGTGGGACTCGCTTCACAACATGCGGCGTACCTTCCATCTTATTGTTGCAAACCTGAAAAGTCGTGGCGGTTGCTCTGGAGACTCCGTTCTCTTATCTATATACTTCCTCAATCTTCCCAAGCAGGTTCTTCCCCTCCTTCTTTCTCTTCTTCAACCATCACGACTTCTCATCTCCCTCAAACGCTCGCAAGCGCTACTCACTTTGCACCTCACTAGTACAACCTCGACCCAGTCGTATTTACTTCGATAACCGTCCTCAAGAGGTCGCTCCTTCTTTCTCATTATTCATCGCGCCTTCTTCTCTCTCACACACCACTCACTTTGCACCTCGCCCCAACCTCACCCGAGTCGCAATTACCTACTTAACCTTCCACAAGCAGACCCCTCCTGCTTTCTGCTCATCCATCACACCTTCTCCCTTATCCTAAATTCACCTTGCCCGTCACTCACATCAGCCTCAGCCGAGTCACCGCGCAGGATGTCAACTATAACCACAACACCAAAGATGGATACTCAGCCTCCCTCATCAAAGGCGTATCTGGCGCGTATGCCCTTAGAAGTCCTGACAAGAATCACTTACTTTGTCAGGACACCCGACCTTTGCAACGCGCGCTTGACGTGCAAATGGTTGGAAAGCGCCCTCTTCCACTCGTTTGCCTACGAGTTCTTTCGGAAAAAGCAGTTCATGGTATACGGCCCCAGTCTCCAGGTCCTCGTTGACATATCCAAACACCCGAGCCTTTCGCCCTACTTGAAGCATGTAATCATCGGCGCGGACCAAATCCTCCCACCGCACAGAATTCTCTCCGGGCACGACGATAAGGAATCGCTGAACTGGCACCTTGCATACGCTGACCAACAAACACTGTTGGCATCAGGCCGTGCTCGGGACATGCTGGTCGAAGCGTTCAAGAACCTACTCAACCTCGAGACTGTCGATCTTCGAGATTTCCACTCCTCCTCTCGGACCCGCGACGGCAACGCGACTTGGTCCAGCTATGGCTATAATACTCTGCTTGAAACCACCGGTGTGAAGCATTTTACCGGACAGCCGCGGGCTGGCGAAGAGGATTATCCGACTCGCTTGTTCGTGCTTATCACCCATGCCTTGGCTGCTGCTAAAGCACGCCCGGAGGGCATCGAAGTGGTTATCAGAGAGAACTGGGCAGTTCGAGACCACGGCTTTCTAGTTCCTACTTACCTGGAGCCAGATTTCCTGCCGGTTCTGGCTGGACTCAAGAAGCTCCATCTTGTTCTTGATATAAATCAAGCCACACACGGAGACGTCGAGATTCAATACCTCCTTTTCAAAAGGTTCCTTGCGCACACACCCAATCTTACCTGGCTGAGAATCAACTTCAGGAGACAAATTTCACACTATGGAGAGGAAGAGGCTTTGCTTAAGTGGCTCGCCAGTTCCCTTCGTCCTGGCACCTGGTCATCTCCTGGCCTCATTAACGCCGATCCTTCCCGTTTGCCACCACCCGTCGAGCTCGACCACCTGGAACAGCTGGACATTGGACAAGTCAGTGTTTCGGCAAACACGCTTTCTCGCCTATTTCGCAAGTTCTCGCCCACGTTGAAAGCGATTAGCCTGCGCAGGGTAAAAATGCAGCAAAACTCTGACCAACAGACATTCGACAAGGATGACGATGAGCAGAACCCATGGATCAAATTTTTGCGCAGCCTTAAGAAGGAGTCGCTTCCACATCTTCGAGAATTGAACCTGAGTTTCTTGGAGGCTGTGGTCAGGTCCAATACTTCCGGGGCCACACTCGACTACCCAGTAGTGGGATTTGTCAATCCAGACGAGGCCGAGAAACAGAACGGCATTTCAGCAACAGGGTATCAAAACCTACAGGGGATGGTCCAAGTCATAAGGGATAGGACCTACACTGGCCTGAAGCTGGAGACGTTCCTGAGCAATCCTGCCGCAGACATAGCTACACCTAGCAAACACATCGAAGGCGTTGCGAGTGAGCACCCCTCTTTTTTTAATCAACCTCACCAACCTCAGCACAATACTTTCTATTAGTCCAACCTCACCAACCTCGACAGTACTTTCAAGCGGAAGTCGGTCCAATAACTCTGTTGCCCTTACTAACGACACGTTTCAGCCCGTTTCCTTACGGATAGCGACTTCGAGTCAGATTTCGACTCAGGCGACGATGACGACGGGGGGTCGAGTGATGGTGACGGCAGCGCGGTAGACAATTAGTGGTTTTTGTTTCTCCGAGCTTACAATTCTGTTCCATTCCTTCGACCGAGTAGGGCAGTATGCAAAGGGAAGGGGTCATTGTGGACAAAAAGATGAAAATTGCTCTCATTGCTCACACAGGGTTGAAGATACCCAATACCCGCTAAGAAACTGTGTTGGTTTTCAGATGCAGGCACTGGCAGTTGTTTATCCCAACCAGCCAATATCTCTTGTACTTTTCAAGAAAAATTTTTCTTGCTCTTCTTCGCATGGAATGGATTGGACAAGCAGATTATGCAAGCGCTTAACTGCTACCAGTTAGTATACAGTTCGAATTGTCTAGATTATCAATCTCATTGCTCGTTCCCGGTTTTCCGGTGCAGCCACTAACAATCAGGCCTTCAGGCCGCGGTGCGTCGCCACTAACGGCTGTTAACAACGTCACTGCCCCCTGTGACTGTCCCTGTCCCTGGAAGTTCCACGATCCAATATGATCGTCATCTCCACAACCTTAATTCGACCACAAAAACCCACAGTTACCCACTTTCAGCTCGGCTTCACCAGTGACTTTCTTGACATAGCCACACAAGAAGTCGCCTTGGAGTCCTCCCGATTCCTTATCCGCTATTTAAAGACTGTTCTACATCTTGTGGTCTCGAATCTGTTTGATACAACAACACGACAACAAAGGTTGCACTAACACCAACCGCCCACCATGCCGACCTCACTAACAATACACCTCGTCAACACCTCCCCGACCCCGCACATCCCCATCCATGCCTACATCACCGGCCTCGCCATTCCCTCGATGGCCCGCGTCTTCATCCAATCCGACGGTCGAACTACCTACTTTCCTCCGTCGCCTCCTCCTGGAAAAATCCTCCAGCCCTTCCCCGTCGACTGCGCCATTCCCGTCCCTCCAGGCCCTCACCCAACCGTCGTCACCATCCCGCGCATCGCCGGCGGGCGCATCTGGTTCTGCCAAGGAGACAAGAAGCTGAAGTTCATGCTCAACCCCGGCGGGCCCGGAGGTGGCGCGGCGCTGGTTGAGCCATCGGTCCTGAACCCGAGCGATCCCAACCGCGATGTGGACTTTGCGTTTTGCGAGTTTACGCTGAACGACCACCAGCTTTTCGCCAACATCTCGTATGTGGACTTCGTGCCGAGATTGCCGATTGCTTTGACGCTGGTAGAGAAAGGAACGAGGAAGCTGCAGCATGTGTCGGGCATGCGACCGGATGGGTTGGAGAGGATCGCGCAGGGACTGAGGGAGCAGGCAGCGAGGGACGGGTGGCCGTGGGATAAGTTGGTGGTGGAGAGGCCGGGGATGGATAGGCCGTTGCGGGTGTTGGCGCCCACACATGGGGATGCAGTCGGGGCCAAGTTTGATGGCTATTTTGAGCCTTTTGTGGACAAGGTTTGGGAGAGGTATTGTCATTTTGGGAAGCCTTGCCATGGGAATGGTGTGGCATTCGGTACCGATAAGCCCCCGGGTCCTCCGCCGGGACCAAGACCGGGCGATGCACCGGGTGATCGACCCCCCGGCCCGCCCCCCGGACCCCGTCCCGGAGACGGCCCGAACGGCGCTCCGCCTAGGTTCGGGTTACGGCATGTCCTGCAAAAGTTCCACAATCACTATCACCACAGCCATAACGGCCATGCTACAGCACCTCAGCAACATAACTATTACCTAGGGCAACAACATTACTACTACCCGGGTCAACAACCTCCCGCACCGGCACCTCCTCCTCCTCCTCCTCAACCCCAAACCCAAACCCACCACCTCCGCATCAACACCCAAGCCGGTCCCGGCATCCTAACCGGCCACATCCCCCACCGCCCCTCCGACCCCCTCCTCATCGGTCCGGAACCCTTCCACCGCCCCACAACCGCCGACATCTTCGGGTGCAACTCGGGTCCCTTCACCACCGGTCCCAACGCGGTGCGGAACGCCATCATCCCGCGCCTGGCAGCCGCTTTCCAACGGTCCAGCATCATCGACTGCGAAGACCAGCCGTCGGATGTAGAGACTTTCTACAGGTGGCATGCAGATGGTAGACCGACGAATCATTATGCTAGGGTGGTGCATGAGTGGAATGCGGATGGGAAGGGGTATGCGTTTGCTTATGATGATGTGCAGAGGGATGGGGGGAGGGATCAGAGTGGGAAGGTGGAGGGGGGCCAGGTGGAGGTTTGGGTGGTGGAGGTTGGTGGGGGGAATATTTGGGTTGGGTAGGTGGTGGGATGTGACAGGAGGAGGTACGGGGGTGGAGAGGATTTTTAGGAGGGTGGAGGTGTGGGGAGGTGAAGAATGAGGAATGGGTTGAGAGGAGGGAATGGGGATTGAGGATAGATAATTGGGAATTGTGAGTGGGAATTGGGCTTGGCACTTGAGAATGGATGGGATGTAGGTCAAGTGAGGTGATGGGAAGACATTGATGTTATGGTTCGAGTGTCATAGAGATGGAGCATGTAATGTATTTCAATGGCAGCTTTTCGATACAAACCGGGGCCAGAAGGGTCCAGAAGTGAATTGAGTAAAGGAGAGATGCATCATCACCAACTTTTGTATTTGCCTGCAAACTCCATGATTCATTATCATTGACGCCGCTTGATTCACTGCTTTCAGGGTGCTCGCTATATCATACCTGTAGGATGTGCCCAAAACCCTCATAAATACCTAATCGCCTCCCCTTCACCCCCGGGTGGAAAAATTCTTGATTGCAAAGAGTACTATAGCAGTCAAAATGAACGACCCATTCCAATCCGACAACGACACCAACAGCCCCCCATTCCCCTCCCCCCGCCAAGGCTGGGAAGAAGACCCCATAGCCACTTACTACCTCCGCGCGCTCAACCGGGAGATTCGGGCACTGAAAAGCGATTACGATCTCGCCTGTTCCTGTCATACATACATCAAGATGGCGGTTTTAAGTTTGAGGCTGTATCTCCATGAGTGGGAGGGGTTGATGGGGGAGGTTATGGGGTGTTCTGATTCTGAGACCGAGGGAAAGCTGGTGGGCTCTGAGGGAGTGGGCTATGAGGGATTAAAGGGGTTGGATGGGTATAGAGAGGTTTTGGAGTTGATGGATATGCGTACGTATTTTACCTTTCCTATCTATCTACTTCCCTACCTGTTGGTTCCGTTCAGAACAGGCGGGATGACTCTGGTGAAGAATTGAGGAATTGAAGAATTGAGAGACTGACAGTTAGCTCTTATCGACGTTGTCGCAACAGCCGACCAAGACATCCCCCCAGATAAACAACACTCCGTCCCCAGCACGTTCTGGACAGCCAAGACTTACCGCAGTTACTCCCTTCTGCATCTCTCTCTAGCAGAGACAATGCTGCATTTGATGTCTCCTGGCTCTCGAGTGGCGAGGGTTGTGGTTGAGTGGTTGCTTGTTGGTCTTTTGTCTGTCCACCTTCCCCCCTCCCCCCATCTCCGCAAGTCCCTTCCCTGGCCTTCCCAACGCTCGTCAAAGAGACGTACGAACTTCAGGCACCGACTAACAAAATCCCCCAGAACAATCATCGTCACAACCTTCGAGCCGTCAACAGGAGACACGACCTCCCATAAAATAGCCTGGACAGCACTGATGGCTGTCCTCGGCGTAGCGTGTTGGTCCGCAGTGTTTAGCACGGCGTGGGTCGTTAGTTTGCAGAGGTGCAAGTACGAGGTTAGGAGAATTCGGCAGAGGGTGGAGTTGAATGCGGTGGTGAAGAGGGATATAGAGGTTCTTGAGGGGTGCTGGTTCAGGTGTTGGTGGTGGATGAGTTGGGTGTCGGTTTGGGTGGATGAGTTGCTTGTTGGTGGTGGTGGTGGGAGAGGGAGAGGGGAGTGATCTGGAAGTGTTTGACGTCTTGAGGATTGGTTTGAGTTTCTGCTTGGTGGAATGTCCATGGCTGAAGAAGAAATCCGTCGATGATGACAGGAAGGAAAACCTGGGTGGGATGTTTAATCGATGATACCTCGGGAGGAATCCAATGCAGTCCAGCTTTTACTGCACGGTTCGAGTGTCGCCAGATAACAGTGTCGTAGAACGCAGACACGCTTCCGCGTCTATATCATTTGCTGTTTAATGGGTCTCGGGCCGAACCCTGACGTTGATGTTGAGGACAATGGAGATAGGTGGCATCATGCCTGAGAGTGTACCATCGGAAGGGGACCTCGTTACATGACGGGACAGCGCTTGGTACTATTGCTTTGAGTCCCACATCCGACACCACCATGGTGTTTATGCGTCTGGATATTTTGTTAGAAGACTGTCAAAGCGGCACACTGGTTGGCATGGGGACAGCGATTATTGACTTACAAAAATGGAGTGTCATCACCTCGCTGTTCCATGGTTGGGGACGCTTTGGCTGGTTGTTCCTGTGTTCTTCTCTTGGAAATGGATGCTCGGCAAGGAAGGAAGACTTCAGATGACGGGATGCCAGGGCAGGAACCTCTCAAGGGCCTTATCGCGGGAGAGGAAGGCGCTATGATGTTGCTTCAGGGGTCATGCATTGGGCTGCTTGGGGGTCCCCAGCGCTGTAACGGCGCCGATCTCGCTCCGTCCCATCTGCTTCCAGGAGCACCTGCCATGACAGACGGGATTGGGTATCTCTACGGCTAAGGCATCGATGTTCGTTGCTTCCCAACTCCAAAACATCATCCAACCAGAAAACAAATACAATGGCTTCCACTCCTTCCCAGATAAACTGCTTTCGAATCCTGACTGTTCACTTAGCTTTCAGGAAAGAACCGTCCTTGCACAGACCAGGTTGACTGTCGACTAAGGTCCCCCACGACTGACGCAAACGAGCACCTCGACTTCTTTGTTTACCCCATCGCACCAGGCACAACGAGACTTACAAGACACCAATTCCTCAACCAACGAGCCACCGAAACCATCACCAGTTTAGCCTTCGCTTTAGAGATGGCAGAGCCCTATAACACGCCGATGCCTGCAAGCACGCCAGTGCCAGCATCCACTCCGCGATCATCCTCCCCCGCGCCGCCCCTCCCTAGCCTTACCCCCAACGGTTCCATGACCACGATCCCCCTACGACTGCCACAACAAGACCCGTCCGACAAACGACGACCCATCGTCCTCCATATCGGCGATCCCATCAAGTACAACCCCGCAACATATGCAGAGTTCAGTCAAGCGTTCGAGGTTATCCGACCCAGTACCGCGGAGAGGGAACGAAGCGAGTTCAAGAAGGCACTACAAGAACGGCGATGGGGTGACTTCAGCGCCATCTTTCGACCATTCTGGGGTACTGGTGGCGAGATGGGCCGTTGGGACGCTGAGCTTATCGGCTTGCTGCCGACCTCGGTCAAGGTGTTTGCCAGCGCGGGTGCAGGCTTCGACTGGGCAGATACAAAACTCCTTGGGAAAAGAGGTGTGTGTGCCAAAATTACGACGATTCAATTCATGGCGAAGAATGAGTAGGAAGCTAAAGTGTAATATGCAGGTATAATTTATTGCAACTCTGGCCTCGCCGCCGCCGAAGCTGTGGCCGACTTTGCTGTAGCAATGGTTATCTCCACCTTCCGGCACCTCCCCTGGTGCATGGGCGCCGCGACACTCCCATACTTCCTCACGACGTCTTCTTCCCCGGACTCCACGACTGCATCCGTGGCAGCCGGCAAAACCTTCCAAACATGCCACTCGCTCGCAACAGCCGTCTCCCACAACCCCCGCAACCACGTCCTTGGCCTTATAGGCTTCGGTAACATCGGCCAGCAGATTGCTGCTAGATTCGGAAACGCATCCTTTGGGATGCGAATCGCATATTACGATGTGGTTCGCAAGCCTGCCTCCATGGAGTCATCACTTGGGGCTACATACTACCCCAATCTAGAGCTTTTGTTGGCTGCGTCCGACTGCGTAGTGCTCTGTACGCCTGCTTCAGCGGATGGCAAACCCCTGATCACCACAGATGCCCTGAAACAGGTCAAGAAGGGATTGAGGTTTGTGAACGTTGCACGGGGAAGTCTGGTCGATGAAGAAGCGCTGGCAGACGCGCTAGAGGACGGGAGGATCAGCGCTGCGGCATTGGATGTGCATTCTGAGGAGCCTAGGGTAAGCCAGAGGCTGGTCAAGATGGCATTTGGGGAACAGGACATTGTCGGGAGGAACGCTAAAGAGCAGGCAAAATCCATTTTCGACCACCCTGGAAGGGTTATGTTGACCTGCCATAATGCTGGGGGGACGGTCGAGACGCATATTGGGTTCGAGGAACTGAGCATGAGGAATATCATGGCGGTTCTGGGAGGGCACAAAGCCATAACTCCGGTCAACTTGCATTATATGAAGACTACGGAGTAAGAGGGGGCCAAGGGAGGGCTTTCTTTTCTTTCTTCCTTGGCTTGTCATCCTCCTTCACTGTTGCCCCCCGCATTTGGTCTCGGGAAAGGAAACACTGGCTTGTTCCGTTCCGAGCCTGGGAGTTTGGAGTTGATAAACCACAATGTAAGGCGGTATTCATGTTATTTTCCCTTGTTCTTTTCTTGCTGTTTTTTCTATTTCCTTTTCTTTTGCTCTTGGAGTCGTACTCCAGTTTCTTGTCCAATGAATTTCTCAGGTCACGAAACATTAACAGCGGGGCCAGCTACCGCGGCTAACCATAATGGTGATGGTTGTGTCAGCAATGGCATCCGTAATGGAATATCAGGAAGGAACACCTGACGTCTAGACGCTTGTGAGCGAGGATAAAGATTAGCTGCAAGCCCAGATTTTTTTGAGCACCAACTCGCTCAATAGCACATTGGGCCATTCTACCTAGTCACCCGCGATTGGGCACCAATGACTTGATGTGAGCAAATAGCACGTGGGCGCCCAGGTGGCTTGATAAGATAACCACAAGGCTGTGTGGCCATAACATCATGTCTCTCTTCCCCTCAGCTGAGTAGCTGAAATGGGGACCTGACCTGATTTCACCTCTTCCCAACTACACCCTCCGAGGCTGTGTCGCTTCCTTCTCGTTTGACGAACTGTCACATTCCAGCTTCAAACGACATCATCTTCACCACATAGCGCTCACGAACCATGCAACTTCTCAACGTCCACACCTTGCGCTTGACGACTTTCTACGATCAAGATGTCCCACGTTATGCTATTTTGTCACATACATGGGAAGACGAAGAGATTCTTTACGGAGATATTTGCGACCCAGAGAAGCCTTTTCCACAACACAAGAAAGGATTCTTCAAGGTCAAGCACAGCTGTGAGCAAGCTGCTTGCGACGAGTTTGACTGGATCTGGATCGACACCTGCTGTATCGACAAAAGCAGCAGCGCTGAGCTTTCAGAAGCCATTAACTCCATGTTTCGATGGTATAATGACTCTGCGGTCTGCTATGCCTACATTTCAGACGTCGTCAAGACAGATGCGCAGTCTGTACGCTTCGTTGACAGCCGCTGGTTTACAAGAGGATGGACACTACAAGAGTTGATTGCTCCGAAGAGGGTGGTGTTCTTTGATGCCAGGTGGGAAAGAATAGGCTGGAGACAGCATGAGTCACTGGCAAACGAAATAGCCGAAGCCACTGGAATACCTTCGGATCTTTTGGAAAGAAGGAACACACAGTTACCTGGCACTGACCTACGGGCCAAATTAGATCGGTACAGCGTTGCGCAAAGGTTCTCCTGGGCATCAAAAAGATCAACCAAGCGGGTCGAGGACGAGGCGTATTGCCTGCTTGGAATCTTTGGTGTCAACATGCCCTTACTCTACGGAGAGGGCCCCAAGGCTTTTTTTCGATTTCAACAAGAGATCTTGAGAACCACGGATGACCAGTCCATCCTCGCCTTTCAACATACCAGCAACAGCAACAACCTGCTTGCGGAGTCTCCAAGAGACTACACAGTCTCTGGCGGAATTGGGAGGCCCAGTTTCTTGAATGAAAATGATCCGGGATCTTCGGCAAATTCCATTTTAACGCCATCTGCAAAAGTGCTCAAAATGCGTCTATATCTTTGTCCTCCCCTGAGGCCTGACCTCAAAAGCCAGTATCTTGGTGTTCTGTCTTGTGTCCTCCACTTACATGGCGACACAAACCAGACAGTCTTTCCTGTCATGGATCTTGAACCTGTTCGTCATTCGACAAAACCTAACGAATTCTACCGTACTGCCAATCATCACTTGTCAATTGTCACGCCAGGATCGAGACACATAATGCGAAGATCTCCTGGTTCGCTATGGAGCACCGACAATGGCACTACCTCTGACTTTGACCTCGCGAAGGCCCAACTCACGAATGTTAGAATCTATTTTCACCATTCTGAGCCTTACAAACCTGAATCGAAGCCGTGGGCCATCACTCATCTCGGCATTGCGATGAATTACAGCAGAATAATCCCAGGTGTTAGACTCAATGTCGAAAGGGTACTGCGATATCATCGTGCTAGAGCATACCCACACGACCTGGAACCGATTCCCAACACAGGAGATCGTCAGTATTACGGGAAGCCCACATGGTGTGTAACCAGCTACCCTAAACGATTTGACTTGGCAAAGACAGAGCACATTTCACCACCCCACGGCCCCATAGCCTTCGACACCTATGGGGCGATGATATCGAGACTTAACACTCGAAATCCTGACGACTGGGATTCATCGCCTGACGACAGGAGCTACGACTGGGATTCGTGGTGTATTGTCCTTTGGGGCGCTACTTGGAAGCCTGATAACGCCTCAAAGAGCTCCTACTTGTGTCTGTTGCTGGACATTTCTAAAATTATTACCGTGGCAAAACGCAAGAGGTTGACAGACTTCACAGCTTTAATGGACTTGAGGCGTAACTACTATCTGGGATGGTTGGAAGACGCATCCCGAGAATATCTGGGTTTCCTCTGCGATGACTCCTTCACGCCCAAGGAACTCGGTGAGGCAGTCATTGGGACTGCTAGCCTTGAACACCCTGTAGTGTATCGCCGCTCGTGGGGAGAGTTTGTCTTTAAAGTTCTCGGTGAGCACTTTATGGGTCAACCATGCTTGGATGTGGCGTTCACTGTCAATGCATACGACGAAGATGTTGACTCGAAGCTTGACGAGCCTGACATACCTCAAGATCTCAAGTTGCACGAAGATATTCATGAGCTAGAAGGATCATTTCCGGATTGGTGGCACTCTACTAATGGAACTTGGAAGAGACGATTACAATGGATGAAGTGGAATATGATCTCGAGCAATGTGAAACACACCGAAGCAGAGCCCAGTTGGAAATACAGAGATATGACCTGATGTTGGTGGCGATGGGTAACCGGGTTAGTTACTTCAATTAATCTATAACTGTTGGGTTTCACTACCCAGGCAAGGGTGGGATTCTCATGTTTCATTCTGCTGGTACCTGTGCAGAGGTAGTGCCTCCTTTGAACCGGTGGTTGCTGTGGTGTTAGTTCATGGGAAACATACATTGGCCCAAACAAGCGGCATTTTATCACGGTCTGCCTCTTTTCTATTCCGGGGCATTAACCCTTCTTCGACCATCTTCCGTGGTTGCTGAGCATGTCTCTCTGAAAAGCCATATAGGGATGAGATGGTAACGCCCGGCTAGACGCTTTCCCGGGACAAGGCACAACTGTACACGGTCTTCGTACACTAAATGCTCCTAGGCTGCAGGAAATATACAGCCTACCCGACTTACAGTTCCTACCTGCTTGCATGTATGCATCCCAGATGCATGCATAAGCCACTGGGTAGGCAATATGTCCCAGTCTTACGATGGCTGTGGAGGATTTGCTCAGGAATGTTTGTGAATGAACGTCACGATCATCTGAATCTGCTGTAAGCCATGCTATACATCATAGAACGTCAGGCGACTAACGCATCAATTTCTTGTAGAATCGTTTCCCTACAACTATCGACAAGGCGGCTATCACCCATCGCGGGCTACTTCGGCTGGATCTCTTCCGTTTCATACTAACCTCAGCCATCCGACAGACTCTTTATCAACAGTAACCATTGAGTTCCGGCTTTCTCAGCCGCTACACAACGCCATGGATACAGATTCGCACACATCTGAAAGGTACGAGTATCCCTCAGTACCCTAGTGTATTCTCCTGATGATAAAGCAAGAGGTATTGACGCTTCTCACAGCCAGAGTCCATCCATGGACCATTCCGACTACCTACAAAACGAAGGACCGCGCAGCTTCCGGAGGCGCTTCACCGACATCAAACCTCCAAGCGCCCTCCGAATCGGCCCCATCAAACCGCTGTCACTCCAGCCCAAACGCTCAACCAGCTATCCACTCAGCAATCCCAGCTACAACAAGCCTTCTCAAGACAGCAGCAGCAACGACACAATCCAACCCCTCAACAGCCCGACCACCCTCCTCCCTCCAACCAGCACCACCACCACCGGCACCAACTCAACCACCTCCGACGACCCTCCCAACCCCAACCCCAGCACCAACATCCTCACCCGCGCCGACATAATCCAACACATCCAGCTCAAGAAATTTCTCGAGGCCTTCATCCGCCGACGTAAGAACCTGAAAACCGAACTAGAAGACCGGCTCCGCTTGCTCAAGCAAGAAGCCAAGAACAACCGACGGAGAAGACAGAACGTGTTTTTCTACCCGTCTGCAGCGTCCGCAGCGGCGAATAACGCAGCGAATAATGGCAATAACAGCAACATGAACGGAAACGGAATGCTGGACCTGCAGAAGGAGCAAAGGATCGATGGGTTGGTGGAGGAGAGGATTAGACTGGCGCATGAGACGTATGAGCAGCAGTTGAGTTTGTTGGTTAATGAGTTTGTGGTGGTGGGGTTGAGGGAGGAGGTTTTGAGGGTAATTTGAGGCAAAAAGGGTCGTGAGGGGTGGTGGACTAATGGTGGACAATGGGAGGCGATGGTGAAGCGGTCGCTTGCTATGGTTAACAATCTGCCATCAAGTGTTGGGGACTTGGCGGTGGTCCTACGGATGTGATTGTTTTGCTGTGGTCTTTCTTTTCATCGACTGGTGCTTTTGGTGATATTGGAGGATTGCACCTATCGACGGACATACGGCGTTGTTTGTATTTCTGATATTGTTGGGTGGTGAATATCTGCAAGTGAGCGAGCCTCATCACAAGATCATGATACACCTTCCTTTCTGGGTTGTACATCCCACTCTGTCTCTCAAGTCGTCAGCGTGGGCTGGGTGGATTGGGGAAGGTAATGGAAGCTGAGGTTGCATTGAAGATTATGTGAAGGAGCTCCCCCAAACGCTAGGTGATGCTGTTATCCGTTCATTGCTCCTTCCATCAAGTGTTTCTTCTCATTTTTTCATCCAGATCATCACTCTTTCCTTAGAACGGGGTCCATGGGTTCTGTGTCCGTTCGAGTAATGAGCTGCATTACGTGCCGCTCAACAAGTTATACGGCCCATTACCAATTCCTTTGTTATCCTCACGTCAAATTTCTGCTTCTGTCGAAACCAAAACGCATCGTTCTCTGGTTCTGGGTTGACGATCTACCGGCCTCACAGACGCCAAGATCGAGCGGTAGTTCAGCTTATCCGTCTCACCCCCAAAGGACCCTCAAAAGTCAGCATTTTAAACAACTTCTCCGGCGCTCTCTCGTCACCTGCGCTGCTTACAGATTTCCAGATTTTCGGGAATAAGCCCAACGGACGCTCACGTTGTTCCTCGGCGTTGCAAGCCCTCTTTATCGGACATGCGGCGCGAAGAATTGGAAGGATGGTCGTGACTACTTTCAATCAATGCAACCCGTCCTGTTTCCCAATCCTCCAATGTCTCACCTCACACCTTCTTTGGCCAGCCATGCCCGTCATCTATCTTCCGACAGTGCCTCAAACGGCAATGAGGAATGCGGGGCAATAGGTACCGCGAGTGTAAGCCAAGGAAAGCCACACGGTTGGACGCATCGTGTGTGCCTCTGTGCCTCCTGACCTCCCTGAGCACACCACTCATCCTTCTCGGTTTTCCCCACGGTATCTTGCCGAGCTTGACTTGTGCCAACCGCATGTGTTTCAACCTTCCAATCCCGGTAGGGCTTGCCAGTCGGATAACGTATGGGAGGGTGTACCTGCTTGTTTACTTGGATAATTGGATTGGAGTGTTGAGGCAACTTTCCAGTTTTCCACGCGATTGCACCGTTGGATGATGATTCAACTCTTACCAATTGATGGACAGGGGGAATGGATAGTGTCAGAACCACTCCATCACACCCTCGGTTCATTGGCGAGTATTCCTTCCACCAATATGCGAGCTTGAAGCATCACGCACCTGATGAGCTAGTCCACTTCTGAGGCTCCTTGGGGGAACCAACGACATCACCCCTTCCTGAACGGGTAGGGGATTCCCACAGAGTGTACCATCATGAGGTCCGGATTTCCTCCCACCCCTTTCCTCTATCACACAAGCAAGGTAACGACCTTTCCAAGGAAGGACGAGACGAGATCCACGATGGTTGCTTCCTCAGGCTTAAATACTTGGCAGTTCCGCCTTCCCGGACCACGGTCTCGAACTCCATCTTTGTGTCTCAAAACAGTCATTGAGTGACATCAACTCCCCTCCGCAACTCCCAGAGCAGACAGGCCACTGTCCTACCATTTGAGTTCCTTAACGTGTTACCACCTCGCTTCCTTCCCTTTCCCTGCATCAGGTCCACCAGGTCCCTCTTTCTCCAAACTCCCCTTACCCTATCTCCGTACACAGACACATGAACCATACCTTCGGGACATCTCCACAAACAACGACACTTGACGGTGACACTTGCCGATCACTTGTCCAATAATAACCGCAACATCACTCAAGATGGTCCAACTCATACAAACAACCCTCACCTTCCTCGCCCTACTCCTCTCCCTCTCGACTGCCGCCCCCGTCTCCACCACCTCGGCCTCCACCTCGGTCGCCTCCCGCTCCAGCAACGTCACCACAAGCTTCTCCGGCACCGGCCAGATCCGCACCCTCTGGGACGGAGCTAGCCACGACGACCTCGGCTGCCTCACGGCTGCCGGGCGCTGGACCACAGACGAGAACCTCTGCGGCACCTTCGTCGCCGTACGCAAGGACGGAGACTCGATAGGCGCCACGCAGTTCACTCTGACTAGCAAGGAGTCCGGGCCGTGCGAGATGTCAGGGACTACGTTTGTTTGTGAGAAGGGGAGGGGTGGGTATAGTTTTGGGGTAAGTTTGAATTCTTTCTTTTCTTGGTCACTTCCTGCTGTTTGGCGTCTGATGCCTGATGCCTGAAGGTTGTTGATTGGAGACTGGTGTGAAGTGGTGACAAATGTTCAAATTGACAAGGAACTGACGATTGTGGTACCGGTAGATCTGGCCCTTCCCGAACGGCGTTCCAGGAGTTGAGTGCCTGCGGTATGGACTGTATGGCTTGATGGCGAGCGTGCAGGGGGGACCGCCGGATGTGGATGCGAAGCCGATGGACTTGCGGTTTACTTCGTATGTCGAGAAGGGAAAGTACGTGTGGTTGACGTGGAGCCCGAAGCTTTGAGCAGGTACGGAGGTCGGGATCCCGGTGTTTGTGGTTGCTCGTGGTACATGCACATGGTGGGTTCAAGACATGATCTAGCCTATGTCGCTCTTGCACCTCACCTGATGAAAACAGTTGTCCAACAAACCCACTCTCTTCGAAATCGCAAGTGACTCAGCCATATAGGCAGGACAGGACCATCATCTCTATTTTTCCACCAGTCTGTGGCATGATCGTGGACCGAAATGGCCTCTGGGAAGGTGCACTGGGCTGACTGTCAGAGGAAGGTAAAGTCTGGTCGGCTTTGGGACTCTACTACTGCGTTTTCTTCCTCCAGTCAACCATTCGACTTCCTCAGGAATCTGCCTTCCTGGAACCCTTCATACCCGTGCTACATTCGCCGCCCAGACTTTCTCCTTTTGCAGTGTCAACCTGTGATCGCTTGCATTGCATTTATACTTTTGACCTTTCCCCGACCTTCTCTCAAACTATCACAACACATCGATAATCCGCATTCGGCAAACGTGAAATTTAGCTCTTCAGCCCGACCGCTCACTTTGGATACCGGCTTCCCAACCTCCAACATCAATCCAACATTGTGACGCTATTACCATCAGCCTATCAGCCTGTTTTGCCGGCCTCGCGATTCACTGCTCAAACAAAAACCAATCAGTCATGGACAGTATGGACTACTTTGGCCCAGATCACTGTGGGACTACTATTACCGAATGCTGACCGGTATATTTTGCAGATTTCGATTTGCCAAATTTTGCAGCCAGTGTTCCACTTGGCCAAAGGGCCTTGATTCACACCCATGAACTCATGACAATGAGTGACCGCGAGGCCAGAGAGAAATGGGAGAGGCTTGCTGAAGCCAGCGGCGTCGACTTGATTTTGGCCCACAAGCTCGCCATCACGCTAGTAATCTGTGGTGCTTTAGGCGGTGGTCCAGACTTATTGATCAGAGCTTTGGATCACATCAAGCAGGCCAAGTATTCGGACGATTTGGAGCGCGAAAAGGTCCTAAAGTTCGTTGAAGACACAGTCGTACCGAGCAATATGCCAAGTGATGATTCTCGCTTCTCTCTACTATCCTTACCTTTCAGCCATTCAGACGAGTTGCTCAAGATTCATGCCATCTTTGTACCCAACATGACTCTGGACAAGCTGATGCATTCTCCGTGCACTATCCAGCTGGCCCTTGACGACGAGATGCAGGCTTTTGCCAAAAAGAGATTCAACGACTACTGGAAATTCATTGCCAAGGGACCCTGGGCAAATGATATCGTCAGGGACCATATCTATGAGAAACATAGCGTTTACAGATATCCACTTCCGACTTTTTCGAACCACGGGGATGAGGAAGAGTTCGGGTCTGGTCCCTACAGCAGAAGCGATATTCAGAAATGGCTTGACTCTGAAGCCTTGCTGAACTTGAGGAGCCGCGCCATGCTGAACTTCTTCGCGAACCGCGCCATCCTGGACTCCAACAGCCGCGCCATGCCTCAGGACCAGTTACTCGACATGTTTGGATCTCTTTCCTTGAACACAGATGGTGATAATGGTGACAACGGGGGTTCCATGGATGCGTCCTGAATCATTGTAAGCCACTCAAGATCCCGAGAGCCTGACATGAGATCCACAACGTAAACTGACTTGTCAGGGCTTAGGATTCCAACGCAGGGTAGTGGGAAGCAGCTGGTTAGTCCGAGATACATACACACGCACATCACATCCAAGTTTTCACACAGGCAACCCGACTGCTTGAGCCAGAGAAGCACGGCAATTCAACTAGCAGTTAAAATGAGACCAACCAAGCGTGACTTTTCAGTTTGAAGGAGGATCATTGCTTCTTGAATACGCATCGGTTATGGGCGGACACTCGCACAGAGGAGTCGAGCCTGGGAGGATAGCGAAGGTCGAATTAACGTGATAGTTGGTTACGTTTATCAAAGAGGTTCAGTTGATTTGTCTTCATTGTATTCTAGGATAGCATCATTGTTGTATATCCACAGGATAATCGTTATCAGCTGATTGAAATGGTGACCTGAATACAGTGACGTTGCGACCATAGAGGAGGAAGAGAGGCTGTTTCTGTTAGTGCTAGCGGGTGTTAGTGCTAGTGGCTCCACCAAGTTCCCTCCCAGATTCGCCCTTTCCAGTCAGGCCACTTGCCGACGAGCTAACAGTCGCCCTAGATCTGCTAACACAACGCGCTGAAGACGCCGAGATGGGCAAACTGGATTTGCTGCCCAAATGCCATGGTCCTGGCTTGGACTGGAACCACTCTCGACCACAGCATCAACACAGGGCTCGAACTGCCCTCAAGGGGACAATTTAAACTTTCCCATGTACGTCTCGATGATCAGGTTGGAGGAATGAAAGTTTGTATTCACAAAATTCACCTCAATTTCCACGCCAAATTCGCTTACACCCTTCCAGGCTTCGGCTTAACAGCCCCATGGGGAAAATACTCTCTTACCGTCTCCTTGTGGTCCGCCTGCCGCTCTCAAATTCTAGTGGTAAACTGCAAGGTTTCGGGGTTTGTAAGTTTGGTACCCCCTGGCGTACGAACTTTCACGATACAGCGGCACTACAAGGGACGATAGCGGTGAGGATATCAGTAAAAGACAGTGGTGACCGTGAAAGTAACGGTAGCAATAACAGTGACAGTGACAGAAGGTAAGGGCCGACGGGAGTGCATACAGCACACATCGTGTTGCCTTTACCTCATTGAATGCAAAAAAAAAAAAAAAAAATTGAGTATGATGGCGCTGTTGCATCACGTCATCTCGTTGAATCGTTACGGCGGCTCTGCTCTTAGACAGTGAGATAGTGAGACAGTCGATCAGATGACATCCAATGTTACACTGCCTTTACTGAAGGAGACCGGACGTTCCCGTTACGCAGAACCTTAACTCAGATACCAATGTGTTGTGTGAACGACAGCTGGGGGGTATTATATCTCTGGGTGGTCCATGTACCTACCTACTTAGTGAACCAGGCTTTGTTAACTGTTTGCCGATCTAGTATGACATCAAAAGATGAAGTTGTTGTTAGTTGAATCCAATATCTCTGCAAAGCTCCACCAGAGAGAGATGCGCGATTCGGACTTCTCGGTTGGGGGTAAAACCGCGAGCAAATGCGCAGAAATGCGCGGACAGTAATGCTGAAAGCCTATTGGATTTAAATGCTATTGACTTCTGTCTGTCCGTTGCCCTCCATGGTTCCATACCTCACGCTTTTTGGTCGCAGTCTTGCTCAAAACACATCCCCTTGGGGGGCTCCTCAAAGGCAAGCCTCCAAGAGAGCCATGAGACTCTGTTTAGGTAGCTGACCAGAGGACTGCAATACCAGTATCGTCGCCAGTACCGTATTCGAGCGATCTCGCTGTCGTACTGCTCTATTCTCTGTCGCCAAAGCTGTCACCAAGGCCCAGAGATTAGGTAACTGGGAGCAAACCATGTTAGCGTTGGTGAGCCTAGGATTCGAGAGGGAAAAGGTTTGATGACGCATGGACCAAGAAGCTCGGCCACACTCACATTACTCTCCATCAACCTCTTCAGCCCCGGGACGGCACTCTTGCCAGTCCGCTCGTCCTTCGCCGACCTAGCCAACCCACCGATGCTCGCATGAAGCGTACTGTGAACACCCCTCGCCTCACTTATCAGCATACCCTCCGACATCCTAAGGATCTCATCGAATAGCGGTCGTTGTTCCCGGGCACCCCACTCTTGAGCGGCCGAGAAAACGTCGGCAAACAGCTTGGGAAGACGCCGATTACGGCTGAGCCTCTGCTCGACCGCGAGCGAGGAAGAGTCCCCGAACTTGGCTTTGTAGTAGAGAGTGGCGAGGGAGTCGAAGCTGTCGAAGCCTGCTGTTTCGACCCGTTCCATAACGCTTTCCATGCGTTCGTCCAGCGTAGGTCGTTTGGTGGGCAGTGAAGCTGGTTGTGTAGGAGCTTTGTGGTTGACTTCTGCGGATGCAGTACAGGTGGTACGGTTGGAAGTCCTTGTCTTTTTCATCTCGGGCAGGTCCTGGGCAACAGAAGGTGAGAGAGCTACCTGGCCTGGGTTGGGCGTTGCTGGTGGCTGGATTTTCCAGTTCAAGATATTGCTTTCATCTTCTTCTGTGAATCCCACAGTCATTGTATCATGTCCGTCGATAGAAAATAGCAACGGGTCAACATTAGGGCTATCGTGAACCACTGGAACCACCGATTAGTTGACTGCACCATAGAGAATGGGCCTTTCGTGAACTTACAGAATGAATCGCCGCCATGCACAGAGACACCAAGGGCATAGTTGTTAGCTTGGCCATCAGCTACACGATGCTGAGTGTCGAAAGGCTGCATTTGGAGGCGTAAATATTCATGTACAACAGCCGAAGTGTATCCGCTATCCGTGATGTTCGATTGCCCTACAGTAAAGACTCCCGGTGGTTGCGTCGTTAATGGCGTTGTAACGGGCGACAGGTCAAATAGTTGACTGGCATCGGTATGGAAAGCGTGCGGGCTGTGATAGTTGTGCAAATGGATGTCATCAAACACCACCAGTTCTTCGTTAGCCCTCGGAGATGGGCTGTTGTCTGTGGTATATGCTGGAGTCGGAAGCTGTACAGACGGGCTCCTGTTCGTGTCCTCACCATCGCCAACACCAGGAGCATCACCATCCGTAGATGTTCCCTTGTTTCTCTCATGATATTCGAGTTTTTGCTGTAGTTCCCCTAGGCGTGCCTTCATACGGTGACCTTCGGTTACGGATTAGTGACTGCTACTGACAGGATATGGGCGCAAGACTTACGGTATGTCCTCTGTGCAACGCGGTTCTGAATGCGCTTCTTTTCTTTTCGGTCCTTCACCTTAGTCCAGTCATCCTCCACGGAAAGCTTGGTTTCAGTGAGGTCGGGCAAGGAGTAAGGATGAGCGGAAGGCTTCGATGAAGACATGATTCGATATGAGCTTCTGTCTGTTGCCTGGGTTGGCAACTAATCCAAGACAGGTCTCGCAACTGTTGAGGGATGTTGTAAGTGCGAAAGTGTAAGGTTTTGAATAATTGCTTTTCATCAGCCCTACGGGGAAAGTCAAGCAGAAATACTGTGCTTTCGCAGTCTTGGGAAGACCCTGTGATCCCCCGGAGTTAAGTACCTGATCCGGAAGGCATCGCGGTGTACCTTCAACCCAGCGAGGTTTGTGAGCCCGCATCATCTCACGCCAAGGTAACGAGAATCGCGGTGTAGCTCGAAACGGAAGTATCTAAAGTGTAGAAGATAGGTGGGGGTCCATAAGGCCGTGTGGCATCGAAACCTCTCCATTCAGCACGGGGGGCGGTTGTGTAGCGGCACTGAGTAAGTGCCCTGAGCACGTAGGCAACGAAACATAGTACGTTCAGGGCGCGAAACCCATGTTCCAACGGCAATGTCACCACTGAGTGACGGCCTGTTGTGAGTCAATAGCGTGCCCGTGCTGTAGACTCCAGACAGAGATGGAACCTTGAATGCAATGAAGCTATTCACAGTCTCGAAACAGCCACAGAACGATTCAAGCCCCATGGCCCGAAGGGAATCAGTACTTTTCCAAAAAGTATCACGAAGGTGGAAATTCAGAGAGAAGCTCAGGTGAATAACAAAATCCACGAATATGGGCTGCAGCGTTAATCCCCCTCATCCGTCGAGTGACTTGATTGCATGCGACTGACAAAAGATCTCGACATTGCAAAATGACCAAACGTCAAAAAAAGGTCACCAGATGTATGGAGTTGTCAGATTCAAGGGTGGTTTTAGCGCTCCAGCTACCTGATATTGCCTGATTTCTGGGTATATCTGGGTTACCCTAGCACCCCCTGTACTTTCTGAGCGAGTTAGTTATATATACTCTTTAATTAATTAATTCTGTACCGTCACATTTAATAGGAGTAAACGCCGGGCAACGTGATTGGCGTGCTCAACGAGAAACCCTGCGCTTGCGTGGGAGACTTGGGGAGACCATCTCGATGCAGTGATGCCGGATTGCGGATGCTGCAGTTCGGTTCCTTTACCCAAAGAATGCAAGGTGGGAGTTGTGTGAGGTGTCGCAAAGAGAAGATTCCGAGCGGCGGCTAGTGCCAGCCTTACAAGTAAAAAGCTTGGCCGCGTACGCGATTCTGATCCATTTCTGGTATGATCTGATGATGATGCAAAGACTTTGTTCACCCTCTTATTCAAGTCGGATTTATCCCCACCAGATGTGATTGGACGTACAACGTGGGGATAAATCCGACTTGAGTGAGTCTTTGCGGTACAAGAAGACGCACTTCTGTTGGAAATGTGGGCGAAAGCCATGGCATAATTGCCTAATGTTTGCTCGTCAAACGCAAGATGTCGGGCTTCAAGATGGGAAGGATGGCCGAGGGGTAACAAAGTCCATGCGTAACGACACTAATGACAAGCAAGTCTATGATGGTGACATTGATGGTGATGACTGCGACGTTTCTCCACGCGCCTGAAACCGTCTTCTTTCAAAGTAAAGGTGGTAATAGTGGTGAGAGGTTGCGAGTCGGTAGATGCAGTTGAGATGACAATGCGTTCGAGATGCGCTTGATATTGGGGCTTCGTTTCGAGTGCCTTCTTGGGGCAGCAAGCCGAGTCAAGACAGACCAACACAATGTTGTGGCACCCATAAATGGCGAAACATCACTGCAGCGTAGCGACATGAGGCTCGAAATGAACGTGGCGACCTCGTACGTTGTGTTGCATCAGTTGCCGGTGTGGGACTGAGGGCCGTCAATGGCAGTGTTGCTGCGAGCCTTCCACCAAGCGAGAAGATATTTGTACCAAAGATAGGTCTCTAGGATACCCATGGTGATGAAGAAGATCATGATGTACTTGTTCCATTTGTTGCTGATTCCAAGGTGCGCGAAGCTGAAGGCGGAGTAGGGGATCTTTGGCTTGGGTTCCGAATCTTGTGCCGGACTTGCGCGTGCCGCTTGGAAGGAAAAGAGTCGAGAAGCATTCCGCGTTGTTGGCGTCGTTGTCCTCGTTGCTGCCGCACGGAAGAAGAGTGGTCGTTGGCAAACCGTAGAAACCGGTAGACGAGCGGAAAGGGCTCGCGATGTAGGGCGCATAGTGACGACCGTAAGCAAGGTCCAAAATCACTCCGATATGATGACGATCGCGGAAGAAGGTCCGGACGTCTTGATTCCTAGGATTCTGGCAGAGAAAGATGGAGGAGGAGAATTGAAGTCGAAAGGAAGAAAGTGAGATGAACGGCGGTCGGCCTGCAGATTTCTCCGTTCGTCCCATGCGCCTTCCTAAGCGGCCCGAACCGTTGCAATGTGGTCCATGACAGTGTATTTTGAATACGTAACACTGTACAGAGGCCAGCAAGGTTCTCGCCCCGAAGGTCCCTGAACTTCAGCACTCAACCCGGATTACCGTTTTGGAAGCTCAGGGCGTTAACGCATTTTCGGGATATCGCAGTGTGCGGCAGAAATTACCGGTTCTAGCGAATAGCGATTACATATAGTGCCTTAGGGTTTGGGTTTTTGAAGAGGTTCAAGCGTATCTGTAATGCTGAATGTGCTTTCCCGAAAACGAACGCCCCGAGTTTGTACGGTAGGGATGAAGCTCAGGTCAACCCCCTCCCCCCCCACGGAGGCACATTCCGGTTGTTCGCCTCTCTGAGCTTATCGCAACCCCGCAGTTGACAGATGTACGCATGTAGAGCAGGAAAAACAGCACCTTGGCAGGAGAGAGAAGGTGCAGTGTTTCGTTTCTCCTCGTTGACTTGAACTTTGTTCCCATTCCAATTCTGCCCCTCGGAAATATCACAAATCAGCCTCTTGCTTGATTCGCTTACGAAATGGCACCTTCATATACAAGTCCCATTCTCGCTCCGCAGCCGGCCGCCACCAAGGCCGCCGGGAGCTTCGTCCCCCATCCAACTCAGGCTACGGCACCCCGTTCCGAACCGGACGGACCAGAGGAGCTGGAGTGCCAGCTCCAGGAACTCAGCATGGGCCCCAACCCTCTGAAGGGTATCCCAACATTCGCCACCGATCGAGAACACCGTGAGCACATCCTCGTGCACATGGCAGCTGTGTTCCGCAATTGGGCACGCATGGGATACACCGAGGGTATCTCCGGGCACATCAGCGTCCGCGACCCAGAGCATCCCGATTGCATCTGGATGAACCCGATCGGGAAGCATTTCGGGCTGATGAATGCCAGCGATATGGTTTGCTTGGAGATTGATACCGGGAAAATCGTTGGAGGGAATCGGGTATGCTGAGACAAGTCGTTTGCGAGTTTGCCTTATCGATGTCTAACGTCTTCGCCAGACCCGCCCCGTAAACGCACCCGGCTACCACATCCACTCGCAAATCCACAAAGCCCGCCCAGACGTCCACGCCATCTGTCACGCCCACACCATCGCCGGCCGCGCCTGGTCCGCCTTCGGCAAGCCTCTTGACATGCTGCACCAAGACATCTGTGATCTGTATAACTCCATCGCCGTTGACTCTACTTACGGCGGCATCGTCACCGCCGCCGAGGAGGGACAGCGCATTGCCTCCGTTTTGGGCAAACATTCCAAGGCTGCCATCTTGTTGAATCACGGGCTGTTGACTGTTGGATCAACGGTCGACGAGGCTAGTTTTCTCTTTGGACTGCTCGATAGAAGCTGTGAGATTCAGCTTCGCGTGGAGGCTGCTTGTGCGGGGAACCCGGAGCTGAAGAAGAAATTTGTACCGGACGAGATGGCCTTGTTCAACTTCCGCATGGCGGGGGAGAAGAATTGGCTTTATGCGGAGGCGCAGCCGGATATTGAGTATGAGATTGAAATGGCGGGCGAGAAGATCAAGCAAGGGGTGGGGAAGATGAAGGTTGATCGGAAGTGAAGAGATTGACTGTATCGAAGGTGGATGTGGCGGCTGGTTGCAACCTAGGTTCCGGACCCAGTCAGTCCCTGGGCGTGTTATGGCTTTACACCGATGATTTTCGATATGGATTATTCCACTAAATTCAGGCTCATGCGAAGTAGGTGAACATGAGCTCGAGTGTTCGAAAGCTTGTTGAATATCCGGACATTTTGTGCGGAGCTGATGAGCATGTGCTGCTACCTAACTAACAGTTGCGCGTGCAAAAGCAGCGCCATGGAGTTAGTGTCCCATCACTAATACCACCCACATTAGTTTCAGGGAGTCGCTGTTTCCCAGGAGTTACTTGAATCTGGAAAAGAAATTTGACTGATAAACAAGAATGATTGCACTACTAATCAAATTCCAACCCATCGCCTCTTTGGACCGATCTCTCTTTCCCGTTTTCCCCAAGCAGACGTCGGAGAGAAAAGAAGCAGGAACGACCACCTCACTTATTCGAGCAACGACGAACTGTCTGAAATGAGTGCATGGCTTTCATGAAGGAGAAATAGCAACAGCAAATTCATCGTGAATCATCTTCCATCACTTACCTAGACAGTGATTTTGCTTCAACCCTTGCGTGGTGATCCGTCATCGGCGCTAGGCCCATAGGACCTGACGAGAGACTCGACAGTAAGCCATTAGACTTCGGCTGCCAACACCTTCGGGATGTCCGTACTATTCAGTTGTGGACCATTTGGAGGTTCAACGAAGCGTGATGCTCAGCAGGATGTCAATTCATGATCCAAGCATATTTGTCTAACTCATGAACTACCGATTCGATTCGTAAGGAAAGTAGCATTCGCCTAGATATCGATTTAATGGTCGAGTCCTCTTCGTCGCATGCAAGACAAGTTCCGTCCTCCGTACACGGCCCCGACATACTCGTTTCTGACTTTACCCTTGACTGACTTACTACTCTCGGACAGGGACAGTGCAGAGACAAGGAGTAACGTTGCATGTATCGTAATACATCAAACGAAGTGCGAAAGAAGTAAAGAGGGTCAGGGGCATGACCACATGAGAGTGTAAGTCTGAGCAATCCGATCCGGCACGTGGTTAAGGCCCATCCAATACCGTATGATGAGGCTATTGTCAGGTACTCTGAGTAGACCGGGGATAGCTTCGCTTTCCTGTCTGCTTTGAGTGCCGCCCGCTCTGAAAATCTTTCCACGGCTCGACAACGTGCTCAGACACTCAGAAAATGATTCATATGGCGCCATTACCAGGGGTAGACTTGCACAGTAAGGCTGCAAGCCTTTTTGAAGACTCCAACTCATGCCGTACGATAGTGTTCATGAGGTGAACAGCATCGTCAGATCCGTCACAGTAATCCGTAGAGAGATAGAGGTGTTCCGGTCTCCGGTTGTCGCTCATGTGAAGAGTTTTGTCGACCAAGCCGTGAAGACATCAAGAAGTCGGCGCTGTACAGATATCTACCCCATCACGCTGCTTTAATCTTTCAAGAAAGGCTGGCATTGATCTCCATCTTCCTCCTCGGGCAATATACCATTCCATACCTCACAATGTTAACCTCAACAGTCATGAAGCAGCTCCCCCGAGCCAGCACCAGATCCCTCCGCCGCCCCATCCAAGCCGCCAGCACCCGCCTCCAACCCCATCGACTCTACCATGAAACCCCCAACTCCCGAGCCTCTGTCGAAACCGCTCGATCCCTCAACCCAACCGACCCCCTCACCAACCTCCCTCCAACCTGGTCACCTGCACCCACCATCACCGGCAACCGTCCCCAGCTAGACATAACCAAACAAGTCTTCAAACCCTCCTACTACCAGGCCGTCGCCGAAATCATGAAGCTCCGCTCCAAATACATCACCAACCGCTCCGTCTTCATCGAAGGCTCCGACATGGCCTCCCTCCTCCTTGGCCTCGGTGCTACCCGCGCCGACTTGGATGCCCTCCAGCGTGTCTCCGACAACCTCTACTCCGACCCGACCTTACCCTTCCGGCGCTCACGCAACGGCCGTTTCTGCTTCGACTTCTCAACATCCTCGGTCCGACGGCTCGAGTTCCAACCGTTCGCGTTGTCGGTAGAAGAGGACTTCAAGCGGCATGATTCGGGCCAGATCCGGGTGTTCGACGAAGTCCAAGACGAGCTGCAGCTTAACACGGCCTTTCAGGCTTTGCTCGTCTTCAAGGGGATGATCTGCCACGGGGTCGCAACCGCGCAGCGGCCGCGGCTGGATTATTATAGTGACAAGTGGGTGTGCACGCTCTTCAACTTACGCACCGTCACCACCCCTTCCATCCTCGGCGAGCCGGCGCTCGAGGGCGTGCATACCGATGGGGTGGATCACACCATGACTACGTACCTGGGCTCCGAAAATATGGACCTGGCGGCGAACAGCGCGGTGACGTTCATGCATGACATGAATGAGGAGACGGGAGCCAAGTATACCGAGATCAAACCCCAGAACTTGAGGAGCAGGGTGCAGCATAGGCACTTTTTGGATACCCTGTTGTTGGTGGATACGGAGAATAAACACTCGCTGAGCCCGGTGTTGCCGGTTGATGGGACGAAGGAGGCGATGAGGGATATGCTGATTTTCTTTACGAGACGGCCGGTGAAGAAGGACGGTGGGGGGCATATTTCGGAGAGCATTGATTCGTTTAGGCCGCATGGGGAGTTGCCGATGGAGGTGCCGCTTTTTTTGCCTGGTAAGATTTATGGGAAGGGGCAGTAGGGTGGTTCGTTCATGGGAGGTTCGATAGATGGGGAGGATGTCGTTGATTCGGGGGGGAAAAGATTGGATTTGACCGGATTTCAGTTGAAGAGGGTTCGCATGTTCTTTCTGTTACTAGGGCGTGTGGATGTTAGTACATCTAGTGAGTTAGATAGACTATAGTTGTCTCATTAGCTAAGTTGTTCACGGTGTCTATCATGCGGCAGATGCTTTTCATGTGAAGAACGTCAGCATTTACATAAGTTGAAACGATGATGATTGAAAATGGGGTATCATAGTCTATCTTAACTCACTCGCGCAACACCGGCACAGCTCTCTCGCACTTGCTCTCCATTACCCACGACCTCATTTGTTCCATTTCGTCTCCAACTTGCCGAGTGCCTCCCACAACCCGCTTCCTCCCTTGTCTTGTAGTATCCCCTTGGCGTGCCTTGGGATCTTGCTGAGGACGAAATCGGAAACGGTGGTCCTGTCCCTATCGTCCGGCCGCCCAATGCCTATCGATACGCGCGCCCACTTGGCGTCCGGCATGGGTGGCAGACTGGCCAGCACACTCTTGATGCCGTTGTGGCCTCTATGGCTGGCCTTCCACTGCCGAACCTTGACGACGCCCAACTCTTCCTCCAAGTCGTCGTGGACCAGCACCAGCCCAACCTCTTCCGGGCTCAGTCCCTGGTCGACCAGATAATCCTTGTACGCCCGGGCGAGCCATGGCCCGGTGATATTCATGAGCGTAGGACTCTGGAGCAGAGTGTACTTTGGTCCGGCGGAAGCACGAACGGCTTTCTTTCCGTAGCGGTCCGAGGTGAACGATGGCTGTCCGAGTTCTTCAGGAAGCTTTTTCTGGAATGATTCGAGCACCAGATGGCCGGCTGAGTGAAATGTGTCGCGGTACTCTCCCGGGTTGCCGAGACTGACGACGAGAAAACGTCTGAGAGATGCCATGTTTTCGTCGTAATTTTCGGGGTTTGAGGCTGTGTCTGAGGGTTGCTGTCGAATGGTTTTCTTCTGGGCCATTTCACCGTCTTAGTGCCGCGCTTGGTAATTGATTTTTTTGTATCAATTGGTGATGCCAGTTGGCTGTTTAGGTAGAAACAGATTTTTGTTCTGGCCAAGTGTATGGGGAAGATTGATATTTCCAAGACAAGCTCAGGGGTACAAAGGACAATGAATGAGAGACAGAAACTCAGACCGGGACCTACGCCTTTTTACTCTCTTTGATGAGAGGCTTTACATACAGTGAACCTACGCCGGGATGAGTCAACGGTAAAGATGACCTGCCGCAATGCCCGGTATCACGGCTTCAGCACTGCCCGTTCTTAGCAGCTATGTGCCTCGATCAGCTGCTGTGATGAACCTGGTGTGAATTGATGATCCGATGTTTAGTGACCCAGGCCTCCGGGACGGACAAGGAGATCGGAGACCGCGCCGATGGAGATCATTCTGGGGAAAATGGAAGCCGTCGAACTTCGTCTCGCACCTGTCGCGGTCTGCCAGCGGCCCGATGGAATTTTGTAAGCCAAGACTTATGTGGCTTGGCAAGTCGACCCCGCTGACGTCGTCCAGATTTGTGCCCAATCACATTCCAAAGAATGTGTCTTCCTGGCAGGCAGCGGCAAGCACAGCCACATCCAACGTCGTCACCCCTTTCGTTCGTCCATGTCCAGGCACATCGCAACTGGCAAGGATCCCGCAACAACTGCTCTCCAAGCTTGCCAAACATCGCCAGTCCGCCGTAAACATCAACACCGACATCGACTTATTCTCCGAGCCACTTATCCGGCCAAGATACGAATCTACTTATAATATCCTAATCTTATCGAGCGACGAATCAATCTGCGACGAATCATCAACCAGACGATCACCTTCCGAATAATTGCGGCGATTGAACGAAGCTATCAATCAGTCGATCCCCCACATATACACACACGAGTCACCGACGTCAGACACCAAGCGACGAGAGTAAATCGGCCATCATGTCGTGGGCCGGTACGCACAAATCCCGCCATAGCCTATACCCCCTAATGCGACAATGCTAACGGGTACCGCCTCTTCCGTTTTTTGTTTACAGGCTTCAAGAAGAATGTCAACCGGGCAACGACCCAGGTGATGATGAAGACGGGTCATGTCGAGAAGACCAACGATCGCGATTATGAGGTTGAGGAGAGGTATGGTCATTCTCGGTTTAGATACGACACCGAAAGGAGGAAGAATTTGGGCTAAGTGTCTTTCACATGCAGACGCTTCAAGACTATGGAGGCGGCATCCCTACGACTACAAAAAGAGGCCAAGGGCTATCTTGATTCACTACGAGGTATGACAGATCCCTCCCCATCGGTTTTCCAAACGGGACATGTGAACTAACAGGACCTTTCCGGAAAAAAGCAATGACGGCCTCACAAATGCGCATCGCCGAGACCATCGACGCCTTCTACGGTGATGCTGGTGCCAAAGACGGAGTCAGCCGGAGTTACAAGCAAGCAGTGGAAGACCTGGACGCCGAAACGATCAAGGCCTTGGACGGACCATATCGAACAACAGTCCTAGAACCGATTTCCAGATTCTGCGCTTATTTTCCCGACGTTAACGAATGTATGTCTCGGCCCTCTCCACCTCTTCATCTCTCTTGCAATCAATTGCCCTCCCCCTCCCGAAACACCTTACACCCCTTTTCTGTCCCGACACCGCCCCCCACTCTTTGTGCATAAGCTGACCGCCAAAAACCAAAAACAGGCATCAAGAAGCGCGGTCACAAACTCCTCGATTACGACGCCCTCCGCGCCAAAGTGAAGAAACTCGTCGAGAAGCCCGACAAGGACGTGACCAAGCTCCCGCGGGCCGAGAAGGAGATGGAGATGGCCAAGGGAGCCTACGAGCAGCTCAACGAGCAATTGTGCACCGAGCTACCGCAGCTTATCGACCTCCGCGTGCCTTACCTCGACCCGTCGTTCGAGGCCCTTGTCAAGATTCAGCTCCGATTCTGCGCCGAAGCATACAGCCGCATGGCCCAAGTACAGCAGTACCTCGATCCAGACACGCGGGAGCAGTATGCTCAGGGTCAGCTAGATACCAGGGTCGAGCAGGTGTTGCAGGAGATCAGGGAACTCAGTATCAGTGGAACTGTTTAAATAACAGGGCGCGGTGCGAACGCGAAAAGGGACAGGACGACATGATATTATGTGTCGTGCGGATTGGTTCGAGTGTAATAGGTTGGGATTGGGGGATTGGGGGGAATTGTGGAAAAGAGGGAGGACCATCACCATCAACTACTCATGACGACATATACCTCGTTACTCTTTTTCTTTCTTTTTTTCTTCGTTATTGCTTAATACGGCGTACTTGGTATGAGGGATATTGGTTTAGACCTTGTTTACTACGGATGAGAGAAGACAGAAAGGTTACAGGCATCACACAACTTTTATGGAACATTGCGTTGCTTCAACAGTCATGCTGTGTCTCGGATCGTTCACGACAGTCCAAATTTTATGCGGTTCCTGAGCGTTAGATTTTGTCACACTGAGCGAGAGTCTTGATTACCAGAGCAGTTCTTCATGCGATGTACACGAGAACATTTACGATACGAACCGTCAAGGGATTCAGCCGCGAGACCCGAGTCATGGTAAGAGCGGTGTAAGTCCCATTCGTTGCTAGTTCTGTCGATCCGGTTCGCTCGGTAGGTACCTCTAGCTCGGTGGATGGCCCGCTCTGTAGAATAAACGAACGGTGAAAGACAGAAGAGATGAACGGTAATGACGGAGTGTGCAGCGAACGTAAACACCTCGAGGTTTTGAAACGAGGTCCGTGACCGGCACACCTAACTTTACCGATACGGGGGACACGGTCGCCTCGTATGCATCCGAATTTACCAGATACCGGGTCCGGGGTCCGGGGTCCGAGTCCGAGTCTGGTAGTCCGGGGTGTCTGGGTCTGCCCCTGGGAGCTAGTGGTCCAAATCTGTAACATCCCTAACTGGGCATGCGGCTCTCTCCGCAACGCGTCATGCAATGGAAGGTTGGAAAGAAAGCTTGCAAGGCCTGGTGATCTGCAGAAATTCCCTTGAAGTCTGAAACGGAAGGGGCCCGGTGTTGTGGGCTGTGCTCGAGGGATCGATGGACGTGAATAGTTGACTGTATACAAAGGGGGAATGAATAAGTACTGGAAACGAACGTAGTCGAAAGGGAAGAAGGAGAGAAGTGTTTATGAGGAAAGAGGTAAATCCCCTGGGGATCATCAAAATATCAGCATGAAGTTTTACCGTATCTTCATCGAGGATTAAGCGCTCAAACAGTCATCCCTAGACGCGCGCGTTTGCTGTGGAAGAAGGCGATATGACGGTCGACATGACCGAGCCAGTGTCGGGTGTCTGTACACTACCGTCTTCCGCTTCTCTTTCTTCATCTGCCGTGTGTGGTCGTCCGTTGGTAAATAAATGGATGGATCATCATGCCCATCTGCCATGCGCCGCGCCCCTTATATTTTAACCCCTGAGCGGCCGCGATTGGCGACCCGATCTTAGGGCTGAAACAACCTCAAAGAGAGGTCTCCACCAACTAAACTCTACAGGGGTTTATTTGGCCTGCTCTTTTGCTGGAAAGGTTGAAAAACTGCCGCCCAGCCTATGGTTTTGGAGTTGAAATTATCGCGAGTCTTTCCAATGACAGTTCAATGGCGTAGGTGTAATCCGATAAGTGCAAGTCTTTGGAGGCGGGTTTGGCTTCTCGGTCGTGTTCCACAACATTGACATACATACCCGCCGGCGCGAGAAGAGAGAATTGTGTAAAATGGAGTAGACTCTCTTGCAACCGATTACCAAACAGTGGCTTCTAGCATCAAGTCCAGATGTTTCTGGCGTGTCTTGGCGATGGCGATTGACGAATGCTGGTGTCGGCCCGTAATCCCCAATGTTCTCCTCAACAGAATTTGTTCCTTTCAGGCTATACCGTTTTCCTCGGGCCAGTGTGGTGGGTGGCTTGCATTGCTGGCGGCTGGACATCGTGATGGTGTTGGTCTTTTCAATCTGGCTCTCTGGCAAAAGCAAAGGGGTTTGTTGTTGGCGCCGCGGTTCCTGTTATCCGAATGCCTGCATGCATGCATGAATGTGCACTTGCTGAATCGGAATCGGGTGGCCACTACAGCGGATGAGCTGGCGGTTGAGACAACATTGCTTGCTCAGGGTCAAAGCGTTCGTGACGATGTTTGACTGTTCGGATGAAGATGAACAATGTCAAATATCTTGACAAGCTTCATGGGTGTAGAATGAAAGAGGTAGATTCAGCTCGAGAGGGATCATGATGACACCAAAGAAAAAGACAAGGCGGGGAGATGGAGTCGGTGAGGGTGCATAGACCTTGGATACGACGAGGGATTGACGAATTGTTGAGGTCCCAACCTTTGGTGATTTGGGGACGCAAAGATGAAAGTCTCCTTCCTATTTTCGTTGGATGTGCGTCACTGCAATTTCATGACGAAGCATGTGGGTGGATCGTCTAAAGAGTTGACGAATTCCATATCGTTGTGAACTTCTCTTCACAGCTTGACAGCTTGACAAGCCAGACCGGACCAATGATTTCTGAACAATCATCTGGGGATGGTAGCTCCCGTCTTTATGATGTACAGAAATTAAAGACACGCAATTTCCCTCGTGTTGACTTAATTGTGAGGAAGTTCCATCTCAATGATTACCTTTTTCGTGTTCAGTTGACGTTGGGAGTCGTCACTTCCCCAGCGTTCCAGGCTCCTTCCCGGGATGTTTTAGCACCTGCACTGCCTGGATTGCCCCTGAATCTGGGCCTCCCCCGCAGAAGAAATGGAGACGAGGCCTGTCGCCTCCTGCCTTAGCGCGCTGCAAGGGCATTGAGCTGCCGTCGATTGGACCCCGGCGTGCCTCGACATCCATGCTTTCCTTCCATCCACCATCTATTTTCAACCTTTTCCCCTGTTTCTGTCGTGATAAGACGGGGGTTACGAACGGGGCAACTCCTCCCAGACGAGTCTAAAACCACGTTCGGGACTGCGGATCCATCAACATCCATTCGATCACCTTGAGACAACATCCACCCACGCCATTCTTGCCACACACCACTCATTCCCACACACCACACGTTCTCTCTCACACTCGCTACCAAACCGGCTGCTGTGTACATATCTGGCACCTTCGTCCGGAATATCAACCTCCTTTTCCATCTTTTCCACTTTGCTCGTTTGTTCTCCATCATCCATCTGTCGACCATCACTCCTTGGGAGCTGTCATTCGTTACGAGCTACGCCCGCCATTGTCTGTTCTTTACTGTCAGACTTTACCTGGCACCAACAAAAAGCTGTCAGTCATATACAAGCGCCAGAATTGCGACTTCACAAAAGCCGACGACCTCCCCGACTTTCTTGTCAGGAATAGTCCATTGACTTAGCCTAACGCCTTACTTGCATCTGTCGATAACATAGACACCATGAATATCACCAAAAAGATCGACCGCGCCTTTCAATGGGCCGGCGAAAAGATGGGCGCCGAGCAAAAGACGACAATGTCTGAGGACTTTAAGCAGCTTGAGATGGAGATGGCACTTCGCTTTGAAGGTATGCACTTGCTTTCTACTCCAATATTCTGACCGTGGGCACAATCTGACATATAATTACCGTTAGGCATGGACCGACTGCAAAAGTCCATGAACCTTTATGTCAAGTGGCTTGGCCGTCGCTGCGACTCGTACGAAGACAAGGACAAGTCCATTCCCACCACTTACCTTGGGAAGACCATGATCGGACATGGTGAAGACTTTGCGTCCGACTCCGAATTCGGAAGCTGCCTCATCTCAATGGGCCGTGCCAATGAGAGGATTGGACAGATCCAGGAAACCTTTGTGAGCGAGGCGACAACTACGTGGCTCGAGTCTCTCGAGAGATCTCTAGCCATGATGAAGGAGTACCAGGTTAGCACACACGACCCATTTCAATTTTGAGTTACAGCTAACGGATAACCCAGGCTGCTCGCAAGAAGCTCGAGAGCCGACGTTTGGCCTACGATGCAACTACGACCAAGATTCAAAAGGCACGCCGTGATGACTTCCGTATTGAGGAAGAGCTTCGGAGCGCCAAGGCCAAATACGAAGAAGCTTCCGAAGATGTCGGCCGCAGAATGCAGGATATCCGCGACGGCGAGGTTGACAGCGTGCGCGATTTGACCCAATTCCTCGACGCCGAACTCGAATATCACGAAAGATGCGCCGATGAGTTGCGGAGAGTGCGCCAAAGCTGGGCTGGTGGTGCCGTCTCCTCCTCCAACGGTATGAACGGCTATGGTGCTGGCCTCCAACGGCGACCAACTGCTTCCAGCGGTGATGGTAGAAGCAGGCCCAACACCGCACAAAGCTTTACCGACCGCTTGTCCCGGACCAACAGCCGCAACGTTTACGAGGAGCAAGAGGTTGAGACAGAGGCACCGCCCGTACGTATGCCTATCCGCAGCGCCGTTTCTCGGGCTCCCCTGTCTGTGCAGTCGCAGAACCAACAGGTCGATGCCGCACCGCGTCCCGTCATTGGCAGGTCCAATACTGTTGCCACCTTCCAGGGCGGGGCGAACTTGGAGCGCGAGCGCGTCGGAGGTCGTATCTCTGCTGGATCCGGAACCACCACACCCGGTTCAACCTATGGAGTTAACCAGAACGTACCCAACGTGAGCAGCCTACGTGGCCAGCTGCGCCCCGTCAACCGGATTGTAACGAACGAGAACGTATTTGCAGACCGGGACGATGACAACACCAGTGATACGGGAAGTCCAGACAACTGGTGTACCCGCAGTGCGAGCCCAGCTACCAGTATTGGCAGCTTGACAAGGACAGCCAGCAACACGGTGGTCAACAACGGCTTGGGCGTCCGTAAGGCTCCTCCTCCGCCGCCTCCTTGCCGTTCCAAGAAGCCTCCCCCGCCGGTGCCTGCCAGACGGGATCTCGGATCCACATACTAGATGTATCAGGACCGGGCATGAATGGCAACACTCTTTCTTGAGATCAAGTTGAGCAGTTATGACAGATGCTATCATCAATCCGGGTGGATAGTCAGGCATGAATATTGATATTGCAAATGGCAGGCGTTTGGCGTAAAGTATATGAAGGTTGGGTTGTAATGCCAATGGTTGGCTTATTCGTTTTTGTGGACAGGAGCCACGACTTCGTGCAGCGGTTATCAAATGAGTAAACGTGGGGGGTTGGACCTGATATCGTCCTATGGGATTCAAAACAGTAGAGATTAAGAAATCGAAGTATTTGATATAAAAACGTTGATGATTTGTTTGACGATGGCGAGGAGGAAAGAGAGGACTATGTGGCACATGTCATGAACCTGGCCCATCAAACACATCGTAACGCACGGACGCCCCGGTCTCATTGCCTGCCGGTACCTTTTTGGACCCACTCAGTGCTACGTCGAGGGCCGGCCGGGTCCCACTCCCGTCATCGTCGTCTTGACCTTTCCATCCCAGAACCTTCAACACCTGTTCTTCTCGAAAGCACATAACCTTTCTCTTCCATCTTACCACCTTCAACTGGTCGCATATAATCGGAAACTACCAAGCTCGAAGATACCGCAATCTCGACACCATTCCACCAACTTCCTAGGCAGAAATCCATCCACAGTATTTCTAAATCGCCATCCGCCACGCAACACTTGCACGCCGCTCTTTGCTCTCCGCTCCTCAAGACGGTCCTACGACATCAAGCGCATCTTCAACAGCCCCGGATCTCGATTTTCGACACCCCCTTTAAAATATACTCCCGGTGGGGAGCTTACTAGTCGCCCAGCATGGCGTCCGAAGACGCGCGATACCGCGCAACATCGCAGTTCGAAGCATGGTCCTTCTCGCCCGCCCAGCTTGCTGCCATGCGCGAGAAGACCAACGCCATCGCCCGCCAAAGAATAGCCGAGCGCATGCTATCATCAGCTTCGAATCCGCCCACGTCGAACAACACATCCCATGCGAACACGCCAGACCCGTCTGGAACTGGGACGCCCAACCCCAACGAGAACAGCGCACCGACCTTACCCGACTTCCTCAAGCCTGAAGAAGAGGCCTTGCTCGTATCCTTTTACGTATCCGAATTACTGCGCGCGGCGGATCATCTCGGAGTGCCAGACGAAGTCAGGGCGACAGCGACGGTCTTCTTCAGGAGGTTCTTCCTGACGAACAGCATCATGACGTACCCACCACAGGAGATGATACTCGTGGCGCTGTTCGTAGGAAGCAAGGCGGAGGGTAGGTTTCCTAGGATCATCGAGTTCCAACAAAAGTTCAATACGAAGCAGGATATTCTCGCTGGCGAGTTCCTGCTTTGTCAGGGAAACAGGTTCAACTTTGAGGTCAGACACCCGTTTAGGGCGTTGATGGGGGCGATGATGGAGCTGAGGAGTTATGGGGATATCGACGTAAGTTACTGTTTTTACCTTGTTCCCTCTGGCCGTTACTAACATTCTTCTCTTGATTCCAGGAGCAACGAATAATCGCAGCCGAAAAGCGCGCCCACGAGATTTTGCTCTTCAGTCCTCTCATGACCGACGCCTACTTCCACTACACACCGTCGCAGATCATGTTCGCAGCACTATCCCTTGCAGACCGCGGACTGGCTGAGCGCCTGATCCAGGAGACTTTCCACTTTGTCCCGCCCACTACCAACAACGATAACACCCCTGCCGTGACACCACTACCTGGGACCGAGAACTCGGGGATATCCCGAAAGGAGGGTGGTGGCAAAGGGACAATGACCAACGATGAGCGGGCAGCCATAATCGGCCCAGGGATTCGCGATAAGGTTATGGGCACTATCGAGGCATGCAGGAACATGTTGTCCAACGAACTGCCGGAGAGGAAGTCGCATTGGACTAGTGTAAGTGGCTTTTCTTTTTTCTCCGCTAGAATGCCATCCCAGTACACGCTAACACGACATCCCACCTCCAGGAATCAATCTTCAAGTCCCAAATCCGGCCCGTCCGCAAGAAGCTTACCAAGTGTCGCGACCCCGAGCGCTGGAATCTGTCCGAGCTTCAGCGCCAACGCCGCGAGGCAGGACTCAGACGTGCCGATTCAGAGGAGCGCCCTGCAGCCAGCAACGGGGCCAAGGATGCTGGTATCTTTGGCGGCGATCTGGCAGCTGGTGCGCCGGAGAAGAAGAGGAGGAAGGTCGATGGGAGTGGGTTGGAAGATCCTTTTGGAGGCCCGCTTTGAGCATGTGGTGTGAGAAACTATCCAGCGGTAGTTGGGTGCGACGGTACACCTACAAAGGTTGGTAACAGGGTGTTTAGACTTGCATATATGGATCGAGGCTCGGTTCAGATCGGTTGGCGTTGTATTTGGGGTTTTGGTGGTACGTATAGACTGTTCATGAAGCGTTTTCATTATTCCTCCATCGCCTTGATTGCTCACCGGACGCTTGCTTTGTGGTGTTGTTCAGTATGTTTTGGTGCTTAGAATTTGGTAACTTGATCAACAACACTTTATTCAGACTCCTCTTTCGCTCGTTCACGGAAATCGTCCGCTTGCTCCCCTTTAACCGCGAAGACAGAAAGGAGAAGTACTGCTCCTCCGCCAAATGCACCGTGACCACCGACCCAAGCCGGCGACTCGGGAAGTTGAAGAGTCAATGGTTCCCTTCCGAACAGAAAAGAGGAGGCTCGGCCAAGAGCCAAGACCAGATGACCGTTGCAGCCGGTCTTGTCTCTTTGTGGGAAGCTTTTCCATCCTATCATCCGTCTTCTTTCCCCCCACTTTCACCACTCCCCTCCTTCTTTTCCGCGGTTGTTATCTCGACGAGTTATCCAAATCTACAACCATGGGGAGCCCAGTGAAGATAAGCACTTCCGGGCCGACATCCGTTGGGATGGGACCCTAACCTATGGAACCGGCCCCAAAGCTCCCGCTACCTACTATCAACCCCGACCCCTTCCGAATCCTACCCCTGCCTTCGAAAGCCGGCTCTATCGCTCCGCACCCGAGTCCGGGACACCTTGATGACTCCCGGGAACATGAGAACACGCCCTTCCGGTTGACAACAACAACAACAACAAGGTCTTCTTTCCTTCTTTCTAGCTTCTTTGGGGTCTCGGCCACACTCTTGGCACGCATGGGGGGCTGCAGTAGCGCCTCAATTCCGCAAAGGTTGCTCGCATTCTGTTGTTAGCACTACAGTATTATCTGCATTCGAATCCTTCGACTTCAACGCAAGATTTCCGGGGCCATTGGCAGTGGTAATTATGTAAAAGAACCTTGCACCGGGCGGGCTACCTATTGGGCCGGTTTTTGGTTGACTCACAGTCACAGAGGATTCAAACCTTCGTTACCCAGGCAGCTTACTTCTCTGTTTCCTCGGTCAGTAACGGCTGTCAGTGGTGGCCTTGTGCAAAGTTGCGGCGAAGCAAAAGTTCACTTGTGTCATTCCAGCTCTGGTATAAGCTGACATACGCTGATCATTGAGACATAGGCTTCTACAAACTACGTATATCTTTCTGACGGGCTTGATCGGTCGGCGATGAGTCCGGCAAGACTAAGTGTCAGCCTTGAGGTGAAGCAAAGGGCGTACAGACGACGAGTTTCTCACCTTTGACCTCTTGGCAACATGGCTTAGAGAAAAAAGAGAGAGGAGATTCCAGAACGGGTCTTCTTTTCGACACCGACCGATTGATAGACCCTAGTTCTCAACGGAAAGAAACACACACTTCTTCGTTAGATCGGACCGTAGCGGACTAGGGGTATCTCACCAACCTACCGAATGGGGTAGCAATATGTGTAGGGATTCTCCACGTGTGCATGGCTGTCAGCTTGCATCACCAACCGTTCAGCCTTAACCATAAAAGGTTGTTTTGTAGTTGCAGTTGGGATATCCGACCCAACCAACCTCCACTCCTCGAATCCGAGCCCTGGGATTTCAAAGATACGGTACACTATCTACTCGGAACTCGGCCCTCGGCCGGTTATCAGTTCTCCCAAACCTAGACCGCAAGGGTTCTCGAATGGAACGGTGACGTTGAAGGCAACGCCGATACTGTACCTCTACACCACCTTCCCCCTTGAGCCGCCTCTAGGCAGTGCAGAAAGCCTCACTGACTGGAGTGAATCAGTTACGTACAACTGACTTTCTCGATATGATGAAGCCTCATCAGGAGGAACGAACAAGGGCCGGGCCTGGATAATGTCGGGTCTCGTCGGTGATATATTCTGGGGTGGTTCGATGTTGGTCCTTTTAAGAGATATCTTCCCTCTCTCTTATGGAAGGACAACATTGAGTTGTGTCATTGACTCTTTATTCATCAACCCTCCACCATTTTAAATCTCTTGATTCCCTTAGGACCACAAGAGATCATCGTCCTTTCGTCTATTCACTTTCTTGAACCATGAAGTGGTCTGCTGCCGCGGGTGCGGCACTGCTCGCCCTACCGGCCCAGTCCGCAGTCACCCCTTCCCTCCCCCTCAAGCTCGAGACTCGGTCATCACTCAACTCCCGCCTTTCCAACATCCACGTTGAGCGTTCAGCGTCAGTCGAGGGCGCTATCAGCTACACCTACGGTTCATGCCAGTCCAAGCGTGAAGAAGAGGCCCATCACTCCATCAGCCAGCCCACCGACGCTCACCACGATCGTCTTGTTTGGGTGATTCCCGAGAATGTCCAGTCCGGTGGCTGTATCTCAGCCTGGAGCCGTGCCAACGGCCGTCTCGTCGGTCGCAGCAGGCCTCAGTCCTTTGACTTCAAGTCCATCAAGATGCGTCGTGACCTCAAGGCCCGCGCCACCAAGTCCTCAGACTCCGTCGCCATCCCTATGACTACCGACAACGGCATCAACGTATGGGGGCCCTGGTTCGACGGCGTCAAGCTGCTCGAGGACAAGGAGATCTCCCTCGTTGACGTCGAGAAGGCCAAGAGCAAGAACATCGCCATCGTCGGCGCCGGCATGTCCGGTCTGATGACCTACCTCTGCCTGACGCAAGCCGGCATGAAGAACGTCAGCATCATCGAAGGCGGCAACCGGCTCGGTGGCCGCGTGCACACCGAGTACCTCTCCGGCGGGCCCTTCGACTACAGCTACCAGGAGATGGGTCCCATGCGGTTCCCCAACACCATCACGCTCGGCAACGAGACGTACAACGTCAGCGACCACCAGCTCGTCTTCCAGCTGGCCGAGGAGATGAACAGCCTCAACGGGCACTCCAAGAACCTCAGCGTCGACTTCATCCCCTGGTACCAGTCCAACCCCAACGGCCTCTACTACTACGACGGCATCAAGAACCCCGAGACCGGTCTGCCGCCCACCCTCGCCGAGCTCGCCGCCAACTCCTCGCTCGCGCTCACCCGCGTCTCCAACAACTCCACCAAGTCCCTCAGCCAAAAGGTCGATACCTTCGTCCCCGATACCAACGAGTTCTTCGCCGAGATGGCCCAGAACATGTTCAAAGCGCACGCCGACTGGCTGAGCGGCGGCATCGCCGGTCTTCCCGGTGACCAATGGAGCGAGTTCGGCTTCATGGTGAACTACCTGCGCGGCTCGCTTAACGACACGGCCTTCCTAGGCGCCAGCGCGCACTCCTACTGGGACACGCTTTACGAAGGGATGTACTTTTCCGCCTCAACATGGAAGACCATCGACGGCGGTCTTAACCGCCTCCCCCTCTCCTTCCACCCGCTCGTCGATAACGCCACCACCTTGAACCGGCGCGTGGAGCGCGTCGCATTCGACGCCGAAACCAAAAAGGTTACCCTCCACAGCCGCAACAGCTACAAAGACTCCTTCGAGTCTTCGACGCACGACTACGCCGTCATCGCCGCCCCTTTTTCCATCGTCAAGAAATGGCGCTTCTCCCCCGCCTTGGACCTCACCGCGCCCACCTTAGCCCACGCCATCCAAAACGTCGAGTACACATCCGCCTGCAAGGTCGCGCTCGAGTTCCGCACCCGTTTCTGGGAGCACTTGCCCCAACCCATCTACGGCTCGTGTTCCACCTCCTCCGACATCCCCGGCATCGGATCCATCTGCTACCCTTCCTACAACATCAATGCCACCGGTCCCGCCTCCATCCTCGGCTCCTACATCTCCAACCCAGACTGGGGTGACCGCTGGGTCTCCACCCCCGAAGAAGAACACGCGCAATACGTTTTGGACGCGATGGCCGAGATCCACGGCGAGGAGCTGGTCAAGGAGCAGTACACGGGTAAATTCAATAGGAGGTGCTGGGCGCTGGATCCCCTCGAGAGCACGTCGTGGGCCAGTCCGACGGTTGGTCAGCATGAATTGTATCTGCCGGAGTACTTCCAGACGAGGAATAACTTGGTGTTTGTGGGCGAGCATACTAGTTATACGCATGCGTGGATCGCGTCGGCGCTGGAGAGCGGGATTAGAGGGAGTGTGCAGTTGTTGTTGGAGTTGGGGTTGGTGGATGAGGCGAAGGCGACGGTGGATAAGTGGATGGCTAGGTGGATTGATGTGTAGTGTGGTGTGATGGGCAAACCTTGAGGCCAGCAGCAAGACTTGATGACTTTTGACGATGAAATAGACCTGATGTTTATGAGTTTAGTAATGAAGACTATCTTGACTTTCACTTGACTTGGCCTTTGTCGCATATGACATCAATTTGGGCGTCAAAGGCAGGAGGCAGCGGCGATGTCCAAATGTCTGGAAGATCACCATGTCGTGTGTTTCCCTGTGCGGACACGACTATCAGGTAGTAGATAAATTGTGGTAGCTTCGAAGGAAAACCCAAACATGTAGTCAATTGCGTCGCTTCGGATCCTGTCATCTTGGCTCTGTTCAGATTCCTCGCAACATTTATGCCGCTCCTCTCATTCGAAAAACTGATGGCCAACGCGAAGAAATCGGGCCGCGGCAAGGCGACCGCAGCCAAGCAGGAGACCGCCAAACCCGTCGCGCCAGCCGGACTCGTTGCGCCAGCCAAACCCGTCGCTCCCCGATCATCATCATGAAGATAGTCATTGAATCAAGTCATTCCATCTACGCTGGTTCCCACGCATTAATCAATCAGTTTGGTGTGCAGAAGAAAAGCTGGCAGGGCCAACTAACCAAGAAACTGACCAAGACGAAGTGTTCCTTCCTCAGGAAGGATGGAAAACTCTGCTGCTGCTGCTGGATGTTTTACCCTCCTTGTTGGTTCCTCTCTGCTTTTGTTCCTCTTCTCTTGTTCCTCTTCTCTTGGTTTTGGTTGCCATCCGTACATTGGACACCATGCCCATCACAACCAGAGCGCAGGCTGCGACAGCCCACGAGCACAACAATGCTGACGATGGCGATGAGAAAGGATGGTGGAGTGAGAGCGACGAGGAATGATGGAGTGAGAGCGACGAGGAATCCAAAACATTCGAAGCAACGCTCATGGGAAGAGCGTATACCGCCTATCGCACCTGGGCCAGTAAACGCAAATTGCAAGTCAAGCAGCACCTTCCAGATAGGAAATCACTTCGGACTTACTCTGCCTCGTTGAATTGTGACGAAAACCTCCAAAGCATCCTAGAGTCATCAAAGCCTCCAACCTTGGACAAACTAAAATCGTTGCCGGAATTCGCAAACACCGACGACCACGCTTTTGTCGTATACCTGTTGATACTCGAGAAACCTTCCGAACACCAAGCCAGCGGTAGCGGTTCTCATACTCCCTTGCGTCACGGATCGCAGGATCAAACTCCTACTGCTGCTGCTACGGAGATTGCAAAGGCTAGTGGGTTCTCCAAGTTTGCCTCGGAGTTCTCGCCTATTTCTGAGCTGGAGTGGGACGATGAGAGTGACTCGGAGAGCGAGGCGGGTGAGGCGAAGGGCGGGTTTGGATTCGATGATGATTTCGCGCCTGCTAGTCCTACGGTCAAGCCTCCCTTCTCTAACGCAGCGGGTGTCCAGTCGACCAAGAAAAGGGCATCTTTACCAAGGAGCCCTGCCGCAGAGCGCCCTACGAAGAGAGCCAAGAAGAATAAAACTTCTATCGACGACCAGCAGCCTATTGAGTCTAACGCTGTCGACAATGGTCCCCTGTTGGGAGCTGGGCTCAACCCCCAAGAGTACAAGTATAACCTCGAAGTTCCCCAGGACGGAAATGCGCCTACTCCTATCAACATATCACCGCCCTTGATTTACATTGGTAGTGGGACCCACATGACTCTAGGTGTCCATCAAAGGTTCTACCATTACGATAACGACGAAGGGTTCTCGAAGTTGACGAGAATTGCGCATCAACATGGCTATATAATCTCACACAGGAAAGTCCTAGTGTCAACACCATGTCCTACAGAGGTTTCTTTGATCCTACCAACTCGGGCTTTGTTTTTACTTCTCGAGACAGCCCTTACATATGGGTTTTGTGCCCTTCAAGACCGAAATTCCGTTCACCCGACACTAACGAACCATCAATAAAGCACGTCAATACCCTATGGGGGATTGTGCACGCATGACGCCTGGACCGAGAGTGTGCGTCGTCAACGATGGCTACTTCAAGGCCTATCAGAAGATGAAATCGAAGAAGCGGAAAAAGAAGCCAGGCGCGTGAAGGCTACCAATGCAAGGGAAGCCAGAGCAAAAATGAAAGCGGAAAACCCAGACAAGTACGCTCAGGTACTTGAGAAGGAGCGGGAAAGGGGCAGACAGAGGGACAAGGATAGAGACAACGTGAAGAGGCGCGAGAGGTACCTTGCCAACAAGGATGAAGTTAATGCGAAATTAAGGGAAAAGTACGATGCCAACAAGGATGAGATCAACGCCAAAGCAAGGGAAAGATACCATGCCACCAAGGATGAACGCAAGGATGAGATCAACGCCAAAAAAAGGGAAAAGTACCATGCCACCAAGGATGCACGCAAGGATGAACGCAACGCCAAAAGAAGGGAGAAAAGTTGAGCAAAACGGATGGCGTCCGCATAGCAGACATCAACCGCAAGTTGACGAGGCAGTTGAAGAAGGTTATCGATAGTTTCAGTTGTTGGGGCGGTGAAGGAACGGTACAGTAAGAATAGACGAGGATAAGCACTTGCGTATAGATTTGGTAGTAATGGAATAACCCTATAACCCTAACCCTAACGATGGTGTTGACAGGAGAAAAATGCACATGCTCAATTTTGAACATTGGAAAACATCGAACCCACAAAATAAGCGTTAGCCAAGCCCACGCCAAGACGGCGGGGATAACAGTGGATGCAGTGGACACGGTGGAGAACCGTTAGCGTCGGGTCGCTACCCTACCTTAAGAGTGGAGCGCGGGCAATCAGGTACGGGTCCGAGTACGGCGTGATGACACCACCAAGTCAGTTTCTTATCTTTTATCATTAACAGCAATCGTCCATCGGCTAGGGAAGATTTCCAGAACGAGATCGCATTCCGGTGACGGGCTTGTTTGACTGATAAGAAGGTTTGGAAGCAGACAAAGAAGTTGTCGATAGACGATAGTGAAGGGTGATGGTTTGTCTCTTCCGAGTATCGGCGTCTCCCTTTGGATGTTTCAAGCTAGGTTTCTAGGTTCAGTTTCTTGTTGGTTACAGTATGGTAAAACACAGGCTGATGCTGTGACCAAGTGTTGCGGTAAGTGCGAGAGACATCCATGCCTGCTGTGTATCGGTGCTCCAGACTGTGAGGCTGAGGACGTTGTGCATCGAGAAAGGTGAGACTGTTGAATCCGAGGTCTTGTGGTCTCTGTATTTATACTAACCATTACCTCTGATTCTCTGTGAATAGCTTCCTTCTCTCGGATGTCTAGAGGTATCTGAAAACTTTCATCTTGATTCGAAAGTTGAAGGAAGTCGACCAGGCATCGCTCGCCAAGGTAGCCAAGACGGGACCCACTCTGCCGAGAGATAAGAGAGAAACGGACGGCGCCAATGGCAAGAACGCCTCCCTCTTATCCGACCGGTTGTGGCTTTGTTTAAGCGAAGAAGCTCTGTTTTCAGCATCAATATTGGAACCTGAAGGATTCACAAGATGCACATGTTCTGGGCTTTCATACGGGTGGGGCGCCACGCCCCTGCCCCAACCCTGACCCTGGGCTCCCCGCTACACAGTAGGCTGAAGTGGAGTCCCCTGATAACAGGGCAGTGACCAAACTGATAAGGACCAGGGAGCGATGCATTCTCGTAATTCCCGTCCACGCTTTCAACTGTTTCCATCTTTATCAGCATCCGTTTGCTGCTTGATCCGAATCAGTCCACCACACCCAACCGACCGCATTCAACTCGGATTCCAACTGTCTATGGCATCGGAATCCTACGGGTGGGAGGCTGCCGTTCAATATGCCGTCCGTCACCTTTGGATCCTTCTGTCTGTTGATACCAACTGAGAAGCATTGCGGAGACTCATCAGATCGAGAGACGTTGCCTCAAGATGTTTGCAGTTTCTTCATCCAAACTGATGTCGTGGAATGCAAAGAAATTGATGACGGTAGCCGATTCTCCCGCCGCCGCCGAGGCACATCTCTCATGTGGTGCTACCCGCCAATGGAAATTACGGAATCACTAAAGGGCGTGGGCATCACAACGTACCCCGGACTACTGTGTTTCTTAATTGGGCCACATTATAGAAGGCTGTCAATCACGACACTACCAACTCCATGTTTTTCCACGAGGGAAAGGGCTCCTAGGTAAACTGCAGGATGATCATGTAACCCAAAAGGTTGCCTGCATCACTAGGCCAGATCGATCAAGTGAAGGACGAAAAAGGATATTTTACGGTTTGGCTGTTTCGACGCTTCGACGACTTCGTCTGGTACGACAAGGCATCGCCAAAGTTTGTTCTCACCTCATCAAGTTGGAACTGTGTAACCACTCGCTCCGAGCTTTCTCTTTTGCCCGACAGGCCGTCATTGGCCCTTGGGTACCTTAATGTAAGATTCGGCGGACCTCCTTGGACACTCTTCGGGCAACACGCCCAGCATGGAACAAGGCACAAAGACATGAAGACCGCTTACAATGGCCAAAAATGGATCGGAATCCCACGGGTTCAACCCCCACCGTCCTCTCATGGCGTCCGGGTCTCTTATCTTTGTGGCCCACCCATTCATCAAAGCTGAGGTCTTGGCGGGGTTTCCCAGAACGGAATGGAGCCCTACCTCGACACCATCAACACGGGATCAAGGGGTACCAACACTGATAACTGCAGCTTGGAGTGCATGGGGTCAACACATCGTTGACATGTTTCACGGCTCCTCGCCCTTGGTCCTGGGTCTGTTTATTTACCCTGCAGATCCCTCCTGCTGAACAGGTTCCAGAACTCATCTTCTCTGCAACCTCAAGTCGTCTCATAGACTTATCGACATCACACGGCACCGACGACTTGGTTCGTGTACGCTTTCAGCAACAAGTGCTCTGGTCAGCCACAGCATATCGAACCTGTTCACTTGATCTCGACATATTACCGATCGGTGTTGGGATTGAAACAACCTCCAACATGTCGTCCGGCCCCGTCGAACCGTACGAGGGGGTTACCGGTGTCGCCAACGATGGAGGCAACCCCCTTCTCGAAGACCTCAACCGTTATTACTCTGTACGACATCACCATGCCATCTTACGAAGGAGTGGGAAGGAACATCAGTGGCTAACCTGTGACTTATACACCAGGCCGGAGATTTCGGATGGATCATGACATGTTCAGCCCTCGTGTTGCTCATGGTTCCCGGTGTCGGTTTCTTCTACAGCGGTCTTGCACGAAGAAAGTCAGCCTTGGCCCTCATCTGGCTGTCTCTCATGTCGATAGCCCTCGTAGGGTTCCAATGGTTCTTCTGGGGATACTCGCTCGCCTTCTCCCATACCGGAAGCGCCTACATCGGCAACCTCTCCAACTTTGGTCTTATGAAGACTCTTGCGCAGCCTAGCGTTGGCAGCAGCAAGATCCCCGACCTTCTTTTCTGCCTTTATCAGGGCATGTTCGCCGCCATCACGTATGTTTTTTTGTTTTTTTTTACACTCCCTTTCCTTTCCTCGCGAGCTCACACTAACACTTGACCCCCTTAGTCCCGCTCTCGCCATTGGCGCGTGCGCTGATCGCGGCCGTATGCTTCCCGCCCTGGTGTTCATGTTCATCTGGACCACCATCGTCTACGACCCCATCGCCTACTGGACCTGGAACGGCAACGGCTGGTCGTTCAAGATGGGCGGTCTCGACTTTGCGGGCGGCACCCCCGTGCACATCAGCTCCGGCGCCGCCGCCCTCGCCTACTCGCTCATGCTCGGCAAGCGCAACGGCTACAACAAGGTCAATGGCCTGCCCTACCGCCCCCACAACGTCACCCACGTCGTTTTGGGGACTGTGTTCCTCTGGGTCGGCTGGTTCGGCTTCAACGGCGGCAGCGCCCTGGCCGCCAACCTTCGTTCCGTCATGGCCTGCATCGTCACCCACATCGCCGCCTGCGTCGGTGGCTTGACCTGGGTCTTGCTCGATTACCGGCTGGAGAGGAAGTGGAGCACCGTCGGCTTCTGCTCCGGTGCCATTGCTGGTCTTGTCGCCATCACCCCTGCTGCGGGTTATGTGCCCCCTTGGTCGGCTTTCATCTTTGGTGTTGTCGGCGGTATCAGCTGCAACTTTGCTACCAAGCTCAAGTTCGTGCTCGGCATCGATGAGGCGCTCGATGTGTTTGCTGAGCACGGTGTTGGCGGTATTGTCGGTAACTTGTTGACTGGTATCTTTGCTGCGTATGTCTTTCCCCCTTCTTCCCATATCTCCCTCAAGAAACCCTCCACTAACTTTCATCACAGTGACTACATCGCCGCTCTGGACGGTGCCACCGTCATTGACGGTGGCTGGGTCAACCACCACTACATCCAGCTCGCCTACCAGCTCGCCGACAGCGTCGCCGGCTTCTCCTACTCCTTCGTCATGACCTGCGTCATCCTCTTCCTCCTCAACCTCGTTCCCGGTCTTTCGCTCCGTGTCGACGAGCACCAGGAGGAGATTGGTCTTGATGATGACCAGCTCGGCGAGTTCGCGTACGATTATGTCGAGGTCACTCGCAGCTTGGATCATGTCATTCCTGGGTTGACTGCTCCTAACAGCACGGCGGGTAGCATCAGCGGAAGGGACCCTGAGAAGCAGGTCTAATTGTTGGCGGGTGAGCTGTGGATATGATGATGTGTATGCATATATGGACTGAACCTGGACGGGACGGCTTGTCTGGGGGTTGTAATGTGGATATGTGGATAATGATGTACGGAGGTTATACCAATGATACCATGTGGCTTTCTTGTTCATACCAGTTGAGTTTCGTCTAATGGACCTGCTCATACTTCTGTTTCCATCGTTTGACCCGTCTTCAAGTGTTGTGGTTGTCATGCGGTGCCTGCCATCCAATCGTTAAGTTCCTTGGGTCTCATCGCCCGACTCTGTTTACCTGTTTCCTGGAACCTACCTCCAAGGACCATCATCCAGACGCTCTTTACCAATCACCCCGCCAAAGAATAAGTGTCGTGGTGGTGTTGAGTACCAGTGTGAGTCCTTGATCGCCAAGACGGGCCACGAATGACGTCAAATGTGAGACCTTCTCACCTTGGGAGACAAAGCAACCTTTGCGAAGAACAGGAATACAGTTCTCTTCACAACCACAAGCCGAAGACGGGAGGACGAGAGACTAGAAAGACGTCATCCAATCGCGAAGTGCAGGAAGGGGAGATATATATCATGCCGCGATTGACCTTACGACAATGTCAGATTTCTCGGTCATCTCAGCGTGAAGGACTTACACACTCTGCCTGTCTCGAACAACTTAACCACACAAACCCTGGATCGCCCGTCTTCACTCACCTAACTATCCCAATCCAACATTCCCACTCACCACCTTTGCATATCGGACTTACGTGGTCAGTGCTTCACAAACAAAATGGCAGAAACATCTGGTACTACGATGTCCTCTGAAGGCGCCAAATCCGTCATGTCCAACGACATGAAAGAGCTCAACGAAGGGAAGGAACACACCTCCAACGAGATTAGAGGGCATAAGGCCAATCTTGCGAATCCGAGTACGTTCCTTCCTTCCTTCCTTCTTTCTTTTCTACCCCTCCTTCCTACTGACCCACTCACTTCCCGGCCCCATGATTGTCACTTCGTTTTTTTGGCAAGGAAGGAACTAACTAATGGAAATGGCATCAACAGATACAAGTGAGAAATCCAAGGAACACAGCGAAAAGATGATTGAAGAGCTGGGAGGAAGCAAGACGCAGGAGGCGATTAGGAATAAACCTGTTAGTAAGAGTGCGGCGGAGGAGTTGTATGGGAGTCGGGCTGCTGCTGGTTAATAGGTAGTGAGTGACCAAGGGACGGGTTGGTGATGGCGGTGATGGTGGTAATGGTGGAATGCGCAGTCATGGAATTTTCGTTCAAGGTTGAGTGATGCTTTGATGGAGCGTCTGGGCATGTTGAAGGGATGGGATGGGTCACGGTTGAGGTTGATAGAAATCGGTGTTATAAATTGGTGAATCCGACCAAGATACTCGTCATGACGGGAGTCGACACGTGCAGTGAGGGGCTCGTACCTATCTGCTAAGGCCCCTGATTCCCCCTGCAGCGAGGGGAAAGACGTGCCTGGTTCTGACGACCATCGGGAAGGAACGACCGTACAGTAAACAAAAGAGTTTCCATTCGGCGCGGTTAAGTTCTGTTGCCCGCTGTTGCAGGCTTGAGGCTGGATTGTGGCTGTGGACATTGGGATGTGCACCCCGCTCAGGTTTTTTGTCCTCGTGGTATTCAGCTTGGCCTGGCAAGTCACTTCTCCCGTCTTTTCCGTCTCAACCACACCGCCAATCAAGCATTTCTCAATCATTACTCCCTTTCATCTCTTGCCAGGTTAGGTCAGGTCGTCCGCCAGCCGGTGCATACAACGTCTTGCTTCGCACAACACAACAAAGACCGTTGTTTTCACAACACCGCCCGACAACAGCCAAACACGGATTTTCTCACCAAACAATTTCAACTGCCTTCGGGGGCAGTGATATCTCCTCCCTAATCTGACCAGGAGAGCACAAATCGCGAGCCATATCGGGCATCACTTCTTAGCAGTGACTATATACGTGACCATATACGCGAGGATCGCAAGCTAAGCTCACAATTCTCACTCTTTTCAACTGATATGGACTTCACCCTGGTTTTGAAACAGGGCATGTAACCGCTTCGTTGGCTCTATATATATCGTTCCTAGTTTACTAACCCTTGCAAATAGTCTCCGAGCTTTTGAGCTCTGCCGCTCAATTCCGGGAGATCGGTGGACCTTCGTATGAAAGATTCTTGCAAATCGACGAGCTACACAGACAGCTCCAGAACCTCAAGGGTGAGCCGCTCTTATGCTTCATTGGAACCCCGTGACTTGGTAGAATTGCAGGGTGTCTGAATAGAGGAATGGGGTAGATGCCAAACATGGTTTCTTGTTGGATCCCCTCTAGGGGAAAAAGAAATGAAGCTTTTGTTGTATCAATCTGGAGGAACACGCTACGTATTCTCAGTATTGCAGCCAAGTAGGAAAATTACAAAGTTGCTGACGGCTGATTAATGCAGACATTCAAGACAAGGAGGCACGGTCGTTCCTAAACAACGAAAGTTGTTGGACTTGTGTTTACGTGGTCGAAACCCTTAAGTCCGTGAAACGGCGCGCGAAGATGGATAGAACAATCAAAGAGATGGTTGCGCGCTTCTCGGATGACCTTCCCAATATATCCAAGTCCCTGACACCATACGCGACAAGAGAATGGTTACTTGACCGGCTTTCAGAGGGCTTTTCCACCAAAGCCAAAAGTCCTCAACCGACAAGCTGCTTTTGCAATTTCTTCGAAACGGTTTGCACAATAACAGGAATCGACCCCACCACGTATGTGTCTGTTAGAGCAACCTCATGGCCGGTTCCAGACACGGCTTTTGCTGGAAGACCTGGGGAAGTCAAATGCCTGGACAGAAAACACGATGACTATTTCACTCACAAATCAAATGCCTGGACAGAAAACACGATGACTATTTCACTCACAAATGAGATGCAACGCCACGACCGAAATATAAACGTACGACGCCTGCCAATCATGTATGTCGACAATCAAATCGAGGATAGGTTATCCCCAAGGGTCCCGGGACCATAGGTTGATTTCAATGCTGTCAAGCAATGGCTTTCGCATTGCTGTGCACATCATCAGAAGACTTGCCTCTCTGACACCACTCGGGTCGCCAAGATTTCGGGGTTTAAACTCATAGAGTGCTCCTCTCGAAAGCTGGTGACATTGAGCGAGATAGCAGAAGTCGACAAAATGCAATTCATTGCTCTCAGTTACGTATGGGGCTCCAAAGACGCTTCAGATATTCCCGCGGGAGACGGTCTTCCGACACAGACGCCCAAGGTTATCGACGATGCCATCGCAGCAACCCAGTACATGGGGTACAATTACTTATGGGTTGATCGATACTGCATTCCACAGGACAATCCCGAGGCCAAACATTGTCAAATTAGGAGCATGGATATCATTTACGAATGCGCCACCGTTACTATCATCGCAGCCACTGGGGATGATCCCTCCTATGGGTTACCTGGTGTTGCCTCGACGCGGCGGGTTCCACAGGAGTTCGTGGATATTGGATCCGGCACACTCGTTCTCCTTTATCCCGATATTGATTATCAGCTTTCAAAAACACGATGGGACACAAGGGCTTGGACTTACCAAGAAGGACTCCTCTCATGTCGCCGTCTTTTCTTTTTGGACAATCAAGTCTATTTTCAGTGCAACTCTATCCGTTGCATGGAAAGCATCGTAACCCCCTCAGAAGCTGATGACTCCTTGTACAGAAGATCGCCCTTGTACATGTACGATCTGTGGAATAATCATATACCATTCCCAGATGGAAGGGTCGGAGATGTCCCGGAGGAGCTGCTTGTACTCATTGATACATATACCGAGAGGGAACTTGGCTTCCAGAGTGATGCCCTAAACGCTTTTGAAGGTATCCTCAGGAGGTTTGTCTCTGCAGCGAAGCCGGTGTATCACATTTGGGGGATTCCGATTTTCACGTCAGGGAAACAAATACTGGACAGGCTTGTAGCGGGATTCCTGTGGCGTTTACGAGTCGATGACTCCGTTCTCGATTCTCTAGGACAAGAACAGAGGCGTGCACCCTACCCCGGTACCATGCGACGACGTCTGTTTCCAAGTTGGTCATGGGTGGATTGGAATGGGAGATGCCTAGTGAGGTCCGGGTTCCGAATCCGGACGGCAAGAATATACGACTTGATGCAGTATGGCTTCAAATCTCTTGTTACACTCTCAATGGAGCTGGTCAATGGGCGTGAGGTTTTCTATGTCCGCAGGGACGGACTGTGGATCCCCAAAAGTGAGTATCATGACTGCACTAAGGAGGAAGGTCTTGCTCTCAAACCTCGCGTCTCAACAGATACACATGATAACTATGATGACTGGGTGCCTAAGCTTTCTACGCTGGAAATCTACCCGCCGGTACTCCGATTAGTGGGATACACTTGCGATGCAGTTCTCTGGCACATTTCCGATTTCTATTCAGAAAAGGGAGAACCAATTCACAGAGAAGTGGAAGATGCTTGAACTTATATCGACGACACGTTTTCAGGAGCTCTAGGAATGCAAAGGTCAACACCTCATGGGTGTGGACCAACCTTCCTCGTACTGTCCTCTACACGCCGTTAATGGGACCATCCGGGTACGGCGAACGGAGAGAAGATATTGAGCACGAGCTCTGCAGAATTGCTGACGGGTTGTGCGATCCTTCCGGGGACCTACCCTCATCTTCTCTCAAAAAAGAGTATCACTTTCGAGTGATAGTGCTCGGTGAGACCTTCTCAGGGGTGGTGGAGTTTATGGTTCTGAGTCGCTGCGAAGGGGACAGTCAACCTCCTGGGACATATGAACGAGTTAATGTCATCCACAGGGAGAATATACTACACCCGGACATGAGAATTCCCGAGGCAATGGAAGCCGGGTTACTAAACGGTTGGGAAATAATGGAGACCAGAATTGTGTAATGATTTGGAATTTTGCATGCTTCTTCCCTAGCGTTACCATTAAGCACTACGTATTAAACATCTACTCCCAAGTCATAGCCATCATAACCTTTCATAAACCATAAGAATGCTATAAAACACGCTCATTACCTCCCTCCGGCCACTCTCACAACCAGCATACCAACAAACAACAGAGTCACTCGTCCCCCTTCGCTCCGACGAATGATTAAGCCACAGCAGTCATCTCCTTAGGATCAACACTGATATCAACAGGCGAGCACTTCACATCCCTTATCGAATAAATCTGTCCCTGCGTCCAGTTCTGGTTCTGCCACGTTGAGTCGGTGCAATCCAACTGGAGGTTAACAGCCGCATATCCAGTGAACGTAGTACTACATCATCATCATCGTGTTAGTCGTCTATCGCATCTCAGATTCATAGGTAGGTCCAAGATATGTTACTCACGGATACTTAGGATCCTGATCCCGACAAGTCCAGCTCTGGTTAAACCTCAACTCCCCCGACGGCCTGCTGAAATCGAACGTCGTCTTGCCCACATTTCCCACATCACTGTTGACACCCCCGGGCGTGTTGGTGCAAGTGTACTGCACAGTCCCGTAAAAGAAATCGGAGAGCTGGTTGCTTGAAGCGCTGCAGACGGTGGTCACCGAGGACCCGATGGCTGGGTTGGATAGGTTGAAGTTGACGTAGCCCCACGAGTTTTGGTGGGCGGGGGTGGTGAAGATGTAGGAGGCGTGGTAGTCGAAGGCGGAGAGGGCCCAGGAGAAGTTCTTGAAGGAGGTGGTGGCGCAGGAGGGATGTTCTGGATTTGTGGTGGTGGTTTCTTGGCGGATGGCGATGGGGGATGCTTGGGAGAGAGGGAGGAGGAGGGCCGCGAGAGCGGTGGTGAGCGTTGTTGTGAGCATTGTTGGTGGTTTTTGTTGGTGGTGTATTTTGATGGTGTGAAGTTGAGGTTGGTGGTTGAGGTGTGGTAGTTTACGATGAGGTGAGGTTCAAGATGTATTAGTATTGAACGGAAAGATACTAGGGGGTCCTGGATGTTTGTTTCTAGAGGCTGGGAGAAGGGAGAAATATCAGAGATCAGCTTCTTGTGGTGCAGATCGTTATTTACTGTGTGGTGTTGTCAGTCATGTTAGTCCAGATCCTGAGTCGTGAGCTGCCGCTTTTATAGCTTTGTTATAGCAGCCAGATAGTATAGGAGCAACGTGAACTTGGTACTATCACCAGTTTTCCCAATGGTCAACAAATGATACCTCTATTGGTAAGGTAGCTGAACCCAAGTCATCTTGCGTCTCGTGTTCCAATATGCAACTGTAACGTTATCTTGCTCCGCCTGGGACGACTAAGACGAGTTAAACGAAGTGAAAAGACCCCAGCCACCATGTTGGGCCGTCTGCGCCGTCTGCGCCGTCGATACGTACAATATGTCTTGATGGGTTAACGATCCGCGACGACAGTTAGGGCTGCAGATCTCCGAGACCCCTCCTCGTGGCGTGCCAGATGTCGGTGTAGATTCGGTAACTTGTACAAGGAGCTTGTACAAACCAAAGTATCGCTACCTAACGTGTTCAGTGTTGTTCGAGGTGTTGTTGTTCATGCTGTGTCCTGGTCCGGCCACAAGCATAAAGGGTGAAGGGATGGTCGCACAGCTGCCACCAAAAAGATGCGGTGTCTATCCGGTCCTTCTCCTTTTTTTGCTCTGGGATGCCTCCTTTGGGGCTCGTATTCCCAAGTTGGTGCGGAACATAGCTTGTATATTCCGCATAAAGGTGGGATGTTACCATCGATCTGTTGCCCATTTTGGTTCATGGTTGTGTTGTCCGAGGTTGGCCAGATCAAGATTTGTAGCCAATTGCGAGACCTGTAAGACACACCATAGAGGGAACCCGGGGTTCCAAAACAGGGTCAAAACAGGGTCCAGCTAGCGTAATGGGGCCAGAAATGTTTTTTTTTCGTACGCTTACACCACGTTTTTTTGCGCAAAAACAATATTCAGTGTTGGGCATACTTCATAGTCAACAGTGTGAAAGCTCCCTTTTCGATTATTACTCTAACAATATAATTGGTTCCGGTTAGACTTTTAGTCCTGGTCAGACTTTTTCTATTATTCTCTTCTTTCCGTTGGAGGGAAAACGGCAACCTTAGGAGGAAGCGGCGACCATTAGGTGACTATCGTGGAAAAATAGTAACCATTACATCATTTAATATAATAATTCCCGTCATCTTCTCCTCAGAATTCATCTCTTTAGTAATACATCTTAATAATACTCTTAGTAATACATCTTTTTAATAATGCATCTTGATAATACTCTTAGTAATGCATTTTCTTAGTAATGCTTTTTTTACTTGGTAGTTTTTTTCAAATATCACAGCAGGGAATCGAACGGGAGTCTCATAGAACCAAATACTTCTATTACTAACTACGCTATCTAATATTTATTTTATATGCGCGAGGGTATTAGAAATAAAGCTTGATATAATTAATAGAAAGCGCGGAGGTTAGCCGAGGAAAGAAAAGAAGGGTTAGAAAATATTAATAAAAAGAGTGTTTTCTTAGGAAAAGAATATTAGAGTAAAAAGATATTGAAGAAAAGGGCGTCTTCTTATAAAAAATGATGTTGGAGTAAAAAGATATTAATTAAGCCCATCATCCGTTTTGGCACTATATAGATTTTTGGGGTCAAAGCTCTTTTACACCTAAAAGAGGGTATTGTCCGACGATATGCTTTTGCGAGGAACAGGATTTATGGGTCTTTTAGAATTCAGTATCAAAAAGGTGGTACGACCCTATTTGAACCCTGTTTGAGCCATTTCCAACTGTTGGCTCCTAAAGGCCTGTTTTGACCCTGTTCAGGAACCCAGGGTTCTCTCTATGGCACAGACAGGTGCCTGTCTTGGGCGCCATCGATTTTGTTAGTGGTTGCTTTAACAACTTGAATGCTCCTATAAGCGGGGTAGCGAGCGGGTTCTGTACAAGAAATCCCCTGATCTTCTGCAGTGATCCTTCCCAATGGGTGCTGATATCTTGTACAATGTCCCCTCAAGGAAGATCTACATCCACTCCAGACAGGCTCTCCATTTCTTTTCCCAACCACAACCTCAACGTCCCGTCATGATGGACGGCTGGAAACTGCCGGTCTATCCGTCGGCATCGCCAAGTGTCCATGCAAAGATCCGGAGCCATCACCGTCGCCGTCACCAGTCTCACCTATTTTTGTCAATTCTTTTCCGAGGTAACCGTACGAGCTTACCCAACCTCACGGCAGCGACCATTGGGCCGCCTCCGAACCTCCCGTCAGCAAACCTGCCACTCTGCCACTCAGCCACGCGATATGTCGATGCCATTACGTGCAGCAGCCAGGCGAGCCAGGGCGGCAGTGCCACATCAAGCACCGAAGCATCGTGGAACCCGAATAGAATGGATGGACGCCTTTCTCGCGTATACAACCCCGCTGGCCGCGGCTGGGTGATCTGGCCGTCCACGATACCGGCCACGATACACAGACCTAGGCTGGGGCTGCAGAGGTAGCCGAGGTGGCGGTCCTGTGGCCCTCTTGCGAGCTGTCTGGTTACACACCAAGTACGACGTGGAGAGACAACGGGAAGACGGTGAAAAAAGGAGGTGAGCAAGAGACAATGACGACAGAACCGTCTAGACCGCATTTCGGTCTTTTGAGATTCACCTCGCCGACGATGTCCAAAATCCGTACCTGACAGCACGGCACTGCAGCCAATCTGATGTCATCTACCCCCAACCCTGTTTGTTGTTTGGATCGCGACTTTCCATCAACATGGCCGCCATTCAACGCAGGAACGAGCAAAAGGTGCACTATTCACCTTATCAATGGCCTTCCAAGTTACAGCAACACAAAACAGCATCAATCTTACCACGTCTAGCATCGATATCACGCCAACCTATCCCCCCTTTGTCTACCTAGTCTGGGTTCACCACTATCTTCATCTGATCTCTCGTTCCCTCCGTCTACTTCTTCTCCATCCCCTCCATTCCGGGAATGGAATCGAGCCCTGATAGGTCAGTCATGTTAGCGGGTGTCATTCATCAACAACCAGAACATCTTCTATCGCAGACTTACATCCATCGATTGGCTCATCCACGAGTACCTCGTTGTACTTGCACTTGTTCATTGCCGACACGCTCTGCGTCTTCAGGGTCGGGCAGTTAACATAGCACGCCGAGTCCATAGCCCGCTGCAGGGAATCGCCCTTCCAACCAAAGACATAATCGCCGTGGGATCCGAACCCGGTACTGTTTGTCATTGTCAGCAATCACTTCATCCCCCACATTTGAACTTGTGATGGTAGCATACTAATCACCCATAGACCAAACAAAAGGTTGGCTTCCATCCTCAGGCCAAAGCTCTTTATCGTTGAACTTGCTTGTGTCCCAGATGGTCTCATACATCAACTGGGGCACCCGCACTGGATGGCTAGCCGGGCAAGGCCCACCATTCTCAAAGGTCCCGGACTCCGGATATTCCATGTGGCTCATGTGATCCGGCGTATCGAGGTTCTTGCCATCCCAGCAGGTTGGGAACCTCAAATTGGCCATGATCCCGGCCGGGCACGGCTTGGTTGGGAAGTTCATGGACTCGGGGAACCGGGTGCCAGGGTCCTGAAGACATGTGTACGTGATCTGCCGGAACCGCGTAGCTTGCTGCTTGCTCCGATAGGAAGCTTCGCCGATGAGCATGCGGAATCCTTGCTTGAAGGCGGTTACCTTGGATGTTTGCTGGTAGTTGGCCAGCCCGTCCTGCATGTAGTACACGGTCATGCCTCCGTTGGAGCCTTCGAAGCCGATGTTGGGAACCTGCGGGACCCGGTGGTAGGAGCCGTTGCGGGCACGGAAGAAGAGTACGGCGGTCCAGTAGTTGGAGAAATCCTCTGAGAACTGGCAGGTTGTGCATGTGGCCTTCTCTCCAATGTCTTCTCGGGGGTCCATGGAGAGGTTGAAGGCATTCTTGGTGGAATGTTAGTCACTGGAACAAGGGTCGTCGAGGGAAAGGGAGAAGACTTACGCCACCAATGATCTGGTGAAGATGAGGAGAGGGAGAGAGTCCGGGGTTGACGAGCGGATCTACGCGTTGGACGGTGAGCTGCGAGCAGCCAAATCGGATCAACGCCGTCGAAGGCGCCACAAGTGCGAGCGCGGTAAGTGAACTCCAGTGCATCTTGTCTCCCCTTTTTCCGAATCAATCAAGGCGTTGTTGATGTAGTGTTGAAGCAAGGGCTATCTGTCAAAAACCTCTGCTCTGGCGTGAGGTGTCTCCTGGAACGGAGGATGATGACGAGCAGACACTCGAAAATTTGTCTGAAGAAGAACACAGTAGGCAAACCTGGTAACACGTTTGGTTTAGAGGGAAGCATGGGGCTTTATCCTACGAGATCCGACCGGCCTCATTTGTTTTCATTTCCTTCCCATGGTTCTTTTCATTTACTTCTTACGAGCCGCAGTCGTACCATGTGCCGGGCCACTGAAAGGGGCGCCAGAACAGAAAACGACGATCACTCTCAGTCAACGAAGTGCTGTGGGTCAATATCCCGCTGCGTTGCCATCCTGATATGATGGCCAAGCTCGTCGAAGGCGGCTACGGTACAGCAGTTGATGGTGATAATGCATCTTTGAAGAGGGGTGGTGTTTTGGCATCAACTGCCGGCTGTTAACATGGTTGCTATGCAATCTATTCTGACTTCTAGGCGCTCTGCTCAACTTTGCTTCCTACAATTCTTCCGCTCAAAAAGGTAGCCCCCGCATCGAGCGAAGAGGAAGTTGCCATCGAGTGATGGTTATCCTCTGATTGGCGAATGCAACCCGGAGCCGGGAAATATCAACATCCCTTTTTCCCGGTTTAAGTCTTGATTAACTCCAAGATTACCATGTTTCCCATCAGGCGGGAAGTATAGCCCTTATATTGTGCCCTGACATCAATCGGCCCGTCACCCTCGACTTTGGACTTCGAAATGCTGTCGTTGGTTGAGATTGGGCGGCTTTTCTGCGCTAGACCAACCAATCCGCGATTCCTTTGCTTATCATGCTGGAAAGAATCTATCCGAGTTTCACTCCCCAAAGCCACTTGCTACTTACTGCCTAACACAGATCACAGGTGGGCTGGATTTTGCAGGCATTTCATCCTCCTTCCACGTCTTGGCAGCTTAATGTCTTAAGGAACGAACCATCGCCACCATGAGATTAGCAGCTCAATCCGTTGCTAAACTTCCTGGCCGGTTAATGTCCTGGCAAGACCTGGGCGGTTCGATCACCTTAGCGAAGATGCTGGTGGTTGAAAGTAGAAAGTGGGCGACATTGTTCCAGTCTGCTGAGTCAGGGACCTTTCAGCCGACGCTCACTTGTTACTCTCTTCACGGGGCCAGTTACTCGCCCTCGTCATCTCCTATTACTCCATGGTGATAAGCGTCGAGATTGGTGTCGCATAACACATATGGATGACTAAGTAGTGTTGCTCATCGACGATATTGAAAGCCAGGAGAAGAGACTCGGTAACAACACTCACAAGCAAACGCCGTTCGTCCCACCACAACTGGACCCAAGGAACGATAGCAATGCCTGAATCCAGATCTCAACAGCTCATCTTGAGGCTTGAGAACGCTTACAGCCGACAATATCCCTATCCAAGTCTTCCTATCCGATCCAGCTTCATCAACAACTCAGTTACCATGCAACCACTACTTCATCCACGCAACCGCTACATTCTTCCCCCTAACCATCGCCTCCCTCTCGCCCTCCTTCCTCTCATCGCCCCTAATGAAACAAGCGTGATGCACTCCCGGGAAATGCGAATACTCAAACGGCACTCCCAGCTTCTGCAGTGTCGCAAACGTATGCGTCTTCAACTCGGCCGGATACGCAGGATCAAATTCCGGCGCCAACACCTGCACCGGCACGTTCTTTGAAACCCCCTCAATGTCCCCCTTGGTCAAATAAGTAGGATGACCAGCCGTCACTGCATCCACCAACTTCTTCCCCTTCCCCTCAGAACCCTCGGACTCATGCTCAGCAGCAGCCAACCTAAACACCGCCCACCCACCATAACAGTACCCGACAGCCCCGAGCTTCTCAAACCCGCCCCCCTCCGCGCTCTTCAACGCCCTAGCAAACGCAAAGATCTCGGGCTCGCGCACCTCACGCGCGTTCTCCTTCGCGAAACGCTTAAGATCGACCTCCGCCCAGCGCTCCTCGATCAAAAGCTCGGGCGGACAGACGAAGCCGTCGAAGAAGTCCGGGACGAACACCGTGGCGTTCGCTTCGGCGGCGTAGTGGTCGGCGAGCAGGCGCACGTTGGGGAAGATCCAGCCGAAGACGTCGTGGATGAACAGGATGGCGACGCGCGGGTTCGTGCCGGTTTTGTAGACGGCGTTGGTGGTGCCGGGGAGGGGAGAGGGGAGGACGGTTCGTTGGGGAGTGCCGGACCAGCGGAAGCCGGTGAGGCAGCAGGGGGCGTTGGGGAAGATCCAGCCGAAGACGTCGTGGATGAACAGGATGGCGACGCGCGGGTTCGTGCCGGTTTTGTAGACGGCGTTGGTGGTGCCGGGGAGGGGAGAGGGGAGGACGGTTCGTTGGGGAGTGCCGGACCAGCGGAAGCCGGTGAGGCAGCAGGGGGAGATGCCGGAGGGGAGGGCGGGTTGGGCTGAGGAGGAGGAGGAGGAGGAGGACATGGTGATGTTGTGCTGGAGTAATGGGGAGGGGCAAGTAAGTATGATGCGGTTTGGGGATATTTCCAGGGATTGAGGTCAAGGTAGTTGAGTATGTTGATCGAAAACTAATGAAGCGAATTGGCGCTTAACTGAGGAGCTACAAACGCCATTCATACGTATTATATGATGCCTTTCTGTTTGTCATCACAGGCCCAGAGACAGCAGCACTATTTGTCCGACATCTCACATGAGATTTTAGACGCCATTCGGCGTTATGGACTTGAGGTTATTGACTGCATGTCAGATCAGTTGGCGGCTTTTGGGCCATTGAGATGTTACTCTGTGCTTGCACAAGCAAGATTCGCGATTTCGCGATCAGAAGAAAGGCCATAACTTAAATCCGAAGGGAGTTGGGATATATCAAGATGATCGACTATCTAGTTGGTCGGTGGTGTTTGGGTGATAAATGTAGTTTCCGTTCGCAATATTCGTCGCTGATGTCGAATCATTTAGTGAGGGAAAGAATATCGTCAGTATCCCGAGTGTTGAACGATTACGAATCATCTTCTCAGTATCTTGGGTCCTAGGACAAAAATGGACGCAACGATAACGACAAGATAACTAGAAGCTTGATTCCCCAGTTGGAAGAAAGTAAAAAGTAGAAAAAAACGGAAAGAAGATGCCAACTATGCCAAGACGAAGAGTTGAAAACAAGAAAAAGGAAAAGGAAAGGCGAATTGCCCACAGCCAGAATCGAACTGACGACCTCATCATTACTAGTGATGCGCTCTACCACTGAGCCATGCGGGCGTTGTGATTTGATGTTCAATCTGCCCAGATGTTTGACTTATCAACTCCTACATCAATTGGCAATGCATGCGATGTCCTCCCCTCCCGCATGAACAGCAACGCTCTCACTCTCTGTTCACTCGTCCACCCTAGCTCAATCACCCACCCATACCTACTGATTTGCATCACCCATAACAATCATCATGGCATATCATTATCACCCCCTCCGCAATCACCGCCCTTCCAAATCCCAGCCTATTAAAGCTTACTACCCCCCTTCCCCCTCCCCACCCGCCCATCATCAACCACCTGCTCCCGTTCCAAACTCGTCGCGTCTCCTTCAAGCGGGATTCTCTTTCCCAAAGCAGTCCTCGCTCCACCTGAGCTAGCAGCCGTGGGATCATTCCTCGGAACACCATACGCCTTTGTCCTCCGATTCGCATTCGAATTCGAATTCGATGACGATGACTTGTTTTTCTTGGAAGGTGAAGGAGTGACCTCGGCTCCTTCGGGGTCATATTGAACGTTGTCGGGAGAATCTTGGTTGGTCTCGGACTTGAGGGAGATGGGATCGCCTAGTTGGGAGGGGTTGGCGTTGGGGCCGTTGAGCTTTTCGGCGGCGAGTTGGCGGAGGGGTTTCTTGTTGGTATTGGATTGGGGGGACATTGTGAGAGTGTGGTTGGTGGTGTGGATAGGTGAGTTTTGGTGATATTTCCGTTGGGAGGTTCACAAAAGTGTCTTTTGTTGTCGTGATGCGCGCAATAGGAGTTGTTCTTGAGCCCGATGGATTGATCGTGTAAGAATCGAGGCTTAATTTGCGAGAACAAAGGTCAATCGCGTCTCTTTTGTAGCACAAACAGCCAGTCCTTTTGAGTTCAAGTTCATTGTCAGCCGAGGTCTCCTGAGCAACGACTGTGTCATGCGCGTCACTGCAGTCTGCACACCGTGATGTATGACGTTGTTAATACGAAATGGTCGTGCGATCTCGACCGTGCCGATCTGTCGGGTTCATCGCATGCGGATCGCGCCGTGATCTTGAAGGCCCCGACTTCGAAGATCCGGCTAGTTTAGCAGGCGCTAACGTTCGGATAGCTCCGATGCATCGGGTTGTGCATTGATCGTTGACTGATTTCCGGGGTCAATGACAACTGTGCGTCAAGACTTGAAGTTCATCAAGGAGAATGGGGTTTCTTCAGATATGAATCAACTGTGTGCACCAGATTCCAATACCTTTTTCATGTTGCTTGGTTACCCCGAACAGTTTGGACTGTTAGAGCTTCCTCCCTTGTCGTTCGTCACATTTCCAGTCCCAAAACCATCCGCATTTACAGACAGCATTGATATGGCTTGTGACAGGTTCTGAGGACAGCTACTCGGGGGGTAAACGTTAAATACAAACCTCAAGCTTAAATAATAACGTCAGCAAAGTATCCAAGAAGAGTTTTCGACTCATCATACAATACTCGTCTCCGTTTTTTTCACACCCCTTCAGTAACCCAGCTTCTAATGCTTCAGGAACATATATATGCTCACACCAGGATACTCGGGAAGGAGGTTCATTCTCTTCATGACCTTCACACATTCATAGGTCCAAGATAGAAGGTTACCAACCCCGGGGGGTCAGTGAGAGAACCATGAAATCCACTTCGTCAGCAGTGTATCCGAGCATGATCACCCTGAAGTGATACACGCTTCTAGCAGGCTCTCGCGGATACTTTTCACTGTCCAGCCGATGTGCAGTTCTGCAGAGCTCAGACGTGCTGCGTTTGTCAATAGGAGAGACTCCCACTGCACCCATCAGCGGTATGGTGTTGTGTCCGCTTGAGCGATACTCTCTTGTCATTACAGTCTATACAATGGTGACGGTGACCCATTCGCCACTATCGTACCAATCACTTGGAACATTGGTGATATTGCCAATTCTCTCCATACATCCCGGGGAATTAGGTGAAGAAGACCAGCTGAGGACGAGTCCGACATAATTGTAGTTCATCCAAGGGGTACGTCCAATGCAAAGAAAGACACCTTGTCCATGCACTTCATCTTCCCACTCTTCTCCTCTTGCTCGACGGATGCATGCAATATTGGATGATGCTGACGGAGCGACCTGGGGCATCAGTTGTCCATCCGCACGAAAATGCAGCTTCTTGCTTGTCGTATTCTTTTGTGGATTGCGATAATAGACCCATTGCTCGTTTTTGTGCCGCGAGGTTTCCACGAAGCATTGCTTCACATGGCCGCGTATGATGAGTTTCCCTCCAGCCACCGCGCCGTACGGATTTTGGCCGTCCACATCGACATGCGTAGTGACCAGTTCGGAAAGGAGCTCAGGTCTTTGAAGAGGGTTCCAGGTAACGCCTCTGTCCATCGAAGCCCAGGACCAAGAGGGAACAACCCGGCCAGATTCGTCTGGGTAAGTGAGTGCCTTGTGCGTGGCTCCCGGCATGACTTGCCAAAGCAGGTCGAGTAGAAGGCTTTCTTGCCACAAACCAGCCAGATACTTCGTCCTTTGAGCCTGCGGCGTCTTGCTAGCTGCGCCGGCAATGGCGGGTAGCTTGTCAGAGGCGAACGTTAGTTGACGTTGGGTGTAGGCTTTCACAGTCATGCGCCATTTATCTGCGTCCGGTGGTTCTTCGCCAAGTGTGCCAGGAAGAAGTAACGGGTAAGGTGGCAGTTGATCCTCGCTGCGGCGATGCGTCTTGCACTCGAAGATGATTGCGCCAGGGCAAAATGAAGCGCGCGCTGAGCCAGGAATGTCTCTTGGAAGCACCAGCCCCTTGAGTACAGCGGGCCGACACGCTTTAGGGTTGCCCAAGCGCCTGTGTATGGGGGCTCGAGTAGACCCTGTTCTAGAGGGGCGGCGAGCAAGTGGCGTTGCCGAGCTATGATAGGCAAGCTCTGGCCGTCTTCAATCTGGAGGTTGAATCGCTTTGGCAGCCACTCTGGCTCACGAGGGCCCAGGAAGGGTGTCTGAGGATTCGAAGACGAAGCACCACAAATCACCACAAAGGCTTGGCTGTAAACCATTCCCATCCGCGAGGATTCAACCTCCCAGTCCGTCTTGTTGTCCTGGATGATACATAGGGAGTCTATCCATATGTGTTGGAGTCCCAACTCGCGAGCAACACGGATTCCGTCACAGAAGGTTGGAGGAAGGTCGGATATCTCCACCTTTTCCAGTAGGGTCATAAGGTTCCCCTGAAGGAGCTTGAAGGGGGCACCACCACCCCAACAATGGCTCAAAGCAGCCCATCTAATATCCTCTGTAGGAGGAAGCCCCATACGAAGGCGGAGGTCATTGTTGTCTTTCCCTATGTAGAGAAGTCGAGTTGGGACAAAACCGATGTCTCTAGGTTGGCATTGGCTATTCTGGTGCTCAATACAGCACTGTGCCACGCACTCTCGGATGAACTCGAAGCAGGCACCGGAGGCGACCGTTTCCGCTCTGTGCCCGGTAGGACCCATTGTTGGGATGTTGCCGGAGGTAGGGCTAGGGACCAAAGCGGCGGTCGGGTCGGGATACAACTCTAGGTCGACGCGAGAGAAAAGAGTGTGTCGGTCATAGGTGAAGCCCCAACAGTTGACAACGAGAGGCTTGCCCTCGCAAATCATTAGCCCTACGGAGATGGGCATCTTGTTCCGTGTCTCGGTAATCCAGCTCATGTACTCGTCGATGAAGAAGGCGTCAAAGATGTCACACAAGAGTCGACAGTATCGGCATTGGCGCCTGAACAGGCCAGTGGTCGGATCTGGCTCGCGAGCATCAAGTAGGTCGCGGGTGGAAATGTTTTCCAGAGTCAGCACCGTGATGGTTATCTGGACATCGGGGTTCGAGGAACCAGGTATAGTGACTCGTCGAGTGTTTTCGTGATGCTAAGGTTGTAAGTTGTTGCACACCAAACAGACGCCTCGCGAGGATGCCGTCAACCGTCTCGTTACCGAGCAGCCAACGTATGTTGCTACCTGGGCAGTCGTGCCAGCGCCCTTGAGCAGAGATGATGTTGCATCACGGAGAGATGGCCAAGAAGTCGACATGGTGAGAGATCCCCGGTGCGATCTGTCGTAGAAGTGCTTGTAGGTAGAGTACGAGAAAAGAAGGCTGCCCTCGCATGGAAAAGTCGGGGTCATGGTCAGCTCTTATCACATCGTGACTGTGGTTGGCATTACGTAGGAGTCTTTCGCCGAAATCCAGGGCTGAACTTGTTCTCGACCAATGCCGTGGTAATGCGGTGGTACTGTAGCATCTCAGCTACACAAGGCCATGATGCCGACGCGCCGGCGTGTCTTGTCCAGGCACGGCGTATATTTCTCGCAACGGTGGTCGACATGTCGAAACGATCGGGGGGTCAAAGGTAGTCTCCATTTTGCAATAGTATCGAGATCGGTAAGGGTAATTGGGCGTAAATTTGGTGTTGATGCATTCTAGTTCGCGGGTCGGCAAAGTGTTGTTTGGAATTGGAAGAAGCTGCTCTCCAGCAAAAGTCCAAGCTCGGTGTGTCTGCAGTGCTGTAACAACAGGAGGGGTAAATTACAAGATCTCGAAAGTTACGGTAATGGCGGGGTGCGCTACGATGGACAACGCTAAGCTCTTGGGCCGCTATTCTTGGCTGTTAAAAACAGGGGCAGTTCCCTGTGTAACTTTGGTGCAACAACCTCCCGTCCCGTCACAGTGAAATCCCGTTCCAGACACAGATCGAACTTGGTTTTGTTCGAGAAATATCTCCGCTTTTGACAGCTCCAACCCCGCGGATTGTCGCCATCAGTTCCAAACTTCCATTTTCAGCTCCCACAATGCCGCCCCTTGCTCGGCGGTGGGGAGCGGCACTGCTGATTGCTTGTGTCACTTGCTTCATCCTCTTTACCTCGCACCGCAACCTCGAGCTGGCCAGGCTTAGATTCTCCTCCTCCTCAGGCTCCTCCGCTATTGTCCACGACAACCATGAAACAGGACCCGAGTCACCACCCCCCGTCTCTATACGAGATAGGCTGCAAAAACCTCCCCAATATCCCGTCACCCATATGAGACAGCTGCCATCAGGGACCCCCTCGAGACTCCCCACAGTACAGGCCACCTTCGGCCCCGAGTCTGACAATGATCGAAAGGTACGCCTCGAGAGACAAGCTGCCGTCAAAGACGCCTTCCTTCGCTGCTGGAACTCGTACCGCACCAAGGCATGGTTGAGTGACGAGCTGGAGCCAGTTAACGGCGGCCGGAAGGATACCTTTGGAGGATGGGGAGCAACATTGGTCGACAGCCTGGACACCCTATGGATCATGGGTTTGAAGGATCAGTTTTACGAGGCCGTTGCTGCCGCAGCCAACATCAGCTTCGAGGCCACCTCCCGAGCCGAAATCAACGTCTTCGAGACCAATATCCGGTACCTGGGCGGCTTCTTGGCGGCATATGACCTTAGCGGAGACAAGAGGTTGCTGCAAAAGGCCAAGGAGGTGGGCGAGGTCCTGTACCTGGCTTTCGACACTCCCAACAGGATGCCCCAGACGAGGTGGAATTTCCATGACGCTGCCCGTGGAGAACGTCAAGTCGCCCCTGATGCTGTCCTCCTTGCTGAGATTGGTTCCTTCTCTCTCGAGTTTATCCGTCTTTCCATGTTGACGGGCGATCCCAAATGGTTTGATGCTGTGCAAAATATTATGGAGGCTCTCCAGAAACAACAGCAAAAGACACGTCTTCCCGGCATGTGGCCTGTCGTAGTCGACGCAAGACGGCAGGACTTTGGCAGGCACAACCAATACACGCTAGGTGCAATGGCCGACTCCCTCTACGAATACCTCCCCAAGACCCACGCTCTTGTCGGCGGCTTGCTTCCCATGTACGCCGACATGTACAAGGCATCCATGGATACAGCCATTCGCTACAACCTGTTCCGTCCTATGCTACCTGATCAGAAAGACGTTCTAATGACGGGCATGGTCCTTGTCGGGTCAGAAAATGGAAGGAGGGTGACACAGCTGCGCCCAGAAGGCCAACATCTGGCTTGTTTTACCGGCGGAATGCTTGCTCTTGGAGGCAAACTCGTCCAGAATGACACCCATGTCCATAAGGGAGAGCAGCTCATGGACGGGTGCGTTTGGGCGTACAAATCCATACCCTTGGGTATAATGCCCGAGGTCTTCCACGTGCTACCCTGTGACTCGACCGATCATTGTCCATGGGATGAAGAAAAATGGAAATTGGCCGTCGTTGACGAGGCTGGCTGGGGGCTGACTGAGAATAAAGAGAACGATCTGCATAAAGCGGACAGAATCATTAACTACAAAAGGCTACCCAAAGGTTTCGTGTCGATTCCAGACGCGCGCTATATCCTTCGCCCCGAGGCTATCGAGAGTGTCTTTCTTCTTTACCGCATCACGGGTCGTCGTGACCTTCCAGACTCAGCCTGGGCCATGTTCGAGGCCATTGACTCCAACACAAGGACCGAACTGGCCAACTCAGCGCTGCTCGACGTTACCGTAAAGGAGGGCAAATCGCCCATGAGCCATTCCATGGAGAGCTTCTGGCTTGGAGAGACACTCAAGTACTTCTATCTCATGTTCAGCGAGTCGGACCTTATCAACCTTGATGAATACGTCTTCAACACAGAAGCACATCCATTCAAACGCCTCGTTCCATAATAGTCCCCTTCAAATACTCTTGGGTGTCATGCCCCACGATCGGCCGGTGCTGCGTCAGGGAAGCGGGCTCTGTATACCTACAAACACAGCTGGAGGATTCGCTATGACTTTTAACTCAACTAATATCTAATACAACTAATTGAATGGTTATTGCACGTGTGACCGTTCATGACGAAGGGGGGTTTCTGAAACGTGCAGTGCACTCATTACAACAATTCACTCGGATATCAATTCAGACGAACGGAAAAGGATAGGTGTATAACGCGAAAATTACGCGGACAGTCGACGCGCTTCCTTTCACTTGCACATCAGACTGTAGTTAGACCACGGTCACCATTTCTCACGCCCTGCTTCACAACAACTATCTCCTCTTTCTAATCTTTGGTCAAGTCACGCATCACCATTTCCCACGCCCTCCTTCTCGACGACGACCTTCTTTTAATCCTTGGTCAAGTCACCTTGGACATCAGAACCCCCTCTCTCAACACCTATCTCCTCCTCTTATTGTTTGGTCAAGTCACCTTGCACATGAGAACACAGTAAAACCACAATCACCATGGCTCATATCCTCTCTCTCGATAACGGTTTCCTCTCTTTAATCGTTGGTCAAGTCGCCCATCACGCTGATCACCTCTCTCTTCGCCAGACTTGCCGGTTGTTTGAGGCTCTCGTTTCTCAATACCTCTTTCGCCAAGTGGCGGTCTCTCCTATCGGCAATGATCTTGCCAAATTTTTGCGCGTCGCCTATAGTCCTAGGCTAAGCCAACACGTCCAGGAGCTGATCTGGCTCGAGCTGGACTGTCCCATCGCTGAAGGGAACAGGCTTCATTGGCCTTTCCCGCCTACCTCAGTACGACCCGGGGATCATATGGTTTTATGCGAAAAGAACGGTCTGTTTTGGCACTCATACTCGCCCTTGGATATTCCAAGTGAAATCACCAATGGAAGACCGTACATGGTACGCGACGGACTTTTGCCCGTTTTTCTTGAAGCCATTAAGCGGATGCCCAAACTCCGTACCTATACCTCCGTTTCCATTGACTTCGATACATTTCATCGCCGCTGTGGCAGAGAAATTACTATAACCCGCTCGAGAGATCTTCGAAGCCAGCGCTGGCCGTGCGCCTGTCGGTCGCAACTCATACCTGGGCAAAATGCCCCAGCAAACGTTATCTTCTTGAAAGGAGCCGAACTTTACGTTCTTCCAGCTCTGGGACAGAAGAACGCGGTCAGAAACAGATGGCTCCAGCTGCACTGGTTGGGCAGTTCTTACTTCGTGTACAGGCCTCCCCAAATCCCCCTTCAACTGGCGCATGTACCGCCGATATCCGAAGCTCTGGTTGAATTCATATTCAACATTGGAAGAATCGACAGCCCCGTTGGGGAACCGGAGCGCCGTCAACGCCACCTCGAGATGCAACACAAACTGCATGCTTGTCTCGCAAACGCTCAAAACCTCCGCACCCTACGTCTCACAGCATTCCAGAGATTTCCAGCCGCATGGCCCTGCGCCAAGAAGGTCCGTGACCATTACTTCTTCGACCTGCTGGCTGGACAAGCGGCTGGTCCCAACAGCGGTGAACTCTACCTTCCGAAGCTTGACTGTCTGAGCCTTGAGAGCGTTAGCTTCAGCCAGGCGGGTCTCAAGAAGTTTATCGAGCGTCATGTCCACACTCTTCGTATTCTCGAGTTATTCGACTGCCGCCTAGAGTTCGACACGGTGAAGCGCCTGGCCACACTGGGCTTGCGACTCGACAAGTTCGAAGTGACCTCGGTCAGGTTGATGATCGAAGATATCAGGAGAATGAGAGATGCGCAGTACCAATTTTTCGGAGGTCGCTGGACGACATGGAGAGTCTTCGAGTTTATCACGCCTGAAAGCCTGCTGAGATTGATCAACAACAATACCACACCAGAAGCCGAGTGGGCAATTCTCGAACCTACGCGCTTTGGTCGCATCCCATATCAGGCACACTTCAACTTCCTGGTCACGACTGAGGATGTCAGAGAATCTTACCGTGCTGATTGGTTCAACATGCCTGCTGGCGACATATTCGAGCAACATTGGCAGAGCCTTGTCCAAGAAGGAACGGGAATTGACTTCCGGCAGCCTAGCCATCCAGAGATGGTGAGATGCTTGGGCGACGAACACGGAGAGGGAACGTATTACCCCGATGATGGTGCGGTTATCTACCCAACGGGTGAATCACCTGGGTATGTCCCTGCTGATCTGGCACTTCTCGAGAAGTTGAAGCGGCGTGCCCTGGAACTCTCGTTATCACCCGAGCATGTGGAAGAGGTGCAGTCGCTCATGGAAACTCGCAGGCGTGAGGAAGGAGGATCTGGTAACGAGGGCTCATACTGAAGGGGACGGCAATACCATCACTGTTGAAGTTTATGTCAGAACTCAGACTCTAGTTGGGAAGAAGGGTTGGTAAGCAACGCCTGGTGGAATAGCGGAACAATTCGAGATGGAAAAAGAGACACAAAGAGCTACGTGCATTGGAGGACAAACAGAGAGATACAAGGGGGATCGATAGGGAAATTTGCTTCGGTACGTAGCTTGCAAGATCTTATCTGATGGAACAGGCATTCCAAGTGATTCTCCGTGACTATAACTGCATCCGAAGTTACCTAGTGCTAATGGACATTGATATCCATAGGAAAGCGGTTTCGGAGGCTGTCAACATGTCGTGCTCGAGGCGGACCTTCAAAGAGCCACCTCTCTGACTCTGATCCCCATCGAATCACATCTAGCACAACAATGGGCAAGAGCATCACCGTCCTGCATTAGTGAGCATCCGAGCCGTCCAAGGGGTATAAAAAGTCGTCCGCTGTTGGTAGGCAGCACATTGAGGTCGTACCAACGGTTCAAGCTCCGAAACTTCTTCGCAGTTCGGCTATTATCACGTGGTCCAATCGGCAATAACGGTCAACCGGGAAAAGTATTATCTACGAGGGACCGGTACGATAGTGTAATTGTAGATCGGGTCGATAGCGCAATGCCCGCTCAAGTATATACTCAACCCTAACCCTCCCTCACCAAACAACACCCCCTTTTCCCTTTACCGGGGGTGCGATGGACAAAGAAATGGCATCTGATTGAAGTCTAGAAGCTGCATTTCCTTCCTCCTTTCAGTAAAACTTCATGGCGAACAAGGCAATCACGGTCCCGAAATGTTTGGGGGATTTGCGGGGTTGAAGCTTCGCGTCATCAGCATTTGAGCACGCCATCGATTCTTATCGCAATGGCTTGGGGTCGCTGCACCAGAACCGGCCACTCGGTTGGGTTAGCCTAACCAGCTAATGATCACGCAATCGACACCAACAAGCAGCACAACCACTATTATAAACATGATGGCGGTCGAGATGGATGCCAACGTTCATTTGATGTCTTGAACCAGGCAAACAGTTTCATATATCTTCATTATACCCCCTCATTTCAGTTCTGTCACTCACACCTTCAAAGACATCTCATTCCTCCCGTCTTTGAACTCGCCACTCACTCACTCACTCAAATCACACCTTCTCACTCTCACACACATACCAACCCTCAGACACAATGGCTCCCGGAACTCTCGTCGAGGACGAGGCCCAGCCCGCCGCGGCCGCTTCTCCCGCCGTCTTCAAGCACAAGAACGCCTACCACAACCAAGACGCCCCCCGCGACATCTTCCCCGACGGCATCCGCACCTCGGGCCAGCACCCTCCCCTCTACGACGTCCTCCGCCCTTACTCCGAGTTCCCCAAGGAGATCACCGGCCCGACTGTCTGGAAGCGCGAGGACTTCGTCAACAACCCCGAGCGCTGGGTGCACCCCTTCACCGATGAAGAGGTCCAGGAGCTCTCCGACACGGCCGACGCCTTCATCGCCTCCGGCACCCCGTTGACCGGTATCTCGCAGGAGAACTTCCCCCTGCCCAAGCTGGGCAAAGTCCTGACCAACCTCCGCGACGACCTGCTCAACGGCAAGGGCTTTATTTTGTTTAAGCGCTTCCCCGCCGACGTCTGGGGCGCCGAGAAGAACGCGGTCGCCTACATGGGCTTGGGCACCTACCTGGGCTACTTCGTCTCTCAGAACGGGCGCGGCCACGTCTTGGGCCACGTCAAGGACGTCGGCGACGACCCGACCCAGATCCACACGGTGCGCATCTACCGCACCACGGCCAGGCAGTTCTTCCACGCCGACGACGGCGACATCGTCGGCCTCTTGTGCGTGCACCGTGCGCAGGAGGGCGGCGAGAGCGATATCGTCTCTGTTCATAACGTCTGGAACACTTTGCAGCAGGAGCACCCGGATGTCGCTGAGCTCCTCACCAAGCCCATCTGGTACTTTGACCGCAAGGGCGAGGTGTCGGAGGGCCAGGCGGAGTGGGTTCGTCAGCCGGTTGTGTACATTGAGAACGGCGGCAAGGGAAGACTCTACTGCAAGTGGGATCCGTACTACGTCAAGTCGTTGACTCGTTTCAGCGACAAGGGTCTCATCCCTGCGCTGAGTGAGGAGCAGTTGAGGGCTATGCAGATTCTGGAGGAGACTTGCCAGAGGCTGGCGCTGCATATGGTGCTGGAGGTGGGCGATATCCAGTTCTTGAGCAATGCGCATTTGTTGCATGCTCGTACTGCTTATAGGGGTGAGTTTTTCTTGTCTTTTCGTCAAGTTTGATACGAATATCACGATAGGTACTAACATGTTCCATACAGACTTTGCCCCTCCTGCTCCCCGTCGTCATCTCCTCCGTCTCTGGCTCGCCACCCCCGAGAGCGAGGGCGGCTGGGCTCTCCCCATGCCTGACAGCGACGAGAAGAAGCGCGGTGGTATCCAGGTGAACAACACCCCTCCCAAGGCTCCTCTCGATGCCGAGTAAAGCAGTGGATTCCTTTCTTGTTCTTCTCTTCTTTCTCATGTGACAATTTCTTTTCCTTTTTCTTGTACATATGGACGGCGGCGACTGGTTGGAAAAACAAAATAACAGGCTGGGGCAAGACATACCTGCAAAGTAGTAGGGAGCCCCTTCGGAGATCTACACCAGAGACAGACAGAATCCTGGGATACAGGACATGATATAACATGAATGGCATTGAGTTACGAACGCTTTGTTTCTCTAACTGTTGGCTCTTGTATGTTGCTGTGCTTTTTGCAATGCTCATAGCCTGGCTCACCCATCACAGAAATAATGCGACCTTTGGCTGTATTCTTGGCTAGCCGACGGGGTCTCATAGAATTCGTCATGGACGGGACTGGGCTCTATGTCCATCTCAACATGTGTCTGGTACGTACATATCCAAAGATTTCCCTTTTTGCTCCCCCTGTCTCTGTCGACATAGACACTGAACCATGACCAGCAAGGTCCGGGTGTATCCTCCCGGCCCATCCAGTTCCCCACCCACTCAGTACCGCCTACACGCCGTCCAAGTTGCTCTCACCCAAGTAGGACACACCATCTCGGGCGTGCACTCCACATCCCCATGCATGATATCGTTCAACATCACCATCCCGCAATGGTTCGTATGATGCCAATCCGTCAGGTAGCTATCAATCGGCCTGTGCTCCAAGATAGCTTTATGCATCATGATCCATTAATTTGTATTTGTTACAGTCAAGTCATATCCGTTTTCCGACGAGTTATCATCCAATCCCAAACCCACCGTCATCAGCCTTGACAACATCAAGGATGCTTCCCACTCTCAGCCAGTGCGCCAGCCTGCAACGCCTTCAACCTGAGCTGATACTCCTCCTGTGGGAAATGTCTATCCGGATGCAACATCCACTCCGTGAGCTTGTCAAAGTCTCGGCAGATGTGCGTTGTCTTGGCCGAGGGGAAGTTGGCGTGCACTCTTTCCATGTACATCCAAGGGATGGTGCTGATGTCGGAGTAGCACATGATGGTCTGGCGGAGGTTGTCGATGCAGTGTTCTATTTATTGACGATGTCAGTCAGGCTGTTATATGGCTTCAGTTGGTGCAGGAAGTACTCACCAAGGTGAATCCAGTACTCCTTGCGCTGCTGCTCTGTCATGTCTCGGTCGCCGCCGTAGCGTTCCGGGTAGAAGTGCTTTCGGATTAGGTCCTAGTAGAAGGATATCGGTCAGTCAACGAACGAATAGGGAGTGCTAGGGCAGGAAGAATTGGCATACCAAGCAATGGAGCTGATGGTAAACTTCTAACCCCACGATATACCCATCTTCTTCACCTGGGATAGGGAGCGTTTGGTTTGGCAACTTCTCGGCATCCTCTTTGGGAATCTTGATGACTCCAATGTCGATATACAGGTCTCTCCAAGCCTTGTCAACTTCGTCGTTTGGCGGCCCTTGCCAGCGGGTTTTGTCTTCGAAATTGTTGTGGAATACCACTTCTTTCCACTCGGTGGCTTTGATGGCTGGAGAAAAGACTTCTGGCGTATCTTTGACGACGTAATCTGCAAACTGCTCAACTATCAGCGTTTGTCTCCTCACTTCTCTCTTGGCTTGGTAGTGTTGGTGGTATCCTACCGGTAAACTGCGACTTCACTGACACATCTCGAGGGCCTGTAAGTTCCCGTAGACCCCAACCAAGGACAACCAGAACGAGTGAACTGGACAGCAGTATGACTGCCAGCCGAAGTCGTCGAAGTCGCTCCCGCAAAGCCCCGCTAATGTCGGTTTCGCTCTTGGGGGTGTTCAGCTGTTCTGTGTCGAGCTTCTCGTCCGACTCTGCCGCTCGAAGGGTGTTGTACGCAATGCGAGCATTGGTGTCTCGCAGCCACGAAGTAGGAACGTACTTGGAGAGCATCTCGTGCGTGTTTCCCTAAGACTGGTGCTATGTTGTTGGAACGAAGAAGTCGAGCAAGCTGGGTGACGACCGGGCCTGGAAGACAGGAGACAGGATGCATCAGAAAACGAAGTTGTCGGGCACCACGGGTTGGGCCTAGGAGACCGGACCTATTCGCCTCTCCTTCACCATCTTCCAACCTGGACTCCATCGCATGCGTGAATCGTAGTAGCGTCCAAGAGATGATCGTGATGGTACCACAAGCACATCTTGTCGGTCAGCGCTTTGTCAGGCTGTCGTGTACACGGAACCGGTGTCGTGGTGATCCGGAGGATTCAGTTGCCTGCAATAGTGGGGGCTGTCAAAACGGTGCATCCCATGCAAAACGGAGGGCTTCAGGCGATGCGAAGTGCGAGTGTTAGTGGAGCCTACTGCAACATCCACCATCGTGCCGCTGACAGCGCTCATGCACTAACGGGGAATGGCATGGGCGATTACTCACGTTCTGGGATCGGCCAGCCAATGGTCTTACACGCTTCCAGGTTTTCGGTTCCAGACATGGCAAACCCGGTGAAAATGAAGATAGCGCAAAAAGACATGGTGAGTGGCTTTGATCACGATGAGTTGATGCAGGATTTGAGACGCGATGCAAAAAAGAATCGCAAAGAAAAAAATAATGAATCTCAGCTGTTATCTGGAGTGTTGGAGAGGAAGGTGCACTGGCGGGCATCGGCATGTAATACCCGGCGGGGCACATTGTGCGATTGTAGGTCCCGGTCTCGCAGGTTTCGGTGACAGAGCACACTTCAAGGCAAGAGCGAAGGGGGCGGCACCACAGAGTTCACAGTTTTCACCCCGTCTGCCACTTCTGACCTCACGCCTGCCTCGCAAGTTCTTCGAGTGCGTGCCGCATTGCGCAAAGTAAAATCTGCGATTCACCATCTTCCTCTCTTTGCACGATTCGCGGACACAGCCATCATGCCTCATCCATCTTACGACCACCACGCCTTGGACGGCGAGGAGTCTGATGACGACGACCAACACTCCATCTCGCTAGACGACAAAGAGCCACTCAACCAGGAAAATCCACCACCAGCCCGGTCATACTCAAAGATCAGACTTTGCCTGGCTATCGTCGTTATTCTTTCCTTTGCCCTAATACTAATCTCTTTCCTCAACCACGTCCTCTCCCAATCAAAAGACTCGCCCGAGGTCTCTCACCACCAATCCCTCGAAGACTGCGGCCTCTCCCCCACCTCCGCTCGTCAGTCCAACTGCGTCTTCGACCCCGTTCTCATGGGCTGGGTTCCCATCCGGTGCCACGACGCCGACCTTGCCTCTGAGTTTCTCTCCCGAAAAGAGTTGGGGGTGTTCTACCGGGACGAGGATCACAATTCCACCATGCTTCTTGAAGAAGTCATGGCGGGTGAGTGGGAGTATGTCTGTCTCGTGGGAGTTTCAGGTTTTGCATTGTATGTATAGTTGGAAGAAGACGTTGCGGGCGGCGATGAATGGACAAGAAATGGTGTTGGATAGGTATGTGGGTGATAGTCATCATACTAATCATTGTGAGATGTGGATGATGCAGCAGGGGAGGGAGGGGATCAAGGAGTTGGGGGTTTATATGAAGTATGTTGGGTGTCCGATGGGGAGTGAAGGGGAGAGTTTGGGGAGGTTTGGGTGGTATAGGGTTTTGGGAGGGAAGAGGGTTTATAGGAATGAGTAGAAGCTGACTGGGATGTAGTTTGTGTGTTGAATGGTCCTGTTTATGTGCGCCTCAGAGTCAAAATATGGTCCATGGAGGCCGTATTGTAAACGAACGTAAAAAAATCATAGACTTGGTCAACTGTTGTGAAAGGGACCATGAATCTCGCTTGATGACATGACAGGACGGGTCAAAAATCGCCGTTGAATAGGCGTCCGGGGCAAAGGATCAACGCAATTGAAGTTACTCAAAGTTGAGAAATGAAAGTCGAAGCAAAAGAAAAACAAAAAAAAGCAAAACGCTCAGCCGCCCAAGTCCCGAGTTGAACCCCAGACCAGCTGCAAGACCTACGAAAATACCACGCATTTTCTGCCCCAGCACACTACCACGTAAGCTACCGTGACCGGAGATGTTGGAAGGTGTGAGCTTTGGGGCTCATATGGTTCTAGGGAGGGTCCTGCCGCTGGAAAGCTGGGGCACACAAGTCGCAAGTGCCACACGGAACAGTGTTCATTAGTCACGTCTCTCTGGACCAGATGCTCTTACGTCCTTTGGACTTTGCACCGTAGATCACCTACTGATACCTTGGCCTACGGTTTAGTGTGGACATATTACTTTTCACTTGGTCAAATACGTCAAAGTTGTCTGTTAGATGATGGTAACTGTGCTGATGTCAAGTACCTCCATGACGCTTGAATGATAGACTGGAAGCAAATCTCATACTCCTTGACTCCTATGAGATCAAGCACAGCTAGCTTAAGAGACTGGAACCAAATAAGTGTACGCAATTATTTCTACTCATGCCCTTCAAGAAAACCAAACATTCTTCGCCTCAACACATCCATTTGCCTCCCGTCCCCATCAAATGTGCGCTACGCCTCTTCGTCCAGATACTCCCTCATGATATTGTCCAAGCCGTGATCTTTGTCTATCACTTAAGCAATGATTAGCAAGGTACCACATATGAGTCCTGAAATTGAACATATGCTTACCGAGAACCTGCAGCAGTAGCAAGGTGGAACTCAAGCATCCTCCTCCCGCTTGCCGACGTCCGCCCAAGTCACAACGCCCTGGGCGGACTTGTCACCACCATCTCTCTTGCCGACATCAGCCCAGGTAACAACGCCCTGGGCGCTGTTATCACCATGAGTGCTGTCTCTCTTTCCCACGTCCGCCCAAGTAACGACACCTTGGGCAGACTTGTCGCCACCGTCCCGCTTGCCCACATCAGCCCAGGTGACGACGCCTTGGGCGCTGTTATCGCCGTGGGTGCCATCGCGCTTGCCGACATCCGCCCAAGTGACGACGCCTTGGGCGCTGTTGTCGCCGCCGGCTTGCTTGTTGGCGAGGGGAGCGGCAGTGGCGCTGGTAAGGAGGAGGATGAAGGGGGCGGAGAACCATTTTAAGGATGTTTGATTGTCTTGGGAAGGGATTGGTTGAAGTTTTGTTGTCACTGGAAGGTATGAAGTGGAAGGGCCTTGAGAATCTGAGTCTGGCCAAGAAAGAGAGGATTGAATTGGAGGGTATCTGAGTGAGTGGTGATGGTACTGACGGGTTCTCTGTTGCCCTGGATGGGGAGTCGGATGGTCTTAAATCCCAAGAACCACAGTTCGTGTGCAAGAAGAGTGGGCTGAACTTGACCGGACCGTAAGTGCTAAGATTCACTTGGGGAGATGTCTGGTCGCTTCGGCAAGTGCTGCTCTCGGCCTACCACTGGAGTTGAACCTTGCACAGATCATGTTGAAGGCTCGGGTTCGTCCTTCCGTGATCACCCTAGAGCTCATCCTTCAAAGCAACTGTCGCTCTGTCATCAGCCATCTCCGCTCTTCCATCATTTCCATCGAGATCCTAGAGACCTCGCGCGGCTCCTGCTCTGCATGGGCAAGGCCGACATCTGTCCTGGTTAGGAAGGAGAGATGACTTCTCTGAGGCAATCCGCCGTCTCCACAAATCTCAAAGCATGCTCATGATGCTGTGGATGATGAGTTGTCGTCGTTTTTCGGTTTACTCGCCGTGCCGATGCGGCGTCGGGAGGTCACAATACTCGGTTCGAGTAAGCCTTCTCCGTTTTGAGCGGGGAAAACGGTGAGAAATCTGATGAAGCGGTTCTCTAGACCTTGATAGGCAGTGATAGCGACCTGCGTTGGCGTTAAAGGTAAGCGAGGGACGCAAGGACAACCCAGTTTGAGACAAGCTTTTTTCGATGTAACCATGGCGTATCTCGTAAGATCGGCTCCGAGTCGGCATGCTACCTACCTCAGGTGTAAGCGTCCCGTGGACGTTTATCGCTATGAGTCTCAGTCATGCTCCTTCCCATACTGTTTGTATAGACGGGAATAGCTGGGGTGTAGATAGTCACTGTCAGTGATGCCTTCCTTCGGAATCCGGGGGTCGCCGGCAAACATGGCCTGGTCGGGTAAAGCCCGGGAGGAACGACTGTTAGTAAGGGTTGGTACTACCTTTGTGGTGGGATGGTTTCACCTTCCCTTTTTGGCTTTCCATGTTGTGTTTTCCGGGGCTGTGTATGTATGTTGGAACCAACCGACATTCTCCGCTCCATGATAACCATTTCCACTCGAACTCAACATTAGTCGTCATTTTTCCGCCATCTTCTTTCCAACATGAACACTCCGCCGTTGACGATCGCGAGCTCTGCATCGCCGACGGAGACGATCACAGACACAACCGGTACAGTCCTCAAAGGCAACTGCCACTGCGGCCGGTATCGCTTCGAGTATTCGCTCCCCGATGGCCGAAGGCTCCACCACGAAGCTGTGAGATGCACCTGCACTCTCTGTTCCAAGAAGGGGTATATATGGCTTCCTAGCCCTTCAACGCCATCCGAGGGCGAATTGAAGTGGACACGAGATGATGGGTGTATGACTAAGTATCAAACCCCAATGGTATGGGATCAGGTGAGAGCCCGATGGTATCCAGAGTGGGTTTGAATCAAGCATAGTGCGCGTTGCTGAAACTGAACATCTTGAAGTTCTGTAAAGACTGTGGCACAGGAGTGGTGGGCGTGCATTCGTATGGACCTCTGAAGGGACAAGTGCTGGTCAATGTGCGGGCTATTCAGGGTGTCAAACCTTTCTTCCTTGAGTATGAAGACACTACTTCCAGCAAACGTCAAGATCACTAACCAGTTTCCCAGGTCGGTTATAAAGACAGTCAATCTCGAAGAGGAAGGACCCTTCTGGCCATTGCCTTTGGGCCGAGATGTCCTGTACAATGGTAGCTGCCACTGTGGGAAAGTTCAGTTTGAGCTGAAAAACCCCGGACAAGGACTGGAAAAGCTATGGGCAATAAAAGAGGACAACTGCAGTTCATGTGTGAGAGTAAGAAGCACCTGTATCTGTACGCGGCCATCAACAGTTACTAATCATTGCGTTCACCCAACCTCAGGATGCTTTCGTCGGGATCTATCCCTCGAAGGATCATGTTTTCATCCCCGAGGAAGCATACAACGAGACCTTTGAGTACTTGTATAATCAGCGGGCGAACGGCCTTCGGCACTGTTCAACTTGCGGCGTGATGGTTTTCATGATGGTCTACGGGCCTCCCGATCTCGCAGAAAAGCTGAAGCAGCTCGAGGAGAGAAATCCTGAGCGATATAAGGTGGCGAAGAAGATGGTTGAGGCGAACCTGAAGTTGCAGCCCTTGAACGTGCGGACGCTTGAGAGAGTCGACTGGTACGAGATTCGGCAGCGGGTGGAAAGAACTGATACGGGGACTGAGGGCTATGTTCTCGCTGATATCGAAGAGTCAGAGTCCGACGACGACGAATCCGAAGAGGAATCGACCAAGAAGCGTAAGGAAACAAAGGCGACGGAGTTAGAGTCGTCCGAGTTAAGTGATCCCCCGGATAGCGAAGAGGAGGAACAATCCGAAGAGGAATCGACCAAGAAGCGTAAGGAAACAAAGGCGACGGAGTTAGACTCGTCCGAGTTAAGCGATCCCCCGGATACCTCTAGCGAAGAGGAGGAATAAGACGAGGACGAATCCGAAGAGGAACCGACCAAGAAGCGCACGGAGACAAAGGCGACGGGCAGGTGAATAAACTCTTCAGGATTTAAAGGTGAACCACCACCTTTGGAGCTATACAATCTTTTTGCCAACACTTCAGTTCGGTTCGGCACGTTGGGTGACGGAGTACGGTTGATGCCGATGTGTTAGGTTTCAAATGACCACAGTTTTATGTAGGTTCGCTTTGACAGCTCTAGTTTTATGTGCGATAACATCAATATAATCGTAAATCCATCGAAAGCACGAGTGTATGATGGCTCAGCAAGGAGGTGATAATGGTGAAAGATTTTGAGATGAGAAATGGAAAGATCGCGGAAGCACAACCCCGCCTGTTGCAGTGGTTTCGCATGGGCCCACGGCCGTAGATTCATGCGCTACCAAGTACCAACCCCCGATTTACAGCTTGCCGGGCCGGGCCGGGCCGGTAACGCCAAGCGCCCCGCCGAAACCTCCCCCCCCCCCCCCCCCAACAAGAACATTCCACTTGCCGCCACCGATTGCCATCTCGTCATCCTGTTACAACAACTTCTCGACGACAACAACTTCATGTTTGGTAAGCCCCCCTCTGGCCGAAGCTCCCGCAACATCAGGCCTGGCATTTTCTACAGCCATATAAGCGGCTGGTACATCCTTCTCAATCCATTTCAAGAGCTCCGTGTCGCGTCGGCGCCCCTCATATCATCACAATGTTCGCCGGTCCTAGGTATTGCCCGCTGTTGCAGGCTTAAGGCTGATAAATTTCAGTGACAAGAGAGTATCGCTCAAGCGGACACAACACCATACCTGATCAACCCCATGATTGCACCAAGCATGATTGCTACAGGCGCCTTGAGGCTGAACCAACGCCCACCGACGTAGCTCGTCGCCGTCACCACGACCCACCACGGGTCATCGCCCAAGCTCTTCCCAAACTGGAAGCCCTCATCAATGTAGCCAACACACCAAATCCGGTAGACGGCGGTATAGATCAGCCCGACTGCGCCAGCGTTCACGCCCCTCAGCATAGCCTTGACCCATCGTTTGCCTCTCACTGCACTCCATATTCCCATGGTACCATGTACCAAGATCAGACCCGGGCTAAAAATGCCCACCCAGGCAATGAGTGCACCTGCTACCGGGTTATTGCCGCTACCGATGGCAGTCAAGGCCCCCAGAAACACGGCAAAGTTGAAGTTTGGCCCGGGGAAGGCCTGGATCAGAGCAAGTCCGATGAGGAAGTCACGGGGATTCACCCAACCTTCGGCAACGACGTATTCCCGCAACAGAGGAATAACGACAGGGCCGCCACCGAAGATGATTGTTCCGGCAAGATACATATTAGCGAACAAGTGGTACAAAAGGGGAAGTCCAGGCGGGTTTGGGAAGACGCCGCGGGTGACCATAACGGCAATGAAGGTGACGAAGAAGCAGGCGATGATTGCCGTACCGATCTTCCAAGAAAAGTCGAGTCGAAATTCGCTTGGGATAATCCGTGGCTCGCTTTCGGCTGTGGAGGATGTGGATGCTTCTTGTTCGGTCACTGGAAGGTCAGACAGCTGGGTCCCTTGGGAGCTGGTTGATGCCGTCGCCGTCGCTTTTGTCGTGCTCGACATTTCGATGCTTTCCTCGTCATCTGCGTCGTTCCTTCGCCCTTGCGGCGCGGCATCATCGTCACCCGCATTTGAAGTTGATCCAGGCCATTTCCCAAAAGGCCATGCCCTGATGAGCTTGCCCTTGAGACTTGCACCAAAACCAAGTATCGCCGATACCGGCTGGTGCATCCACCTCAAGTCATGAACAAGCGTCGCGATGCCAGATGCTAGCATCAAGACCGGGAAATACCAGAGCGCATTGTACAGCATGCCAGCGGTAGCGCCGAGGAAGACCAGGATTCTCGTCAGCCGATCCGTGATGGTCTTCTCCGACAGCTCAACAGCAGCAAGGGCAATGACACCGACCGTTCCGGCATTAAGACCCGACAGCAGTGCATACACTGGCCTTGGCAGGGTTTCGTCGATCTTGGAGACGCCGACGGCGAGGCCGTACATGCCTATAGCACCCGGTAAACTGGTCACGCCGTGTTAGTCTGTCGTTCACGGTAATCTGGTGAGTGCTTGATGGTGCGACTTACCTCCATATCAAGAAGCTGAACACGGCGGCAAGGAATCCGCCCTGTATCAAGTTGATACAGTACAACATCTTCGTGCTACCTGGTCCGCAGAGGGCGTTCGAGACGCTGAAGAGCTCTTGGAACACCTGCTCATCGATCCATTTTGTCTTTTGCACGAATTTGTCATTGAACTGTTATCGTCTCCTCGTCAGCCCATGGACTTGCAGGTTTCCCAGTACGTATTGAGCAGAATTGAGTCTCACTATCCTGAAGTGGACCGGCGGCCCACCAAAAGCCGTGAAGCCCAAGTGCCAGTTGAATCGGAAGACCTTCCAGCTTCGCGACGCCAGCGATCTCGCACGACCGGCGAGGTCAAGAGGTTCTGCTGGTTGAGGTGACATCGTTATCGTATGAGCTTCCCCCTTCGTTGTTTATCTGTCGTTGAATGTAACCCCAGTAACGTCCCCGCCCGGAAGTGGTGATCCTTTCTTGGTGGTGTTTGCAGTGGTGCGGGGCTGCACTGTGCTGTAACAACGGCGCTTGTTTGGTGTTACTGCCGCTTTTTTGACAGGACCAGTGTCCAACCATCCACCGTTTTTCGAGACTCCAAAAAGATGATGATGTTAAGTAATTCCAGTTGTTACGTCTTTGAGGATGGAAGAGGAGATGAAAGGAATTTATAGCGCTGTCAGCCCTGAAGCACGCCTTCCATTTCGGCGAACCTAAAAGGTATTGCGGGGCCCGCGCCACGTGCGTGCTTCAATGGGCCGGAATGAATGCCGAGCCTCTTGGACATCTTCCCCCTGTCAATAAGGTCTTGAATGCCGACGACGTGCCTCCTTCAAAGTTTAATTGTACTACTCTTTTTTTCATAAATTTGGGGGTCCGTCTTCGATATTTATCATGTTAGAGGAACTCATTACCACTGGCACACGTTGTCTTCAGGTCCCGGGGTCATCACCCAGTGCTATCACTGTTAGCACTACAGCAGGCCTTGAACACCATTCCGCTCGCATCATGAACTTCAGGTGTCCACTACTACCGATATATATACCCTCCGCGGTCTATCGAACTTGATTAGGCGGGCGGCTATACTATATAGATGTAAGTATAATGTCCAGTTTCAAGCCTCCAGTTTGTTATCATAGCCCGTATGCCAGCTTCCACGTACTTCGCGGATGTCACATAAACATATCGTCCTCCCATGCTCGTGCATCGACATGGCTTTTAGTGATTCCATGTCGACACGGTCTCCGGACTATAAGATGCTTTCGCACATGATGGAGAGAGGTACCGACGAGATGACTGACATGGGACAACAACAAAACAGCTTTTCAAGAGGTTCGACATGTCGATCGTTGATGCTTGCAAGCCCGCGGCTGTGGCTTATCATCCTGTGAGTACTGTTGTTTCGTTTCTTTGGGGCGGTCATCGGAAAGGTACGATCACGCTCGACTAACGCGTACTTCCAGGGTTTGTGCTTGATGCAAGACTTCTGGATCCGCATCACTCGACGAGAGTCCAACGATCCTGCGCAGTTTGCTTCCAGCGGCGCTGACTGGGACTGGGAGAGCCTTTGGAGACTGCTGTGGCCCAGTAAGTGAAGGGTTCATCTCATGTGGGAACAATTTGACTTGCGAGAGATGGAAAGAGCAGGCTGGGTTCATTGCCCGCTTATTTACTCATGCCCCTGTTTGTTATCGACAGTGGCACCAAATTTTCAAGTGCGGTACCCTCCTCGCATCGACCAAGGTCTGTTGGACGGAACCTGGACCGCGAAACCTTTAGCAGCTGAATCACGAGGCGGTTTGACAATACCAATGGCTCAATAGTCGGGGCTTCAATGGATCACGGCCCTCATATATATGAGCGTTACCCAGCAGCCCCATTGACCATTCTCCCAGCTGCTCATTCCCAATTTCCGTGAGAATCTCAGGTATATAAACCACCCCGACCACGCAAAAGTCGTGAAAATGCCACCCATCGAACCAGAATAGTTGAGCAGCAAGTCAAGCTCGGAAAGGACAAGTAATTGCCACACGCAAGCCAACTCCAGCCAAACATGTCGTCAGACCCCAGCGATCCCAAAGAGTACTTCACGCTTTACCGCGATGGCAGCCTCGGCAGCGCCCTAATCGAAGCAATCGACGAGCTCATCATCGCCGGCCGCTTCCCCATCATCCCTGGCGTCGCCCCGGACCACCCTGTTGACCTAAGCAGTGAGCCCGCCGGTAGTGAAGCAGCTGACCCCATCGACTTGACCACCAGCACAACCACAACCGAGTTCTCATCTCCAACTATCAGCACGAATACCAGCACCAGCACCCCCTCTTCATCCTCCTCACCCACCGCGCCAACAAACTCAAGACCACAACCCAAGTCTCAGCCACAGCAACAGCAGTCCCTCGCCCCCCTAACCCACAAACTAACCAACCACCTCCTCACAACCTTCGACCGCGTAATCGCCCAGACGCTCGCCACGCACGATGAAGTGGTCAAGAAAACCCCGATAATCAAGATAAAGGGGAGACTGAAGCAGTACAGGCTGGTAAACGATATTTGGTCTATTCTTACTGTACCGTTCCTTCACCGCCCCAACAACTGAAACTATCGATAACCTTCTTCAACTGCCTCGTCAACTTGCGGTTGATGTCTGCTATGCGGACGCCATCCGTTTTGCTCGTCTTTTCTCCCTTCTTTTGGCGTTGCGTTCATCCTTGTTGGCAAGGTACCTTTCCCTTGTCTTCGCATTGCGTTCATCCTTGTTGGCAAGGTACTTTTCCCTTGCTTTCGCATTAACTTCATCCTTGTTGGCAAGGTGCCACTCGCGCCTCTTCACGTTGCCTCCATCCTTGTACCTCTGCCTGTCCCTTTCCCGCTCCTTTTCAAGTACCTGAGCGTACTTGTCTGGGTTTTCCGCTTTCATCCTTACTCTGTATTCCCTTTGATAGCTAGCGCTGCGTTAGAGAAGGGAGGCTTGACCGCAGGACTAGCAGGCGCGAAATCATCATCAAATCCAAACCCGCCCTTCGTCTCACCCGCCTCGCTCTCTGAGTCACTCTCATCGTCCCACTCCAGCTCAGAAATAGGCGAGAACTCCGAGTCAAACTTGGAGAACCCACTAGCCTTTGCAATCTCCGTAGCAATAGTAGGCTTAGCATGTAAGTTCTGGAAGCTAGCGAAAGCATTCTCAAAGTCCTCCTTCGCCTTAGCGTCCGTATTGACAGCGAAAGGATCGGCCTCAACGGGGGCGGCGGCGTATTTAGACTGGCTAGTAGTGGATGCGGGGGACATGGGACGGTTGGAAGTAGCAAATTGACCGGTCTGGACGGGCTTGATGGGGAGAGTAGCAGCAGTAGTAAAAGTTTGATCCTGCGATCCGTGATGCGAGGGGGTATGAGAACCGCTACCGCTGGCTTGGTATTCGGAAGGTTTCTCGAGTATCAACAGGTATACGACAAAAGCGTGGTCGTCGGTGTTTGCGAATTCCGGCAACGATTTTAGTTTGTCCAAGGTTGGAGGCTTTGATGACTCTAGGATGCTTTGGAGGTTTTCGTCACAATTCAACGAGGCAGAGTAAGTCCGAAGTGATTTCCTATCTGGAAGGTGCTGCTTGACTTGCAATTTGCGTTTACTGGCCCAGGTGCGATAGGCGGTATACGCTCTTCCCATGAGCGTTGCTTCGAATGTTTTGGATTCCTCGTCGCTCTCACTCCATCATTCCTCGTCGCTCTCACTCCACCATCCTTTCTCATCGCCATCGTCAGCATTGTTGTGCTCGTGGGCTGTCGCAGCCTGCGCTCTGGTTGTGATGGGCATGGTGTCCAATGTACGGATGGCAACCAAAACCAAGAGAAGAGGAACAAGAGAAGAGGAACAAAAGCAGAGAGGAACCAACAAGGAGGGTAAAACATCCAGCAGCAGCAGCAGAGTTTTCCATCCTTCCTGAGGAAGGAACACTTCGTCTTGGTCAGTTTCTTGGTTAGTTGGCCCTGCCAGCTTTTCTTCTGCACACCAAACTGATTGATTAATGCGTGGGAACCAGCGTAGATGGAATGACTTGATTCAATGACTATCTTCATGATGATGATCGGGGAGAGTTCTCCCAGATGACTGCGTCAATCTGGACTCTCTTATATGCCCTGTCTGTGCCAAAGAGAGACGTGACAGCATATTCGCTTCATACGCCAAGTTGCACGATATTCTTGAACGACATGAAGACACCATCCAAAAGCGCTGGGCCAAGAAGAAGAAGGCACAGCGTCTCCAGATCTTGCTCAAGGCCTGGCCCAACATGGCCCCCAACCATCGTCCTGACTTTGAGGCCTTCCTCAAAGAGTCTGAGCAACAGCGCATGATGGGCACCAAGTACAGGGACTGGTTCATATGGCCGTACATCAACCAAGAGGATCTCTCCCGTCCACGCTTACTGCCATTGCTGCTAAACTCGCGTGGACGCCATCACCCTTGCACATTTGCCGGCATCGATGCCACCAATACAAAATTCGCCTTCGTCACCAAGGCCGTGGTCCCCATCTTCTTGAACGAGTACACCATGATCCTCAACGGCGTCGATGAGAAGCACCCCGACGAGTATGGCAAGCTATTGTCCTGGGACGAGCACCCCAGCAACTTCGAGTTGGCCATGAGTCAAAGGCAGTTCCTGCCCGGTGAAGGGCTGCTCGTATTGGAAGTCCAGGACCGCCTCCTTTCCTTCTTGGTTAAATGCTGCACCGAAATTCTTCATGAGATCCCCGAAGACCAGCTTTTGAGCAGTAAATATCCCGTCCAGCCCGAGCCACACATGAAAGAAGAAAGTGAGACCACCGGGTTCGACTCTCTTGCCGTCTTGGCTGCCGAAGCCCCTTACCGAGTGCCTGCCAAACTTGACTTTGGCCGCATTGAGTCGCTTCTGGGCGCTCAAGCAGCAGCCAGTGAAGATCACTTGTGGTCCCTACGTGAGGATTCCAACTATTTCGTCGACAAAGCCCTCGAGTTGCAGGAACATCGCCCGGAGACTCTTAAAGACCGCTGGGGCAAATCCTATCCAGTCAACTAGGAGGTTTTCTGGTCACGTATCTTGTCCAGTCTTGTCAACACGGCGTACATGGAGGTTGAGGTATACAATGAGCTTCATCGCCAAGCAAAAGAGTTGCAAGCTCTCCAGGAAAAATATGCAAAGGCCATATCAGTCAAGGACGATTTGCCCAAGGAGTATCTGAAGGCATTGCTCAAATTCCGTTTCTACCTTTACCAGGCCACCAAGGGTGTTCTTGGCGAACTGAAACAAACAGTCATGTCATCGCCGCCCATGAGATATCTCTCATTCAGAGCCCAGGGGTCACTCAGGGATCTGAACGAGGTCGCAGTCGCCTTCAACCCTAATCACAAGATGAATCCAGTAGAGAAGCGGTTGGTCTGGCTTCTGAGGACGCTGTGGGAGGACGGTATGGATCTGTTCTTAGCCTCGCAGCCCATTATTGTGGACGAGTTGGAGCGCCTGCTGGAAACAGAGAAGGAAGCTAGCCGGATGATTTCGTCCTATGTTGCTGGCTTAATCGGACAGCTTTCCATCATCACCCAGTGTATGAGACAGCTTGACTGCTACCAACCATGGGCCCGCAGCTTCGAGACTCTGGATATCGACCATGAGGATAGCATCAAGGCTGCGTTTGCCGAAACTAGCAAGCCTTGGGCAGCTATTGTCAGGGCTACCAGTGAGAAGCAGGGCAGGTTTTACTCACTTGTCCGGCTGGGTAAGCCTGCATGTAAGAGATTTTTCTACCCTGTCGACAAGCGCCGCACCAAGGAGAATGTGGAGGCTCTGAGAAGTGCAGAAGGCAACCTCGACGAATTCTGGAAGGGTGTCGACCGAATCATGTACAAGGACGCAAACAACCTTGAGAACACGTTCGTCAGAAGACTCCTTACTCAATCGCGTAGTCTTCAACGCACACCAGAGTGGGTTGAGCCTTCCGTGCCGACTGCGGACGACAAAGGGGCGAAACCAACTGTCGCGAATGTGGATGACCTGATCATCCCCTTCTCTTCTTTCTTCTTTGGACTCACAGCCCCCAAACCCGAGCCAACGCCGTCTCCAAAGATCAAGGTGAAGACCCGTGGAACGACGAACGCCCCAACGGAGCCTACCGCTACGGAGCAACCCCCCACCCCGGACTTGACCGAGGATAAACAGCCTATTTTTGCCGTTGATGCTAGATCCATCAAGGTTTTCCGTACGCTGTTTTATAATCCCAACATTACCTCCAGCCCTGGCGAGATTCCCTGGAACGACTTCCTGCATGCCATAACCTCTACCGGGTTCATGGCTGAGAAGTTGTATGGATCAGTGTGGCAGTTTCGTCCGACCAACTTGGATGTTGAGAGGGCCATCCAGTTCCATGAGCCGCATCCTAAGGGGAAGCTTACCTTCATGATGGCAAGACGGATTGGTAGAAGATTGAACCGGGCATACGGATGGATGGGGTCGATGTTTGTTTCGGAGAAGTGAGAATCATGTGCCGGTAGGCCCAGACGGGATTAATGGGAGGAGATGAATGAAAGATATGAGCCAAGAAACGAAAACAAAGTCCGGAATTTGGATAAACAATTAAGCATGCAGGTGAGCGAAAGGATAGTCACATACCCAGATCTCGAGGAGGTATGGTGTCAGCCATAGTAACTGAATTTGTGTTTGAACTATCAAAAAATCTCCGTTCCTGACGAACCAACGGCGCAGATCCTCAGATCGTCCACCTATCCGTCCTCTGAACTCCCTCCACCGCCCTCTCCCTATCTCTCCTCATCAACCCGAACACCGCATCATTGACAATCCTGGGTATTACCAAATCCACCAAAGAAACAACCCAAACCAGCACAAAATAACACCCCGACACCCACCACTCCTTCGGATCCGGCAATCCATACCCCTCCCTTAAACCCGACGGCAACCAACACGCCATAAACACCCTCACAATCGGCAACACCCACCTCATCCACCACGGCACCCTCACATCCCACAGCAGTATCTTCGCCAGCTTCCTCGCCTCCTCCGTCACCACCAGCCTCTCCTGCACCGTCTCCTCGACATACGCATCAAACTTCTCCATCGAATCAGGCCACATCTCGCTTGGCATATCCAGCGCTACCGCGTACTCTTTATGCGCTTTGCATAACTCCCATCTTTCTCCCTCGTCTCTTGTTTCTCTTTCTCTTTGTTTGTCTCCCCTCGACTTTCTTTTGTTCGAAGCCCAAAACCAGGACCAGTGTGCCCCTGGCCAACAGCACCCAAAACTCTCCCTAGCTTTACAAACCCCCAAAAACAACGTAGCAGCCACCCACTTCTGCAACTCCCCATCCGCGGCATCGTACTCCACCGTCTTCGCGGTCTTCACAATCTTCTCCGCCGGCGCCATCCCCTTTTCCTCACTCGGTATCATGCCATGTGCAGACTTCCACTGACAAGTACCACTCCCCCTTACAAAAGCGTGTTGTTTCCTCACTATATCAACAATCACTCGTTTCTGCTCCGGTGTACCGAGGGAAACGGCGAGGATGTAAGCGGAGGTGCGGCGGAGGCGGGAAAGGGTTACTTCAAAGTCTGAAGAGGACGATCTGGAGGAGGATTTGGAAGGGGTTGTATGGGCGAAGCGTGAGTGCTTGCAGGAGCCGAGGGCGATGGAGGGGTGGGAGATTTGAAGGAGGAGGGTGTAGGGCCCGCCGGACCAGAGGAGGAGGGTGCTGACTATGGGGGAGAGGAGGGCGAATGATTCTGGGGGTGTAGGTGGTGTTGAGCGAGAGAAGGGATGATTCTTCTCGGATTCCAGCGGTTGGTAGAAACAGGTTGAGGCCATCTTGGTGGATGGTAGAGGTTTGGACATGACGGTGCTGCTGTTGAAGGGCTTGGGAGTTTGAGTGTCTCCCTTAGATGACCAGACATAATCGTTTTTGGAGGGAAGTGGGTAGAGGTAATAGATACCTACAGGTAAGCCATTTCGTGAGCCTTCGAGAGAGACATGGGAATCACATGCGATTATCCATCAGCCCTGTTCGATATCACTAATCCACAACTGCCTCTCAGGGGCGTCATGTCACATCACCATTACTGTCAGATGGCCCAGCCCGCTGATGTTGAATCGGGACTATCGAATTGAGGCTTGCCTTGGTGACCTAAGGGTCTCAATGGCTCACTCATCCCCTTGCATGAGAAGGGCCTGGGCAACAACGGCGAATCAGGAGTGGATGAAGGGTTACACCAAGTCCGGAAGGGGAAGGAAGCTGAGATGAGAGGTTTGCACTCTCTGCTGCATGCCTTACATACAGTCCGATACTGGTTTGTTTGTTAGCTCGCGACCTCTGGTCAACTTGTCCAGGCGTTTCAACAACAAGTTGATGTGTTTTCGATAAGGGGGGCTTAAAATTAACATAAACACGTCAAATCAGATACTAGTAATCTGTTTTTGACTATTATTTATGCATTTTAAAGTACCATTGCGGCGTTCAGGATGGTTTGACATGTGTCTTACTCGGGGTACAGAGCTAACAAACAAACCAGCATTGGACTGTATACCGCTGTCCCTGGGGTTAGGTTTACACGAGACGTTGCCTCACGTTACTTAGGATGTGACTTGGGCAGTGTGGGAACATTTTCAGACTCACACCAGATACCAGCATTGGGAGAGGAAAATACCGTGTGTATTAAGTTGACTGACAACGGCACTCGGGACCTCAATGACGGCAATACTCGTGTTTCCCTCACCCTTTTGTTCCAGACTCTGAAGCTGCTATCAAGCTCCAATCCACCAACGCATTCAATCCCTCCCATCGCCGTCACACACACTCTCACCAGGATGTCCATCAACCCCAAACCAAAGCGTTCCAGTTGATCACCACCGCTGAGGCAAAACATTCCAGGTTAGCATAAAGTATTGCTCCTCGGACAAACAACGATCTTCTCTAGTGGGAGGTACTCACCTGGCAGTGTCCAGCTAGAAGCTTCTCACTTCTCCTCGCCCTCCGCACGCTCAACAGCACCAGGAGTCTCGCCAGTGGCATCCGCATCGGCATTACCGGCGCCATCCTCAAACTGCTCGAAATCGGTCTTCTTAGGTCTCCAAATCCAAGGGACACTGGCTTCGAACCGCTTGACCTTGTTGGTGGCGGCATCAGCGGCATCAGCGCCATTGTTGGTAGCCTCGTTGTCTTCAAACTGCTCGAAATCCGTCTTTCTAGGGCGCCAGATCCACGGGACACTGGCTTCGAAGCGCTTGTTGATTGCTGCGGGTGCAGAATTGGGGTTGGAAGGGGAGTTGATGGGGGAGGCGGCGGCGAGGGCCGTGAGGATAGAGAGGGTGGTGGTGAGGTGCATTTTGAATGAGTAGGTAGCTGTGGTTGTTCTTGATGATTTTTCTTGAGATTTGGAGGTTGTTGTTGACGGTTGGTGATGCTGATGGTGATAACCTAGCTTTCGGGAAAGAGGTGAGGTGAGGTTGGCTCTTTATATACCCGTTTGCTCAAGGGCCCGTCAGCAACATTTGATGCTGGACAGTCTTTGACGAGCGAAGTGCCCGACCCCGAAATGCAACGGCGGTTACGGTGATGGGCGGCCTACGATGAGAAGCCGATGCCATTCTGGACACTCAGATCCTCGGCTCCTCAGAGTGAATTTTGCTGGGCTTTTCCGCTTGGAGATGACATATTCGCCATCGAGAGATCTTGCAACCAAGCAAATTAACGCCTAATGGAGCTTTGCATCCATCTTGACGTTTACCGCCTGATCGGAGAACAGAGGAAGTGGTAAAGTCGCCGTCAACGGGAATACCGAGATAACAACACATCTTAATCGGTATTGACCCCTTTAGGGACACTCCGTCTTGGCCTCACGCAGCTGTTCAATAGAGAAAACACTCAAACAATTGGAGCGTGGAATGCGATTGGTCAAAATCCGATGGCGATAGCTTCACCATACTTTCGATTCTTCTTGGCTCCGAGCGACAACGGGGGGGGACAGGACTTACAGAGCACCTGACTTCTGCCTGACAGGATCCGAGTACAATCTGGAGTAACCGATGCACGTTTTTGGGTTGTTGCGCGGGATGTCAGATCGATGTTGTGTCAGCTTCAGCCGTTGCACAGAGTTTGTCGGGCTGACCAGGGGCAGGTGCAACACTCGTACCTTCCGATACACCACGCAGTTTCAACGGCTACATCGACGACATCGAATTGCCCACTGTAAGCTAAACCAACGATCAGTACTCTACGCTCATAATTTGGTGATGAAATAACATAAAAATTCGACACTATGGAATATGTCCGCTTTGAGCTCTCCCCCGGGTCCTATGCCCGCGGTGGTCCGACGGGAGGACTCCTCATCTTGAGAGCTTAAAAGCAGCATCAGACACTTTACCCAACTTCTCCGTATCAATCGCAAAACCTTCAATACAATCAGTTTGCCTTTCTCTTTAGTTCTTCCGAACTCACCGTCAAAACACATTGTATGATGCTGTACGAAAAGGTCCCCGACGTCGAGAGCTCCTCGGAGTCTCTTCTACACTCCAACTCCACACCCGACAGCTACGAACAACACCAATGCCTCCGAGAACGAAAGCTAAAAAGAGCCTGGAGGTCACTGCGTGATGAGTGGCCTAGGCCTGCGAGGATTCTCCTCACCATCAATGCAGCTCTAAGTATCGGGCTGTTATGCCTCTATCTACACGCGCTATGGAGGATACATTCGTCCCCGTTCTACCGAGCACCCAAACCTCCATACTGTAAGTTCAAGACTCAAAACCCCGGGCATCTATCAGGACTCTTGACCTAACGATAGGTACCGCAACTTTAGCACCCCTCCTCGAAGACGGCGTAATCGAGTACGAAAACAAGCGCTTCCACCCCGACCGGGTCTTCCAAATGGACCCCTCTCCTTCCGTCGATAAAGCGTGGGAGTCCATACTTGGTCGTAAGACCCCTTTCCCCTTTCCCCTTTCCCCTTTCCCCTTTCCCCTTTCCCCTTTCCCCTTTCCCCTTCCCTTCTTCCATCCTTGCAACCCAGTCCTACCTACCTATGTCCTCACCACTAACCCAACCCAAACCCAACAGCAAGCGACGGCATAGTCCGCCTCCCCCTTTCCGCTTCCCAAAAACTCGGCTACCCCTCCTCCGAAATATACTACTCTCCCGGTTCCTACATCTACGGCGTCTCCATGTTCCACCAGCTGCACTGCCTCGACATCATCCGGCGCTCCTTTTGGCGAGGGCACTACTATCCGAACACCTCAGACGTGGAATACCACGACCACCGGGCGCACTGTTTGGATTTTTTGAGACAGGCGATTATGTGTAATGGCGATGTGGCGATGACGTATTGGTGGAATAAGAATTATACGTATATTGATGAGAACACGGGGGAGGAGAGGTATACGGAGGAGTATTTGGGGATGAGTAAAAGGGAGAGGGCGTATGGGACTACGTTGTTGTGGGATGTGGAACATCAGTGTAGAAGCTTTGAGAGGATTCAGGAGTGGACGAGGAGGCATCAGTTGAGGGATGAGGAGTATTGGAGGGAGGCGCCGAATTTTAGGAAGGCGGAGGGGTAGGGAGAGGTCTTGAAAGTTCATCAAAGATGGAGGTTGGCGAACGGGGTAATGGGTGAGGGATGTATTTGTCAATGAGTTATGTTCAGCGTTGGGCAAAAGCAAAGCTATGTACAAGAATATGGGTACAATGCGGAGTGAGAGGAATCCCTTTTGCTTGACCAAGTGATGCCACCAAGGTTGTGCACACAAGATGAAGCAAAGAGTGCTCTTCTCCTTCTCACCAGTATGCTACCACTTTCCCACTCGTATGCCGTTAAGCATTTAGCAAGTGAACACACATCAGGGCCGGGAACGGTGTAAGAGGTGACGGGAGGCAAGTAGATGTAGATCTTGACTCCGGGGTCAGAGCCCTGTGAGACACATCTGTTAGCAATTATCTCACTCCCTACATCTATGACACTCCGCGTAAGAATGGTTGTACATACCGAGTAAGCCCCAGGAAAGCTAACAGTCGAAGATGTCTTAGCACCCGTCTCACCAACGACATTAAGCTGCGCACACTCCATATAGAACTGAGCACCAGGATAGTTGCCCGCCGAGTGCATCTCAGCCCTGAGGAGGTACTGTCCCGGAGCGATGCACTCAGGGATCTTGATGCTCTGGCGGCCCTTGCCGTTGATGACGCGCTCGGTGCCCCAGACGCCGCTACTGTCCATGCCGTCCTGCTGGACCTTGAACCAGCCATTACCAACACCGCTGTCGGTGGCGGCGTTGTCGACCTTCTTGAGGTAGGCGATGGTGGGGCCCTTGTGCGTGCTGTCCATGACGTCCGCCGGCGAGTCGCCCGTGGTGCTGAGCATGTAGCGCCAGATGACCGTCACGTTGGTGCCGGCCTGGACCGTGATCACCTTGGAGGTAGAGCCGACGGTGTTGGGCGAGCCGTTGCAGGCGATGGAGACCGAGGTGACGTCCTCAATCGGACCGTTGTAGGTGGGCACGCGGACGCCCTCGCCGAGGCCTTGGTTGACGCCGTTGACCTTGAGGGAGGAGAAGATGGTGTGGGCGCTGGCCGCGCTGGCGAGCACGAGAGGGGCGAGGACCTTCATGGTGGCTGGAGGGGAGGATGAGGTTGGAACTTGCTCGAACTTGCTCGTGGTGGATTGAGTCTTCTCTGGTGGCTTTGTGATCTTTTCCCTGGATTTCTTGGTGTTTGTTCTATGGGGACGATATCAGCGGTTCGCGGCTTTGTTGAAGCCACTGACAGGGCTGTCAAGAAATGTCAAGACGTTGGCATCGTGCTGTGGTATTTCAGTCTAACAGTTAGCGATCCCAATTCGTTCAACGTAGGGTGATGAAGGTGGAGGAAAAGTATCTCAACCTGGTGTGACATGTTATTCCTTGCATAGAGCGAATTGAAAATGATAGAAGCAATTCTGTTCGAACGGATGCCCCGGAATTTTGCTTCTCCAGTCCTTCCTTAGTTCCTTTCATCGTTCCTTCCAAACACACCAGCAAAGTAGTCTTCATTAGCGCCTCCCGAACCCAACAATGGAGAGCAACACAAGAAAGAGCGACTCGCCGCTGAAACTCTTGGATGTCAGAGTAACCTGCCACTCCCGCCTGCCAAATGAACCGATTAACAAACCATCCAAGGCAGGCACGCACGTTACAGAAGTGCTTGCACCTAGCCACCATGCGCATGCAAGGTACAGTTTCCCTGAATTCTGCCGACTTGATGCCAACATCACGCAGGATTCAATCCCACAGCCACGGCTCAGGAGGCAAATCATCCGTTGGAGGGTCCAAAAATCCCGTGACGGGATACATTATATGTGCAGGTCGTGTGAGGGTTGCGAGTCTCTTCTCCTGATTTTTTCTCCTGACTCTCTTTGTGCTGCCAGCTGGAAGGAAGTACTCCTGGTGAGGGATGGAGGTCTTGACTTTATCTGGGAGAAACTACCCATGTTCGAGCTTCCCCCCATTCCCTCGGTTCCTTCCCCTTCCAAGTTTCCCATAATGTCATCAAGATGACTTCACTCAAGATCACTCATTGTAAGTTAGCTTCGCATAGGAGGACGCAGGAAGGGTTCAACCTAGCCCTCTAGAGACTTTGGGATGATGGGAGATGGAAGAAGGGATAATGACGAGGGAGTGATGACAAGCTTGTTCGGTTAGAGATCGGTTGTGGAAAGTTAGTAGGTGGAATACTATAACGATGTCAAGATTCATCTTATGTTTTGAAACGCTTGTTTCGTCGACAGTATCCCGTCCATTAGGTATCCAGCACTACTCCATGTCTGCCCCCGACATCGTGAACATCTTTGACATCCGTCATCACTCCTCCACCACCAAATTTCGCTATCACCACCACACCATATTCCATCCCCAAAACACCACAATGAAACCCAAACGCACCCTTCCCACAATAGCCCTAGCCACCACCACATTACCCACCGCCTCCGCCCAAACTCTAACCGAGACCCTCCAGTCCCTCAACGACAGCCTCTCAACATTCAACAGCTACATCCAGACCCAACCGGCCTTATTCGCCGCCATCAACGGGACCTCAAACATCACCATTCTAGCGCCCAGCAACGACGCGCTGACCGCCGTCACTTTGGACGACTTGGATAACTCAGACCCGGAGCTGGTGGAGGCGTTTTGGGATTATCATGTTTTGAGGGGGGTGTGGTGGACGAGTAACTTGACTGCTGGTACTGGTGGTGGTAGTGGTAGTGCTGCGGCGGCGGCGGCAAAGAGAAGAAGGAGGAGGAGGGGGGATGATAGTGTGGGTGGTGATGGGAGCGGGATAGATGGGAACTCACTCTTCATTCCCACCCTATTAGCGCCGAACAGCACTCCCTACGCCAACGTCTCCGGTGGACAACGGGTTATAGCTCGCTCCTCGAGTTCTTCTTCTAGTGATGGTAGTGGTAGTGATGTGGTTTCCTTCTACTCCGGCACTACCGGGTCTGGCGGTTCACAACCAATAACCAAATCAACAATAACCCAAGCCAACTTCAATTTCTCCGGGGGAACCATTCACATAATCGACCATGTGCTTTCTCTCCCTTCACGACTTAACGACACCCTCGCCTCTTTTGGCCCTTCCAGATCTTCTTCTTCTTCTTCTTCATCATCCTCTTCCTCCTCCTCCTCATCAACCAACGGAGACGACGACGAAACCTCCATCCTCTCCCTAACCGCCTCCGTCGGCGCTTTAAGCAGAGCCAACCTTACAGACCTCTTCAACACCCAACAAGACATCACCATGTTCGTGCCCTCCAACGAGGCCTGGAACCTGGTGGGCAGCGTGGTGTCGGACATGAACAAGAAAAAGTTGGCGGACATTATGGGGTATCACGTGCTGAAGGGCCAAAAGGGGAAGGTGTTTTATAGTGATTTGTTGGAGCAGCAGAGTGATAGCAGTGACACAAGGGATGGAGATGATCAAGATAAAAATGCGAGAAGAGATGGGGGGGCCAGTGAGTTTGAAAAAGACTATGATACGGTGGAAGGGGGGACGGTCAAAGTACGGGTGGTTGATGGGTCGACGACGTCCACGGGGGACGGGACGGCTGCCGATGATGATGATGATGATGATGATAATACAAGTGGAAGTGGAAGTGGAAGTGGAAGTACTAGCAAGCAGGTGTTTGTTAATGGGGCGAGGGTGGTCAAGAGTGATGTGTTGGTGGAGAATGGGGTGGTGCATGTTGTTGATTGGTGAGTCAGTCCATTTCTTTTCCCCTCGAGGTATCCTGGTTCATACTATTTGGCTAACAACTTTCATCTTCTCCAGTGTTCTCAACCCCAGCAACTCAACGGCAACACCGATCCCGACGGCTAGCACCGAGCCTGCCGCTTGGGAAGGCGCAACGACCACGAATAGCGTTCCGTTCACTTCAGGTGTTCAGCGGCCAACCACCTCACTGGGTCAGAATGGTGGTGGTGGTGTAGTCGCGGCCACTTCAGGTGTTCAGCGGCCAACCACCTCACTGGGTCAGAATGGTGGTGGCGGTGGTGGTGGTGGTGGTGTGGTCACGGCCACTTCGGGTGTTCAGTCGCCAAACACCTCACTGGGTCAGAATGGTGGTGGTGGTGGTGTGTTCACGGCCACTTCGACAATAACAGTGGGCGGACCGTCGCCTTCTGCAGCAAAGTCCGGGGCAGCTGGAAAGACTCTTACCGCTGCTATTGGGATGGCGCTCTTATGGGGTGGCTTTTGTGTTTTTGCAAATCTGTAATCACGGTCATGGTCAATGTGCTTTCCGGTTTCTTTTTTCCTGAGGGTAGCGTGTCAGTTATAATGTTATGCAAGGCTAGCGGGAGGTCTTACTACTGCAAATGATAGAAGTAACGACAATGAATCCCATGCGTCTTTGTTCGATCAAGAGAGGAAGTGCATTATTCCCCTTCCTTGGTACCTAGCCAAGGTAGGTACCTGACCAGGGCAGTTAGCCAACGTGACGGATGTTGAATCCGGTCAACAAAGGGCAGTCACGATGGGCGTCCAGAACCAACTTGTACCTACCTACTCGTTCAACTCTGTGAAGTCGAACAGACTCAAAATCATCAATCTTCTGCATACAATCCAACCAAAAAGACAACCAACTAACCAACCGATTTGACTTGACCATTCGCTGGTCGAAATGAAGCAACACTGCCCCTGAATAAGACGGAAAAAATGTGCAAAACCTACCGCCAACGAGTCTTTTGCCCAGGAGATACTCACAAGAGCAAAATAGTGAGGACCGTCAGGGCCGTCGACGTTGATACCTCTGGGAACTCCATATTGCGGGAGGCGGAGGACAACAACAACAACTCGTGTAAATGCGGCATAGTCGACATGCTCTTCCTCCCACCCGTCATCGACTACAGCCTAGAAAAGTCTTGTGCGGGGTGTATAGAGGAGGAGCGAATACTGGTAGGGAGGGTGATGTCGTTGAAGAAGGCGATTGAGGAAGATGGCGAAGAAGATGGGGATGGGGATGGGGAGTTGGTGCCGATCGGGATGAGAGTAGAAGGACGCAATAATCCGGGTTCTTCTACAGAGGCGAATGGCGATGGGACTACCTCTTCTACCTTTGCGTTGACTGGGGCTCGGTGTATACCTGTCGGCGGCGGCGGCGGCGTCAGTGAACCAAGTTGTCTGCCTTCAGAGATAGGGAAGCCGGTTGCTCCGGCTACGGGCCCGGGGTATATCTCTGTTCCTGTTTTTCTCCCTATCGACGACGATGTCGATGAGAGGAGGAGACGAGAAAGAGTCGGGGGTGAAGCATTCACTTCTAGCGAGAAGTTCGTTAACTACCCTCAGGCTCTTGTCAATGATAGAAGTAAGTGGTTCAAGGGCTAGAATTCCTTTCCAGTCTTCTCTCTAATTCGAGCGCGTTGACGATTACTGACGATGTTTTTTTTTTTTTTTACCCAGATGTCATCCCCCCGCGTACGACCTCGACGAGACTTGATCATCCTGATATCAAGATGTGGGAGAGTTTCTATGTGTCATCTGTCTTTCGGCCTTTCGGTAGAGACACTCATGGGCCTTGAGGAAGGTAAAGGTGAAGTTGGCATATCGGCTATCGACTATCGACTGTGAACCCTGGCGGTTCAGCAGATGCATTGACATCGGGTCACCTCACGATATCTTGAGAGTCACCGGTAAAAGGCAAGGTGTCGGATATTGTCTGCTGGTGGTTTTGCTTCTCTGGACATACGTATGTCAAGCAGGCAGTAGACCGAGGTGGGAAAGTGTCCGGACCGGGCTGTACGCCGTCGCCTTCCATTGAAAAAGGGCGATGATGTTGGCGTAAAGTCGTCAGTAAGTAAAGAGCTAGAATGCAGATAGTTAGGTCCCGCCGCTGTATGATATGAGGCCGAAGATACCTCTAGCTACACCTGGATAAATCACCACCCCAGACTAGAAGCAATGTCAGATAATCTGATAAGTGATAAAAGAGACGTCTTTTCATCGCTCGTCGCCGACATCCGACACATGACACCTACCGCATTTTCTCACTCATAACGGAAATCCTCTTTGGGGAAGGCCACACCTTATGCAGGTGTTTTGAGCTTGCTCTTAGCTACATATGCAGCATCTTGTCAACTGGATTGGTTCATAATCCCAGTATGATCCACAAAGCATTTCCGTTACGACTGAGAAAATGCGGTACTTCTACTCCAAGAAAACCACACTGCTGCCATGCGTGTGCGTCTTTCTTGGGCAGAAAGGATGGGTTGCGATAACAACCCCCCCTCCTCCCAACCCCAACTTCTAAGGTCAAATCGGGGCACCCGAATCAGGCACAGGATCAAAAAGTAAAACAGGGGTCGGTTCAAGGAGCGAGGTACACCGAAGTCCAACATGAAGAGTTGCCCTTTAAAGTGACCAGTAGGCAACGGTAGACCGTTGATAGAGAACGCGCTGCATACCCCCCTTTCTGCTTTGTTCATGGACGACTTCAAACCTTGGATGTGGATGAGTAGATGGGTAATTCCAATGAAGATGAAGGCTTTCGCAAATCGTAACAACAAACAAGAAGGTTGCGATGATAATGGACTGGAATGGCTGGACAGAAATATGAATTCGTGGACAAGGATTAGGACACGGACCTTGCATGCATTTCCCCATCTTTTAGTTTTGATAAGGAAAAAAGAAACAACCGGCCAAGGGCAAGCCAAGGAGCGAAAGGGAGCTTCCGTGTTTGGAAAGCCGCTCCGTCTGGCGGTCGTTCTCCTCGGCTCGTGCGCATCTTGATTCGCTGGCGGGCGTTGCTGGGCCAGCTGGCGTGGGAATAGCGCTGTTACTATTTTATGTAGACGCTGCCGGAGATCGGACTCCATGAAATCCGGATGGTGATCTGCCGGTACTAAAGAGCTGGGCATGAAATGACCCGCGTGTTCTTGGCCGTCGTCGATTCTGCCCCGAAGCCGATGCTCGATACCCGCAACCAATCAAGATGCGGTGGTCTCTCCTCGTGGGTTTTGACGGTGAGGTCGTTTGTGTTTTGGATAGAAATTAGAAGATTTGTGAGGTCGTTTTCTGTACGTTATTCGCTGTTGTTGCAGATTGCGGGGAAGGTTGTTCAGATGTTTGGATGAAACGCACCTGTTTGGAGCTCGGGGGGGGATCAAAGGAGTGAGTGACATGGGTAATGATCCAGTCACGATCAAGAGTTGAACGGTCTTGTACATACCTGCGAAACCCCATCACCACTTATCGCAAACCCAAATTGATGCGTGGAGTTCTTGAGAGATCTCTCCAGGAGATCTCCCGTGTCTCTTCTTTCGCGGTGTACCTGACTGATTGTCTCCATACCTCCATGTGGGTGACTTTGTGTACGGTACATATCGCTTTACCGCCATGCTTTCCATTCACATGAGAGGAGACACACTTACTTATCTCACCCGCTCACCATGTAACTTAGTCCCGCCATCGTCCCTTCTGATCTGCGTACCTAATCCGGCAATCTCACCCACCCATCCACTCACGCTCCCACGGCGCTCACACCCACCTGCTTAGACGGCTCCTACCCACATTTCAAGATGCAGGAACCTTCCCTTTTGGGATATGCCAGCGATTGATCGACACATGCTTCATAGGCCGAACGTCCGTAAGACATCTCTCCTGGGAGTTTTAGATATATATAAGAACGAGGCCATCAAGGTCATCTGGTGATCGAACCAGTCCTCGTCCTCGTCCTCGTCCTTCAGTTCCACCGTGTGATACCCGTTTCGTTCGTTTCTCATCTCATCTCATCTCATCTTATCCCACCAAACCAACTCAAACAAGCCGTCAAAATGGTCCAGCTCCTCTCCGCCTTCATCTCCCTCCTCTCCGTCGTCGCCGTCTCCGGCGCCGCCATCCCGGTCGCTGCCCCCGAGGCTATCGTCGATGTTGCCGTCGAGCCCACTGCCGAGACCACCACTGGCGACTTCACTGCCCAGGCTTGCCAGTACACCTGCGGCTCCGTCTGCTACACATCTTCTGCCGTCACTGCTGCTCTGAACAAAGGTTACGGCTATTATAGCTCTGGGAGCACCGCTGGAAGCAGTACGTTTTTTTCCCCCTCCCTCTTGCTTTTCTTCCTTGCTTTACCCACTCTCACCCTTCTCCTCCCTCAACCCTCTAAAGCAAGAATACTAACACCCAACCCACCCAACCAACAGGCACCTACCCCCACCAGTACAACAACTACGAGGGCTTCAGCTTCCCCACCGCCAAGCCCTGGTACGAGTTCCCGATCCTGTCGTCCGGCAAGGCCTACACCGGCGGCTCTCCCGGCGCTGATCGTGTCGTCTTTGACTCCAAGGGCAACTTGGATATGCTCATCACCCACACTGGTGCTAGCGGCAACAACTTTGTTGCGTGCAAGTAAGCAACCGCCCTTGGGAATGGGAATAGGAATAGGAATAGGAGGAGAGATGAATGATACCTTACGAATGGATGAGATGATGGGATGAAACGGAATGGAACAAGAGGGGATCGAGCTGGACTGGACTGGACTGGGCTGAGCTGGACTGGACCGGACCTTGATGGGCGTGGTGTACATAGCACATGGTGTGCAAATCTTGCTAGTCTGTACATATTGGATGTTGCTTCCAAACAGTGAATGAGTGCACTTACAGGTGAGGTATGAAGTGGGTTCAGTCATCAGCAGTCACCCCGTACTGCCCATCTTCATACAATGCGCCGATAGACATCCCCTTGTTATCGGCAATCAAGCCAATGAGCTGCTGGCCAATGTCCTTCATGTCGTTGTACTCTTTTAGCAAGTCGATGTGCTTCTGGACTGTTTCCTCTGGTGGTTGACTGCCGGTTTTCCAAGTGTTATCCAGGTTGCCTGGTGGGTGACGGGGGTATTTAAATTCCCATGGATAGTACATACCTGAGTGCTTCCCTTTCCTCCTCAATCTCCCTCGACATACGGAACTGCTGGACAAGATCCCACTCGGCTTGTTCAAAGGCTTGGAACACCTTGGTGATATATCCGAAGTACTTGTCCTTGTCGCGATGTACGAGGTCAGAATGTAGTTTCATGTCCATGAATGGCCGTTTCAACACATAAAACATACCCCCATAGCTGACTCCAGTTGATCTCGGTTCTCGAACTTGACCTCAACAATCGGGTCATCCTCCCCAGTCGTTAAAATGAGCATCAGTGGATCAGATTCGCTTTCTCGCACTTGCAGCTTCCATGCATCGTCGGGAATTGCCCCGTCTTGATCTTCATTTTCGGCTCGAATTGGCTCTCCGTCCAAGTATTTTAGCTTCAAATCCTCGATTCGGATCCTGTATTCAGCAACATGGGATACAAGTTTGGCGTTGACCTCGCGCCACGATGAAGCATTGCATCCGATCGAGGTGTGGTTGTCGAGCCAAAGCCGACACGAGGCGATGAGATCAATTTGAGTTTGCGCAGCTTGAACGAGATTTTCAGGCAGGCTAATGACGCTTGACTGTGACAATGGCCTTGGGGCTCGGGAAAGTTTGGCGGGTGTCATGATGGTGTTGTCGACTTGTGTCAGTAAAAGAGGATGTAGAAGGGAAGAGGACGATCAACGTCGAACATTCAATATCGGTAGTCATGTTAGCAGCACAGTTGTGCGGACGCAGTTCACACAGTGTATGGCAAGATACTCGGTACCGATTCGCTAGCATATAAGCATAGCATGTAAACCAATATGGTATCGCTGTTGATGTTTGATATTTCGCTGTAGGAAATCAAGTTTCCGCCAGACGCTGCTCAGCTCCCTAACCTCCCCCATGCCGTTGAGCGCCAAAGAGGTCATTGATGTTTAGCTGCCTCCCCGCCAAAGAACTCCCTTCGCTGTTTCCACTGAACGCTCCCAGAGATGCCCATGGTGCTGGCGCCTGAGTGTAATCTGCAGCGGCAGCCCCGTTGTTCGGCATGCCCTGCTCATACTGAGCCCCGACAACCTGGTTATTAACCGCGCTCAAGGCTGCCCTTGCCTTCTGCCACTGGGCCTCAATAAGACTCCAGTCGGGATACTCCACGGGACACTGACCCTCTTTCTCCTCGGTGCTGTGTAAATGAAAGCCGAGGGCCCTCCCGGTTCCGCCAGCTTCGTCGGCCTCCATTTTCAGACTCAGAAACTTCTCGTTGGTGGCCTCGTACATCTCGACTTTTGACAGGTTGATGGTGAGATTCTCCATACTACGTCGATTCAGCACAAAGAGGTTGACCTGTGGTAGTTCGTGGCCTGTGGGCAGGACGATAGGGTCGCACTCGCAAAGGAACATGGGGCCCTCGACATCGCGCAGTTCCCAGGAGTTTGTTGTTGAAGACCACTCGTAAAGCCGGACGAAGGAGCAGGTCAAGGGGATGGCGCGGAGGCCAGAGACGTAGCGCTTCAGCACGGACATGTTGAGCTCGTAGTTGGTACGGGTGGTGTGCACATAGGTAACCGACCCGTCCACTTCTGGCACGTAGTTTTTGGGGTCGTACATGCGGTTCTCGGCATCGCTGGGCTGGACCGCATAGCTGGTGTTGATGGCGTCACTATCGTAATCGGACTGCTGGGCATAGCGGGGGCCGCTTTCTCGGGAGCCGCCATTGTTGTAGGAGTGGTTGTTGCCCCTGCGCCCCTTGCGAGGGGGTGGTCTCCCGCTCATGGTGGCAGTTCTTGGGTATGGGGGAGGTTCGGGATTTCGAGAAGAAAAGGCGTGGGTGTCCGCGTTGGGTGCGTGTGTGTTTGTGATGACTTGAGGGCGACGATGTCCGTGATATGGACGTACTCGAGAGACGCGGCTTCGATGGAGGATGTCGACGATAGAAGACTGGGCGTAGAGGAATAATTCGACAGAGTGAGTGAGTGTCGTCGCCTCAGCTGTGTAAATTGCGCGCGGCAATCGGATAAATTGCAAAGACGTAGAGTTGTTGATGGGGAGTACCGGTATTACAAGGCGTACTGAATGTTGTTGTAGAGGTAGCAGCGGCCACGAGATGATGTGTTGGGCGTCAAGCAGCGCCGAGGTGCCTGCCGCGCGAGTGTTTGGTGGGGTAAATCTGGGGAGCTCCAGAGACTGACCACTCAAAGACAAGCGATAAACGTTATAAGTGGGACCTAGACTGATAAAGACAGGGGCAGTGGACAAGCTCGAGACAGCGTCATCATTCACTGGACCAGCGACCCTGATCTCCCTGTGAACAGGGCTGGGCGCTCTCCGTCACAGGGCAACCCCCTCCCGATTGCAACATGATCAACACCATGACTCGGCACCGGTAGATGCGCTCTTGTTCCTTGGTTAGGCGCGAACTTTGCATTCTCTCAATTACAACGAAAGGCCTTATCTTCATCATCACCTCGACATTACGTCCCAAGTCCTGCCCGAGTGCCCAACCGCCTTGGACCAAACACAACTACCTCGACCGACTGACCAACTCTTACGCTGCCTTGCGCGCCGTGATATTCCTTACTCGGCAGCTCCTATGATCATGAGCACGGCGGACATATCATCTCGACATATATAACACAGGCCGCCACCATGCCCTCCTCCGAAGGACCACCACCCCTTAGTCGCACCCGGACCGGGTCCGCCACCACCGACCCGGTCGATCTGGCCACAACCAACCCCCATTCGTTACACCAAGCTATCTACGCCCGGCGCGAAGAGTATACCCGCCCCCATCGGATACGCGTCAAGGTCGGAACCTGGAATGTTGCTGCTTGCCCTGGTACGGATAAGGACCTGGCCAGCTGGTTTGTCGACGGCAAGGGAATCGACACTGCGCTAGCCACTCTCGATCTTAATCGGAACGCGGCCATTGAGGGGAATACCGACGGAGAGGATGGGGTACACATACTGGGCGGGGACAAGATCGGCCTCTATGTGCTGGGATTGCAAGAGGTGGTTGACCTGAACACGGCAAGCCAGTACGTCAGTCGCGTGTACGCTGGAGATGAGGGCGTTACTCAAAAGTGGAAGACTGCGCTCGACGCCGCTCTTCCCCCCGGCTACAAACTCGTCGCCTCTGAACAAATGACTGGCCTTTTGCTGCTTATCTATGCCTCTCCAGAGGTGGCGCCGACCATCAGCAACGTGAGCACCGTCAGTGTCGGCACCGGCCTCCTTGGCTACATGGGCAACAAGGGCGCTGTCGTCACTCGCATTATCCTGGGCGAGTCCACTAGGCTGGTCTTTGTCAACTCCCACCTTGCCAGCGGTATCGAGGGAACATACAACGAGCGGCGCATCTGGGACGTTGGCCAGATTCTCGGCCGCACCCGCTTCAAGCCCGTCAGCTTTGCTGGTGTGTCAGAGGACTACGAAGAGAAGATCGGTGACGAGGACTTTGCCTTCTGGTTTGGCGACCTCAACTTCCGTCTCGATGGTCTTCCTGGTGACGACATCCGACACCTCTTGATGTTGCACACAAAGGGAGAATACGGTGCTCCTAGGCCAAAGTTCAGGCGCGACAACTCTCTGGAGGGAGAACCTATCATTGTGCACGCTGACAAGTCATCCGACGCCGGCGACGAGACCAATGACGACAAGTCGACAACGACCCACTCTACGGGAGACACCAAGGCTACCGACTATGACACCAAGGCTATTGACTATGAAAGTGATTCTGATTTGGATGCGCTTCCCGATCCTGATGACTTTTTGCCAGACCCCCACGATGATCCTACTTCACTGCAAGCAACGCTGGATTCGTTGCTTCCCCACGATCAGCTCACCCGCCTGATTAAGCAAAAGAAGGTGTTCCATGACGGATGGCATGAGGGCGCCATCTCCTTTCTCCCATCCTACAAGTACGATGTTGGCACTGTCGGACTCTTCGACTCGAGCGAGAAAAGGCGGGCACCTAGTTGGTGTGATCGAATCCTCTACCGCACCCGTAAGGATAAGGAGGCGTATGATAAGAAGATCAAGGATGCCGAGGACGCACGCAAAAAGGATGAGGAGATGAAAGCTCGCGGTATCGACCAGGCCGGAGATGATGACGAGGTGCTTTTCGACTATGACCCGGATAACGACGGCGACGACGATCACTCTCCAGGTGTGTCACGGCTGGAATACGATGAATACGATGAGGGCGAGGAAGGCGATGACCAACACAACAGAGATGACTGGGTGGATAGGATACGCCAGGACATCTACACGTCTCACCAAAGGATCACATCTTCCGACCACAAGCCCATCATATCCATCTTTACCCTGAACTATGATGCTGCTGTGCCGGACCTAAAAGCACAGGTCCACGCAGAGGTGGCCTGGGAACTGGACCGCGCCGAAAATGAGGGCCGCCCCTCCCTTACTGTGGTTAACGACTCGCGCGACGCCCGAGGACCGGGACGTCCTGGTGGTTCGCAAGACTCAGCTGAAGAGCTTGTGGACTTTGGAGAGGTCCGCTTCCTACAAAAGCAAAGTGCCACACTTACACTGGCAAACACGGGCCGAGTTGCATGCACTTTTTCGTTCGTCGAAAAGCCTTCTCCTGCTAAGGAGGATGGCCCGAACCCACCCCCCTGGCTGAAAACATCCTTCATATCTTCAGAACCTGCTATCGATGATTCACAACTGCCAGATATGGGTAAAGAAGTGACGCTAGAGCCCGGTGAAACGGTCAGGGCGCGATTAGAGGTCAACGTCAACCATGTAGAGCAGGCTAGAGTGCTCAACAGTGGGAAGGACAGGTTAGAGGAAGTGCTTATTCTTCGAGTAACTGACGGTCGGGATCACTTCATCCCTGTGCGGGGTGTTTGGATGCCCACCTGCATCGGTCGCTCCATCGACGAGCTCATACGGGTACCCGAAGGAGGTCTTCGCAAGTTTGTCCATTCCCTCACCGAAAAGAACGGCGGCAAAGTCATGTCCGTCCCAGAAGAAATGGATGTTCATTGCGCCGCGCCCAGAGAGCTGTTCAAACTCACCGAAGCCCTCGAGGCGGTAACCGAGCGGGTCTTGGCAGACGAGCAGATGCTGGAAGAGTATAAGGCCCCTAGAGCATCAGGCTGGCCCTTTGAAGAAGATACTTGGCGAGTCACCGACAATTCCCTCCGTGCCTCTCGCGCCGCCGACCTTATCGACGCCCTCGACGTTGGCATGGCCCACATCGTCGATGCCTTCACCGCCGAGGTCCCCGCCGTCGAGCGACTTGAGACCGTTGCCGAGGTTCTCCAGCTCTTCCTCCGCGGTCTCACGGATGGTATCATTACCACCTCTCTCTGGTCGCGGATTGAACAAGCTTCTCTTGTCTCGCTAGGCCAAGGAGCTACCGCCGCCTCCAAGGTCCCTCCCCAAGAAACGGCCTACGAAGATGACAAGGGCACCATCCTTGATATCCTCTCTACGGCGCCCAACCACAACATCTCCTTCGTCTTTCTAACAGCCACCCTAGCCAAGGTCACCACCGATCTTTCCCCCATCACAAAATCTGACCTGGAACTCCTCAAATCGGACACTCCTGTGCGGCTTAGTATGCTGAACAGGCGGTCACTCACCGCAGGACTGGTCAAACGGAATACTTCGTCTGGGTCTTTCGGGCAAGCAATGGCCGCAATGGCCGCGAGGCAGGCGAAGGAAAGAAGCTTTGCCGAGGTGTTCGGGGAGCTGGTATGTAGAGCGCCAGTGCAGAAGGGCATGAAGGATAAGGAGAGAAAAGCAGTGGTGGAGAAGCAGCGAGCTGTACTGGAATTGTTTTTGAGGAGGAGAGGGGATTGAGATGGGATTGATCGACTGGCGGAAAGATGACTCTGGGTGATGTTTTGGAGTAGTACAGGATATATGGGAAGCATGCTTGGCGTACGGGAACACTGATGGCTTCTCATTGAGAAGGGGGTTGAGCCTTGCGTTTGAGTTGTACTACAATGTTTGTTGGCATAATGTAATACTGTATTAGTCAGAGGGTAGATGTGAGACCTTGTTCTTTGTCTTTCGGAGTTCTGGTTGTTTCTGTTCATTTACACTTGGGATGGTGCTTTCCGGTGATGGTTATCAGTCCGGTCATTGGAGGAGGTTGAGAAGGCGACGAAAGCTTGGCTGCGATCAGACCGACATGAGACTGATCAACTACTTCATCTGAGCTGAGATGGATCAGGCACGCAGGTTCGCTTAGAACCATTGCGGATGTTGCGATGAAGCTCTCCACAAGGCCAAGACCGTCAGGCTGTCAAACGGGAAAGAGCAGGCGTACGACGTGGAAGGAGGGAATCCACTCCGTTTGTCTATTCACTCAAAGTTGGGAAGTTGCCTCGCAATACCCTCGTTTCAGGAGTGGTAGCCTGGAGACCTGATTCCACTCATGATCCGTTCTTTGCTTGCTATGACACGATTCGTGCACAGAATGGCAGAATCTTGAGTCCATGGAGTCACGGTATCTTCAATCCCATTCACCCGCCATCGCCAAGTCACTCCAACCTCTTCACTGTTTCCATCCAAGGCAAGGTCACCTGCTTGTCGATCGCCATAGCTGTCAGCTGCCAGCTTCTCTGTCCTATATCAACTCGGGTTTCAAGTTGATTCTCTTCCAGACCACAAACTCTTTTAATTCAGGTCATCTCCACCAAAGCCTGTGGCATCTTTACCCGTCCACAAGATCAAGCCTTGGAGAAGGTTTTGTGCATTCACATCAAACTCGAACAAGCGACCACCGCCGGCGACACAAACACCATGTCCTACGAACATCGATGTCTCATGCGCCGCCGCCTCGAGCTGTATCACGACATCTTGACAGAACAGCTGAGGCCTAGGATCGAGGCTGCCGCTGCCGCTACCACCGAACATGACGATTCTGATGCCGATCAGTATATAGACGACGATACCGACAACACCGACGACACTGACGACTCCGACGAGGATCTGTGCGAGTGGGAGCACGCCGAGAACAAGCCATCCGAGGAATCGTATGCCCGTGTCACTCAATGGCGCTGTGGACTTGAGGGAAACAGGGTTTGGGAGAAGGATGCACCGGATTATTTCGAGAACACCGAGAAGGTATCAGATCAAGTGGAGTTGGAGCAGCAGGATGACAACGAGGCTTTTCCCACCACAGGAGTTCACCACGTTGAGCATTCCGGCAGTGGCAGCGCCGCGGATACGAGCGTACAAACTTCTGGAGGACCCCCAACACCACTTTCGGATGCAGTGGCGTTGGACCCCATGGCAAAGGTCGAAGAGCAAGGGCGAGCACACAATGGGGACAACACATTGAATGATCCCAAAACCACAAAGCGGGAAGAGTACAGCACTGCATTACTCAACGATATGGCGTCGGGCTCGGAATCACCAAAGGACGACTCGCTAGACAGGTTGACGACACCACCCAGCTCTCCTTGCCCCGAGTCATCCGTCACTGCGAACCCCTTATTCATGAAGGAACGTAATCACATCTCCCTACACCCGCAATCCAACCTCATCAACCACTCCCAATCCCTTCCCACAAACTCGAGGCTTTCCCAATCAAACCGTCGTTCCAAATCCCTACCACCACTGAACCTCCTCCCCTCCCACTGTCCACCAACACCACCCCCGGAAACCTCCTCTCCCTCCACCTCTACCTACTCGCAACTGCGCTTTACCGTCACCCAAGCCGAGCTCGACTTTTTCTACAAACACATCGAACAGGTCGAGTACATGATCAGAGGAATTGACTACCAATTCCAAATGCAGGAGTATCGAAATGAGGTCCGACGACAAAATCGGCGGAGGAGAAGACGGGCAGAGGTAGAGGAAAGGTTGATGTTCATTGCATGGGGCAACGAGATGTCGTCTGAGGACTGGAGCAACGTGGCAGGTATGGATGGGACCGAACATCAGAGCTGGGAGAACACTGCTGTTACTGGGGAGTGGGATTCGGGTGGCTTGGAGGGTGATGAATCTGCGGACGCCAAAGAAGAGGGCGATGATGATCCCAGCTCTCACAGACCGGGTGAGAAGGGAGAAGGCTGTGGTACAGATGGACATAGGGAAGATGGTGAATCTGTCGGGGCCGACGGAGCTGGAGATGAGGATGCGGTTGTTGCCGAAGAGGATGGCAGCAGTGAGAACGGATGGGATAGTGGTGCTTGGTCGTCCACATGGTCGGAGCCCGAGGAAAAGACCCAGCTCCATCAACCCACCCAAAGAAGCCCACTTCGAAAAGGATACACGCCTGATGACATGGTCTGGGAGGAGGCAGTGGCCGAGGCCGAATACCTGGGCTTCTACGGGCATCAATTTAAGAAGGACGAGCGCGGCAGGAGGCACTGGCGCTTGTGAGGGGAGAGGTGTGCATGCATGCGTGTGCATCTGTATGCGAAACCGTCCCACACTGAACCGAGGAAGCACGATGGTAGTATTGAGTGGCATAGTCTTAAACAATCATTATGGCTCTCCATCGATAGCGGACGGCCCAATTGACCGACCACACGGCAGAGGGTCGGCCGCCCATTTCTTGGTTATCTTTGCGCTTGGCTTCCCAGTGACCCAGTCTCGCCGCCTTCAAAACAGGATGGGTATTGCAGACAAAGCACCTGTCATTGGCGCAGGATGCAAGCAGCAACATCCGCAACAAGCAACGACGAGGCAGGCCACACGCCTTGATTCCGTGAGAGACCTCTGCATCCTCTCTGCAGCAGCACCAGGCTGCACAACCTGCAAAACCTGGAACCCACTGACACCATGCAATGTATTGTATCAGATACCCTACGTAGCTGACACACAGAGAGAGGTCTTTGTTTTCACGAGGAATGCCCGAAATATCGGTAAAAGGAATGCAAAAGTAACTCTGCCGAACAATAGGTGTCTGGCGGACTTCCAATCGAAAGAGGCTGTTACACACAGCTTTCCAGAAACCTTGCGATTTACGGAGTGTAAGATGGGGGAGTAGGTATATCCAACATCACCTATTGTGAATGTATGTCCAAAAGCCCTATGAACTCCGTCCAACCAAAGATGCATCATCAATCACCATCATTATAACAAACCCCCAAACCATTTCCTACTTCGGAAAACCCAGACCCCAAACACCAAGATGAATCACAACCACTGCACCCCCTCCGCCCACGGCTTCGTCGCCTTGGAGTAATCCATCCCCCTCCTATACCCCGTCAACAGCTCCTCCTCATCCACACCACAATGAACCTGTCCATCTCGCCCCTGGAACCATCCCAACCCATACGTCTTGCCCACCTGATCCTCCAGTTTCCTGACCATCTCAGCATTACTCAGCTTATTCGTCCCCACAAAGTCGTACAACATCTTGCTCTGATGGATATACGCCAACACACTAGCAATGGTATTCGGCTGCCTTGGCAAGAACACGCGACGCCGCCGAATAAACACAATAGTCGCTATCACGCCCATGTACAGCAGAACAAAGTCCGCCAAACACAGGGAAATCCAAAAGGAAAGCGGCGTTTCCTGTCCCGCGTTGATCGAGTTCGTATCATCAATCTCGTCGTCGTCCCTAGCCTGGAACTGGAACTCCGATCTCTTCCCATCAAGCAACAACGCCTCCTTCGTCGCATCGACAAACACCCTCCCCTCAACACTCGCCAAGCTCGTGACCAACACGGTTAAAAACTCCGCCATGACGCTACCAAACCCGACAAAGCTCACCAGCCAGTGTCCGTTCATGGCCCCCTTCAGCGCGACCCACCCGCCGAAGGGCATGGACCTGTAGTCAAGCGTCAGTGTCTTCGGAGGCGCGTGCCGCTTTGTAGACAGGATATAGTACGGCTCCATCATGCGCACGTCCGTCTCCATGGCGCCCCAGCTGAGCTTGAGGCAGACGGCCAAGGCCGTGATCACCCAGGGCGCGCGGTCGGTCAAGACGTTGGCGGGCGTGAAGAGGACGCAGGGGATCAGGACGGAGAAGAGGGTGATGAAAATGATGAAGGGGATGGCGCCCGCGGCGCGCAGGGAGAGCGGGTGCGGGTTCTCGTCTAGGTGGCTGCCGGTGTAGCGCTCGCGGTCTTGTTCCTTTTTGGATAAAGGTTTGTTGTAGACTTCGTCGGCGGGCGCGAGGGCAGAGTTGCGCAGGACGTAGCGGTGGTTTTTGAGCTTGTTGTGGATGTCCTTGTGCGTGGCCACGTCCATGTCTTTGAAGTCCATGAGGATGTGGCTGACGGTGGCCATGGAGGCCAGGCCGGCGATGCCTTTGACGTCGGCGAGGAGGCCGGAGCGACGGCTTTGGAGTTGGTAGAAGAGGATGCAGCCGAATACGGCGATGATCACGAGCGTGAGGGTGAGAATGCGTGACCAGACGGCGTGGATGGAAATGCGCTTCTCGTCGTTTGGGTTCAGCAGGCGAGTGTCCCGGTCGGGTGAGAGGATGATGCAGGCGGAGCAGAGAGTCGGGACCAGCGCGTTGGCAAGAAGACTTGCTATGGTGGACACGGCTACCGCATAGTGTTTGTAATGCAGGGCCCGAATAGGTCGGAAAAGGTTGAAGAAGGTGAAGTAGTCCACGTTGATAGACTCTGCTGCGAGGGAACCATCCTCCTTCGATAGCTGGTAGAAAGCTTCAAGGCGCATCACCTCGAAGTTCGTAATCTGCCAGAGCACACCATAGGTAACGGCGATGAGTGTGGGCAGGAATTTGATGCAGAAATACGCTGTAGGTGTTATATCGGTGGGTGACTTGAAGACAACCAACGGCTGCTTGGCTGATCTTTGGTATAGAACTTCCACGCCGCCGGCCGCAACGATGGAAACAATAATGAGGGACACCAGGTAGGGCCATCTCATGGAGAATGGCTTCCAGTCAGGCGTGGGGTAGAACACCTGCTTTTCCGTCCTCTTCATTGTAGGAAACGTCGTCTGCCGCATTTGCCCATAGGGACTCTTTGACCCTGGGTCTGGTCCAGCCACGACGCTCAAGTCAAACTTGCCCGAGTTGCTGATAACATCATCATCCATCACCAACTCAATGACTTCCCCTCTTTTGTTTGCCTCTTGCTGCGCCAACTGCTTGACGGTGTCATGTCGGCTCAAACGTGCAGCAGCTCGCGTGAATGAGCGTCGCATGGAGGAGCCTCGGTCTGAGATGGGACTCGTAGCCAGCAAAGCCGACTCGGTCACGACGGCATCGGTACGGATTCCAGCACCCAAACCACCAGTGAGTTTGCCCTGGGCTTCCTGTTCCTGCAACGATCTGATAAACTTATCATCCGCATCTGTTGACGGTCCCAAGGCTGCGCTGACATCGAAGACAGGCTCCATGCGTAGGTACGGGGCTGGAGCCCGAGGCTGGCTGCCGCCTAAGGGAGCGGCAGACTGGATGAGGCCAAGATCGATCCCATCTTCTTCCGGAATCGTATCGTGTCGTCGGTTCAGATGAGCAGCGCGGGCGGCAAAGGAGCGGCCCTGACTATGTCTGTTGCGCTGGAATGGTGGCGGTTGATGTTGATTTAGTGATAACTGTTCGGAGAAGTGCACTGGCTCGTAGTTGCTGTTTCTAGCGCCTCCGCCTCCTAAACCTGGCAAGCTTGCTAGTGCAGACCAGCCAGTCTGGGCTCCCGTGTAGACATGTCCGCCTTCTCCCCCGACATCATAACTTTGATGATTCGATCCAGAATTGTCATATTCCGACTGAAGGGAGACCAGCGACGGACGTGGCTGTACGTTGTCGAAATCTGTGAGATCCGAGACAGTAGATATCCGGCTGAAGGAGCCTGCCGAGTGGGCAGAGTGCAGCGGGGGCCGCGCCTGCGGATGCGGCGCATACTGGTAGTCCATCGGCGGCTAATTCTAGCGTCTGGTCCCTTATAGCATCGCGTTGTCCAAGGGGAGAGATGGCGAGAGGTTTCAAAGAATGAGGAGATCAAGGGAAAAGTTAAGAGAAGGAAAATACCTAGTTAATCGAAGCTGAAGAAATGAATGGATGACGCCCAAGACAACGCTGGCCAACGAGCTGAAAAGCTGCAGTTGATCCCGGGCTGCAGCTGAAGATTGTCGATGGCGAAACAACAACTGAGCTTCCGCTTGGTGTAATTGGTCCAGGGAACCAACTGTTTCCGCACTCCCAAACTCCTGGGTCCGAAAAAAGTATCGTGAACGGTAGGGGTTAGAGGGAAAGGGAAAGAGGGGAAAGAAGGTCAATGAGCCCAAAGAGTTAGAAACGAGAGGAGGAAGAAGGTGGAGGAAGGAGAATCTGACGAGACTTCCAGCCAGCCCCAACTTCCCGATGAGGGGGGAAGGCGCGAGGATGTAACAGCCACCCGTTTGTTTGGAGCCGCGGGCCAAGTGTCTGTCCAACATCACACCCTTCTGTTCCCATCGTGACGACCGAAGAGCCAGAGACAAGGAACAGAGGCCGCCCTCTGTTGCAGCCTTGTCGGAGGCATCTTCCACGATGGACAGGGGGGCTTGGGGTCATTTTGGGGTAGGGCTGGCGCTTCATCCCCCTGTTCAGGCCCGTACAAGATGCGCTTAAAAGGGCCCCAGACAGCTTGTTTCTGGGGACTGCGGGGGTGTTATCAGCAGCGTTCCGTTGCATCGCGAAGTATTTCTTGGCGGAGGTGTGGGAGGTGTCCTTGTTCAACTTCAACCTTGCAGCTTGTGCCACCAATATTTGGAGATGCATCGCTGGCAATTCAGGTACAGATGGCATCGAATGATCTTGCTGGATAGCCGAGAAGGAGAAGTCTGGAGTAATGAACACGTCTTCCCCGTGTCTTCATGTTCTGGATTTGCATCGATGAGTGGATTGGGATGTCGTCTGTCTTACCACACTGTCGGCTTGCCACATTAATCCCTAATAGGGTCACCCATGAACGATATCGTTCCCTTTCCTATTTATAGGTGGGCAGCTCACGCTTCTGCAGGTCCGTGACCACGACCCTTGATGGTGGTACAAACTTCACTGACATATATCAACTGCGCAGGCCGGCATCGTCATTGGTTGCCAATCGCTGTCGTCTTGTACATGTTTTGAAAGCAGTTGTGGGAAAAAAGGGAATTTGCGACAAAAGAACGAAGACGACTACAACGGCAACAACTATATGTGATCAATGGAAGAGGAATGCGTCAGCAAGCTTGAGATACGAAAAAGGGGTGCAAAGGTCCAAAAATCAAAAAGCTCAGTCGCCCAGGCCAGTGTTCGAACTGACCAGCTGCAGACCTACGAAAACTGTATCACCGGCACCGCGCACCGAGCAATGTTTTCTGGCTCCCATACCGCTTGACCACGGAGAGGCGGGGAGGAGTTATTCGGGCCACCAAACGCGCAGCCTATATACCCCCAAGCCCCTGTGGCCTGGGATAGACAGCAGTCACCTAGCTCTGGCACGGGGAATCTGTGATGATGAGTGTCTACAGATACCAACTGTTTGTCTTACGAATGCATCATTTGCATCTCCAACTTGGATTTCGTGCCTTTGTCATTTCCTGTCGGCTACCCATCTGCTTGAAGAATAATTGCCGAGTGTCCACCAGAGCGTCTTGTCGTTTGATATTTCCCAGCACCGGCCACCTCCGTCCTTCGCCTCGGTTAAACCTCCATGCAAATGCAATGCAAGATCTCTGTAGAATGATAGAATCTATGAATTTTATTCCAGATGTCCAAGAGGGGAAGCCATTACAAATTCCTTGCTGCGCTTAAGTCTGAACACCACCCCCTCCCCTTTTAACGTGGACACCACTGGATCCCACCAGGGGAGATCAACTGAGTCCGCAACAACAACGATAGTGTTTCGACGCAGCCTTCCGAAAAGAAGAGTGAAGCAATACTTTGCTCCGTCGGTAAATTTCCATCCGAAGTATGCAAGAGGACATTTGAGTGCCCAGTTGAAAACTAACTTCTTCCTTGACAGATCACAAGGATAATGGATGGCCCGCTCGATCTTGACTTCCAGTCAATTATTGAGAGAGTGATTGAGCTTCTCATATCGTTAAGCGAAGAAGTAAGTCATCCATTTGCAAGCCTCTCTCTCAGCTGCAGCACTGGACTAACATTCACGGATCTTTAGCAGTCACTCGTCAGGGCGACTTTGCAGTCACTCCAGCTTGATCTTCAGGATCTCGCGGCTCTGCCAGACTACATGGTCCCGTTGGAGTGGGTCGCCGAGGAGACAGAGCGGATAATTGAAGAGGGCAGGAAAATGGACGAGTACTTAGACCGTATCGCCGAGATGGTGGTAGTAGTGACTTGGATGGTCGAATTTATGGAACAATTGATATAATACTTTTAACTGCTGCTACCTTTTGAGTTGGCCGAGGAAGATACGAAGGGAGCTATTCTTCGTGTTGATTCACGAAGCGTAAATGTCAAGGAGCAACTCAGTTGCGAGTCAATTCAGAATCGGGGCGTCCGAAGATCGGTCATGAGAAGGATCTGATCAGGTTCGCGGCTAGAAAGGGTACAGGAAACAATGGAACACCTCTCCGCGGATAGCCGCAAGAGGAGGGAGTTCCTTCCTCCCATACCGTAGAAACTCGCGAAAGTCGCCAAAAGCTATCCGTCTTTAAGCGCCGGGCAATGGTAAAAATCTGCCATAAACATGCCCCGTAAGCACGCATATGCCAGCACATGTGTCTGTCCAGTTAGTGAAAACTCGAGGACATTGCCCACCACGTTAACTTACACACATTCAAGTGCATAGGACTCGGCCTTGTCCTGCTAGCTGCCTGCACAGATCTGCCCTCTGTCCGGCGCTCAAAGAGGGATAGCTTTTGGCGACTTTCGCGAGTTTCTACGGTATGGTAATAGATGAACCCCAAGTTGGACACATTTGGATGTGCTCCTTCCCAGCTTGTTCTGTGACTGATCCTTATTGAGCATTCATTGTCCAATGACCGCCCAAATTACGGACATCATGTGATAGAAATGATCTGCGTGTTCTTCCCAGCTTCTTGTCCTCTTGTCGTGAAAACCTTCCCCGTCTAGCAGAATAAGCAATGTCAGGAATGAGACGATCATTTGCGGTCATATAGCTACCTACCCATATCCGCCTCCACCATCGACAAACGAAAATATTCCATCCCAGGTGGCCAGGTGACGTTGACCTCGGGCCATCGAATTCTACCAGATCGAGGCAGATCGAGACGGCACACAATCGAGATCGAGACCGACATCGAGCATACGACATTGTACAAAAGTAGGTGATGGTTGGCAGTTGCTGATGAACTTGAAGTATCATGGTGTAGAAACAACGAGTTCCCGTGCGTTGCATCGCCGACCGACCGAACAATATCTTCCTTCCTTTCCGATCTACCAAACGCCTCGCCTGTATCGATAGCTCGAACACTTCTAAACCGCCTACTTTTTTGCGCTGGTTGAAGTGCCGCAGGCATGGCATCGACGACGCCGACGACGACGACGACGAGAACCAGTGGAGGCGTTGAGCAAACCGTTCCTTTGATATGGGCAAATAATTCCTTCAAGACGACCGGCTTTACTGGAAATCTGGCCCAAATATATCAGAAACCTCCCAAAATACTTCCCGGAGTACGTCTGTGCCCAGAACTTTACCTTCACTCTGCCCGCAGATCGGATGGAAGGTCTTGAAACACGCCTTTTTCGCTTCTGCCAAAGAAGGGGCAGCCACAAATCCTTGACCTTCGTTTCACTTTTTCGCAAACCTTCCCTTCTGACACCAACCGCCAATCCTTTTGCGGCCAACAAGAAAAATATTACCCGTTCCGGTGCAAAATCTCTCTCCCGGCGCAACCAGCACCACCCGATCGAGCATCAACGATATTCGCGACAACCGCCAAGATGGTGAACTCCCTCCTTGCCTGGACCGAGGACGAGCTCCAGTACCTCAAAGCCGTACTGCGATGGAAAGATTCGCCCGCGGAAGAATACAAGCGACTCTCCGATGGCGGCGCAAATGATGCGCTCTCAAACCTCGATCCGCAAGATTCGACATCGCCACAAGAGCCAAAACAAGAGGAAATCAAGATCCTCATTCTCGGTGCAGAGGGAGTAGGAAAGACGGCGCTCGTCCAAAAGGTAAGAACAGGAATGCGCCGACCCCTCCCCATCTCTTGCGCAAGCGGCTTCTAACTCAAGGTTCTTCCAGTTCGCCAAAACCCACCGCCACCCCTCCACGTCCAAACCCAACCGCTACCAGCTCACCCTCCCCTCAGATCCCACTACCTCTTCCGGCAGCAACAAGTCAACCACAACCTACACCCTCCACACCCTCGAGCTCCCCCACCCCTGGTCCACCACCACGCGCACCACGCACCCCCATCTCTGGACGCGCACGCTGACCGAGTACGACGGCGCCCTCATCCTCTACTCCGTCACCGACCCTTCCTCGCTACACCACGCCACATCCATCGCCTCAGCCATCCGCCAACACTTTGAATCCCTCCCGCCGTTCAGCGAGGACTTGGTGCCCTTCAACAAACCGATCGGCAGAGGATCAAAGGCGCACTATCTACACCTCAAAAAGACCACCAGGAACGTGGTGAGAGAGTTCGCCATGGTGATGGTAGGAAACAAGAGCGATGTAGATATTTTGGGTGGTGGCGCTGCTATTGCTGCTACTGCTACTGCCGCTGCCGCTGCCGCTGCTGGTTCATCACTGAGCGGACTCGGACTCGGACTCGAAGGACTCAGTGGAGTTGTTGGAGAGAGAAGGGTGTCGACAAAGGAGGGAAAAGAAGCTGCCAAAAAGCTGGGGCTGCTGGCTGAGTCGTGGTTTGAGACGTCGGCGAGCGTGACGGGGGAGAATGTTGATGCGGTTTTTGAGCAAGTGGCTAGGGAGGCGGTAAGGAATAGGAAGGAGTATAAGGAGAAGAAGGGCGAGATTGAGAGGGGTGGAAGCGAGGGCTTGTTGAAGAGGGATTCGGAGGTGGAGAGTACGGTGACGACGAAAAGTAAGGTGGGTGGATTATGGAAGAGCCTTACGACGGTGTGGTTGCCGTTGTTTGGGAAGAAGAAAGGTTAGGGGGTGCGTGTTTGGGAGGTGAAGATGGAGGTGGAGGTGAGGGCTTTTGATGCCGGTCTTGGTTCTCTATAAGGAAGCCGATGCTGTTTCCTGCTACTAATAGTCCCTGGTGAGTATGGGAACTCTAGTTGTGGCATCTGGGAAACATGATCAGGGAGACAGAAGAGAACAAACGGGTATATTATTGCTGCTGGAGCCAGGTGGCGATGTCCGGATAGGAAGAGCCCTACCTGGTGAACCAGGAAAGCGGACAAGGAGGTGTTGTTGTGTTTTCAGCGAAGATACCCCGTACATCCGTTGCGTTCATACTCAAAAAGCTTCATTATCAAGAGCCTAATAATGACTAAGCCACATAGTCAACGAAAGACTGGCACAGTCAGGCTGGTAGATGATAGGATTTGCGTGTGAAGGAGATTGAGCGAGATGCCACCACTAACAACTCATGATGTCCATCCTTTCATGGTAGATATATATGTACGAAGAACCCTATGGTCTAACGTTATATCCAAATCTATGTTAGCTCCAAAGTGGTGTATTTCCAGTGACCCATGGTATCCCAAAAACGCCTCGCTTTCTGTATTATCGATACCTGCCTTCCCACGATACCCTTCCGGTTGTTTATGCAATCAAGCCTTCGTCCAAAAGTGCCCGCTAATAATACTGGCGAATCTCTATGGTACCATTCAGTAACGCCTGCCTGAATAGGTCCGCAAACGAGGCAGTAGTACGACAATCACTCCTTTCCCTCTTTTCCAGGGCTTCTGGCAACCACTCTTGGATCTTTTCGATTCTGTTCGAGTGCTGTGCCGACCTCCTCGTTAGTACCAAGTTTACCAAAGAGAAGTTTAGCAGTCAAATCACACAAGCAGGAGTTTTCAACTTACCGAAGGATGCGTACTCATCCACTCGGGCACTTTTTCCTGCGTCTTCCTACCCATCTTCTCCCAAAACGTCACCGCCTCCCTCGGATCATAGCACGCCTCCGCCATCATCATCAGCCCGATATAATCCGCCTCGCTCTCCTGCTTGCGGCTCATCGGGTTCGCGATCGCCGTGTTGAGCGCCCATGCGCCCGCAAACTGGGCGATGATAGCACCGAGACCCAAAGCGCTGCAGAGCACCACAAGACTGTACAACAAAATATTCACGCCCAGGCTCTGCGACATGCGCTCGCCGACATGATCGGCGACGTTATGCGCAATCTCATGACCCAACACCGTCGCCAGCTGCGAGTCCGTCCTAGCTAGGTTCAAAATCCCGCTGAAGACAAACACCTTCCCACCCGGCAAGACGAACGCGTTGGCCGTGTGCGGATCGTCAATCACAAAGATCTCCCATTTTTCGTCTCTCATCCCGCTGAACGGGATCAGCTTCGCCATCACCCGCTTCACGCGCTGCGTGCGCGGGTCCCAGTCGGGCAGGATGGCGACCCCCTTTTTTTCAAGGTCGTAGAGTAATTGGCGGTAGGACAGCTCGCCGGCCTCGATAACGCGCTTGCGCGAGTAAATGTTGAAGCGCGTGCGGCCCGACACGGGGACGGTCTCGAGGTTGATGAAGTAGAAGATGATGGTTCCCGCGACGCAGAAAATGGCAAAGTATTTGGTGTTTTGGTGGCGCGCGGCTCGTTTCAAGTCTTGGTTGGTGAAGAGCGGGTCGGCGTAGCGACGGTGGACGCCGTAGGGGTCGACGCGCTCGTTGAAGGAGCGGTTCCACCAGTCTGAGGCGAAACGGCGTTGTTGTTTTTGTCCTCGCCATGGAGGAGGGCCGGTGTTGATTGGGGGGATGCGAGCGGTTGTCGTCGGTCGCCATGGCGTTGGCGTGCCGGAATAGAGATTAGGGCTGGTTACATGTCGTCGGTAGGCTCGGAGTTGCTGCGAGGATGGGTATGGGTGGTCGTGTACGATGCTTCTGGTAGTTTTTGAGGTTGCTGGTGTCGTGGATAATGCTGTGCTAAGGCGTGCGCGTGTTCGGAAGGCTGCAGAGACAGCTGCGAGGCCGGCCCGTTGTCCGATCACTGTGGAAGCGACACCAAGCGATGGCCGGAGAATAGGAAGCATAGTATGGAAAATGGAACTGTCGCAAATCGTATGTATGTGTTTCTTCTCGAAAACAAGGATACTAGGTACGGCACGCAAACCAACGAAACCGTCTAAGAAACGTGAATCGACACATGGCAGAAAGCAAGTCTAAAGGGAGGGTTTCAGCCACCAGAACGTGATAATCAAAGGTGTTGTTTGCCGACTTCGCTGCTGTGCACTGATGCGGTGGAAGTTCGGCGAAGGTGGCAGACGAAAGCTCGGAATCTGACAAAGTGACAAACTCCGTCATCGAGCAGGGAGCAGAGCGTCGGCAGGCAAGGATGGGCGGGAGAACCAAAGGCTTGGCACTTGGCGGCTACCTTATTGGTGGGAACAGGCGCGATAAGCCGAGATAACGAATCAAGCGGACAGAGCGGGGTCTGTTGCCTTCCCGTGCGGGCAGGTCTTGGCAGAAACTGTCTTTCTACAACGCCATGACCTCCAATTGTTGTTGAGAGTTGAGAGTTGACAACTTCTGTCTGTCTGTCTCTTCTCACTCCATCAGCTCTAACCATGCCGATCATATTCGAGATGAGCGCGATGCCTAAAATAACAACCAACATACACCCTTTTCAAGCGGGACACGGTACGAGCAGTCGAATCAAAGCATGGACAAGAGGCCGCCAATGTTCAGTAACTTCAGCTGTGAGGTCATGATGCTTCCAGCCCTTTGAAAGGATTCCGAACACTGGTGCACAATTGGTGCAGTGACCCGACTGCCTTGCCCATCATCGTCGGCCCGCAGTACAGCCTTGAGGCTCGGAGGATTAGTCTCCTACCCGATACATATGTCGGGTGGGATCATGCGACGTGATGGGTTGGGTTGGGTTGGAGTATCACGACCTGTGCTCGCGGTCCATGCCGTCAGCTACCCAAACTCCGCGGAGGTATGGTGGTACTAGCGCGGATTGTGCCTCATCAACCTCGTGTCTAGTGTTGATCAAAGGATGTTGGTGATGCCTCAAGTCTCAACATGGAAGAGCACGGAAAGATGGCATTGATAATGATTTGGAATTATCATGGCCAGAGCCTTGTTTCCCAACACTTGGTCTGCATGAATACCTACCACTCATGTGGCTCAATTCTCGCATCTGTCACAGTGTTGCAATGATGGGTCAGAAAGGGCAGTTACTCTCTGTCAAAGTTGCCTCTGCCATACTGTGTCTCTTGCCAGTGTCGATGCACATTGTGTCGCTCTTGCCTTAGACCAAGGCTGTTGGTGTTGGTTTGCAGAGTGTGCAGACGTTGTAGAGACAGAGTTTAGCTCCTTCCCGATATTAAAATATTGAAAAACCAGTCTCCGAGTGGCTTTCCCCGCGCTTTCCAGAGTGGATGAAGAGGCATGGAGCCAAGTTTTTCCATCACCAACGACAATCTCGGCCTCGTCCGGCTGCATATCGTCTGAAGTTTTGGTCAACTTTGGTTTGTTTGCTTTACCTAACCATTTTCCCCCTGCCTGATGCCCCGGTCCCCCCCTCCCGGTCCGTCTCGCGGTATAAGTCCTGTCTCACCCCAAAGTCATTTCCGTCTACTACACAAACGTGGTTGCGCGCCGCGATATACGATTCGTCCTTGGCTCGTTCTCGCTGAGCAGCCTTGCTTACTTACCTCTGCTTTCCCCCTCACATGTGCCGTGCCACTATCTCACGGCATCTCGGCTTCTTTTGAGTTCTGACACCCTGCGAAAAGAACAAGGTTGGGTGGTATTCTGGTCCCGTCAGCTTGGATCGAGGTGGATTAGCCTGCGACAATGGCTCATATGGCCCCCAATCCTACTGCTGTCGAACCCATGATCAACGAATTCGATACGACTATCTCAGACTCCCCCTCAAGTCTTCCTCAGACACCCCGCGACACCAAACCTTCGTGGGTCGCTGGCAAACGGAACAAACTCCTCAGGCGTATTCCTCTCTTCAAGCCGCCCAAGATGGAGGCGCACATGATGGCTTCGACTTCATCTACGCCTACAGACAATCAACATGTCGGAACTGAGTATACCTCTACCCAACATGAGGGAGCCGCTCGCTCTGTTTCTCCCGATTCAGCGTTACTCGGCATGGGGCACGGTGGACAACACGGAGAAGGATCTCAGTCGCCGCCGCCGCCGCCGTCCAACTCACAATATCAGTATCAGAGCGTTCCCTCGCCGCCATTATACCCGGAGCAGCCGCAGTCTCCAAAGGAGGCGGACATGGGCATCTATCCTGCTTACCCTGCCACGTTCCCCGGAGGATTCCATTCATACTCGCCGCCGCCCATGGCAATGTACGGAGGATCGCCCATGACACCTCAGGTGATTAACTTCCAGAACTGGGGACAGGCCTATGATACCCAGAGCTTGATGAGTTCCCGTATGTTGATGTCCTTGGCCCTCACATTTCACTTTTCCATCACTAACCTCTGTCCTCAGCTCAAACCCCCTTCACTCCATTTGGACAGCCACCTTTTGGGCAGCAAGTCTATGGACAAGCAGGATACGGACAGCCACCCTATGGACAGCCACCCTTCGAATGCCCTTCCCAGAGCGGCCCATATCGCGACAAGGTCAGCTGGCTGGGGACAACCTTGTGGTTCCTGTCTATTTTCTCAACTATCGGGAGCGGCATCTGGTTGGGTGTCGCCTTTATTCAACCTAAATGGGGAAAAACAGTTTCCTCCACTAATGGAGCCCTTCCACCGTCGACGGCTTCTTTGCTCACTGCTCTGATTGCCAAGTTGATCGAAACCTCCTTCGTTGCCGTGTTTGTTGCCTCTGTTGGTCAGATCCTTACAAAGAAGGCTTTTGATGTTGGAAACAGAGGTGTTACGTTGGGCGAGTTCGGCATGAAGAATTGGGTTGTTGTAAGTGCCTGACACGAGCTGTTTGCCAGTAAACTTGCTAACTGTTCACAAGTCGCCAGGCTTGATGTTTACGAATATCAGATCCTGGAAGAAAGTGGGATTTACCCCCTTAGGTATTTTATGTATGCTCGCCACCCTCGTCGCAGTGCTATACACCACAGCCTCGGACGCCCTCGTTGCCCCCAAGTTAAAATGGGGCAAGCCCGAAATGATCGTCATGAAGAATTACGCCATGTCTGGCTATGGGAACGTAACCTTCGTTAAACAAAGCTGTCACCTGCCGGATGGGCTGCTGGCCGATGACCAGGGCCAAGATAGTTGTCTTGCTGCGTCTCTTTCGGGTTTCTGTACGTCAAGGGCAACGCCATCTCTCAAGCACAGGTCCGGGAAACACTCTAAGCTAACCGTCATCGTAGCATACCATAACTTTCAAGCCTTCCTGTAAGTCGTCTGACATCAGGCGTCTTATACATCTGCATACTAACGGCCTTTAGGTCCACATGGTCAGAGTTTGGCCGTAACAACACAAAGCCAGAGGGGCGTTACATGCCTAACAGGCCCCCAGTAACAGCAACGCTTTATGACAATGTCACTGTTACAGGGACGTGGATTAATACCGAACATAGTGACCCCATGACAAGCTACGAGAAGTACAAAAGGATTGTCAACAATGTGACTCTAGCAGTTCCTCACCCTGGTAAGTTTATTTTACAATCAGTAAAGAAAGCTCATGTCTAACTATGTTTAGGTGTGTACGACGCAGCAACGGATCCCACAAACGAAATCCTCCAGCCTAGCGATCTTTCCGGAGTCGGAGAATACAGGTTAGCGGCAAGCGCGGTCAGCCCGGCGTTGAATGTCCTCTGCGTGGGGATGACCGAAAAGGAGCTTGCGCCTCTTGTATATACGGCATGGCCCCATGCCAACTTGACGGACGCGGAACTCCCAGGCGAAAAGACAGGCGGATTGAACTGGATAGACCAGGTCCCTCGTTACGACTGGGCTCCCAACGAAACTGAATGGCTAAACCGAACCGTTGTGGACGACATATTCAGATGGGGCGCAGCCTACCATCGACGGCCACCGGTCTTTCAGAGGGTAAGCAACTTTCCAGCCAACTCAATTGATCTCGCTAATCAAGTCTGGATGGGCAGTTTCCGTCAGAGTACAACGTAATCATCAATGCGACAGTGCAAGGCTCAACAAACTGGACCTACAAATCAGGCTCTGTCTATACACTCGTCAACAACAATGCCACGGACGACTATACGTTGTGCGAGATTCGGTCGTGGCTCTCCATCAACTGTTCAACGCACCTCAACATCTCAGGGACAACCGGCGCTCATATGTCAGCCAATTGTGAAGATGAACATGATCTTGTCAGCTACCGCAAGTCAGTCCCAGACGCTGTGGAATCGGATGAGGCTGACTGGAAGTGGTTGGCGCAATCATGGCAGCTAGCCATTTACATGAATTCCGGGTTGACGACTCTGAATGCGTCGCGAGATCGAATCCTAACTGCACTACCTTTGGAGGATCACCATCTCCCCAACAGAGTGCCATCCCTCGCTGAAGTCCTGGCGGCACTTGTCAGCCCGACGTTGATATCTGGCTCTATAAAGACGCCTCTTGTTAACTACTGGCCCCCAGAGGCGGTAAACGCTCCTTTGCCAGGATGGGAGAATAAGTTCAACGCCTCGATTACGAAACAAGAGTACACATCGGGCTCTGCTATGGAGTGGCAACGCGCGTTCCTTTTGATTCTGATTTTGGGGTTTTTGCTAAACTTGTTTTGCTTGGTCCATCTGTTCATTCAGCTTAGGGGACGGCCACTTACCGACTTCACGGATCCTGCAAACTTGTTTGCTTTGGCCATCAATTCTCCTCCAAGTCAGGCACTGAGCGGAACATGTGGAGGCGGACCCAAAGGTTATCAGTTGGATGTGCCATGGCGTATCGGCTACTCGGAACAAGCAAACCACTACTTCTTTGAGGAAGCGACTGAAAAGAGGCAGAGGCTCAAGAGGAAGAAGGCAATTGACCGTCGGGATATGGTCACTTCGGAAATGGAGCTGATAGACTTCAAGGATGGCGATACCAAGGCGAAGACGGATGATCCAAGACAGAGCTATGTCAAGTTGAGCAACCATAAGAGCTGGTTGTAAGGGTATCTATCCGGAGGAAATAATGTTGCTGATTCGGCACGGGACATAGCGCAGCATGGATATTTGCTGTCGGTAACACTAGGTGAAGTAATGACCCATAATACATGATTTTACGCCTCTATCCTTCATTTTCCCCTCTTTCCCTGATTCTTTGTCGTCAATTGATGCCACCAGTACTTAAGAGTGGGTAGCCTCTGCGTCTAGTCCCTCACAATTTCCGAGTGAGTAACAAGCCAATATGCAATGGATGTGGTACAAGCAGCCCGAAGGGTGTCATTGACAGCGGAATAAGGCACGTCTGATATTACCTGCACAATCAGGCAAGATTATCCCCACGAATATAGTAGGACAGTTCTGGCCGGAGGATAAATGGGTAATCGAAAGTCTACTATCTCATCCAATAACTGATCTAAACTAATGGCTGGGGCTATCCGCGCGAACCATGTATGGAAGACCAGAAGCCCGGTTCATTTGGCACTGATGCAAATCACATATTTACGTTCCGCGCCGATGTTGTCGGTCTCTTCACGTCCATAAATAGAAAACACAAAGTTCACGACGCTGTACCATTTCATACATCAACACTAGACCTGCATTCTACTTGTACTTGAACAACTTGGGATTTTCATATCTCCTTGGAGCCCCATCTCGTTGGAACCAAAATTCTCCAAGTGGCCATCCTTTTCTGAACGCTTCACTACCTTCAACCGCCTTTCAGCCATTCTTCCTTAATGTAGAAACTACTCAGGCTTAAACCCAAACTTACTTTGTTAGTATTTCGTCTCGGCCTTCCTGTGTCGCCCAAGATGGCAAAACCCCTAACTTAAAGGAGCCAGTAGATTCCCCATGAAGAAGCTACTCGCCTGAAGCAAAGACCATCATCTTCCCAGGCGGTCTCCGGCAAACTGCAAGAACGCTGCACCGCTGATCCACTCCTCCAATACCCCAAAAGACCCGTCATGAGGTCCATTCTCCTACTCCTGGCAGGCGCCACCCACCTCCCCCTTTCCACCGCCAAACAAAACTGTCCCCTCTACGGCCCGCTCTTCCCCAAACCCACCAACCTTCTCCAAAATGCCGCCATCCAAGCCGCAGCAAAATCCCTAGATGAGATCCTCCCCAAGTACATCGACCACGATAACACCACGGGCGCCGACCACTTCTCGTACTCGGTCGAGGTGTTTTCGGGAAGCGAGGACAAGCCGCTATGGGCGCACTACTGGACCGCGCCGAACTTGCAGGGTTTCAACTCGACGGGCGTTAGTAAAGTTGATACCAACACCGTGTTTAGGATAGGCAGCATCACCAAGATCTTTACGGTTTTGGCCTTTCTGGCGACCGTGGGTGATCGAGTGTGGAATGATCCGGTTACCAAGTATTTGCCGGAGCTGAAGCGGTTGGCGGAGAAGACACCGGGCGGGTCGATGATGGTGCCGGATTGGGAGGAGGTTACGTTGGGGAGTTTGGCTAGTCAGACGAGTTGGTTGATACGGGATTGTAGGTTTTTTTCTACGCTTCAAGACGAGACCAAGAGCTGAGCTGACTGTCTTGCGACCATAAAGATGCCCTCCTAGGAGAACTAGCCTACGAAGTCCCCCTCGAAGATCTCTACAAAATCGGGTTCCCGCCTCTCCCGCTCGAAGAGTTTCCGCCGTGCGGCACCACCCCTACCTGCAACAGAGACCAGCTATTTGCCGGGCTGGGAAAGTTACCCCCTTCGTTCCCGACTTCGTCTACGCCGGCCTACTCGGATATTAGCTTTGCGCTCCTGAGTTATGTCGCCGAGCGTATCACCGGAAAGCCTTTCAAGACTCTCGTGCAGGATTCGGTGTTGACGCCATTGAATCTCACACATACGTTCACGTCAGCGCCGGATGACTCGCTGGGACTTATCCCGGGCAATCGATACTCAACTTCTTGGGCATTTGAGTTGGCGGAGGAAGCTGCGTGAGTAATTCGAAAGATCCCGATAGGAACAGGAGCAGTGATCTTACCATCATGTGTAGGACTGGAAACATGTACACCTCAGCAGGCGACATGTCTTCTCTCGGCCGCGCAATCATGCGCTCAACACTCCTCAAACCCGCCGTAACCCGTCGGTGGCTGAAGCCATCGGTTTTTACATCGGACCCCAAATCAGCCGTTGGAATGCCCTGGGGTATCCGGCAACTTGATATCGGCTTTAGTACGTTTCTGTCCACCTGTTTCTCCCTTGCCACTCTTAATTAATCCTTCCCTAGATCAATCCTTCCAAATAACCCACGCCTTCAACAAACTCGGCTCCCTAGGAGCCTACACCTCCCTCCTCGCCATCATACCCGACCTCGACATCGGCTTCTCCATCCTCGCCGCCGGCGACCCACCCGCCGGTCTAGCCATGGACATCGCCGACACTTTAACAACCACTTACCTCTCAACGATGACGTCCGTCGCTCGCACCGAGGCCGACCGGATCTTCAGCGGCCAGTACCGCTACACGGGTAACATCACCGTCCCTGTCCCGGGTTCTCCCCCTTCATCAAACAGCACCATCCCTCCCAAGTACACCAACGGCACTATCACAGAAAGAAAACGCCTCAACTCATCCCTCACAATCTCCACCTCCTCCTCTTCCCCCGGCCTCATCCTCAAGAACTGGATCTCCAACTCAACCGACATGTCCTTCTACGCCGTGGCCATCGGGTCCAACATCACGGACGAATACCTCGACAAAATCAAACCTTCTGTCCGTCTTTACCCTACTGGCTTTTCGGAATCTTTACCAGACGGCAAAGGTAAAAAGGTAGCTTTCAAAGCCGTCTTTGAAGACTTGAGCCTACCGGAACGGAAACCGGGGATGCAAATGGGTACGGATTGTGCAACCTGGGTGGGCGTGACGGGGGTGGTTTATGCGAGTCGGCCGTTGGATTTGTTTGTTTTTGAGGTGGATGGGGAGAGCAAGGTGAGGGGAGTAGAGAATGGGGCGTTGAGGGTTCGGTTGGATAAGGTTGGGTGAGTTGCCGGTCGGGTGGGGTGAGGTGGCATGGGGAGGTGAGGAAGGAGGGAAGGAAGGGAGGAGGGGAGAAGGAGGGAAGGAAAGAAGGTGGCAGGAAGGGGATTGCTGAAGGATGTTGGAAATCGTGGGAAAGAGCGAATGAGGAGGGCACGGATGGGTCAATGTGCTCTGCATGAATGTCGAATTTTGGGTCCTCTTTCCAACACTGCCTGTATTTTATCGTATCTACTACTTAAACGTCCTCGCCGATTGTTTTCATTTCATTCCTACCTAGGTTATTTTTCTCTTCGGAGCAAGTTTCCTTGCGGGCATTATCGTCGAAGCTAGGACGGGTTCTCTGTGCTGCACTGAAGCATCATCGCCTTTCTATGTATGTTAGCCCCACTTTTATCCACTCGCCATTCAACTTTACGAGGACACTCGCAGATATCAGCACTTCCACATTGACATACTATAACTTCGACGCCTCTGGCTTGTGGATAGATGGTAGAAATCTCTCTCATTTCGTTTTTTTAAGGATTCGATATGGTGGTTCTGCGGCACGGTTTCGGGACGCTTCCACTCTGATTGCTGCATGGGCACCTTACTCTTAATGTATAACGGATAACCGTGGGTGTGAGCCGGACTTTTTTTTGCCCACTCTCTCTCTGCAAGAAAGTGGGTGTTACGACTCCAAGACCAGTCTTCACACCCACGGTTACCTAACTCTATGCCCACCGTGTGTGCTCACTCAGTTTGCTGCACTGCTATTTCGGTGGCCGTCAAACAACTTGATAACAAAAATACTCGAACAAGGAAGGGATGGAAGGCCATATGATTCACACTCGGCAATTAAAAATTCTCAAAGGCAGATGACCATTCAAGTATTTGCTAATATTCTTCAGTTTTGTTCTTTTCTTCTACGTAGCCTAGCTGCAAGTCAAAATGCTATGCGATGCTCAACTCCTCCTCGAATGTTTGTTTTGCCTTCCTTGGGTATAGTATTGGATATTATACACATTTGATGTTGATGTTTGTTTGTTCGTTTGGGTATCCGTGATGTATCACAGCCAAGCGCCACGAGCCAAAATATATATGGTATGTATCCTTTTTGTCTTCTTGAAATTCTGATTACAAACCTTTCCGGTCGGTCGATCATGTTCTTATTTCCAACGCTAACTATGTAGCATGGTATCTGTCCCCCATGTTTTCGGGGTGACTTGCTTCCTCCTCCGTCCTATCTCTTACTTGCCACCACCCAAAGACGCCTTTGTGATGCCCTAGCATATTTTTGAACACAAAAAGAAATAGTACTAAAAAGAAACAGAAAAACGTGTGACAAACGATAGTAGGAAAAGAACACTCTTTACCCGTGTGTCCAACACGGCAGAGTGTAGTGGTGTGGCATAAAATCAGCCCAAAAGCAAGGGGGTATACAATGACTTGAGGCAAGGAGGCACAACAAGCACACACAAAGACCCTCCCTTCTTGAATCCTTTGTCCCCTCTATCCCGCCCACTTCTTATGGAGGGGTGAGATATCCATACCCAATGCAGGGGTCTTCCAACAAACCAACCCAAAAATATACCGCCATCCGAGGAGTGAAAAGTATCGCCGTCATGAAAATGGCTTCTCCGAAAAGCAAAAACTCCGTTTATTCCCAAGGTCATAAGAGGCGAAGACCATAGTATCTTGCCTGTGAACTTCGATCATTAATGCTCATAGCCGGCACCTCGTTGCCACGGGCTGTTTCAAGTGTTAGCTTTCGTTCAAATTTAATCACAATATCTTGAGAGAAACTTACCTCGCGTTATTGAGAGCCCTGTACTGTGGCGTGAGGCTGGCGTTACCGCCTTGTGGGCCGCCGTATGGGCTTGGTGACGGTGCCCGAGGATCGAAGTTCACACCTGGCTTCTTCTCGCCATACTGAGGACCTGGGGTGTTCCGGTTTTCCGAGGGGAATAGCGGCATCGCAGGGTCAACCGGAGACCTTGGGGGAGCATTGGTGAAGTGCAACCCAGCTCCACCAGCTGGCATACCGGGCTGAAGTTCGGTTTGACGACGAAGCGAATCCGAAGACATGGATTCCGCATCGTCATCGAGGTCGAGTCCCTTAAACCCGGACTTGTCTCCGCGAGCGGTCGCCGCAAGCGCATCCAGCTCGGTGGTTGTTGTAAGATGAGTCTGTGACTTCATGAAGGATGTCCTATCATCGGCCATGTACTGGTAACGACTATCGGGATTCTCGCGGAAGAAGACAAAGATTGTAGAGCAGATGAGCATCAGCAGGTAAACCAGGGAGAAGATGGAGTTGGAGATCCACAAGATGAGACCGATAACACCAGTGACGAGCGGCGGCTGGTTGAAGACTTCAGTGAACATCAGCAGGAAGATGGCGTTGATGAAGTTCATGATGCAAATGGCGATGTTGAACCAGTTGGTCTTCCTGTCCATCCAAGGGCGCATGACAGTAGCCGCGATCAAAGCGGCGGCTTCGATGATAAGGAAACCGACAGCTTGGGCAGTACCGTTATTTTGTCCGAAAGCGACGAACATACCCTTGGCAACAGTATAGCCGAGAACAGGGACGATGAAGTAATAGGCCGAAGCTCGGAATTGGACGTAGAGGAAACCCCACTTGTTCAATGCTTGAGGGTCGGAGTAGAGGATGTAAGCCGGGTTTTGGTGCATGACAACGGAGCGGCGCGCGATTCTGATAACCTTGAACGCGGCCCAGCCCAGTGTAACAAGCATACCCAAGAAGAAAAAGATGGCCAACACTACTTCAGCGGTCGAATCGATCTGGGTAAACTCCCACATGCACATGACGGTCATGGCGGGGAAGCCGATAAGGGTAATTCTGAAGAGGATGCCCTTGAGAACGGTGAACCAGCCGTTTCGGAAGTCGAGGAAGGTGTCGTGCTTCATCCAGCCCTTCTGTGCGGCCAATTCGCAGTATCCTTTCCAGCCAGCAACGCAAATAATGGTAATGACGACGAGGACGCAGAAGAAGATCAAGCACGTCATGAACAAGTTGGTGGACTCGATAGAGGCACGGAAAGCCGCACGTTGGATGCCATACACGACGTAGCTGCCGGTATCTGTTTGAATGTTTCCGCGCTTGAGAAGTGCGTGATTCATGGCCTGATCCATGGGTTCAGAGATGGTTTTGGGCATATACGCCATCGAACGCCTGGCCAAGCCCACACCCAAGTCCGCAACGTCCAGCGCACGCTTCTGAACTTGAACAGAGACTGTCGCCAAAGAGTCGAAGAGCATCGAGGGAGTACCACCAGTCGCACGCTGATACCAGGTAAAGATGTCCTGCATGAAATTGACCTTGATGATACCCATGCTCCACTGGAAATCCTGGGTCCATCCCATAACGGCAGGTGGTAGAGGAACACCGGTAAGTCCAAGCATGGCCTGGGCCTGGAAATAACCAAAGAGAGAGAGGGCGTTGGCGGCGACGTGCGATGCGGCATTGTGATGGCCGAGGCCAGAAACGAAGGCAGATGACGTCAAGGCAAAGGCGGCAACGATGGCCGTAGCCCACTTGACACCAGCCAAGTCGACGGTTTTTCCGTTTGAAATTTCAGCTTCGACACAGGCGACTGATTTACCGGCATCTTCTCCATCTGTCATGTTGATTCTGACTCGTACTTTGGCATCGATATCGGGAAAGTTATAGGCAATGCTGGGAATCTGTGAAACGGCGTCCTTGTCGACGGGCAGTGTGAAGTTGAGAGGAATCTTGCCGGCCGTCATAGGGCACAAACCCAGCAGTCCAGAGTTGCAAGGGTCGACTGTGGCGGTAATGATTTCGTAGCCGTAGGCCGAGATGGCAACGTCGAAGATGATTTTGCCTTGGATGGTAGAGACGGCGACGATGTCGACATTGGCCCTGCCGCTTTCTGGGAGATATTGGACGTTGAACAGACTAGCTGAGAAGCCCGAGTTTGCTTGACATGTTTTTAGGGCCTGGGACTGCAGCTTCTGTTCGCCAAAGACGGGAGATACGAGGGCGGCGATGGATGCGAGGGCCGCTAGGGGCCGTGTTATCGAGAAGCGCATGTTTGTCGGTTTGTGTGATTTCGAGGTTGTTGGTTTCTACGATACCCCGAAGGGGTTACTGGGTGGGAGAAGCGAATCGCGGTCTTTGTCGTCGGCGGTTACTCGATGAGAGACCTGGTATGGTTCGTCGAAGAAGGGTGTTGAGTCAAGTCGACACCCGTGAAGCTGAGCTGAGCTGATTGTCAAAAGAAGACTCCCAAATGTATCGCTATTATCCAACAAGAACAATAGCCGAGAACCAAGATCGGATGAACAGCAGAGAGCGATTGTCAATGCACGATGGGGCCGATATTGTGTGTCGTCGTTTCAAAGGCCGGCTTCCAGGTTGTTGGATCGAATCGGGTCGAGTCGAGTCCTCGTCGTAGTCGTGGCAGAAATGGGGGAAAGCGAAGGTGGTCTGCCGTTTCAATCCAACTTCAAGTTTCGACAACTGAAACGAGCGTGTTGAAGAAAAGCGAGGGTTGGTCGAGGAAGAGGTGATCTGTCGGGTTAATGTGGTAAACCAAAGGAGGAAGGAGGTTGCAAAGAATAGGAATAGAAGGGCTCAAGTTGTATCTGAAAGAAGGGGGGAGAATAGGCCGGCAGAGGCAGCGGCACGATGCTGCTTGGGGACGGAGAACGCAACTGGGGGCGTAACTCCTTGATTTGCAAAAAAAACGTGTGGGTGAAAGAAGGCAGTGTTGTGAAGGAGTGAAAGAGGGTGGTGTCGTAATGAGAGGCAAAACCGGGACAAGAGACGACGAGACGTAGACACGGGGGAGGGCCTGGGAACGAAGGAGAGAACTGGAGAGCGAACTGGAGAGCAGAGGACGGGAGTGCGACGAGATTGGACCAGTGCTGAGATCGGGACCCGCCCTTCGCCAGGTACGACAAGGCACAAGGTAGCGCCCGCATTATGCAGCCCCGGGGAGATGAGGTGTGGCTCCACTAGCGGAGTACTTGTGTTCTGCAATCCCCACATACAGTCTGCCAGGTACCGCTTTAGCATTTTTGATAAGTTCTACCCTTGTGTCGTCGCACTTGCACGACGGGACCCTCAGGGGCACTTCCCTCACACGGCAGTGGCGCTGTTGAAGAATGCCAACGGGAGTTGTACAAGTCCTGAGTAAATGATTTAAACTGCTCCTTCCGTCCTCATCTCGACAGATGGTGAACAAGGCCTTGGCTGTTTCTTGGAATGCGTCGTCCTTGGAACGATTTCGTCACCAAGCATATTCAGTTCTCTTTTTGCTCGCGGTGGCTGGCAGTGCCCAAAATGCCCGCAAAATGCCTCCATTCTGCACCAACATCCCAAGCTGGGCAAGGACGGGCGATACTGGATGATAGGCAGCGCGAGATCGCCCTTGATCAGTTCGTTACTTGCACATGTTAACCGCTTTGGCATTCCATGACAATCGCCAACAACTAACGCAATGCACAAACGCCCGTCGGCGACCTGGGAGATGCCATGCTCAGTGCTTCTGCGGAATGCCAGTTCAGATGAAAAGGCAAGGTACAATGCTGGAGTGCAGTGCTGCAGTAAATACAACCGCGTAACCTTCAATTCCAAACCGCACTGCACAGCCCCCTTTGGCGCCAACCAATGACGAGCCATCCCTCCCCCAAACCTCCTGACACAACCCAAGACACGGATCGCAAAAGGCGAGTCGACGGAATCTACGGACACTGGTGTTTCGAAACGAACAAGGTTCTCCGCTGCAACAGGACGACGGCCACGGCGCCGAACCGGGCGAAGTCCAAATTGGAGGGTTGAGATCTTACGTCTTCCATACTTGTCTGTCTTTTACGTGTATAAAACACGAGGACTGGACGGGAAGGATGAGGACCCTTCTTTCCCTCTTTGCTTCAAAGTGCCGTCGGGGATCTTCCTTCTCTTCGGCAAGGGGCCCCAATTGTGATTACATCTTGCACTGCCTGCTTCTCATCTACAATCACAGCAACTCACTCCTTCCATTTTACAATTCGGAAACACTCCATCAATAACCACGGCATTCTTCAGTCTTCACAAACAGATGGAGACCCGCAAACTCTGGGCAAAAGGAAGGAACCCGCCACTGTTCAGGCACGGCAAAGCTGTAACCCCACCACTAGATCCATCTGACGTGCAGCAAAAATAGGCGCCATGGAGTCGCTGACTGGCTGGTTAGCCAGGGGTAATACCACATTCCCAGGCGTTCTAGACTTTCTGTAAACATTCCATCTCAATAACGTTTTCCAACATGTTTTCAAGTTCCTTCTTCAATCCCAAGGTTGATATATCTTGCGGTTTGAAGACAGAAGATGCATCAATCACAAAAGTCATTTCACATCCGACGATCTCCCCATCATGCCCCTCCATCCAATCGACTTTGCACCCTAAAAAGTCTAGTCCAACCACGGATCTTCATGCTGATCAAACACTGGTTGCTGCTGCTGGCTAACAGGCGTTGCGTGCTGGTCGCTGGGTGCTGGTGGCTCAGCCCGTTGTAGGTTTGCAAGACGTTTCGTCATTGTGCCTCTGTGCCCTTTCAAGCAAAGCCTCACCGCCCTGGGATTGAGAAAGGAAGGAAGGAAAGGAAAGGAAAGAAAGAAACCTCAAACAGCAGTTACAGCAATGTTCTAGATCGCAATCTTTGTGCTTGGCGCTGTTATGCGCTTGTCTACCCTGGTTGTTAATACCCGTTTGTTATACATCTCGGACTTCAGAAAACAATATACTATCCTCGACGGTCAACAATGACAAACCCGAGTATAAATCCATGTCCAGCGGGTATGAGGCTCTTTCCCTTCAACCTCACTCAACCCAGAAGTGGACCAAATTCAGATGGAAACGGAACGACGAGCATGTGGTTAACACTGCCCACCAGATCCACTACCTACCACTTTTCTCAACTTTTACATAAGTAGTACACGATATTCCCGCGCTTGATCTACTGTCAATCAACTGCATGACCTCCACCCCCCACCATCGCCATTTTTTGTTTGAACCCGGCTTGCTCGTGAGGACTTTGAGGCATTTGGGGCAGTGCTCGGTTTTCAGCAGGATATATCGGTAACCAGCAATATATCGGTAACATGGGCAACAAGAGAGAACATGCATGGCGGTTGATGCAGCACGCTTATCTAGGTCGGGTTGAGGTTGTGATGCTGAAACAGGGAATTTGAAGACATCGGAGGTGAGTAGAGGTATGGATCCATGATTTTCCGGACAAGCCGGAGTGAGGGGAATATGGATATGTTTCTTGAATTTTAGACTTCAGTTCCGCAGACCGAGATGGTAGGAAAACGGGCACGCCCGAATTAGAAACACCACATCAATTATTTTGCACAACCGGTCGGGTGTTTGGCAGCAAGCACCTACACGATCGCAGATTCTTTGATGATAACCGACTAAAATTGTTATACAGAACATGATCGTGATAAATGTAAGAAGAAGTTTTCTATTGCGAAAGTATTTACTCCCGCACATTGTACGATTATTTTCCACTCCGGCCCCCCAAAAACTACCTCCAGACCATGATCCGTCCGTCCATTGCCTTTGACCTTGTGTGGTTTCCCAGAAATCAAGTTGAATTACCTACCGCCTCTTTATCTGTCTGGTCCGTGTGGACGTCTCTTCTGCCGTCCGTTTTACCGTACACAATCCGACTTTCACACCCTTAAAGCTTATCCGCGAAACTAAGAGAAAACAACCGGGTAAGACTGACTGCGTGAAGCGGGAGAGTAAAAGAGAAAACAAGTGAAGAGAAAACAGACTTGGATTAAAACAGTGTTTCAGACATACAAGCAGATAGAAAACTGAACTGTTCTCGGAACTTTTTGAAACGAACGAAGAAGACAGAGTGTTAGAACAGATAAAAACAACAATTTGTAGGTAGGTAATAGCAAAAAGCTCGAAGGAATGAATGAGGGAAAGACGATATTCAATACCACCATCACAACATCATTTCGCATCGTATCATCTCAATCATGTCTGTCCCCTTTTCTTGCTGCTCACTCGGAGCATCACGGGCGGGCATCAAACTCGTCAACATCGTCATGGCAATACAACTTCTCACACAACCAAAATCTCTACATCTGCCTCCCCCAGGCCCTTCCTTTCCCTCACCCCCCAGCCCCCTCCCTTCAATTCCCATTCCCACCGCCAAACCCATTCATCCCACCCCCATTTCCATTCCCAATCCCCCCTCCATACCCCTCCTGGATCCCCTCCCCAAACCCTTACAAAGGTAACTCCCCAAACTCCCCCAACTTCCTAACATCTCCTCCCGCCGCCTCCACCACTTTAACCATCGCCTCGGATAACTTCCTCCTCTGCTCCGCCGCCTCTCTTTCCCTTCTCGCTTTGGTTTTGGAAGACCCCGAGGGAGCTACCCCGGACATCAAAGTGTGGTGGTCGAGCGGGGTGAAGTTTACGAAATCTATTCCTCCTCCTCCTCCTCCTCCTCCACTGCCACCGCCACCGCTAGAAGAAGATTGGGCCAAGTGTTGAGGTTTGGAGACTGATGAAGAAGATCGAGGAGGCTTGGATTTGGATGGGGAGTACCGGGAGGAAGAGGGGTGCATGGGAATTGATTTATGCTGGAAGGAGGGGTGATGGTGAGTGGGGAGGCCGAGGCCGTGGTGTTGATGCTGATGTTGATGTTGAGGAGGAGGAAGGGACGATGATGCCCCTGGCCCTGGGCCCTGTTGGAGGTGGTGGGGAGGCAGTGGTGGCATGGGCGGGTAGCCGGCCATAACCCCAGGATTCACATGATGAGGATGGTGGAAGCCGCCACCGTTCATGTTGTTCATATTCAGTGGTGTAAACCGCCCGGCGGAGCTGTTAGTAGGTAGCGAAGAGGTAGATGCCGAGCTCGTCAACCCCCTACTGCTTCCGGTACCAGAACCCTCAGGAACAACCCGATGCCCACTAGCTCCAATAGCCGCCGCAAACGCCGAAGCCGAAGCCCCCAAATCTCCATGCGACGCGGCATGCGAGAGTCGAGATCCCGCCGACACGGAAACGGATGAAGCGTGCCCTCGACCGGTGAAGGACTTGCGCTTGCGAACTGCGGCAGGGGACATCAGTCCCAGACCCCCCAATCCGGGAGTGGTATTCGAAGATTGGTGATTGATGTTTTGCATGGAAGCGCTGCAGCGATGGAGACGTTGACGGCCACTGCCGCTGGCGGACATGGAGTCCGTTCCCGGGACCGCTAGGCTGCCCGAGTTGGGTTGTTGAGACCCCCTGGTTGGACTCGATTCCCGCGACGAGCGGCTGACGGCGCGCACTTTGCGCGGGGAGGTTTGGTAGGAGGGTAGGCGCGAGGCACCGGAGCTGGGGGCGCGGGGCTTGGGTCTTCGGGATCTGGTGGTGGTTGTACTGGTTGAATTGGCTGTGGATGAGGAGGAGTGCGGCGGCAGGCCGTCGCTGTTGGAAACATATTGCTGCTGTGCTAGCAAGAGCTGGGCGGCAGCGTGAGCTTGCGCTTGAGCTTGCGCTTGGGATTGCGCTTGGGATTGGTTTAGATGCTGCTGCTGCTGCTGCTGCTGCTGGTTGTGATGCAACGAAACCCGAGACGTAGGCTGGGGCATGTGCATCACCAGCCCCGAGGTGTCTAGTCCGAAATGGTGGTCATCAAAACTTCCTTGGTCGTGGAGCTGCTGGAGAGCCATTTGCAGATTCAGGGTGGCCTCGCGAGTGTTGGAGGCATTGGTTCCCATGTGAAAGGACGACGACGGGTCGGGATCGGTGTCCATGGCATCTCCCACGGCTTGGTCCCACCAGTTGCTGTCATTGAGGGTGCCGGCATAGAGGGAGTGCAATTCGGAGGCTGAAGACAATACACCACCGACGGCGTGTAAGGTTGATGGGTTAGCAGGCGTAGTCGGTGGTGGTCCACTGACGCTGAATTGCCACGAGTTATCGGCGGCGGTGGTGACGGGGACCGGGATGCTCTGATGTTGCTGATGAGGTGTCTGAATCGGAGTGTGCATTGGTAGGGACATGTTGGATGAAATGTCCATGAACGGATCATCCATAAAGTTTGTGTTGAACAGGTGTGCATTGTTGCCATCATTGTGGCTGTTTGGCTCAGCGGCCATCTGTCCTGTCAATGGGGGCGACAGCGGCATCTCCGGTCTCACAAGACTGAGATTGTGTGGCCTTGGACGAGCCGTCATTTTGTTGGGCGACGTGCCCATGGCTGAGGGTATCGATGAAGTTACTGCTGGTGCTGCTGTCGTGGCAGGATGTTGTTTCTGCTTGTTGCCATGGAGATTAGCCGCCTTGTTCCTGATCTTTGTGTAGAAAGCCTCAAGCCGGGACTTGCGCGGACTAGTCGAGTCTGACCCAGGCTGAAGATGAGGCGAAGGAGGGACCGATGCAGACGATGGTGGAAGATGTATGCGTGGTGAGCCACTGCCGTTCACCGTCAGGCCCTCGAGTCTCAGCAGCTCCGAGTCGGAGATGGAACCACCGGAGCCCGGTCCTTCCTGGTAGCCGGTGCCGAGGATGGAAGAAATTTCTCTTTGTCCCGCTACAAGGAGTTGGTGGTGTTGTTGACTGTACTGGCAATCCATGTTGCTAAGGTCAACGTGCGATCCTGCTCGCACTTGACGGTGCTGCGGAGGGAATTTGGCGGAAGAAAAACGACCGAGACGTCCAGAAGCCGAATTATTAGCAGCGACACTCGCACGGTCGTGGTCCCCTACGCCTGATAATTGCTCAGCAGAAGGATGATGATCAAGAGGAGGGCAGCTCAGTGAGGTGAGAGGTGGCGACAAGGAAGATTCGTGAGCTTCTCGGCACATGCTCTCAAAGCTTTCGTTGCCTCCTCCTTCTGCTCCTCCTTCTTCACCAGTAAAAGGCGGAGAGGGTGAGTGGTCCGCGCCATGGTCGTCCAGCACCACAAACTGGTCAAAGAAATCTGCCGACCCCGCGTCGTCCGTCGCTGCGTCCTGCCAACAGAAGGCGTTGTCGCCTCCTTTGTTCTCGCCGAGGGGTAAATCGCTAACCGCGAAGGACATCCCTTGGACGGTAACCATTGTTGGTGGGTGCTGTTTGCTGCTGCTGCTGCTGCTGCTATAAGGTTGGCTCGTATGGAGCTTGTATGGTGCTATATTGTGTTCCAACCGAATAAGGGCGGTGTGTTTGATAATAGCTTGTTGGTGACGGGATGTTGTTGTTATGCTGCCGATGCAAACCATGGCGAAGAAAGTTGTTGACAGGGAGGCAGGAGGAATAAGGGGATGTCTGCACTGACCGAAAAGTCAACAAACCCAGCTTGCCCCGGCAACGAGAATATATGAAGCCAAAATTCTATGTAAGATTGGAGAGTGAGAGGCATGTGCTAGACATTTGTATGCGAGCTCGCAGGGGCGAGGAATGCTGGTGCGATGCATTCCAATTCTCTCGAGATCTTAGCGAAGAGGACATGGTGGGCAATGGCGGGCAATGGCGGGCACGATTCTTCGATGACATGGTCTAGCTCGGAGGGAGCTCGGGGCAAACACGCCAGGATCATAAAGAAAAAGAATCCCTTTCTTTGTCGACCATTCAGCGGAGTCGAGGGAGTCCAGAGGGCGTCGTCCTTCTAGCTCGCCTTGATACAAAGAGCTCCGCCCCACACCGAGGTCTGGAATGTGCCGTTGGGTGTAAACTGAGACAGGGCAAAGCATTGTCGTTCCTTATACGAATAGCAACATGGTTGTTTTCCTGCTCCGATTCTCCCTGTTTATACTGTGCCGATTGAGGTTGTCATCGGCAACGGACGAGAGCCTCTTGCGCAGGTACTGCCACACCATCATGCCTAGTCGTCAGCAGGGTCCTGGTTCCAATAAAGGGAGGAAGAAGGCGCACACCAAGTTTGTTTTGTCACATGGGCCCCCGAACTACGGGACGGTGTGTCATCACTTGTCATTCGATATCGATGGACCCCAAGGGATGAGCTATTTGTACCCGTCTATCGACAAAGGAATAGAGGCTGTGAGCGCCCGTCTGACAATTGTATGAAACAATCCCGTTATGTCCCCAATCTAGAGCATTTCATGTACATGGATGCCCCTTTTTCCTCGACATCTTTCCAAAATAGACTCGACCACCAGGCCCGAGCCGTTATACAAAATGACGGTGGTGCTGAACCCCGACCAAAATGACCGTCCCGATTCCCCCCATTCAACTCTAATGAATGTCGCATACCCTAGGCCAGAATCATTAATACCTGAATCCCGCAGATCGAGGTTGGAAAGCATAAAAATGGTTCCCGCTTTCATGTTCGCCCTTCAGCATGCCTGACATATAAGAATTGGATCCCAGCTGAACTCCTTGAAATGCTCCACATATGCGGTCGTAGAATTGGGTATAAATAACGACAATGGGCTCACTCCCACGCCCATACAATAATCAATCTGTACACAAGATCTTCGAGGTCCATCATGGCGGCGTGTGATATGACGATGATGGTATCGCTGGTAGGTATTGTGATGGCAGTTGTTCCGAGGGTTGCACAGGCTGGGCCATGGGAGACGAATTGGTCGAATAGGCAACCGACGAGGTCACACTACCTGTTCCGTGCTCTTTTCGCCTGCGCATTCGGGGCCGACTCCGTACCACGGTCGCGCATCGCATGGCTGCCTCGGCCGACAACTGGTAACGGAGAGGGAGAGTTCCCTCGACCGTGTGTTTCCGGATACCCGCCGGCCCACTACCAGCGCGCCGTACTTGTATCGACTCGAGCAGTGCCCGTTCTTCCTCTAATACATCAACGGTTCCGTCAAGGTAGCGCTCGTCGACCTCCAACTCCATTGATGCAAAATCGTAACCGTGGTCGACTTTCAAGTCGTCTAATGTCGATAGAACGGGTGCTGATGGCGCTGGAAGAGGGGCGCTTCGAACGTTACACTGGGTACCGGTTTCGATCATTTCCTCCACCAGGGCCTGAATGCTCCGCGATTGTGTCTGGGCACTGTGTTTTACTTGCCTCTTTTTCTCCGAAGTGTTTCCTGACGATGATGAAGGAGCATTTGGTATCGAGGACGCGGCACTGGAAGAGTAATCATTTTGGCGGAATGAAGGGGGAAGAAGAGATTGAAGGTTCGCGTCGTCAAGCTCAAATGCATCATCCATCTGAATCCCGTCATCCACCTCGAGGCTGCCAATTCCCGCCCAGGATTGATGATCGGCAGTGGTAGTAGCAGCGGTATCGGGTACCAGCGACATGGCAGTTGGCGGTGACAAGGGCACCTGCTGCTGCTCCTGCTCCTTCCGCTGTTGTTGCTGCTGTTGCTGTTGCACAAGGGATTGAGCCTCCAATTGAAGAGCCTCCCGTTGCAAGTTTTGGACGCTGAGCTCGTGCGCCAACTTGTCGACGACATGACGAGCAGATGGAGATGCGACCTTTGGAGCCGGTTCTGTCGTTAGCCACCAAGGAATGAATAAAGGTACTGAAGCTGATGCCGATGCTGATGCCGATGCTGATGCCGATGCTGTCGCCGATGCCGATGCGGATGTGGATGCGGGTGCTGAAGCTGTTGATGTCGCTGATGTTGTCCTTGCCGCGGTTGTCGTGGACAACGATGCCGATGGGGTCGTGGTTAATGAAGGGCGTTTCTGAATCTTGTGGTGCGACGGATGTCGCTGTCGTCGTCGTGCAACCTGATGGCGCCGTACATAGTTGCGTTGCTGCTGCTGCTGCTGGCTGCGGAGTACATCGTGGATCCTCAAATGATGGCCCTCTGGGAAGCCGTCTATCAGGAAGCCATCGGCGTCGGGGGCTGTGTGATCATCATCACGGGTGTTGGCCGGCGGTGCAGCGGCAACTGGCTGCCCTTGATCCTCCATGGAGTAGTTTGGATCAAACATGGTTTGTTGGTTGTTGTGTTGCTTGTTGGGAAGCTGGTGTCGGCGTCCGTCTCCGACCCAGCTGGATGGGTTGAGTCGCCCGGCCGGTACTGTCGATGGGCAGTGAAACAGTAGACGGAAGGGCAAATGGGTGCGAAAGAGAAAAAGGGCGGTTATATTGCCTTGCTATCGAGACATGTGTGTAGGTAAGGTAGACCGGGAGTTGTCCTTGTTGTGCGTGGAGCTTTGTTGAGTGAGCCAAAGCGCCGGGACAAGTCCGAGTTGTCGGTAGCGATGGGACGATGTCGGTCGCTAGCAGGTGGCCACTCACTGAGCCAGTAGAAGACAGGTACCTAGCGGCAAAGCAGGGAATAGCTGGCCACAAGCGCCAATCGAAGTGTGTTATGTGTATTGTGGGTGGCACCGAGTAATTGAGTCGTATGTGGTGTTGAGCATGTCAGGTTTTGCTTGGGATGAGAGGAAATGGAAAAAAAGGAGGAACAACCTGAACCGACGCGGTGGGTGACGGGGACGAGAGGGGGCTTGCCTAGTCCTGGGGAACGGGGAAAGACAAAAAGGGCATCAATCCAGTCCCAACGTCAAGCCAGGTTGTAAAAGGCGTCTAGCTGGATCTGTAAAAGTGTCACGGCCTGTCGGGTTCAGCATGCAGCTGGCTATCATCCACCATCCACCACACTGGCTCACCGGACTTGGGCCGGATATATCCTCTCTGGATTTAGTGGTGGATAACCACCGCCTGATTTCCTCGACCCTGTCTTCACAAACTGCCGTGTTCACGGACTATGTAAGACAAGCGAAGGAAGTGTGATGGAAATGGACATTTTAATATTGAAATGATGATGAATTCCCAGTGATCCTCGCTAGCTCAGTCGAGTCCCGTTCGACTCTCCTTGGTCTCCCCCCGTTCCCTTGGACTGGGACCGTCGGGTGTCTTGCAACTCCTTGGCTGTGCCCAGACTTGTGGTTGGCTGTGGGAAGGGTCTTGGTGGGGAACAATGCCAGTCAAATGCCCACGACTCTGTGCTGGAGCTCCTTTCCGGCTGAACCAAGCCGTCGGGGACCAGCACGCCCAATGACTGGCTGGCCCTCGCGTTACTTTGCACTGTCAGCATCCTGTTCTTAAAACGGGAGCGTGGGGCGTCCGAGACAAATCCTGTCCATCCACCAAACGGCTACCGTCACCGACCATGACCGTCATCGAGGACCATTTTTTCTAAAAAGATGGTGTTTTGGCTTGGGGTGGTCAAGATGCTATCTTCATCTGCCTTGTTGATGGAAACGAGAGTTGGTCACACTCTGGGCAGTCTACCCGAGTCTCAAGCCATGGGCTAGAAAAATTTTGAGCTGAGCACTTGCTCCGGGCGGTTGGGTAGCAAAGCCGAAGGGGCACACGGGGCTTGACAAGAGCACCTGCCAACTCTGGGGATAAAGTCGTCCGACTGCTATAACCCTAAGCCACTCTCTTAGATAACCCTGAGATAATCTTTGTAATTTCACACGTCTTCTCGCTCTTGACCCACATGGCTGCCCATGCACTCCTGTCATTCGCCCAGCTGACCTTGCTACGTTGCATCGCTCTGCGCCGACCGCAACAAGGGTGACCGGCACCCGCACAGATGATCGGATCGAGGAACCCTTCTCGTTCAACACTGCTGCCCTGGTGCCCAGAATGTGTTTGTAACGGTGTGCCGTGTTTCAACTTCATTCCCTATTCTTGTCCCATCAAGAGATGGTTCAATGCAAAGCATGTTCACCGATTCTTTTCCTTAATCTACTTTTACATTTCTCCTCTTCACCCTTCTTCCCGCCATCTTTTCGAAATGTGTAAAAATGGGCGCCTACCCTTCATTCAGCCAGCACTTCAACCTCGCCCGGCCATTCTTTGGCCAAACAGGCAGACAACAACACAAAGGAAGGCTGGACCGTTAGCCAAACCCCCCATGTTCGAAGCAATCAAGACTCGTCGTCTATTTATATGAACCTCTCCCCCATCAATCATGTAGGTGACGGCTCGTGAGGCTTGCGGGATGGAAACCCCCAGGGCAAGTCAACATGGACGACATCAGGCCATGTGTGCGCTAGTGGCGTTTGATATGTCGTCCACGCCCAAATTCTTGGGTGTCCGGGTGTTTTGGCCATGCGTCTCTACGACCTTCCCGTCGCTGCATATGCATCTGGCCGTGTCTCTGGGCCATGTTGACGGGTGCAATCAGTTTTCTAGCTTCGTCCCAACGGTCGGCTTTGTGCATTGCACCTCCTTGTCCTGTTGTCCTTCATACATAAAACATGGCATAAACGCCCGATAAAGCCGAAGAGATTGATTGGAGTGGTCAGAAAAGGGACCAAGGAAGTTGTCAATCACGGCTGTCTTCCTCCGAGATAAGACGGGCGAGCGAAACATCTTATCTTCCATGTCTGAACATCCAAATCTTGTGTCAAAATCAAATCTGGGGATCACGCAGAGTCATATCGATCGTCATTGAATTGATGAACCACCGCCCTGGAACACTGCACTGAACTCCGCAATCCCACAAAATCCCAAATACCACCTACCCACACTCCACGAAATCCACAGGGCCATGAACTGGTGACCAAACCGCCGGGCCAACGCTCAGCCAACGGTTTTCCGCTGTTTCACCACCTTCAGTAACTGTGTTTCGGTTGGTCGCTTGGGCCCCTTCCACTTGGTCGCCTATCACTGGCCTCGCTTCAGGGCAAATCTTTGGCTGGGCGTCAGCTTTTTTACTAGGGAGTGTAAGACCCCGACGACGCCGATAGAGTGGTGCGGTGCGGGACTGCCAGGCGAGAGGGTACAGTATCATGAACCTTGATTTCGAATGTTTGTGTTTGTGTTGCTTGCTCAAAGCAGGAGTACGGATCTGGAGAGTCAGGTCAATTGCGCTGTGGGATGACCTCATCCACTCGGTTGAGCGTTACTAAACTATACCGAACCATCACCACTACCAAACACATCACTTTATCAACAACAGGGGCCCCCAATCTCCGTCCCCGTAAGAGTCCAATCCTCCGTGGTATTCCCATATTAATCACCACAGTTGTGACCTCTATCTTCAGCTGGCCGATCATCAACAGACCAACACCCTCAGCTTCCAGCATCAAGCCAGCATAACATCACCGGGATCTTCAACATCCAGGGTTTCTTTGTCTCACTCTTCTCACGCAAGCGCTATCTGTCTGTCTCGCTGTCATGTCACGGAAGAAGTCGCCGACTCGTCAATTCATACCGTAAACCAATGGGAGGTTTCTGTGTTTACACGTTTTTCTATCACGCTGAGCATGATGAGCTGTGAGTACTTACCTATGCCAAGCATAACTCCGGCGTCGGCGTCCATGTGCAGCACATCGGACTCTGAGAGAATTGGTGGAAAATGGAAGGAGCCAAGAACATGTTGCCCTTTTGAAGGTGCAATTTGCTACCTACCAATCGAAGTCAGGAAGGAAAGAGCAAGTTGAGAAATGCTGTCTTTGGAGGTTGATACCTGGTAGACAGGAGGCAGGTGCGATTTAGGTTCTTACTGTCCCACGTTATCATGATCGAGAGGTAAGGATTCTGTTACTGCCTTGGACGGTATCCCGGCCGGTGATCTTCTTCACTCATGAGATCATGATGGCACCTGGCTCTTCATCCCCGTAACAGCATCACAGCTCGCCTGCGTACTTTATCTAAAAGACTCTCACTCCCTGTCCCTGTCCAAGATCACCATTGGAGACGTCACAAAAGTAACCGACCGACCCCCTTGGCTTGATTGGAGCGACCTGCCACAGCAACATCCATCGAAGTGGTAATATCGAGGACTCAAATAACCATAGTTCTTCTAAAGAGAAAGTCTTTTCGCACCGCCATGATTGTCTTCAGACACCGCTATTCAAAATGCGTTCCAAAGTAACTCTACCAAACTAAGACCTTATAATTCATAAAGGGGCTCGGAATTTTTGTCTCTTTTTACTCTACCAAACGCTACTCGTATTGTAATTATACACCCTCTGTAGCGTTAGTAATGTAAAGAACATTAAAGATATGTTTAATTAACTTTTAATATTAAACTTTTGCTCCTACCGCGGGAGTATAAAGGGGTATGAGAGGGGTGTTGCCTTAGGAATATGAAACAAAAATTAACAGATTTTCTGACCCTACTATTGTATTCGTAGACCTAAGTTTGGCGAAGTTATACTTAGTTCAATTTTGGATAGCGGTGTCTGAAGACAATCATGGCGGTGCGAAAAGACTTTCTCCTTCTAAAAGGTTACCATATCCCTCAAACTCCCAAAGTTTGGGTAGCGTCGGTAGTTGGTCATTCTCGCCATATTGATTAGCCCTACCGTCACAAGTCCCTAGTCCCTACCATCTGGACCGTCACTACCGACCTCTACAGTCCCTATCAACCCTGGGGCCCTGGCCGCACTGGTTTGGCGCTCGACAATCATGTCACTTCACCCCCAACACGTTACATTCTATCAATTCATCCGACAATTTAGACGCGCCGTTCAGCTATCAGTTCTAATATCGAACTATCGCACAGAAGCATAGTGGTCTTCCTTTTGGGCTTGAACGATGGATAAAAGGAGGAGGGGAAGTGTCACACTCCCATACTCTGAGGGAACTTGGGGGCGAACGAACAAAGAGACAGAGGAACGCAGGAGGAGCTCAACAACAACAACAAAGAAAGACGAACGACAAGTGTCCCAAGTGTCGATCGGGTGGCTCGAGATAATGGATAATGAGCAAGTTATTCCCGTCCGTCCATCCGTCTATCCGTCTTTCGGCAACATCGAGATTCCCCGGCCGAGACGGGCCAGACGGGCGATGTAGGCGAGACGGGGGGGGGAGCCGTTGATTTCCGTCTGGCGATGAACCTTTCTGGGAGTCCTCAACTTCCTGAAGAGAGCTTCTTTGTTCCTCGTTCGGGCTTTCCGCGGCCTTGTTTGGATTTTGTTACGCACAAATGGATACGTAGCTTCCCCCCTTTTTGTCAACTTCAGGGCTCAGCTCTCGATGACAAAGAGCTTCGCACCAGAGGGCTTATTTTACCCCGCGTGGATCGTTGGTATATCTACATCGTGGTTGGTGTAGGTATGCATGGGGAGAGAGGCGGCATTTTCCGTGGGCTTTTTGACGTTGATGATTTTGTTCAGGTAATGCTGAGCACGACGATCCTTCTGATGCCCTTTTCCTTTTCTTGACGCTGTTGGGAAAACCGCTCGCAAGTATCCGGATCCAGTCCAATTCTTAAAGCGTGAATACTACATTACCTTGTCAGAATACCTCTGAGAAACCATGTGAGAGGAATTGTCTTGGAAGTCGCCCAAAGCTGCTTGTAGCCATCTGTTTGGTCTTGGCAGTTACCATCTTTGTCCAGATCAGTAAACATTGCGAACTGCTACGCTATTACAGATCTCTTGGAGGCTGTATTGAAAATAATGAACCATTTGTTGAAGATATCAAGATTCAAGGCTGTCAAAATGCATGGAACCTAACCAATGGAGGAATAAGAAGACTGCGCTCGAGGAGAGCTGAAACAGTCCCTCACGCCCTCACGGCAATAACGATCCGAGTGGTCTGCCTGATTGGTGCTGATGCAGGTTGAGGCAGGGCAGTAAGCTGGAGGGGCAAGGCAGACACACGGCGAAAAGAAGCCCAAAATCAAATTCCAAGGCGCTTCCATCGTCGTGATCATCATCGACGACCGACCGGTCTATGGAATAAACCCCTACCCATCTGCATGAGTGCATCTTCAAATTTAAGAAACACCATCGGAAATATACTGTGTGTGTGTGTGCTGCAGTGCACCATGGCATACACAGTAGACTAGATCGCTACCACATCGATCGTACTGGCACAGGGGTATGTACAGACCGAATGCCAGATTTGGTATGCCATGCGAATGGAAAGAGTTCGTGAACTATTGGAGACGATAGAAGAGCAGGGCTTCAAAAGGTAAGTTGTCGGTATCTTCCAAAGCCGTTATTCCCCAAGAAATTGTTTATCGATCTTTGGCCCAACCAAGCCGCCATCCAAATAATTATTGTTCCAAAACTTCTCGCTCACCTTTGACTAACACGATGAGGACGAAGGAGATCCTAAAAAAACTCTCGAGGAGGAAAAGAGGCAGACTCAATGATGGGGGGACAACGGACACTCCCTCATCTGAGGACACTCCTTCAGCGGAGAACGATATCTCAGCAGAAGAGGACCCTATCTCAGAGTCAGCGGAGGACGCCTCCGAGCCCCAGGGGCCTGTGGAAATTGTGTGGCCGACCTTTAACCGTCCTTGTCGTGTTTATTCTGGGGTTATCCCGTGCGAATCGGATCCCATGGTCCGCAGAACCCTCTGCGAGAGGATCAAAATTACCGTTGGCGGCGGCGGGAGCGGTGGAGGCGGACATGGACAGCAGCAGCAACAACAGGGACAATATTCAGGCCCGGCAACAACAACAACAACAACCTCAAGGCCAACAAAAGTTTTCTTCCTCCACAAACGGCTCCTCTGCGAATACTCAGAATACTTCAGCACCGCCCTCAGCCCACGTAACCGCGATGTCTTCATCGAGGCCGAAACAGGCCACTTTGTCTTTGACGACGACGTCGACGACCCAGATGACTTTTACCGCTGGGCCGTCTGGCTGTACGTTTGCAGCGGGTGCAAGCTCTCTCCTGTTTACGAGTTCCAGCACGATCACCGGTGTAGGCCTTCAAGGCTGGAGGAGTCCAGTGAGTCTGCCTCGGAGTCGTCATCAGAGTCGGCTGCTGCTGGGGAAGGGGAAGGGGAATACCTCTCATACGAGACCTACGGACCCTACGGACTGCCCAAGCCCCCTCTTTGCATGTCCCTCTCCGATCATATCGAAGTCGGCTGCCACCACTGGCATAGGCGATTTGACGTCATCGCTGAAGAAGAAGAAGAAGGAGACGATGCCCGCCATGGCGGCGGCCCCGAGGATGAAGACCTACTCCGCGGCAACTGCTACGGAGACGGGAGAAGTTTGTCGTCGACGGTCACGGGATGGTTCTGCGCCAGGAACAGCAGCAGCAGCAGCAGCGGCACTGGACAAGGTTCCAAGGGTGTCACCACCAGCGAAAACAGTGCCAACGCCGTCATCAGCGACCCCAACGCGCCCCTAGAAGCAGCAGCCGCTTATATGTTCGGATACCGCATCCTGTCGCGAGAGTACAGGCTGTTTGCCCTCGCCCACTTCATCCAGCACGTTGACGTGCTTACGGACGGGTACAAGGACGAGCTCAGGAACCTGCTGTACGAGGTGTTTCCCGTGGGGAGCGAAGCTCATCGGTTCTTGAGCGCGTGGGTTGCTTGGCTGAGATTCAAGAAGCGCCTACCCCTTGACGACGACCGATTCGATCCTTCTGTTATCGATTACGAGGAAGGCGATTTAGAGACGGCCGCGTTCTGGAAGATGTTTGACAGGGTCGGGAGCCGGGCGGGGTCGGCGGACCCGCGTCGATATCCCTTGTTTCATTGGGAACAAGATTGCAGTAAGGAAATGCCGGGTCATGTAGACTGCGTCCACATACAATCTCTGAAGTGGCACGGCTCGTCTGGGGAGGTTACTGGGTCAATAGCACCGAATCCGGCCACGAACACGATGACAGGCCAGTCCTCGACCAGGTCTCTAACCGCCGAAGAGAGGTGGGATATTTTCTTTCGTCTGTCGAAAGCCGTTGTCTTGTTTTGGGCATATGTCCTCTGGGTGAGTCCTTGCTTGCATCTATCTTCTGACTGGCCGCGCCATAGAGAAGAAAGACTAATGTGACGAATATCTGTTCCTCTAGTGGTTGGCCCCAGTCCTCATACTTTTCTTTGCCGCGGACAGTTTTGCCCAGGATACGCATCACCTGATTGAGCTCTATGGCAAAATTCTCGGAATAGTTTTCGCCGTCCAGGCGCCTTTAGCGGCGTGGTACAGGTACCTGGGATGGGAGTGGTTGATGGGGTTAACGATGCTGCTTGGAATACCAAAAGCGTGTGGGTCGTTCCTGTGGGCTAAGCACTGTTTTGACAAGGCCGCCCACGGGGAGGTTGATGTCAAGACCAGACCGTGCAGAGAAGAGGTCGGCCTTGGGGTTTTTGAGTTGCTGTTCGTCGGATCTCTTTTTTGGGTATTGCTGACCACAAAGCACGATGTGCATCCGTCAGTAGCAAACCCGGAGAAAGCCAGCTGGGGATGCCGGGCAGCACGCCCGGGACGCGAGAGCTTCGTGAGAAGGGGCCTTCAGGCTATCTGGAAACAGAAGGACCTGCTCTGGTGGTCGTGTGTGACTCTATGGGTAAGTTTTTATGCCCCGGGCTGCTCACACTGATAAGGAAGACTTGTTGTGACTGACCATTTCAGCATATGGCCTCAATCTCAATGATCGTGATGGAACCGGTGATCTGGGCTAAGGATCACAACGATCTGGTTGAACTGAAGGCACACGCACTGGTCTGCGCTCTTTTGTGCATCGTGGAAGCGTGGTACATGGCGAAGGGATGCAGGGAAGTTTTCCTGGCATCGACGTTTGCTCAACTGGTCTTGGGGAGTATTTCCGGGGTTGCGGAGGTTTCTCCATGTTTCCGCCGGGCTCGTGATAGGGAAGTTGATGTCGGGGATGGGGTGTGCAAGTTACAGGCTGGGTTAGCGAGTGTTATGCTGGTTCATTTGGTGTTGAGTATATGCATCTTGCTCATCTGGCGGAACGGTGAGCATCCAAGTCGGGGTATTGTTAAAGCACTCCGAACTAAGGAACAGACGAGTGTGTAAGTACAGTTCAATGCTGGTTTGATTGTTAGCGCGGTTCTTGAGACAGGGGTCTGCAAAAGGACACAGAAAAACAACGGGACAACCACATTCGAAACGGAAAATTGGACAGAGTGTATAAAGCGGTCAAAACGAATCTGGTTGATACCAACTTCTTGCATGAAATTTGGTGGAATGGTGGTTGAGTTGCAAAGAATGCGTAGTGAAGTCCCGCGCTAACAATCAAACCAGGGGTGAACTGTAGAGGAAGACAAGAAAACAACCAATGGGATGATTCAAGGACGTTGAGAGTGGGTATACCCTCACCTCGGTAAGCACGGTGAGGGACAACGCCCAAACTGAAGGTGGGGCTCCTCCGCACTCTCTCTCCAAAAGTTGCCCACTTCTCCCCACCACGAATTCCACCGAACCCGCAATTGACCACATCACGGACTGGGATTGTCCAGGAACACTGACTCAGTCAACGGCGGGTACGTACCTCTTATATCATATCGACGACGGCGGCAACAACAACAACACGATCATGTCCCAAGCATTCCGTTTCCCAGCCGGCCCAGCAAGGATCCGAACCCTCTACATCCGAGTCAAGCCAGCACCAACCAGTCTGTCGGAGCGGCGCGCTGTCCTCCGCGCCCTGAGCCAACATGGCAACATTGAGATGTTCAAGCAGCTCTACGACTCTTCCTCCTTCATCTCCATAGCATCATCCCAGAACGCGGCTGCCAGCATCGTTCGAAGGAGTCCTCTTCAGTTCGATGTCCTCGCTCGAAACTTATTCGACCCTCGCGTCCCCGACTCCATCCGACTGCCACCACCCATAGATACATCGTCAGCCGTCTCATTGCCCAGCGCCGTTACTACTGGCACTATCACGAATTCAAACTCCAAGTCCGGGCAAACAGATCTCAATCCACAACAGCTGCCGCTATCCCCGTCCTCATCCAAACTTCCAACTCTGCCCGAGCGAGACCCGACCGCCTTCGTAACCAAGACCTTTATCCTCGAAGCCTTCAACGCCCCCGAATACCCGCACAAGGAACACATCCGCATGTCCGCTCTGTACGGACCCTGGCCACGCGACGATCCCGATCCGCCTTCCCACGACACCCCCACGTCATCAAAAAGGCTGACCCTCACATCCGCCGCCCTGCGCGCCTCGGTCCCTCAAGACATGGCCTACACCGGTCTGCACGACTGGGAGTCGGCGGGCCAAGATGCCATGGACGTCGAGGAGGCCACGGCTATTGAGGAGGGAATTTCGGCGGACTCGGCGACCATGGTGAGGACGTGGAGGGCGTTTTGGAGGGAGAGGGTGGACAAAGGGGATTCATTACAGTATCAACTTGGGACAACAGGTGATATGGGCAGCGCGTATAGCCATATTATGAAGAGGAAGATGAAGCAAGAGAATAAGAAGCGTATTCAGAACATGCTGTCTGGATAGGTCGCGGCAACGAAACAACCAGGGCAGAACAAAAGATGGGGATGGGGAAGGGAAGATGAGGGAGAAGGCGGCCTACTTTGTGGGTCAAGGGAAAATCAGCGGAAGAAGAAGATGCTGCAGTGCTGAAGGGTTTAATTCCGGCACTGGGAACACGCCCATCCAGATACAACCTTCGGTCGAGCTCAGAATTGGATGACGATGGTGGTTTTAACTACCACAAGCTTTACGGTATGTTTCAATGAGCCCTGATCTCAAGTCCGACCAGGCGCATGCTAACATAATTAGCAGCCTAGTGGCAAGGGCTATAATGATAATGACTTGAATCTTGGACCTGTCCTTGCGCTCAGTGGATGACAAAGTCACGCCTCCTCAATCTCCTCTCCTCTTCCCCTTTCTCGTCCAATACCCTCTTCCGTCGCTTCAACAAACACCAGCTCACCAATGATAACCCAACGACCGATGGGATACCAATCGCAAAACCGAGTCCAAAAGCAAGCCGTTTGTTAACCCCCGAGCGATTTTTATTATCTTGGTCATCAGGAGGGGTTGGCTGCTCCACGGAAAATCCCAGTCAGCACCATTCCCTCTTCGATATGGCGCTAGTCGAAGAAAAAGAAAACGTACCTCATCCTCAGAAGAAGTCGAAGGCTTGCCCCCCTCCGTCCCACTAGCATACGGTGGTTGACCAACTGTGAAGAACGGAGAGTTCGCCAAGGGCGTCCCATCCGCAGACTCGTGGAGTTCAACCTGGTAAAGTCCCTCGCGTAACCAGCGAAGGGGTGATGGGATCCCAGCCCATTCGAATGTGTTGTTTGAGGAGAAATCGACTGCCGCCGTAATATTCATCCTGTATGCTGTCACAGTTCCGCCGTTCCCATCGCCACCGTCATTCTCGCCTTTGTCGATGAGCTGTGCGGTGATGAACAGTGGGTAGGACTCGGGCGGTATGGGGGCGGTGGTGGCGTCCCAGGTTAATCGGACGGTTGAGCCGTAGCTGAGATTCGTGAAGGAGTTGGTGAACTCGGCTGCTACAATGGTGGCGAAGAGGAGGAAGGCTAGAGAGGTCAGGCCCAGGAGCTGGCATACGAGCGTCATCTTGGTGGGAGGAGACGGCGCCGTCCCGCCTGTACGACGTCCTCTGTGTCCACCCTTCCAATTGAATCCAAGATCTCGGGACAAGGAGAGAAAAACAGGAGTTCTTATGCATGCGTTGATGGGTTAGGGGAGCTTGGGGTTGGACCGATTCGTCGACATATAGGTAGTGCTGGACATGAATCCCCAGTGACGCTAGTAAGAAGACCGGGCGGTGAACGGACATCCGGTGGCTGGATTGTGAATCAACTCAGATACCCAGCTAGGTACATGTTAATGATGTGGAGCGGTGCGAAGCGTGTGTGACGGGAATACACGATGGGTTTCAGATGTCTTTTTGATGGGTCGGGAGTGACCATAACATATGGAACACCAGTTCAACACCGACAGAGTACATGAGAGGACCGTATTAATTTATTCTAGGGAGCCAATATCAAGCCTCTGGCCTTAGTGTTTCTCGATACCGACTTTGCAGGATAAGACGCGGCTGGGTTAATAAGGATAAATGGGCCACTCAATCAATTGCCGGACCACCACCTCGGATCTTACTTGCTAGTTCATATGCAGGTGTATAGTGTAATATAAGTTCATTAGGCTCTCGTTGTTCCCAGCATTTTCCTTGATCGGTTCTAGAAGTGTTTGGTTCGATTTGTGTTCGCCTTCCCTTGGGTGTTGAATTCTGTACTTTGCAACGTTGTACTGGATTAGAAAAATACCCAGACACGCAACATGATGTAGATTAGCAATTTGAAGAACCACACGCCAACACAGAAATGATGTTGATATTCTTTTTCTTTAATTCTGTGGTTCAACCTACAAGAGAATCTGCCGTTACAATGTTTTCCTACTAGAACACATTCACCATATGGCAAACCACAACGAACCCATTCCATCATTTTACTGCTTAAACCTCTCTATCCGTTCGAGTAGGTACTCGTCAAGGCTATTGTAAACACCCATTCATTCCCCTCCCTTGTAACATGATCCATGCAACAAAAAGCCCCCCGATAAACAACATCAGGCATTTAAAAACAAACTAATCCGTACACATTCCCATAGTGACAGACACGAGGACACCATGCTAATGACATACGACCATAGGCGCTGGGCCAAAACTCGGGATCCCGTCCGCTCTCCTCTAGATAAGCCAGTGACCGCCAGGCTAGTAGTCGGTTCGGTGACGACGGGTGAAGAACCTGGTGTTGTATGTTTTTTTTTTTTTTTTTGTGTCTTTTGACATTTGATCTGCATGTAGGTGTTGTCTCGGACATGAAAAGATGTTTAAGTGGATTTTGTGCACATATGAATTTTCACAAGAGGCAACGTAAGGGTCAGTACCAGTTGATGGCTTAGGAATATTTTGATAAGCACTGAGGTTTTATGGAGCATGGAACTTTTTATCACCACATATCACCTTGAAGCCTCTTTTTGGGTCCTCGTGGCATATAGTGTTTCTTGAACAGAGTGCGTATGTCATATCATATGTCGCCATGTTGGTAGTAGTGGTGATAACAACTCTTTCGTTGTTGCTCTTCAAACCCTTCCATAACTGCTGCCTCTTTTTTCTATGTACTAATCTCGCATCGTATCCCAATGCCCAACCCCTAAATAAGACTGCGTAACCGGGTATTGTCCCTCTTGTCCATCGGGATATATCTCTCCGCCAGCACCTCCTGCACGCTCTTCTTCATGACATCCTCCCTCTTGGTATACCTCTCCTGCAACGCCTTGTCAATCTCCGACACATGTAACAGTTTCCGGTCCGCCGCGGCCTCGAATTTCTCCTCGGCGAGACGAACCGCCGCCTTGCCCATGCCCACCGCCTCCTCCACCTTCTCGATGCCGTGGCGGCCCTTCTCCACCGCCTTATCCACAGCGCTGTTCACCACGCCTCTGACCACCTCAGCATCATGCCTGATCTCCTCGGCGACCCTATGCCCCACTCCCTTAACCACCTGCATCTCCTCCTTCGCTTCCCGGCTCCACAACCTCGCCGTCTCGGCCGCCCGCCTCCTCATCTCCTCCGACGTGACGCGCGCCTCCCTAGCCATAATCTTGCCCGTCTCCTTGCCCTCCTCGGCAGCATACCTCATCCTTTCCGCCGCAATCCTAGCCGCCTCCCTCGCCTTCTCCGCAGCATACTCGCTGCGATCGATCGTGAAGCCAAACAGACTGGCAACAGCGTCCTCGGCTTTTTCGCGGACTGACGACCAGTCCGTGGTCTGCGCCCACCGCACCGCGTTCTCGATTTCGTGGTTCCACTTGTCCTTGACGGACTCGACGAAGCGGTGGCGCTCGCGCTCGACGAGCTCGGAGCGAGGGGGAGGGAAGTAGGCTAGGTCCTCATCGTTGACGGGGTAGCGCGTGCGCAGGTTGGTTGGGAGGGTGTCGCGGGCGAGCGTGTTGACGAAGCGGGTCTGCGCGCGCAGGAGGTCGGATTGGTGGGTGCGGTTTTGCTGGTGGGCGGCGATGGCGAGGTAGGTGAGGCCGAGGGTGAGGGTTGCGCCGCCGGTCTGGTTTTGGGAAGTCGGTTAGTTAGGTATAGTTGTTTAATTGGGGAGAGAGAGAACATACGACGCCGGCTACGAAACCCATTGTTGCGACTGACGTGGGGTGACGACGGTGGGCTTGGGCTCTTGTAGGGACGGGACTTGGTGAGATCTACTCTAGAGTCTAGGTAGTGTCGCAATAGAGACAGACCTAAAGGTCTTGACTCAACCGAACGAAGGGTGGTTGATTGAGGGTTGAAAGAACGTGGGAGATCAGACAATTGGGAAGAAAGGGTGACGTAGTTGGGAATTGGGACGAAAGAATGGCGTGAACATTTAGGCGGCCCTGGGCTGTTAGCGAATCCCGCTGCGGGACGTGGTGCCACTGTCCGGTTGCGGGATCCGGAGGTGCTGTGGATCTCCTTGGCGCTGTTGATCCAGCACTTTTAGGCGGGCCACTAGCGGACCTTACGGCTGTAGACCCGCGGTAGATTCGCGGTAGCGGGCGGACAAGGACCCCAAAAGCACAGGCCCAGGGCCGAGAAAATTTCGGGTCCCGCACCGCAAAAGCTCCGCCCGACGTCGGGTTGTCCGGCATCCGCGCTACAGCGACCCAGTCCACTGTCAGGAACCCTGCCAATCGAGTGGGTGCCGTTGCCCGCGCCGAGCCCGAATCTTGAACTTTGACAATTCGAGATCCTCTTTCTCCGTCTTCCGGCAGCCGCACCGACCGACCTACCGACCGACTGCACGACGACCGACCCGTCCGCCCACCAGGAACTCCACACGACCTCCCCGTCCTGCGGCTACGCTTTTCCCGGACCGAGGGCCAACCCACCGGGACTTAGACAACTCGAGGTCGTACCAAAACAACACAGACACAATGGCCGGCGCCCACGTCAAGTACAGGCACTTGAGCCGTAGCTCTGCGCATCGCCAGGCTTTGCTGCGCAACCTCGTCACCTCGCTCATCAAGAACGAGACCATCCACACCACCTATCCCAAGGCCAAGGAGGCCCAGCGCCTGGCCGAGAAGCTCATCACCCTCTCCAAGCGCGACACCGAGACAGCCCGGCGTAGTGCCCAGGGTATTCTCTACGTATGTTTCGCATTCTAGTTTCTCTCGTCATATAAAAAAGCACAACAGCTAACCTGTGTCCCATGCTGCTGGTGCTTAGACCCCCGACCAGCTCCTCCCCAAACTCTTCGGCGAGATCCGCGAGCGCTACGCCAACCGGCCAGGAGGCTACACGCGCGTGCTGCGCACCGAGCCCAAGGACCAGTACTCGCAAGCGCCCTCGGCCATCCTCGAGCTCGTCGATGGGCCCAAGGACATGCGCTTCGCCATGACGGCGGCGACCGTGGCGCGCGACCGCGAGCAAAAGACCGAGCACACCGACCTCACCAGGAAGAACATGGAGAAGGTCACGCGCTTCCGCAAGGACGGCATGCGCTCGTTCGAGGATATGGTCGCTAAGCTCAGGGATATGAAGTTCACCGCGGGCGCGATAAATCCTAAGGAGTGGAAGAAGCTTGATCGTTAAGCGGTCGCCAGGTTGCATAGTGGAAACGGGTTGGAAGAAGGAAGGGGATGGAGGGCTTGGTTTCCCCTCAAGAGAGAGGCAGGTGTGCGTGAATAGCTGGAAAAGGCTTCATCACCTGCCGCCTTCTTTGAGGTCATGGGAAGGGAAAGGGGCTTGATCTCCGCTCTCGTTGTGGTCCGGGGTAGACGTTATATGTGTGAAGGAGCTTTTACTAGCCAGCCTGCACACTAACCAGACCACCCTCGCTGTTGAGTCAGCAAGGGAAAGGGGAAACCAAAGTGTACAAATATCACAAGACAGGAAGCAAAAAAGAGTGTAATTTTACAAGGTATGGGATACACTTGGCTTACACAAAATGGAACTTGGGAAACAGGCAAATCATACGCCCCTTTCATGGACTGGTGACTTTCAGAATGTTGTTTTTATTGCTCACTATGTACAGTAGTAGGTATTCTATCTCGACAACTATGCAGCAAACTTTTCATCCCATGCAAACCCAGTAGTTAGTTCCCTTGACATTTTTATTATCCGACGCCTTTTATACATACCATTCAACCGCGACTCTTACACAAAGTCAAAAGTATCACCCTGCTCCGTAATCATCTTACCCGCCCTCTTCGTGCCCACGATCCTCTCCAGCTTCATGATATCATACTTGCTAAACATGACCTTGACATGTCCCTGCCCGTGCTCCAGCATCAGCGCCTGCTCGCTCTTCTGCAGATACCCGCCCGCAATCTCCCTGTAAAAAATCGGGTTATCCGGCAAGCCATAAAAGATGACGCGCTTGACGCCCTTGATCGCGTACCGCCTAAAGTGGTGGGCGCGCTCCGTGTACAGCAGCACGCGGTGGCGGCCCGTCAGGAAATGCGAGCGCGCGCGCGACGCCTCGGGCGTGTCGGCGTACTCGGAGATGTTGCCGAACGTGACGCTCTCGACGGCCGGGTTGTTGGCAAAGTAGTTGCGCACGCGCACAAAGTCGAGGTACGACGGGATGAAGATGAGCGTGCCCGCCGCGTCCTTGGCGGCCCGCTTGACCAGCGTCGGCACGATGGCCTTGGTGAAGTAGGCGAAGCGGGCGTCCGGGTCGGCGGCGATGGAGGCCGCGTCGAACCGGCTGAAGGTCTGGCGCGTCTTGACGCCCAGGTACTGGATCACGCCGGGGTACTCGGCTTGCAGCCGGGCCTTGCCGGCCCAGTTGTGGCAGTGGAGACGCTGCAGCTCGGCGAGCTCGGGCGTGTTGAAGGCGCTGAAGATGACGGTTTGACGGAAGTACTTGGCTTGGTCGTCGAGGTACCAGGGCCGCACGCGGGAGAAGTCGCAGCCGTGGGCGTCGCGGGGTTGGAGGTTGAGGTGCTCGAAGATGAACTCGACGTGCTCCCAGTTCTGCATGAGCAGGGCGTCGGCCTGGTCGACGATGACGAGCTCGATGGACGAGAGGAAGTCGTAGTCGAGCTTCTTCTTCTCTTCCTCGGAGCCGATGGCCATGCGCAGACCGAGAGGGGAGGCGAAGATGATGTCCGAGTTGTAGAACTGCGAGAAGTATTTGATGGTCTTGCGAGTGAACTTCATACCGAGACGGAACATGTCGTCGTCGCTGCCGGAGAAGAGGTCACGGAAGTCTTCGGGCTTGTCGTCGGAGAACTTGGTGGACTTGTCGACGTAGCCATCGTCGAAACGCTTGCGGTGTTCTTGTTGCTCAGGAGCGGCGACCTTGCAGATCATTTCGACCATCTTGACGCACGACTGTCGGGTAGGCAGGATCATCAAGACCTTGGGGCGGACGAAGCCCTGGTCTCTGAGCTCAAGGCTGTCGTCTCTTTGCAGCTTGGTGTTGTTCTTGATCACACGGTCACGAGTCCTGGGGATCAAGTCAGCTCCCTGTTCCCGTTTTTCATGCTCCTGTCAGACTTACTTGAAGACATGGTTGAGCGCGTGAAGACACGCCATCCGCCTTATGCTGTCAGACGATGCCACTGTCCGGTTGCAGTAAAGCATGTCTTGGTAGTTGAAGAGGAGAGGGGCTACTGCCTTCTCGGCCTCGTCGAACTCGGTGTGCTTAGCCATCGATTCGGCAAGTCGTTGCTTGAGCTTGAGGTCGGCAACTCCAGAAATGGAATGGGGAAGTTTCCGCTCAGTTGAGTCGCCTGTCTCGGGGGTGTTGTAGTATATCCTGTTGGAGTTCTGTGCTATCCTGTTGGTCCTCCACTTGTTCGCCTGAATAGCCTTTATCCTCGCCTGGAATGTCGCCTCGTCTGGGGCCGCAAAGTGCGTTTCGAATGGGTCTGAGTTGTCGAGGTCGTCATCTTCGTCGAACAAGTCCTCTAGTGGTGCATCCTGGGGATCTTCCTCTGGCTCATCAACCGCATCCACGTCTTCCTTCACTTTTTCGTCGTCTTCGCCGGCGCTGTCATCGTCGTCTTCCGTCTTGGTGGCCTTGTTTGGCCCTTCCTCCTCTGGGTGATCCAACTTTCTCTTCTTTGACTTGGTTGCACTCTGGAAGCTCTTCAGGAGACTCATATATGGCTGACCAGATTGAGCGTCCTCCTCCTCCTCTTCCTCCTCTTCTGACTCCTCAATCTCCTCCTCGGAAACGTTGGACTCATCTTCAGAAATGTCCTCCTCCTCATCTCCCCTGTTTCAGTTAGTAAAATTTTCACCTTTTTCTTCAGTCATGAAATTTCCTTACTCTTCGTCCTTGTCGGCAAGTCGTGCGTCGTTGAACTTGAATGGGCGAGGGCCGACACCTCCTCTGGCACCACCCCTTGAACTTCCCCTACCCCGGCCTCTCGAAGCACCTCTAGCGCCTCCCCTGGAGCCTCCTCCCCTAGAGCCTCCTCCCCTGGAACCTCCTCCTCTAGAACCTCCTCCTCTGGAACCTCCTCTGCCTCTGAAACCTCCTCCGCCACCTCTTCCACGACCTCCACCTCCTCCTCCACGGTCACCGCCGCGACCTCTGAATGCCATATTGGTGGAGTGAAAAATTTCTCAAATTTTGAGATTTGAGGTTGGTGAGATGAAAATCGGTAATGAATGTGAAATCAAATTCAACGGGGGTCGAAAAAACGATACGGAAATTGTATTCAGCCTTGTCAGCGGGCCAAGAAGAAAAAGTCCAAAAGTCCAATGGAATCTTGAAGGAAAGGCTTGGCAGCGAGCAGCCTTGTAACGCCACCCCCCTTGACCCTTGCGAAGAAGAACAATCTGAAGTCAAGCTGAACGCCAAGAGTGGGACCGGCTTATCTTATCTTAGCGCGCACAACCCAAAGGTCCCGCATTGAGCTGCAAAACCAAAAATTCGAGCAGAGGCCCGCCTGCTGGTCCCCATATTTTGCGAAAGCTGGATGGAGCAAGGCGAGAGGCGGCATCAAAGAATGGATCGTGACTGCGAACAGTGACCCGACTGCCTGCCTGCCACCGAGACTCTCGAGTGCCATTGACCCCCAGTAAAAAAGTGCAAAGTGACTTCCACTTCTGTCGTGCCCACCAAGCCCACCCCCCCGGCCAACCGCTAGCCTCTTCTCTCTCACCCCGAACCCGAAAGCAGCGTCTGCTGTCTACATTTTCAAAGAGCCCCATAATCTCAACCTCGACGGCTGCTCCCCTCCTCCTCGAACTCCTGCTTCCTCTATCAACCACCACCACACCCCTCCACCACCTCACACTCAACTACAGCCCCAGCCCGTCGTCAAAATGGCTGTCGATCAGGAGTCTTTCGTCCATCTCTCGCGCCCCCTTGCGCCCAACGTGCTCGGCTTCGGTGTTAGCAATGCCCCGCTTACCGTCAACATCCAGCCTCAGGTACGTCAACAGCACCAATTTCTATACTACAGTCTATATCTGCCCCTCCACTCCTAATTTACCTAGTCCCCTACCTTGATGTCCCTTTGCGCATGTCAAGCCTACCTACCTATATCCCCTCTACTACCCCGCCATCACCACCACCACTACCACCACTACCATGGCCCAAGACCATACAACACCTAGCTGACATGTAGCCCTTCGCTTTCCTCACCAACTAGGCTGTCTTCTCCATCATCGACCATGCCGTCAGACGGGACGACCGCGACACCCAGTCGACACGGGTGATTGGTGCCCTCGTGGGTGTCCGCAGCGAGGACGGCAGCGAGGTCGAAGTGCGCTCCACCTTCGCCATCCCCCACACCGAGAACGAGGACCAGGTCGAGGTGGACGTCGAGTACCAGAAGAACATGCTGGCCCTGACCCTCAAGGCCAGCCCGCGCGAGACCCTGCTGGGTTGGTACACCACCTCGCACGAGCTCAACAGCTTCAGCGCCCTGATCCAGAACTTCTTCGCCTCCCCCGAGACCGGCACCTTCCCCCACCCGGCCGTCCACCTGACCATCGGCACCGAGGCCGGCGCGCCCATCGAGACCAAGACGTACATCTCCGCTCCCGTGGCCGTCAGCCCCGAGCGCGCCGCCGAGTCGTGCCTCTTCATCGAGGTGCCCCACAAGCTCCTCTTCACCGACGCCGAGCGCGGCGCTCTTGGCTCCGTCGCCGCCGCCGCCGACGCCGAGTCGCGCTCCGCCCCCGTCGTCTCCGACATTGAGAACCTCGCCCAGGCCCTCGAGACCGTCTCGGACCTGCTCGAGCGCGTTTCCGGCTTCGTCGGCGAGGTGCTCGACGAGGAGCGCGACGGCAACCACGCGCTCGGCCAGTACCTCATGAACGCCCTTTCCCTGGCTCCCAAGGTGTCCAACCTGGCCATCGAGAACGACTTCAACAACCACATCCAGGACGTCCTCATGGTCTCGTACCTCGCCAACACGATCCGCACCCAGATCGAGCTGTCCCAGCGCCTGGCCACTGCCAAGCTCGACGAGGGCAAGGAGGGCGGCGAGAAGAAGGATGGTGAGGGCGCCGAGGGCGACAAGAAGAGCGACGGCCAGCGTGGCCAAAGGGGCCAGGGCGGCAAGCGTGGCGGTCGCGGCGGTGGTGCTGGTGGCCGCGGTGGCCGCGAGCCCAGGGAGCCCAGGGAGCCCAGGGAACCTGTGGAGTAAAGAGAACGAGTTGTGGAAAGAAAGGGAGAGAGAAGAAAAAATGGAAAGAGGAGAATGAAACTCGTTCCAATTTTTTTATCTTTTTAATGAAAGGCCACTACACACAACCAGGCAGGGGAAAAGAAAGGTTCACACACAACAAAAGGATCCAATTTCTCTTACATGAGTCGTCCCTTTTGCGCGCGTTTGATTCAAGTCATCAGCCGTTTCTAGAAGAGAAAGCGGGCTCCCCCATCATTCTATTTACTACTCGACCTGTGCGGACTGGAGTTGTCGTCTCGTCTGTCTGCTGTCTATACCCTGCTGTTTCGCTACAGCATTATGAAGCGCGCGCGCGGTCTCGGTCGTCGGTTACTTTGGAGAGAGAGGGAGAGGGAGAGAAGGGTAAAAAGGAGGGAGAGAGAGAGAGGGGGGGTGCGGGACGTCTTTGGTTGGGTCTCAAACAATTATGGCGTTCATAGGAATACTACTACTAGAGCCTTCTAACTCGGTCAGGTCAGCAGCATGATGAATTGATTTGGGAATTTTCTGTTTAAAAACAACAATCTATTCGATGCCTTGATCTCCCGAGTCGCCCGTGCCATGCGATTTCGAAAACATAAATGCGGATGAGTTTTTCATTAGTTCCGACCTTTCACCTTTTTGTAGAACCTAGGTTGAGAACCGACTGTGAGTGGATTTGAGTCTTGCGCTATGCTGCCTGCCGTTCCTGAGTGTCCCTTACTTTTCCTTCCTTCGACTCCTAAACAACCTTCCGTCTCTTTTTCTCCTTCCTGTCTTATGCACAGTAACATTAGGAGAGATCCATGTCAACAACAGTTAGTAACAGTTACATGCATTCACAATGCTCCCTCGCTCCTCCTTCTTTTGCCACTGTTCCATTCTCTTCTTCTTCATTTGCCATGGCTGAGGCCATCATGCCCCATATGTTAGCTGCCACCTTGCCCTTGGCCATATTCTCTTCCGCTGGCCCTACATAGGAGGTTTCTGTGGCAACGAGGCAGGGTTGCCATATGTTGGGAGATGGCTGTAGCCTTGCGGCCCCGATGGTCCGGTCGGCGGTAGTGGACCGCCTGCAACCTTGCTGTGGACGATGTGGGGAGATGCGTTGGGGGGCATAGCATGATGCTGGGGTGGTACGTGGTGATACGGTCCCATCGAGTTGTTCGATCCTTGCCTCGACATGGCGTAGCCCATCGGACCGGGACCGTAGCCTGCCTGTGGCGGTGGCGGCATGGGTTGTTGATAACCACCGTAGTTCATGTGAGCCGGCAAAAACTGAGGGCTGCTATGGTTCGAGCTTGCATACGGACCCGGCGGCGGTTGCATCGGGAGCATGGCGTTTCCGGGCAAAAAGGATTGCGTCTTGGGGTTGAGCGCCTGCCGGTTGTAGCTGCCGGGAATTGGGTGTTGGCTTTTAGGGTCGTGGGGGTTGGCATTCGCTGGGAGTTGTCCGTAGGCATACGGAATTCCTCCTGGGGAGGGACTCGATCGAGACGAATAGCCGGGCCCGGGCTGGTTGAAGCCTTGCTGTGGCGGCCCCCATGCCGGCTGCGATACACTGGGCATGGGAGGAGTATATGGCGGAGCAACTTGGGGTTGGGAAGGTTGGTAACGTTGTTGCTGTTGCACTGGTACTGCAGGCTGGGGGACAGAGGGGGCGGGATACTGATGGTGAGTTAGAAGGGGTGGATCTTGACGCCGACTTTGAAGATGAACTTACGTTTGCCATTGCGCCATATTGAGGAGCAAATCCGTTGCTTGGAACCATTTGCGGATACGTTTGATTCTGCGCATACGCTTGATTTTGCGGATACGCTTGATTCTGCGTATACGCTTGATTTTGCGGATACGCCTGGTTGGGCGCATACGTCGGGACCGCAGTTGGGTATGGTGCTTGATACTGGACGTTATATGGGACGTTGTTGATGGGGTAGGCCTGAGGTGCCGGTCCCCATGTTGACTGCTGGGGGCCTCCATAATAGACAACGTATTGAGACCGAGAGTCAAAACTTTCTGAATCATCACGACGTTGCTTATTGGCCTTCTTCTTGCCATTGGGCTTGTCCTTGGCGGATACCGAGCTCGCCCGAGAAACACCATTAGAGGTTTCACCGTCTACACTTCGTTAGTCTTATTCCCCGTATCTAGGGGGATTCCACAAGACATACCTTGGCCCGAAGCATCAGATTCCTTCATGTTTCCGAAGATTCGCTGCCTCGCCCGGTTATACGCCTCTTCCCGCTCTTCCCTAGTCATTCTTTCCTTGCTAGTCGCAGCCTTATCTTTGGGGTCACTGCCAGCTTCTGAGGTCGGCTTTGATGGATTTGCGCTAGAAGGAGCAAATTCACCGTCCTCACCACGTCGCATAATCTTCCTTGGTATCACAGCAGGAGCCGGAGAGCTGGTGTTAGAGGTCGACGGCGCAATGGTGGATAGTGGCGGAGGAATTCTGCAAAAAGGAGTTCTGTATATGCGAACTGCGCCCGAGACCGCCTCATATGAATGGGTCATATGATAGTAGTCCGCAAGCTTATGTGTCAACATTCTCCAAAACGTGTTGTTTGGTGGAAAATCCATGAATGGTTCCCTACAAAGACACGGCGTTAGCGACGCAAAGACTTGACGGATGTGAGGAATAATCAACATACTTTGAATTTTCCACAAACTCAATGACTTGTTGTTCCATCTTCAAGAGGCTGAACCGATCTTTCTCTGATCGCATGGCCTCTAAGAGCTTTTCATCCGGATGCTGACTTAGGAATCCACCATTTGCCGTCAAGCCATCAGGGGCGCCTGGGCCGGTTGCCAGTGGCAGTTCAGTCTCCGCCGCTGGCTGTTTGTCGGATATGCCACTCTGAGGCGTAGCAAGGCCTAGTTGACCCTGATTGCCGGCCATAGCATGTGTAGTGATGGCCCGTGGGGGCATATCTCCAATTTGGATGCGGTGGATACGAGCCGCAACCTCGGAGCCCATTCGTGAGCCGTTGAAGTAGGATCCACGGATGGAGAAGGCGTCGTCGTCCTCAGTGGCAGCCTTCATGCTGGCACTGTCGTCTGGACGCAACGACTCCTTCTCATCCAATGCGTTAAAGGTAGTCCCAGAAGTGATGCTCTTGCCATCCAAGCTTGGTGGCTTTGTGCCGAGCTCGGAGCTAGAGTCAGCCCTCGAATTATCGTCCGAAGGTGTCTGGCTGATCACGACCTTGTTGGGCGTCGATATAGAGCTGGCCAACGGAACGTCGATAGAGACATCTGATGTCTTGGTCCCGAGCTTCAAATCTCTGAGTCCGTCGACGATATTGTCCTGGGAAGCTTTTCCCTCGTCGCCAGTCCTTTCCGCAGACTGGGATGGGTGTACATCACTCTGGATCGAGACAGAGGCAGAGCCAGATGTTGTGGTCGCTGGCGCAGTAGCGGCGGGGGCCACCATGATCGGGACCGCAACCTTATCTCGGGCGGTCACCGGTGCGTTTGCTTTCGTAGCAGTTGCCATGGTAGCTGAGTCTTTGGATGCCGACGCAGCTGCAACCTGGATAGCACAAGTCAGACACAGTCTTTGAGGCGCAACGCTGGGACCAAGGTGAAGAAAGCCCACGTACCTTTGCGAAAGAGAGTTTGACGTCGTTGCCCATGGATTGGAACGTCGCCATGGCTTTTGCGGTGTAAGGGATGGCAGTGCGGATGTTACAAAGAGTCGCGCAAGCAGCCGAGAGTGCCTCTATGTATGTATGTTTGTCCGGTGAAGAGCAGAGCGGGTCGAAAGAGAGAACGCGCTCGGCAGGTCAGATCCGGTAGAGGAATTCGATGATGTAGCTTTTTGATGGGACGAAATCCAGGTGAATCAAGAAACGAAACGGATCAAAGCGGCGCAAAGCGAAAGAAGAGTGCCGGTGATCATTGTATTCGGGAGTGTTGTCTATTGTCCGCTGTGAATGCGCAAATGCTGAAGCCAGTGCCAAAGTCGAATCCTGGACCTCCTCTGCCTTGTTGCTTGTGTCGTGCCTCTTTTTTTGTCTTTGCTTTCTTTCCGCCTGGGGCCTGTCGGGTTGGGGTTCCAGTTGCAGGTACAATGAAAAGGCTGAAATCCAAAATCGCGGGCCGGGAAGTGGAAGCGGACTAAAGTCGACGACGCCCTAACTCCCAGAAAACAGCAAAGTTGTCTGGAAAGGGTGCCGCCACGGTTGGGCGGATGGACCTTTGGTGGTTGATGGGGAAGAGGAGGGGTGTGGTGTTGTTTCCCGTTTGTGTGGGTTTGGTTTGTGAGATAAAGTGGTAAAGTCGATTAAAAGTGGTGGTTGCCCGAAGTAATCCATCGCCGGGAGCCTCCTCCTCTGGTAGCCGTGGGTCGGTCTGCATGTTGCAGGTACGGGTAGGGGACCGCCTGCCGTGGGCCACACCGTGGGCCTGTTGGCCTGGTTTCTAGCGGTGTCAAAATCCAATCCTCCATTCCGCGGGAGCAAACGTGCTGTGTGTGTACCTTCGACCTCAGGACCCTTACGATACGGTACCTTACCTTGAATACTCCACCCATCTGGCATAAATTCGACGGCGTTCCTGAGCATAGGAGCTCTACCGCTAGATATTCACAAAAACAAAGCATAGCAGTTTAAAGAGGGTTGACGGGCAGTATGACAAGATGAGGGGAATGAACGGGAGGGAACTGTTTGGGAGGGGCTCAATGGTATCTTGGCTGCAAACATAGACATGACTTGTGGCCATGATTTCATGATTTGAAGTTTACGTTACGAAGCCGGCAGAGACGGACACTCCGAATTTCAACCATACTTCAAAAACATGACAACACGAGAACTCGAAGATAGATTGTCTCACACAGAGAGCTGTCTTTTATCCCCTTCATTTTAGGTCTGCGTTGAAGGGATTGGAGGACACGGAGCGGCCCCCAAAAAAGCAAACCAGTGCCAGATGCTCCCATCATCACTGCCCGCCTCGGTGCACTGTGCCGCAACGGAATGCTTCATCTTGGCAACGTCACGTGCTCCTACTTGTCGCTCGACAACACAACGAACTTGGTGCTTGGACCTCTCAACTGTCAATTTCACCGCCGACACCTTGTATCCAACCCACCAATCAACCTTCGAATCTCATTCACCACTGGAACTTATCACCAAGTTCAACTTAGCCAGACACTATCAACTAACGCCATCCTCAATCATCAAAACCATCAAGAAGCGGCTTCACGTCTTGAATCGACCACTTCACTCAAGTTTGACCGAAATCATTTAACAAGCAACGACCTCTAAATCGAACGGCACCCCGACCTGGTTGGCGCTGCATTCACTTCAGAACCGTTGTAATTTCAAGAAACGGGAGGTGGACGAGGATAGTTCACCTTAATTTTGCATAAAGCTTCAATTTCCAGGGGCTAGCCACATTCCAACAACCCTTCGAGTTATCGCCATGTATCGAGGACGCAATATACCGTCCAAGTCAACTCCGTCAGCCGTCCAATGCCAGAAATGCCTAAAGAGAGATAAGTGTTCCCTCTACTTCAATAACACATGTATAACACGCAGCTGACATTCCTAGAACGCCACTATTCGTACGAGTGTAAAGCCTCAGCTGCGGAACGGCCCTATATCCCGAGGCCGTCGCGCACCCAGCAGCTCTTTAACCCCAAGCTGTTGCCCAAGCTTACTAGTGCCGTGCCGCCTCAGGACAAGAAAGGCGTGGCCGACGAGATTCTAGCCCAGAGGGAGGCTGAGCGAGCCAAGAAGAAGGAGCTCGAAAGGGATGACGAGTCGCCATCCAGATATGTGAGCCCAAGGAGAAGCAGAAGCAGATCAGCTTCGGTCGATTCGGTATCGACCATCTCCACACGATCCCCATCCCCAAGGCCTTCTCGCCATTCTAGGTCACCCCCACGGAGAGCGCATGCCCAAGACTTTTTTGAGCCGCCGCCCAAGGCGCCTTCGGCTCGCCAACGCTCAGTCGACTCTCGGGATCGGTATTCTAGCCGCAGGTCAGAGAGCCCCGTCAAACACTCATCGCGGAAAGGATCACCGCCTCCTCGCCGTCGTTCCCCGTCGCCCCGCCGTGAGCGCGGACGTGAACGCGGGCGTGGCTCCGGGAGGGCAAGGCCATCCAGGCGCGACTATTCCGTTTCCGAGTCCAGGTCCAGGTCACCAGTCCGCTCACCGGTTAGGCGGGATAGCAAGGGAGAGAACCACAGGGCAGGAGGATACTACCGGGACAGGGCGTCGCCGCAACGACCTCCAAAGCGTGAACCGTCTCCCCCGCCACCGCCGCGCGAGCGGAGTCTCAGCCCTTTCAGCAAGAGATTAGCGTTGACACAGTCTATGAATATGGGTAGATAGGATTTGCGGTGTTGGGTATCAAAGTAAAGATAGCATACTTTCTCTGTAAAACAAAATCATGACAGTTTCCTCCCTCTTGAGCTCTGGGAGCACATCTCGTCCTGGCCCTCGTCTTCGTCCTCGTTCTTTTTCGTCCTGTCGGCCCTCTCGGTTTCCCATCTTATTTTGACTTTGAATCTCAACCTGCGTCAAGTTCCAAACTCCTCACGCCGCCAACTCGGCCTCCTCCAACTCCCTCTCCCTCCTCTCCTCCTCCGCTTCCTCCCTCTCCCTCAACTTCATCCCCTCCACCAGCGCCGTGCCCTCCAGCATACCGGCCTCCTCCTCCTCCTCTTTACCGCCCACCGTCTTATCCTCCACGGCCGCCTTCTTCTTCGCCGCCAGCCGCTCCCTCACCATGCGCGCAATCGCATTGTCCGTCCGCACGTTCAGCACCTCCATCTTCTGGTTCAGCTCCCGCTTCAGGTCCCAGTTGGGCTTCTTGGGCTGCAGCTTGAACAGGTCGATGCCCTTATTTTCTTGGGCTGCTTGCGCGTCCAAAGCCGCCTGCCGCTGCGCTTCCTCCTCGATGTCGGCTGCTTGCTCTTCTAGTGTCGGCTTCTCGAGCGTCAGCGTGGGAGGCGCTTCGAAGCCGAGTTTGGGGCCGCGCGTTTCGAAGTCGAAGTTGCGCCCGGAGAGGTGGAGGCGGGCTACGTCGGTTGTTGGGGCGCCGTCGTTGGAGTCGGCTGTGGGTTCTTGCTGGTTGTCGTTATTGTTGTTGTTGTTGTTGTTGTTGTTGTTGGTTTGGGAATCATGATGGGACTCTTCGTCGTCGAAGGAGGCCGGCTCGGGTTCTTTGCGCTTCAAGGTCTTGAGCTTGGCTAGACGGGCCTTGCGGTCGTCGGCGGCGGCTGAGAGGGTCGCGTGGGATGACATTATTGGGCTGGGTTATTTTTATATGTATTATTGTCGAGGTGTTGTGTTGCGTTTTTGCAACTCGGATCTTGAAGAGAATACGCTGGACTGGACTGTTGTGACTTGCTGGGATGCCGTCAGTGGATGGAGTGAGGTTCTGAAGCTGTGGATCTCAGGCAGTGGGACGCGCTCCGCGTGGGGTTCCCGGGGACGCTGTTAAGCACGGACCTCGCTAAAGCTTAGCGCCTGCCGTCCCGTTATACCCCTGACGTTATAGCGCGGTACATAACAAGCGCATAGCGCGAGATAGATCGTCCAGTCACCCGCGCATTTTATCACCGAATTGCTATCCCGTCAAAAATTTGGAAGTGCAACATGGATTTATCCCAAACGTCATAAGCGACACTCGACGACATCGCAACCTGACTCTGGTAGTCGAACCCCAAAACCACGCACGACACATAATGCCATCCTACGCTCCGTCATAAGACATCGTTTCTACCTACGGCACTGGGAACCATGCAACAGACGCCATTCATTTGCCGGTCATGTCTCTCCAACATCCGACGACAAGGCGACCCGCTTCAGCTCCGGCTTCCCCTCCGTCCCCGGCCGCTCATGCGTCCAGCCAGCTCTCTCGCGCCCTCGCCGCACGCCCAACACTCATCTGATAGCCATGCGACCGGACCCGATCAGTTCCCGGTGCCCTCGAGCCAGACGAACCCAGGTACCAAGTCGGGCGGAAAGAAGCGCACATCCTCGAAACAACCCAGACCATTGAAAGGATGGGCCAACAAGTGGAAAAAGGACCGAAGCGTCATTTGGAAAAACGTCAGCAAGAGCGCCTATCAAAGCAGCATATTAGAGTATTCCCGTTGGAAGCACAAGTTCAGCCATATATGGAACAGGAGAGACTTGGATAAGAAACGGAGGGACAGATACCGAGACATCGCCCTGCAGTCAGGGCGCCCTGAGCTTTACATAATACAGGATCTACTCTGCCAGAGGGATGTCAACCACATGCGGCAAGCCTGGCAGCTCATACCCGAGGAGAGTCGAGCAAAGCTCTGGCGCCCGGTTATGCTCAACACTCTCCGTTGGTTCCCCGACCAAGCCCCCGACATCTTCCGGGCCATCTTTGCACAAGACGGATCGAACTTCTACACTGTCGTCGACAGTTTTCTCTACATGACCGACTATCTACAGAGGCTACAAGAGCCTTTACAGTCGGAATACGGGAGGGCCGTTGCTGGGGCCTTGCTTCATTGCTACCACAACACTTCGAAGCGCTACATCTGCCTACGACAAAATACCATCTACCATATTCTTAGGCACGCAACGACGGAGCAGGTCTACGAGCTACTCATGGCCATCAAAGAATACCGGCAGCCATTACATGTCAACACGAAGCAACATTTTGTATGGTACTTGGCAAAGGAGCCAAAATACAAGCCGGCGGCTGCTGATCTACTGCGTGAGATGATTCGGGATGGACAGCTGGATGTCAACGGGCTGCATTGCGCCGCTCTGGCTACCGCCATCCTGACCTTTCCAAAGATCACAGCGGGAAGTAAAGAGAACGACGAGAGCCTCCCAACGCTCCGCTCGCAACTAAACCAAGAGCTTCTGGACTTCGGACTTCAGCCCAACATCATCCACTACACAACTATTGTCAGGAACCTTTGCGATAACAACGAACTGGGAACTGTGTGGCAGGTCTACGACCTGATGACCAGTCAGGGAGTCCAGCCAGATCTCATTTTCTATTCCCAGCTGTTGCACGGAGCTACGCTAGCAAATGACCACCCGAGTTTCCGCCGCATACTCGAGCTTTTGCCAGGTGAAGCGTCACAAGATCCCGTCATCATCAACGGTATCCTCACCTTTATTCATACTACAACGGTCTGGGAGCTCCGAAAGCGGAAGATGAAGCCACCAGTTCCCATTCCAAGCTTCGAGTACATGTTCAAGACGTACTCCAAGCTATTCGACCTTGGTCCTTTGCAAGCCCTGTTGAATATCGACCTACAAAACTACACCGCAGAAATCCACCAGCGAGAACTCGATGGAATGGCCCCTTCATGGGCCGGCTGGCAGAGTATGCGATCGCTCAGGAACACCCTGACCCTCATACCCGAACTCGAGGCCGAAGCCCGTATCCAACCAGGCAACGACACGCTCAACATCATGGTGACCTCCTTCATCCGCAACTTCTCCCAGCCCTACAGTCTGATCGAGTTCTACTCCAACTTCCGCAACCGGCTCAAGCAGGGCGACCCGACCATCCTCGCCTTCGTCGCCTCCAAGGGCACCCAGATCCACGACACCGTCATCAAGGCCATCCTCGAATGGCAAGGCACCAACATGGCCCTCGTCGCCCTCGACATCGTCAGCGACATGCTCAAGGACGCCGCCGCTTCCCGCGCGCTCTTCGACGCCGACCCGCACAAACCCGACCTGGAACCCCGCCACCCGGCCCCGAGCGTCTACACCTGGTCCGTCCTACTGCACGGCTTCATGCACCGGCGCGAGCACCGCGAGCAGGGCGATCGCATCTTCAAGATGATGCGCGACCACGGCGTCCAGGCCAACCGCGTGACTTGGAACACCCTGATTGCCGGCCACGCCCGGCTGCAGGCCGTGGGCAAGACGGCGTCGGCGCTGCAGCGCATGGAGGCTGCGGCATATAAGCCTGATCGGTTCACGTTGAGGGCATTCGGATACTTGCTCAATCGCGAGGCTGCATTGCAGATGATGCAGAGGTTGGACGATAAGAAGAAGAGGAGGCAGGCGGCGTTTGTGGCCAAGTTGGCGGAGGCGGCGGCCAGGGACGAGAACTCTGAGGAGATACCGGAGGTGCCTGACTGGATTGCCGCGCAGGATGAGTATAGGATGATGGAGGAGCAGTTGAGGGATATTAGCCAGAGTGTCGTGGTTGAAGAGTCGCTGGCTGAAGGGGGAGAGGAGCGGAAGGTGGTCAAGGCGGCCGAGGAGGACTGGGAGGAGACGGCGGGGGAGATTGAAGGGTTGGAAGCGTACAGGGCAAGAAATGTTGCGAGTGCATAAGTAACATGTGATGCATGACTCGGTTACGGGCATGTATATGTACAACTAGGTGTCGGCAGCATGTACGACTTGCAGATGTGGGAGTCGGAGGTCGGAGTTGTACAACATATTTTGGAAACACATGACACGAATAACAGTATGTACATATCGGTTTCGCTCTCCTCAAAACTTGCCCAACTACCCTGAAATTCCGCAGTACTCGGCTTCCAGATGACGCAGAAAACACAATCTCATGTCGGGAAGCTCGGAATCGCTTTCAGGTAGGGTTATTAGCTGTACTCTGTAGGGTTTGGTACACACAGAGCAGCGTACATATGCCAACCAAACTGACGGTAACTTCGTGATGCAAGATTCTTAAGAGTGTCTTGTGAGTCTAGCACTAAAGCCTAGATACATGAATGCTTGAAGTGCTCTAGACTATGATATTGCCTCCTTGACGATTCGGCCACAGGGGCCTGCCAGAACTCCAATAGCCACTTTCGCTGTTCGGGTGTTATCCCGTCCTCCGAGCATTGCTCTTCACCGGAACAACGAGCGAAGAAGCATCCATCCCACTCGAACAGTATTTGCCGTCCATTGAAGGACTAGCACTGCCCGTCTACGACCAAATCAGCCGAGAGGGAGGTACCTCTACATATATAATCTCCCCAACCCGAAAAAAAAGAAGAAAGAAAAAGCCTACATACACTAGGGAATGACAACCTGCTCTACAACAACATGATACCTATCACCCCCAGATGATTCGGCCGCAGGGGCCCGCCGGATTCCTCCAATAGCCACTTCGCTGTCCAAGTGACATCCCGTCCTCCCAAGCACTGCTCTCCATCCGAGCAACAATCGAAAAAGCAAGTTCCACCCAAACAACTACCTCGTGCCCATTGAAGGACTAGCACTGCCCGTCTACGACCAAATCAGCCGTGAGGAAGATATGGACACAGTGTAAAAGTAAAATCAAAAAGTGCCTACAAAGGCCGAAAGATATAATCCCAACACCGAATAAAGCATACGCTAGATAAATAAACAAACAAATTGCTTTTGAAGATGATACTGTACCTATCACTCTGGATGATTTGGGCGCAGGGACAGCCTAGGAGCGCGAGAAACCCCAATGACCGCTTTGTTGTCGTGGTGGATACATACCGTCCTCACGAGAATTGCTCTTCGTCCGAACAATAATCGAAGAAATAGTAGAGTGTTCCACCCAAACAACATCTCGCGTTCAGTGAAGTTTCTGGCGCTGGGGATCCTAGCACTGCCCGTCTACGACCAAATCAGCCGAGGGAAGATACACTCAGCAAAATTTTGACAAAACTGAAAGATACAGGGAATCTCCCCAAACCGAAAAAAAAAAAAAGAAAAAAAAGAGAGAGAGAGAGAAAAAGCCTACACTAGGTAAATGAATGAACTGCTCAAGAATATGAGATTACCTCCTTGATGATTCGGCCGCAGCGGCCTGCCGGACCTCCAATAGCCACTTTCGCTGTACCCAAGTGACAGACATCCCGTCCAGTCCTGCAAGCACTGCTCTTCATCCGAGCAACAATCGAAAAAGAAAAAAAAACATCCAAACCACCCGAACACACACGCCTTGCGTCCATTGAAGGACTAGCACTGCCCGTCTACGACCAAATCAGTCGAGATGGGGGGAAAAATCACATACCGTCTCAGTCCATCCGGTAGTGTAGCTTCTAATGACAGAAAGGAAAAAGGTACAAAGGTAAAAAGGTAAAAAGGTAATAAAAAAAAAAAAAAAAAAAAAAAAAAAAAAAAAAAAAAAAAGGTTTAAGGTTTAAGGTTTTTTTTTTTTTGGTGATAAAGGCGCCCAGCCTTGTATCGTAACTTGAGATTGGCCAGGAGTCTGGCCCTTCTCTCCCTTCCAGTGTCTCTCGCCCGTTCTTTGGCCTTACGCTTCATAACGACGAGACAAGCGAGAGCCCTTTCTCGCTGAACACTGGAGGGGCCGTGCCGGCCGGACGGCGAAGTAGGTAGCCCTGACGCGCTCGGCCTGTGGCGCGGCGGTTGTCATCGTCAGAGTCCTTGTCTTCGCAATCCAAAGACTGTTACCAGTGCCGGCACCATTATGCTTGTGCATCTTCTTAGGAACAGGAGGAAGGTGAGAATGTATACCATCGTGAGGCTGGCGTGGATTTTGATGAGGTCGATAACAAGCACCCGTGGATGTTGTGCAGGACGAAACAACGACATTGAGAGACTGTCCGGATGAATGAGCCATGTTGTTTGGCAAAACAACTGAGCTCGAGAAAGTCGTACGCAAGATGCGGGCGACTCATTTGAATTTCGAAAAACTCAAGGCGCAATGGCCAAGGGGTAGAGGTTGCGGGGATGGGCGAAGATGTGGATCCCAACATCGGTAGAGACGGTATCGGCCCTTTCGCTCGTGCTCGATGGCTTTCATGATATCGAAGATCGAGTAAATCGAGGAGAGGTCGCATGCCGATCCGCTATGCCACGAAGATTGATGCTCGCACCACTCGTCAATCTTGCGAAGGATGGGTTCGTTGACGTTTGGTAGGGAAATGGCCTCGCCAGGCCCGATCTTAACGCTCAAAAAGCCTTGATCGAAATACTCAATGAAGATGGTGCCACCGGCAAGGGCGGCTACGAGATTGACTTCGTACTGGTAAAGGAGGCCGTCATCCTGGGGGTGAAGTCAAGATGGGCTTCTGGTCAACGACCAAAAACAACATCGCCGTGCTAAACAAGGTAGCCCAGCCAATTGTGGTAAATGGTCGGAATTTGACAGCCTGCCTTCAGCAAGATGGCCTGAAGGCAGGTGAATTAGATGAAAAGTTCATGTGGTCGTGGTGACGGTATGAAGGCATACCCTGTCCATGGTTGAAGGCATCTTTTCCATAGTTAGCCCTCGCTCCATCCTGATGCAGTGGGACAGAAGAATACTCACTCGATGCTCTTCTTGCGGCTGTCGTTCTATTGAGTAGGAAAATATGAGGTAATCCATGAGTGAACATGGGAAGGAATTGTGATTGAAGACAAGAGAGAAAGGAAAGAGGCAAGAGGGCAGGTAGGAAAGGAGATGGAGAGGAAGGTGAGGGCAGGTGGGACACAGCTGGATGGATCATCCCATATCAACAGGTTATCCCAAGCTTTTTGCTCGAGCAGCCATGTTGGTGGTCCCCAAAAAGCCACAAACCACTGCACACCGTCATCACAACCCCCCAACAACAACAACCCTCTCCTCGACCCTCCTCGCTAACCTCACCACCGGCTCATCCACCCCTCTCCAAAAAACATCCGCCACCCACACCACAAGGGGGACAACCACCAAGCTGGCCAACACGAACCCTGTGACATACTGCCCGTCCGTCTCTGTGCCTGTCACTTGCGTCCAGGTGAATTTCATCACTGTATAACCCAGGGTGTGAAGCACGGGGCCGTGGACGAGGTAAATGGCGTAGGATATTTTGCCTAGGTATTGCGCGATGGAGGATTCGAAGAGGGTTTTGGGGTTAAGAATTGAGGAGAATATGGCGGCGGAGACTGGACTGATGGTGGCGGATCCGGGGCCGGAGCCGTAGGAGGAAGAGTTGGCGGACGAGGGATACCGGGAAACGGAGGAGACGAACAGGACTGCCCCCATGGATTGATAGAAACGGTAGTGTTCTGTCCACCAGTGGGGGATTAGGGAGGTGAGGGTTATCCAGCCTGGGGTGAGGTGGGAGTTTATGTCGGGTTGGGAGAGGAGGTAGAGGGAGATTAGGAGGAGGAGCGCCGGGGAAGGTAGTGAAGCTGTTGTTTCTGAGGGCGGTTGTGGTGATGGTGACCGAGTAGACTCGTATAATGGGTGTGAGATGGAGAGAGCGGTGGAAAGCAGGGGTTCGGAGCCGGAGCGGTGGCGGGTGAATGTCGGGAGGTGCTTTGAAGAGTGGGAATGGGAGAGACAATGAGAAGCCTTGTCCTCGGACCCAACGATGCTCATATCCGAGGACATATCCCGGCCTTCTGCCGTTGTCTCTTGCTGGTGTGGCTGGGGATGACGTCGCTGCCGATGCCGCTGCTGTTGCAGCATCACGTCTCCCGTCCTCGCCAACACCGGCTTAACAACCGGCAACACGCCTCCTCCTCCGCTCCTCTCCGCGGGGAAACCTCCCGGAACCCTTCCCTCTTTCTCCCCTCTCGTCTCCATCTCCCTAACCACGTCACCATCCGCCAAAAGCAACCCCATCCAAAACAAACACATCTCCCATCTCTCCCACAAAAACGCAAACCCACACCACCCCAGCACCACTCCCCTCCTGACCCGCCTCGTCAACCTCGCCGTCCCCAGAATCGTCAAAAATAACACCATCGAAGCCCGAAACTCTACGGGAATCGTCCACAAATGGACGTCAATCCCCGTCGACCCCGCAAACTCATCCCAATCCCACAGGTGCACAAAGTTGAGCACGGCATATCCCCAGTCGACAAACTGCTCGGTGGCAGAATCGAATCGCTCGTAGTGAATCTCCTGGACGTTTCTCAGGAAATTCTCGTCGGACGCGAAGTCACGGTTCCATTCGTAGGCTCCGAGTCGGAGAAGGAGAACGATGAGGAAGGTCGAGATGGCCGGCGGCAGGAAGAGCCGGAGGCCGCGGCGGAAGACGAGTGAGGAGAGGGTTTCGAGGAGTTTGGAGTAATTGTGATTGTGCTCGTTGGTACGAACTGAAGTGGAAGAAGATGATGAATTTGATGATGGCAAAGAAGCCGAGTGGATAAGTTTGAGCGGTTTCAAACATAATGCGTAGCCGGAGATGACGAAGAAGATACAAACCATCGGAGGGCCTGAGTAAAAGAGCCGGATGATGGGAAGCTTGAGGAAACGGTAGTTGCTTCCACCTGAGCCCCAGCCTTCGGCGATGACAAAGCATGTGTAGAAGTAGTGGCAGAGGAAGACGGAGAATGCGGCGATGCCACGCATGCCGTCCAGATACGCCGTTGGGCTTAGAGCCCGAGGTTTCTCGCCTTCTTGTCCTCTCTGGGCCCCTTTCTTCTGGTTTCCTGGTGATGTGAAACGAAAGGGGGTCCGTCCCCGTATACGAGACTGAAGAAAGCTCGGGAGAAGGAAGAATGCTGAGCGGAGCAAAAGAGGACGTATTGAAGGGGATAAATAAGAGACACGATGCCTCGGATTCCGGGAAAAGAAGTCGATGTTAAGTCTGGGTAACCAGCCAAATATGATGGAGTGGCGGCGCCGTTGACGTCGAGGCGCCCTCTCGAGTTCTTGTTCCCCATGGCCGGGGTTAGACTCGATATCGGGAAAGAGAGCTTTGTCTGTGTCGATATCCAGACCCACGTTTAATGTCTCCTCGGCAGATGGATTATGCATGACTGCTCATCATTGGAGACGTTCAAGGAGCCAAACCACTTATGACCCAGTTAAGAAAGCTTCAAGCCCTTTGTGCCCCGTCTGACCCTTGTTGTCGACCCATCCCCATCCCTGAAATGTCAGTAAGAGAAGAGATGATGGGAAGACAAGACTTGCAATGAAAGGCTCACAAATGGGTCATCGACTCACAATAATCGGCAATGATCAAGGCGAGACATGAAGGGAACTTGGTGAAACTGGGAGCTCCGAGAGGGGAGCACCCAAATCACCAAGCCTGTCGATGGGTCGAGTGCGATGTGGGTGGTGACTTGAGTAGATAGATGTCTGAGTGATGTTGAACGAGTGTGTATTGGGAAGTGCGATGATAAAGAAGAGAAGAGGAAGAACGGAACCCAGTGGACGAGGGGGCTTTATACTCTTTTGAGTAGCACATTTTGCGGTAGGACCAACACGCAGAAATTCTCGCAGTGGCGGAACTACCTGGATGGCGTGCGAACTGGAGGTACTCATGACGCTTCACATCACCTGCCTCGCCGCCTCTGGCATATTTGCATGCACCCCAACATTCCTTACTCCGGCAGAATGTTGGATGCCCGCCAACATTTTCAGGTCCTAATGCTTGAGCTCCTTTTACCCGGGAACGAGTGTTTATGCTCCAGATATCGTTGGGAGAAGGCGACGTTGAGGTTACCAGTCGAACCAGCCTGAACTACGATTACTATATTGTAGCAAGGGGCGTGTTATGTAGGAGTAACGCACTGGATATATGTTTTGTGGTCCCATCCTCTTCCTCTTGAAGATGTCCTTCCAGGTGGTCGATATGCGTACACGTCGTAATGCCCGGAACACATGACCGTTCATACCCAACATGATGCAGAATCTCGTGGAATTGAAAAGAGAATATTGAGGAGAATGCCCTTTTGTCGCTGCATACAGCTCCGAACATGCTGGCAGTCGTACACATGCCTGACCATAGAAATGTTTTTCTTGGAACCGCAATTTAGAATTTCCTGATATTCTTTGGTACCTCCCCAATGCTGCTGAGAACTCCGGGGCACCTGCTTCTGTGGGAAGTACCGTAGGATTTCGAGTGATTCGTATATCGGGTCTGTAGGGCGGAAAGACCCCAGGAATCTGCCGGTCGTGCTTGAAGTGCTTAATGTGCATCAGAGTGGCCTTATAGCCCTGCAGGTTCATATGTGAGGTTCGGAGTTCTTCGAAATTATAGTCGTACTGCCGCTGCGCCGCTATTTTCACATGCAATGACCAAGTCAACGATGATTCTTCGGCATTCTTGGAGAGATCTGTCACCACAAGGCAGCAGGATTAGGTGGCGTTAAGCAGAACGAGCCTCTTGCCGAAACGGGGAATAAGCAGGAACCGGGAGATGTCCAGTATATCATGATGCCCCCATTCAACGATGCGGGCATGTATGCGGCATGGGCATTGCACTGCACTTCTGGGGAAAAAAAAAAAAAAAAAAAAAAAAAAAAAAAAAAAAATCCTGTCAGTGCCTCGGGTTGTGAACACGTGCTCAACAAACGACCCCCATGACCCCCAAATCTCGACACTCTTTCGATTCTCTTCCAACTTCAACCAAACAACAAACTGTGAAGCAGCCAAGTATCGTCAGTAAGCTAGTCAAAGTTCCCATGCTGGTAAAATAGGATAAACGAAGTGGAGTAAGCCAGTAGCAGCCAGGAAAAGGACTTAACTTGATCACCGGATATCTGTCAGTGACAGGTCCCCATTGGTATCGCCACAACAGGGTCTCGAGAACTGTGTCGGTGTTGCGCCGGTAGAGGCTAACGGAGGAGCGGATTAGGACATCAGTCCAAGAACGAAGGAGATGAATGTTGGGGTAGTGTGGTTGTTGTGTAAAAAAAAAGAGTAAAGTAGGGAAATCCCCATCGAAACCACGAGGAGTGTTGGTTATGTCCCGGCCGCACGGTCCATGATTCAACCAGCTCTGTAGTAGGTACCGAAGAATCTGGTGAAATTTGAACCTGATAATTGGGGCAGAATCTTTTTTGTAAATTGTGGCTGCATATAGCTCCTGTTCGCTGGTAGTCGTGCATATGCCTGGCCATAAAAGGAAGATTTTCCCAAATCAGCCCAATCCCCCATTATGGATGTCCCGTGATTCTGCGGGTAGCTACGTTGCTACAAAAAAAAAGCTGTGACAGTCACAGTCTTCCACTTCTTCCTCCTATACTAATAGCCTCCTTGCAACTGAGATCTGTGCACAATGAGATCTATGCTAGATCCACGCATGGAATACGCAAGCAAGGAACCTACACAAAGGCCTCATGTTTGGTTTGTCCTGGGTCCCAGTTAGGACGATCTAGCTTCCTTCGGTAGTCGATCGGTTTGGTTGTTTGACTGCAGGTATCTTGTGTCTTTCTGTGTTTTTTTTTTTTTTTTTTTTTTTTTGGAATGATCTTGTCCTAGACGGCCGATAGAAGACGTGACCCAACTTGACGGAAATGCTGTAACTGTACATCATTCCAGGACGATGTTCCCTTTTCTTGACTTTAAGCTTCCGATTGAATAAACTTCCCTCTGCTTTGTTGGTTCAACTTGTCTTGTCTTTTGGATAATCAGAAGGAGTCGGGCTGTGATTTGATATGATTCCTAACACCCTAGCCAACTGACAGTCCCGGTTATACATACTGCCCCTGGCAGATTTTAGCTTAAGCCTCGTATGGGAAGTTTTGGGGTTGAAGGAGGTACGCAGGATGATGTAGGTCTGCGCTACTCGGAGAACTAATGGCCCGTCGTGGAAAAAGGTGTGGGATGACGTTTTGTTGACATCGAAAGATGGGTTTCCTAAGGGGACCCTTGCACTGCTCATTATGCAAGGAACACATGTATTTCCGACTTTGCGAAAGACAATCAAGGCGTTTTGGTTTTCATGAAAATGTGGAGGGATTGTTCGTCCAGTTCAAAGCTTAGAAAGACGATGCGGAAGTCGTATGAAAGAGGTGCGTTTATTGGTATGTACTCTTTTTAGGTACTCGTGCATCATGACCCATCCCGTCCTGAACTTTTTAACCCTGAGACCCGAATGTAACTCTATAGCCTGGTATAATAAAACATAAGAAACGCCGAAACACCTTGCGCCAGCCATTGCATTGACTCTTGCCCTTATGTTGACAACATCATGTGGAGAGCCAGTCAAGGAATTCGGGGACGAAGTAGCTGATGATGATGGTGGCGCCAGCCCGGAGAATACCCTCGGTGGATTCAAAGGCCATAGCCTTGAGGTCGAAAACACCCGCCTTCGCGGCGGCGTGGATCATGGCGAATTCTCCGCTGACCTGGTAGGCAGCAATGGGCAAGTCCTTTCCGAGCTCCTTGGCGTCACTGATAATGTCCAGGTACTGGCTGGCGGGCTTGACCATGATGATATCGGCACCCTCGTTCATGTCACGAACAATGGCACGGCGAGCCAGACCACGGCCACCGGGAGGCAGCTGGTAGCACTTGCGGTCGCCAAACGAAGGGCATGAGCCGGCAGCGTCACGGAAGGGGCCGTAAAGGCAGCCGGAGAACTTGGCGGCGTACGACATGAGTGTCACACGGTGGACAATACCCTCCTCGATGAGCTTGAGCTTGATGGCACGAATGCGACCGTCGTTCATGTCGGAAGGAGCAACGCAGTGGGCACCGGCCTTGGCATAGGAAAGAGCAACGTCCGAGATACGATCGACCGACAATTGGTTGTTGAGACTACCGTCATCGCGCAAAATACCGCAGTGGCCATGGGAAGTGTATTCGCACAGGCAGACGTCGACAGTGATGTAGAGCTGGGGGAATCTTTGCCTCAGCAGGCGGATGCTGCGGATGACGGGACCCTCCGGATCATCGGCAGCAGTTCCCAGAGCATCCTTGGTACCGGGCTTGAGAGGGACACCGAAGAGCATGACGGAGCGAAGGCCCTTTTGAACGAGCGGCTCGAGGAAGGGAACGAGTCTGTTGATGCCGCGGCGGTATTGGTTCGGGAGAGAAGGGATAAGAACCTCTTCGTCGTCGTTGTCGGAAACGAATAGGGGATAGATGAGCATGGACTGAAGAGGCGATCAGTTAGCAAGGAAGAGTCATCAGACAGACAAGAGGCGATGGGGTGCGCACCTTTGTTAGTTGACGCTCGGCCTGCCACGAGCGGGCAAGAGGATGGGCATAACCGCCATGAAGCTGGCTGGAGATATCGCCGGCGATGCTGACGCTGGTGGCGGCGGTGCTGGCATAGGACATGGCGCGGGAAATGTGGGAAGTGCGAGAAGCGCGGTCGTCCATGGTAGAGACAGAAGCGTCACCGCGGCGCCTGGGCGCATTGGGGTCCCGGAGGGAAAGGTCTTGTACAAGGCTGGAGAAAGACATGGTGTCGTCTGAAGAAGCTGAGCTCGACTGTTGTTCTTGCTGATGAGAGGACAAAAAGTGGTGGTGGTGGTGACGGTTATAAATATGATGCTATGATAAATCGACTGTAGACCTGGCTAATGAAAAGAGTGTATTGGTACTCGGCGCTCAGACAAGATGTCTCGGGGTTGGCGTACAAGGGGACAAGTAGTGCAGTGGCGGCGTGCGGATCCCGAGTATAGCGTGTGATAGCGGGCGGGCAGGACGGGGAACGATAGTGCGACTGGCGGAACTTGCTCAGTGTCTGGACTGCTGTAATCTTCGCTTCTTGGATGCCGTCCCGAGGTTCAAGGTGGAGATGTGTTCCCCTCGAGGTCCCGGATGTGAAGTGTTGGTGTGGTAGAGTGCTTTGGGATATCCGGATAGCCTCTTCAGAATTATGCACTTTGTTCCTCACTTTGGACTTGCCTTTTCCCGCCTCGGCATTCGGAGGAGTGCTTCCCTCTTTCTTTATCCAGCGGCCATTCGCCAATCAGTTCCGAAGGATTTCAAAAAGAGCGGCGAGTGGACCGTGCGTCTACCCCACCACCTCTCGCACGTCCACTCCTCTCAAACATCCGTGCACAAAAAGTTGCCCATTCGATTTTTCGGATCCTGCTGACCTTGCTGACATTCGGGAACAGCCGTTCCCGAACTCATTCACCTGTGCACACAACAACTTTTTGTCATTTGGACCTTCGAAACGAAGGAAGAAAACCAACGAACTCAAGTAAGTTATCAAAAAGACTGTCATGCTGATAGTTTCAAGTGCGGAGATTTTGAATTCAATGTCAGTTTTTCTGTATCTCCTCATTTGGTAGAGGTACAAGCAAATCAAGTCCAAATCTCGAAAAGTTTGGGAACGAAGCGAAGCACGTGCAAGGGGCTACTCTGCTGACATAAGCACTCCATGTCTTTCAACGACAAACGACACAACTCTGCCAAGAACTACGTGATGGTTTGAAGACAACATCAGTTGATCAAGAGCAAGTCATCCTCTCAAGAATCGACCCTCTGGTGCTTTGATGATTCCGGTGAATTAGTGAGCTCCAACTATTTTTTGTTGCACTTTTTCGAGGACTTCTGGATATCCGAGCAGATGATTCCGAGTGACTTCGCTTCCTTCGACGCTCGATAACTCGGGTGGCCGGCGGTTCGGATTCGTCATGAATACAAGGTCTTGAGTCTTTATATTTCAAGATGGCGGGATGCTTCAAACCACCTATGTCATGGGCAGCAGGCAGATTCTCTCGAGGATCTCATGAAACGCCGAGGAATTGCGATTGCTCTCATCCTGCCTTCTTGTTTGTTCAAGTCTATTTATCGCATGGCAAGAGCCATTGCTCGGTAGTTTCACATCTTTGGACTCGGAGGCGAAGCTGTCATTTGATATACGACTGTTTGCATTTTCCTCTGGTTTTTTAACTGGCCAAAGTGCAACTTTTCTTGAACGCCCTTGGCGACGTCACCTACTTTTGTAGGGACTATGTCCGCGACCATCCCGTATACTGTTTGAAGACCTCTCCTGCTGTCGCTATCAAATCGTCCAGAGCCCATCAAATCTCCCTCAACTCAATGTTCTACATCCGATCTTTCTCGTCCTGTCTCGGCCAGCTTGTGTTCATCCTCGAGTGAGTGTCTGTCATCGGATTGGCGATGAGTTCCACTTATTTCACTCTTGATCAGATAAGATGGATGTTTTGTAAGGTACAGTCCCGGCTCACACACTCGGCCATCAAGGTTCCGTCCCAAGAAATTGAACTGTCAGGAAGCCTCGTACCAAAAAGCTCCCTGCATAATGGCTCATGGGATCCCAAGATTGCTCTCGTCACGAGTGGGCATCAAGGAGGAAGGAGCGCAAGTGAAAGTGCAAGTGCGCTGCCGTGACGACCGACCTGAACCAGACCACTTGCCTCGTGGCAACGGAACCCAGGCTTCGCCATCAAAACCCTTCATTTCCTTATCAGATTCAGTTGACAATTTCGGGCCCGAACGCTCTTTCATCTGGAACTTCTACGGCCATGAAACCTGCCCGGAACCCACCACCTTCCTCTAGAGTCCAGCGATTGCCTTTTTTGGTCTGATGTACGACGCCGAACTTCCCCCCGAGTGTTTTCTTGGCTGCAATTTCGAAACATCGTGGCTAATTCCATTTTGCAGGCAGCACTTGCTTTTCAGGTTCATTTCTGCTCCCCTCCTTCCAACTTTCTCCACCACATCTCCACGAACCTTCACCAGCGCCAGCCACTTGCTCATTTCCCGTTGACCCCTTGAGGCATCTTCAACCTCAACCTGGCGCGCGTCGACAATTATCCTTCGCGCAATTGCTCGTCACCTGGTCTACACTAGGCAGGGAGAGCAACATAGTCACGGGAGATTGTAGCGTGTGAGCAACATGCCCCGGCAACGGACCTGATTTTGTAAGTCGCCCCCCATCCCCGCCGCAGCCATCGCCTACTTAACGCCAGCATTGGTGTCCAAATCCTCTATTGACGACGCTGACCTTGTTGCAGTTGAATTGTCCATCCCATTGATCCATATCGTCCGGACAACAGCCAGCAGTGTGCTGTTGCTTCGACCCAAACCTGATCTATTTCGGTGCCCATCTTGGGCCCAGCCACTCCTTCACCACGAACCAAGTTTTCGCTCATCCAATTTCCGGGCCTGAAAACTTTGAAGCAAACACCAACTCGTCGCCTAGCCAACAACGAGAATGAGTTCTACCACGGTAACATACTCCAAGAAAAAATCTCTTCTTTCTTTCATGCACCGCCGTCCTGACACCACAATGCCTTCGCGGGCCAGAACCATGAGCACCGGTACGTCCATTTCTTTCTTCTCTTCAAGACTGCAAACAGCAAGACAAACCCGACAAACAGCCTTTCTATCTTGCGCATTCGCTGTCACGATGCTCAAAGGTCTTGTTCTAACCACGCTTGCAGTATCCATTGACCCCTCCCACCAAGAAGATCCCACCATCCGTCTCCTGGATATACAGTCTCAAGGGACCAGTCAAGGCACTTCCAACAATTGCAGCCGCAATAGCATCGACGAGATGGCCAGCGCGCTTCTTGAAGATACAACCATGACCTCCGCCATGGAGTCGCCGACTGATCAGGCCCCTCATGTTGCCTCCGATGAGACGGCATGCACCATCACTCGCGTGTATCCGCATCCTATCCATAACACCGGCATAGTTGAAGATGCTGTTGATGATGCTGGAGTGGAGGAGGCGCCCGCCGCCAATCGAAAGATTCGCCAGCGACCAGCTCCTGTCGTGCGACCCTCACCCAGCCTACCCAGAAGGTCGTCGAGACGCCGATCCACTCGCCAGCGACCATCTCCTCCAGCTCCTCCCCGCTGTGACTACGTCAAGGGACTCCCAAAGTCGAGCACCGGCGCTCTGAATCCCCTGGCGATGCACCCGCCTAACAGTAGGATGACCAAGCTGCCCGCATCGGCAACAATGCCGTTGACAAATCTTCACGAACAGCCCAATGCCGCCCCAACGACCTCCAACAGGCCAATAGGTCTTGACGCTTCTGAGATTGCCGAGAAGATCGAAAAGATGTTAGCTGCTACCCAGGCACTCAAGTCAGAGCCACAACCTGCACAACCTACAACCGCCATTCCCTCCAGCAGCACGTCTTCAAAAGTGTCTCGCCTCGTCAAACATAACGGCCTTTTCAGGAAGGTTTCTCATGCGCTTTCCGAACGGCGGCTTTTCCCCAAGAATCAATCCAAGGACGCCAAGGTACAAAGCATCGTGGAAGAGGAGGACGAAGCAGAACTTCTGGCTCCAGGTGGCGTTGCAGGGAAGAGGTCAGGTCTTAAGTCGATCGAACTACGCCTTAATGAGGGTGTGAACTTGAACAAAGACAAGGTTCAGAAGATCTTTGGCGGAAAAGTCCGTCGCAAGCCCGTTTTCATGGAGGGCAAGTCCTTACGCGCTCGTAGGTCGCTGTATGATCCTTTTTCGTCTCCAAGCTCACTCCGACGACCTCTCACCGAGTTCGAAACCCGTCTCCGGGGAGGTTCCATGGACGACTCTGTGCTGCCGCCTCTTTCATCCGAAAATCCATTCGAATCGGAAAGAGTGATGGAGAGCAGCCTGGATTCAATACTCCCGTCTGCTCCCATCGCCTCATCAACACCTCGAAGAGGCTACAAGCGTACTTCGTCGCCCAGCGAGAGTCCTACCAAGAAACCTCGTGGCGGTCTGCGAAGCCGCAGCATCGATTTCGATGCTATTTCTCCCATGGGCCTAGGCCTGGAGAGTGCGCAACCCAAGAAGAATCCCTTGGCTTTGTCTCCGGGACTTGCCAGCATCTTCTCATACGTCCCGGTTGTGGATGACGTCGAGAGAAAAAAACACCCTTCTCCTGCTAAGCGTGACTTGGAGCTCATGACGATCGAGTTCCGCACGCAATATCCGGATGTGCCCTTGGGCCGTGCGGCTGAGCAAGACGAGTTGGACGAGCTTGCTCGTAGTACCCTCCTCTTGCCGGACTACGACGTCGATCGCGAAAACAAGTACCTTCGTCCATCTTGCACCAGCCGCTCCGCCAGCAACCGATCTGGGGAGAGTACGGAGGATGATGAGGGAATGGTACCCTTGCTTAGACCTAGTCGACCCAGGCCGCTTTACACCGCGCCGGTGCGCAAAGCGGTCGTCAAACCTGTCGGCATCACTCGTTCGCGGACAGACTCACAGCTTACCCTCAACCCATACCTCCGTCATATGGAAACTGATGAGCTCCAGATGGGTTCTTCCGCCATGAAGCATGGTTATAGACCTCTTGGCTCACAGGAGGTCTTCTGAGACGATGAGGCCTCATGGTTATGATTACGAGGATTACGTCCTTTGATGCCACGATCTTACGTTTTTTGTTTGGATGTTGTATGATACCCACGGTTCAGCTCGGTCATTTTCTTTTCGGTTTCGCGGTTCTAGAATTTTCTTTTTCAGATGACTATTCCCCCGGCATGGTGGTTGCGGTCGTCTTTTTCTTCAACTTAGGAATGGTTTAATGGTCATTAACTGGGTTACTAGTTTGTCGGAGTACCTAGGTTGGAAGCAAGGAATTGGGACATTGGCGTTTTTGTTTCAAAAAGCACATAGACTGCACTGCGATCTACATTTCCTATATCGTTCGTGTGAAGTCTTTTTCGGTTTCTCTGGTTGATTCACATACCTACAGCCTCACTTTATTATACACTTAGTTTGGTCACTTAAACTTAGCATAAGAACCATCCACTCTAATACATAATAAACATCCATGGTAGCAACCACATTTGGTGAGAGTGATATTGATTAAGGAGTGCAGTGTCTTGATTTCGTTGGCAATAACTCATATCTTGCGCATCTCTAACCTCACAATCCATCGTCCATAACCATACATTATGTGAGCTTTATGTGTGCATTGGGGTATCTTGCCTAGAGGTACATCCAACTCTACATCGCTTAACCTATCCATCGACACAAAGAACAGAAAGGAAACAAACAAATAAACATGGCCGAATAAGCAGTACAAATAATCTTACACCCCTTCTCCACTCAACACCGTTTCCCCCTAGTAGTGTCTCCTCCGCCCCCGTCCATCCGTCCCCCGCATCCTCCTCGTCCCCGCAGCCTTCTGTCCCGGCCGTCCCGTAATGCTCCCCTTAATCTTCATCAGCGCTCCACTGATCTTATCACCGATACTCGTCTTGCGCTTTTGATGGTGATGCACAGCGGCTGTGGTGCCCATGGCGGCGGCAGCGGGGGCGGCCATGCCGTGTCCGTGCTTCTTGCGCCGTCCGTAGCCGCCGTAGCCCCGGCGACGACCGGTAGTGTGGGTGGTGGTCATGGGGGTTGTGTGGTGGGTTGTGTGGGGAGTGGTGGTGGTCATGGGAGTGTGATGGCGACGACGGCCGAATAAGCTGGAGCCCATGGACATGGGGCGGGTGGAACGGGTTGTGTGGGTTGTGTGCGTGCCGTGGGTGGGACCGACTGTGGTGGTTACTGGGGCGTGGGCGCGACGGCGGCCGAACATTTTGATTGTGTTATTTGGTTGGTGTTGTTGTGGTTTTGGTTCTGGTTTTGGTTTGGGGTTGTTGATGAAGTAGTGGTTGAGTGTTGACTCTTGTTACTTTGATTTGTAGATGGGAGTAGTGGTTGAGTGTTGACTCTTGTTGTTCGGTTTGAAGTCTTGGGTATAGCTTGATTTGAATGTGTAAAGCTAGCTTGCTTTGATGATGCTGATGCTGATGGAATGAAACTAGATGTGGAAAGAGTCAAGCAAGACGGGGAGTTATATACCTGATGATTTGGGTCCGAAGTTGGTCACTTTTGGTTTGGTTGTCAAATCGGACGTCATCCCCTTCTGTGGTGGTCATGAGGTTCTCGAAGATCCCGTCTGCCCGTCGAGCGCCATCCGGTTCTTCTTTTTCGTTGATTGTCGTCCCGCTGTTACACAGCATTTTTCGTCTTTGCTCACCCACTTCGGCATACGTAGCCACACATTTCTTGCACACCTCCTACGTAGCCACACATCATGATATGACGACGAAAGGCAGTTCAACCAACGGATACCACTGCACGAAGTGATATCCAATACCCAATACCCAACGAGCCAACGTCACCAGCCACACCTGACATTCCTTGGCCACACTTGCCTTTCCCTTGGCTTCCCTCTTGGCTTGGCCGACATGCCGTGAGAATGACATCAAAAGCAATGAAGGAGTTGGTGTGGTCTCCAATTTAACGGACTTAGAGGAGGCCATAGCCGACTTGGCTTTTCGTGCCTAGCATCTCTAGCATCCTATCTTGAGCCTATCAAGCATGTTTCTTGAAGGCGTGGTCGTGGTGTGGATGGACCCTTGACGTTCGTCAGGGCCCTTAAACCTGCACCTGCACCTGTACTGAACTGACCTGCGCTTGCACCTGCGCCTGTCCGTTTGACATGCCATGCAGAAGCTATAGGTGCTGTCAGGGAAAAGGCTTGTGTCAATTGAATTGATTGGTAGAAGAAGATGAAGATGAGGAGGAAAATTAGAACCTCTAGAAGCTTGGGGCGGCCAGTCTTAAATATATGGGAATCCGTCCCCAACTATCCTTCCTGTCAGGCCTTACTAGGTACTTGACTTCCTTGTGTGCCTGGCTGCCTTCCATTCTGAATAACCTCTTCCTTCCTGTCTTCGTAGGCTCCTTCTATATATATATTGATGCCTTCCTTCTAGAGGGCTATATGCGGGGTAAGTGCTATGTGGTACGGGCCCGTCGGTCAGGGGTCGGTGCCGAGTCCTGACAGGTGCCCCGTCCCACATCCATTATCGCGCAGTTCAAAGACAGACGTTGAAAGTTGTGGGTAGGGGTCCAAGTTCCAACAATCCATCCCATTTCCCACACGCATCCCACGTTGCACGCTAACGTCAGTGGCGTCATCCCGCCTGAGTCCATTGGTTGCCCTATAACCAAGCGAAGCCAAGCCCCCTCTTTCAGGGAATTCAGGGTCCAACAGGGGTGTGCACGTTGTAAGCGCTGTGGCCAATAGCGGGGGATTACTGGGAGAGTTAAACCTGTTTGGGCTCAAATCGAGGGTGATGTCACTTTGAAGGACGAGATGAAGTTAAGGTGAAATTGTGGTGAGGTGACGGTGGCAGTGAAGATAGAGTGGTATGTGAGAAGAAAGAAGGAGAGATGGGATGAACACCGCGGAGTTGGCTCCGGATGAACCAAGATGGGATGACGGAGGGAAAGTGCTAAATTTAGGTTTGACACTTCCCTCAGGTCTTGGGCTTGAATCGGGGAGTATTGCTTGCCCCGGTGTTCCATCAATTACCTCTATACATTACTTTCTGTTCTCTCCTGTCGCGCCAATGCAATGTCCAACTGTCAGTTGCGCGGTACCTACATCAAAGACCAACGCATCAAAATCCATGCCCTCTAAATACTTCGGCGCTTCAATGCTTCAATCCTTTCCCATACGCCCAAACCCACATCTGTAACTGCACCTCACTCGTACCTACATCTCGCTTGCGCCTACACCTCACCTTCACCTAGGAATACCTACACACCTTACTCCCCCCTCAAAACCCTCCCAATCCTCTCCACCTCCCCCTCACTCATCCCCAACTCCCCCCTCACATAGCCCTCCCACCCTCCATAAACCCTCTTAACCTCCCTCACAAAAGCCCCCCAACACTCCCTCCGCAAAGACACCAGATTCCCAAACCCCGGCTCCTCCACACTCTTCACCCCAGCCCCCTTCATCGCGATCCCCAAAAGTTGCGCCCTCGCCATCTCCGTCCCAATCCGACTCAACATCCAATCCATCTCCACATCCTCCTCACTCACCCCCGCCAAACTAAGTAGTAGTCCAGCAACCACACCCGTCCGATCCCTCCCCGCCGTGCAGTGGAATAATATCGGCTCTTTCGGAGCATCCAATAAACTGCGCAACAAAGCACCAATAACCTCCTTATACCCCCCCAAAACATCCATATACATCTTCACATACCCCCTTTCCCCTTTGCCCTCGAGGAAATCAGCCAGATTAACAGTCGCCTCGCGCTCCGCCGTGGCTTCCGCGCCGCCGATCCAAAAGTTTTGTACCCCCGCAATCTCCGGGTCGGGAGCATGACTGTGTTCCCTTACGGAGCGGATGTCGAAGATCTTTTTGATGCCGAGTTGGGTGGCCAGTTGCGTCTTGGCGGCGTCGTTGAAGCCGCCGTTGGGGAAGAAGCCGCCTGAGCGGTAGATGAGGCCTGGGCGGATTCCGACTTTGCGGCCTTTTTGGGGGTTGGGAGAATTGGTGAGGGGGAGGAGACCGAGGTCGCGGGTGTTGAAAGTGCCGGGGATGTAGAGGAAGGGCGGCGAGGCGAGGGCGGCGAAGATGGATTCTTTGGGGATGGGTTTTGTTACGTCTGTTTCGGAGAGGGCGATGAGATCGGCTTTGGAGAGGGTTGGGAGGGCCATCTTGATGAGTTGGTTGTTGGTGATGTTTGTGATGTGAGTAGTGAGAGGTGAGTCGATACACTATACGTAGGCACCGCGCCGCCGGGAATCTTCTGTGATTTATAGGTATGCAAGGTACGTAAGTTCTCACGACGGAGAGTAACACTGAGGAGGGAAAAGACACGAGGCTCTGGGATTTTAATTCTTATCATTCAGGGGAAGCCTCATGGGTGTCTCACTTTCTCACCGCCAATGATAGCAAACGCAGATCACGGAGGGAGGGAAGCGCGGGATGTTATTGAGGTCCTCACCAACCCCGCTCCTTCCCCACATTCTCGGGACGGAAGCCGGATACTAACCTCATACGGAAACAAGTAAACAAACCAACCCATGATCCCCTGAAAAGTGGAGCACCCATCTGATGTCCATCCGAACTCTAGTGTTTGATCATCCGAAAAGAAGTTCGTTCAATATTGCGATTTCCAGAAAAATAGTGTTCTATAGGATAACTCTTAGGATTTTCGTATTCGAGAGCGATAAAGGAATGTTTGCAACCGGCCTACCCGATCAAACTCAAACCCCCGGCCTGACCGAACCAACAACGTTCAAACCTTCTTCCTTGCATGCCCGCTTGGGGGGCCCTCCAAGGGTCCCAATTCCTCCAACTCAATTCTGTCGTTCCCATCCTCTTCCGAAGAAGTGACAAAGTCATCCATGTCCTCATCCTCTTCAGGAACAGGACGCTCAAGCACACTCCCGGTGTCTAGGTCAGAATGTGCTTTGAAGGAGAAACCATCCGATTCACGAGGCACTGTAAGAGTAGGTGTTTGCTTACCAGCCCTCGTTGGTTCAGCATCAAACCGATAAAGACCAAACCTGTTTGGTGACGCTGTATCACCACGACTTGGGCCTGCTTCTTCCGGCTGAAATGGCACACCTCGGTGCTTGTACATCGTGCGTTGGGGTTGACCCTGCTTTCTCCTTCCCCTGCGACTGCTGACTTTTCGGATAATGTTTGTAGTCCTTGCTCCAATTCCAGTGGCATCCTCAACAGCCATACGCGCAGACTCAAGCGCTGCCCGGTTCAGATGTGCGGCCGATTCGTCAATCAGCTTGTTCTTCTTCCGGATCTCGGTCCATCTCGTCATTGCACCCAACTCCAGTATGTTGACTCTTCGGAATTGGCTGGATGGGTTTCCTGGAAGGTGAGGGCGCCAAATCTCCTCATCCGTCATTGTCACTGGAAGGGGCCTCCCAGCCTTGATCTCAATGATGGATTTGCGAATGCTTTCCCGACGAATCTTCTGCCACTTCTCCATCTCGACCGTCTTGGAGCTTGGAATGATTTCAACTGCCTTGAAGCGAACAAGGACTGCAAGCACAAGGACAGTCAGTAGAAACAGCACACCAGCTACAATACCGGTTGCCTCCCGCTGACCTAGGTTTCGCTGTGCTGTTCCGGCTACAGCGGTCGCTAATGCCGCAAGAAGGAAGCCAAAGGTATGGCAGACAGCAAACCCAGCAGCTATCCGCGGGTGTGATGAGTAGTTCGTGCGCTTGGGTTGCTTGTTCGAATAGCCTCTGGGACGGCCAATCATACCCGGGAGTAGGTCCGAACAGTCGAAATTCTCCATGATGAGTCCATTACATTCGGCTACTGCCAGGGCGGATATGGTGCCTATCAGAGTAGCAAAAAGGACAGGAACAGGTACCGGTATGTGGCCTCCAGCTGAAGACACCGTGTATGCCATGCCTAGAACAGGCAAAAGGGTGAGAAATATGGCGCGGCGAAGAAGATGTGACGTCCAGGTGAACTTCTTGTCGAGAAGAGTGTCCATGTTAGACAGCTGAGGGTAGTTCCTGTGGCGGGAGAATATGTTCGCCTTCTGGAAAGGTATTGAAACCAGTGCGCCAATTGAGATCAACGCAACACAAAGGCCAACCAAAGGCGACCTGAGCCTGTAATCCTTGGACGTAAGCGAGCCAAGCAGACAGATAATGAGAATCACCTGCGCGTAGATCCATCCCACATATACGGCCATGACCATAAATCCAGGTTGTCGAAGCATCTCCAGTGATAGCAGAATACCGTGCTAGACTTCCTGCCACCACCAGGTCGGACCATCTTTCACCCGGTGCATCATGACCTCTCCACGAGCAACTCTCCGTGACACCTGTTTACCGTCCTTGACCTCCGCCACAGATCGTCTGAAAGGAGAGCGTCGGACTTCCGGGCAAATAACATTTAGAAGAAGCACGACAGCTATCATCATGATGCTGACGTAGAAGCCCCATGATGGGTTGAGATTGTTGATGATCGCTGCTCCGATCAGGAATCCGATGCCAATGGAGCCAGTAAAGCACCACGTCCACAGTCCCAGCCAAACGCCCATGCCGCCTCCGTGTCTGCGTACGTCGAACTTGTCGACTACCTCCTGATGTGGATTGCCGCTCATGAGCGAGGCTCCAAACAAATCCGTCAGCATGGAGTGGAAGTTCATACTCGCAAACCCAAGAGTGAGCCCCATGAACCCGCGTGAGCCTAGAAGAGCCCATCTCCAAGTGCTCACATATGGTGACCGCCATGTGCTGACGGCAATAGCCTGGGGGAACAATAAAGGCATCGCTAGTATCAAACTTGACAGGATGTACGGTTTCCGGCCGTGCAATAACGGTAAAGGCCAGAAGAAAAAGGTGGGAACGGCCAAGCCCAAGTAGAAGAAGACATTACCCAGGATAGCATAGTGATTGAGATCAGCTATCCAGTACTGGATGGACGGGACAAGACCAGCATAGATGCCGATAACCATACCGATGAACGCAGTGCTCAGACATGCGACTCCGGCAACGAACCTTTTACGGGCAGTAGACCAGTCTCGGGCTACTGGTTGTCGACGGTACGCTCGTGCCAGGCTAAACCCCTGATAGCCACGGAGGCTGACATGAGACCTTCCACGCAGATCAATCCGAGTATCTGGCGTGTCCCTTGATTCTCCTTCCCCCAGACCCCTTGAATCATCACCGTAAGTCCATGAGGCAGCTTGGGATTGCTGTGAACGATTCCAAGTTGATGTGGCTGGCCCATCGAGCCCTTGAAACTAGTCAGTATATCATCCATGAATTTTTCCTACACCAGGTATCTACTAACCTGAAACCGGAACTCCGTGTTTGAGTGATGCACGAACGATTGTAGAATCACTTTCGTCGCCAGGGGTATCCATAGCACCATCAGCCTGCGGTCGCAGCGAACTGACACGGCGTAGAGGCCGTATCGCGCCAAAGCTGCGGTAGCTTCTGAGTCTCGAGGCAACCCTTGGCAGACACCCAGACATTGGCGGTGAGTCAGTACTGGTGGGTGGACTAGCTGGGATTACCGATCTTGATGACTGCTTAGTCCTTAGACCAGCTGGCCCTGGAGCCGGGTCCTGTGCCGGAGGTTCTTCGCCTAGGTCTTCATAGCGAGGGCCACCCAGAGTCGAAAAGCTTGATTTAACCTGGGGTTTCATCAAACTGGATTTTCTCTCCGGAATTTTGACTGCCACGTTCCTACTGCGCATTCCTGGACCTGACCGGTAATGCTTCGGCTCGCGCCTGTTATTGTCATTGCTAGGCTGGATTCCCAAGGCGCTTTCTACAGCGGTCCAGTAGTCAAAGTCGCCAACCTCATTCACCATCGACCCAATCTCGCTGGGAAAGCTCTCGTGTACGCCGGGAGGTGTTGGCACATCGCGGTGCGTGAGCTCGTCAAGCTCATAATAGTCTGGGCACTGGTGGTCAACTTCTCGCTGGGCTGTTGCTGCTGCCAGCTCCATTGCTTCACTGAGAAGGTTCTCCAGGTTATTGACAGTACTCCGGAATTTCATGTCTATGGAGGCACCGGCTGTGGATTTCCTTAGCAGTGCTCGAGGATCCGTAGAGTCGTAGTCATCCAGTAGAGGCTCATGCATTGAATCCTTACGCGGAAGCTCAGTGAACTTCGTCTTGTAAGGCTGCGGTTGCTTGATCAAATCTCGCAGCCAGGCTTTTGTGCGGTTCAAGTTTGCCATGGCTGATGACGTTGCCGCTGGGTCTGAATTATCGTCTGATGGCGTCGAGATGTGTTCGGCTACAGGATAAAGCTTCTCTTCGGGTGCTTTACCGAGAATGGTACGATTCGTGCTTCCCATGAAATTGGGAGAGACGGTCGTACTATCAGCCCTAGGTCGTTGTGGCAAGCCTTGGTTCACGGGCGTGGCATTGTTGGCATCGTTATCACCTTGTATTGACTCCCAGTATGCGACAAGCTCGGATGCTGATCTATGTTTTGCGAACCCGCGAGGCGTTACTGCCTGATTAGTCATGAAATCTCTTGAGCCATCGCCGTCGTTGTATGGCTGCATACTTGGGGTCAAGGAATGGCCAGAATGTCTGTTCATTCGGCTGTCGGTTGAGTTATGGTGACGGAGGGAACCCAGACGGGCTGGACTGACGTTGGAAACGTTGCTTTTCCCATGATGGCGTGTTGTAGCCGCGAGATGATGGCCCGCAACAATCCCTTGAGTTTGTGCATTGTCCATCGGACTCGGATTCCTCGAGGCAATGTAAGTAGCCAAGTCAAGCATTCCCTCCAGATCCGACGACGGAACAACCTTTGGCACTCCCCTTCGCTCGGTGGGGTCGTTTGTGTTGGACTTCGCGAGCTCCGTAACCGTTCGAACTTTTGGTTCCGAACTGTGGCCATGCTGATGATGATAATCTGAAGTAGCTGACAAACCTCGGGACACTTGACCATCGGGGAGTGTATGGTGGACAAAATCACTCCCTGCGGGATCATGGGTTTCGCTCACTTCTATCCATTCTTTGAGTGGGTAGAGATTCTAGCTCTGCTCGGGCGGCACGTTGACATTGTAAGAAGGGCTGGGCGGTTCTTCCTCGTACGTCGCACCATAGAAGTAATCGCGACACGACTCTGGTGGTGACTCAAGATCATGGGGCGAAGGATCGAATGTGACTCGGGAGCTTGCCTTGCGTGGGACTCTAGAACTCGTAGGCGTAGTGTCCGTGGGAGTGAAAGGATCTGTACATTTAAAGGTCAGCAAGTTTCGAGAAAGATACATCATTTCTGTCATACGTTGCCGCGGAGGAATCAGGAACCTCATGTTGCCTGACTTGATGGTTATATTGGGACTTGGCACCGAGTCGAGATGCTCATACTTGGGAATCGAGTCTCGATCCGTCGAAGAGTAACGAGAATGCGAGAAGTTGCTCAGTGCTTCCTGGTAGGCACTGTTACCCCTGGGACTAGAGATAGACATCTCCGGAGAGGGGGCACGTTGGTATGGTGGCGGATCGATGGGCCCAAAGTATGGGTTCGCATCTCGAATGTGGCTCTTTTCGAAGGTAGGCATGGTGGTTTTCCGGGGAACGAACTTATACAGAACGGTGTTGGTCTGGTTCCATTGGAGCCCGGTGTCTCGGGGTGTCGAAGGGGAATTTATCGTGGTTGATATCAAGATTAGGAAATAGGAGTGGTGTTAGGAAGCCCTGGTAAGGAAAAATAGACAACCAGGGATGCCAAGGCCAAATAGGATAGGGATGAAGCTTAGGATAGAGGGTGAAGTGAGTGATGATGCGTTGTTAAGAATATGGAGACATTTGGTAGGTCTCTCCAGGGAGTGGAGCGGAAGATGAAGAACGAAGAGCCAAGAAGAGGAGCAGGCAAAGGGACGACATCTATGAAGACGTGAGCGATGTAAATGAGCCCACAAGTGCGGAAAGAGCGGTATTGTGATGGTGTACTTTAGGGAAGGAGCGAGGCTCGCCGGATGTTTTGTTCCGTGTGCTGCCAGTTTCGAGGAACCTAACTGAACAGAAAGAACGCAGGAGCACCCAGGTCTTGTGATATTGTCAGATAACTGGTGGTAGTTCGGAAGGAAGACTCACCAGGCTTTAGACATCGACACTGCAAGTTCAACTGAAAGAGCCCTGCACCTCCGCAACTCCGAGTTATTGACCTGGAAACCTGAATGGTGGTATCTTGAAATCCTTTCACAAATTTTGAATGCCTTTACCCTAAACGCCACAGAAGATTGCTCGCATGTGAGCACTCCACCCAATGCCAACTTGCAAACAACGCAATAACATGTTCTTTCCCAGTGTTCCATTTTCCAGCCACCACTCCAACGAACCATTAACATTTCCGACATGTCCGCAGCCGCACTCTCCCACTTAGAGAAGCTCGAAATCGTCAAGCTTGTCGCGATACTTCATAATGTTCTGCTTGATCTTGCTGCCGACAGACCAAGTGACAAAGTCCTCCATACTCCTCGTCACCAAGAAAGCAGGATCACGGACCTCTTCAACACCGACACGTACGTGGCCTTGCTCGATCATCTTGGTTGCTGCTTGTACGGTCTCGGCCATACGAAGTCTGGTCATAACGACGGGAAGTCGCCTCCTGGCAAAGGCCGAGACTGTGACCTGGTGCTCCACCTGCGACAGCTTGGACTTGGACTGTTGTCGGACGTTAATAACTGCTCGGGTTGAAGTTTGATACTGGGAGTCATCATACCGAAAGAATGCCCATGTCGTAAAGCTTGTCGAGCAAAAGCTCCTCGTGCTTTCGCCTCACCTCATTGTCTGGGGGAAGCAAACTGAGGCGATGGGCGAGTTGGCGGAGGGACTATAGAGCAACATGTCAGTATGTCATGAGAATCTTGAAATAGGATGACTGATGAAAACTTACACCGCACATCCTGTTGTACTTGTGCTAGAAGGGGGTCAGTAATGGTCATTATGAAAAGTCACTGTGGGCCTCATCCTTGATTGGATTAACATACATAGTCCTCGGGCTTCTGAATCATGTACCGTCTATATACCTAACTGTTAGCAGAGTATTCTCTCACAAAACCAATTCAAGTGAATGAGCTCACCTGGCGACATCGTGATCTCTGTGCTTGTTGTCCGACTTGTAGTTGATAAAGTCGGTCTTCCGAAGAAGCTTCTGTTCCGCGTGCTTGAGCTTGCGGACCATGTTGGCGGTTTGTTGGCTTTGTTATTGATGGATGTGCTGGTCTTGGTCGGGATGGAGAATTATGTCGTCGCAGAAGGGTATCAATGCGGTATCAATCGTAAGTGAAGGAAGGGTGGAGGCGATGGATGGTTCACTATCGTAATCTGATAGCAGCAGCTGCAGTGGTGGTGGTGTTCTGGCGTTTGAACTTTTGCTGTAATGAAAAATCTTGCCCCACAGTTTTTCGCCTGCCGGGCCCCTTGCTTAGCGCGCTCTTGGCCTGCAACGGGCTCCATTTTACCCCACAAAACACACTGCTTCAGGCATTCAGCTTCCGCCCTGCCAGCTGTCAGCCGCAACAGCGCTCAGTGCCGGCAGGCCCCGCGGCAGTACGCCGAAAAGAGATTGATCCGCCAAAAAGTGTCGCTGCCGGCCCGGAGCTCCAATTCCCAATTGCCCGCCCTACCGTGCCCGCCGACGCCGCATCTCCCGTCGCGACTGACCCCCGATCCCCGACTCCGACCGATCGCGAAACGGAGCTCCATTTTTGTGTGTGTGTGGTTTCCCCGGGAGGACTTACACATCGCCAACGCCAGCTGTTACAAGCTGTTGTAACCACCACAACCACCACCACCACCACCACCATGTCGTCCTCTCGTCAATTCCTCTCCTCTGCGCTCAGGCAGTGCCGCGCTGCCGGCCAGAGGACCGCCCAGTTCTCGACCACCTCGCCGGCCGCTGCCAGTATGTCGCTCCGTCGGTCGCAAAACACGATGCACCGCCGTTACACAGCTCTACAGACATAAAACATATGGCTAACAATACCGCCGACAGTCCGCGACATCCCCACCACCTCCTTCCAAAATGCCCCGCGCACCAACACCAACAACACCTCGTCGCCGTCGGGCAACACCAACAACAACAACGCCGGCTCCAACCAGTACAAGTCGGACATGTTCAACCTCCTAAACAGCGGCACCGGCAGCCGGGGAGGAAGAGACAACTACAGCAACACGCGCGACGTCGACGGAGGACAGCGCTATGGCAACAATAGCCAGAAGGTGCAGGAGCTGCTCCAGTCCGAGGTGACCTCCAACAACTACATGCGCATGATGAAGCGCCGGTGGAACAACGGCGACGTGTACGCGCCGCGCGACCTGTCACCATACGAGATGAAGGGCAGGAACGGGGGGTGGGTGGAGGCGGCGGATGTGGTTGATGAGCTTGGGTTTAGTCCGTTGGATAACTATCGTGTATGTTTTTTTTTTTCTTCTCTTTCCTCCCCTTTTTCTCCTTTTCTACCGCTCTTTCCAATTTCATTTCTTGGAGGGCTGTTGGCTGTCTGGGCAAAAATGCTGATTGATATCCTTTGTTGGGAACAGAACTTCTCCCTCATCTCCGACTACATCACCCCCTTCGGCCGGATAAAGCACTCCAAGGAGACCGGGCTGAAACCCGTCAACCAGCGCAAGATCGCCAAGATGGTGCGGCGCGCCATCGGCCTCGGCATCCACCCGTCTGTGCACAAGCACCCCGAAATCCTCAAGAACAGCACGGGCAGGCACTTGTTGCCGCTGGTTGTGCCCAAGGGCCAGATGGCGAACAAGACCAAAAACTTTGATGGAGAGGATGAGAACTAGAATGGTCTGGAAGGTCTGGGAGGAGTGGACGAGGAATGAATGAGGGGGGTATGATTGGGTAGGGGAGCATACCAAACGGAATGCATGCTGGGGCGGTTATGGGACATGATGCTGCTGTCTGGCTAGCAGCATGTGTAGCAGCATGGCATGGGCTGGATGCATGGTTTGGTCGGTGGACTCCATAACGGCTCTTATAGAGTTAGTGTATTATTATTGTATACACGGCACTTAAAATGGAATTTTTGCAAAGTTTAGGCTTGGACGGAGACCATGAAAGGGCGATTTTGACGGAAATAAGGCAGTGAACGTATGGAGAGGGCGCACGGAGTGAATGACTAGAATACTTCATCTATGCTCTTCTGCATGACCTCCCGAGACACCGAAGGAGGAACAAAACAAAAAAAAACAAAAAAAACCTAGACAAAAACCGCTTCCTATATCCACCATCTAGCTCTTATATAAATATGCTAAATTGTACTGTACAACCCAAGACCGCTCAAAAGCTCTAAAAGCCACCTGACAATCATACAACAATGCAAAATCTCTCTATAAAACATGAATTTCTGTACAAGTCCTGTTCTTCCTTTCCTTACTTACTGTCGATATCTTATGTCATATGATCTCGGTTTAGATCAAGCCTCAAACGGCCTCGTAATGTTGAACACAGGCCCTTGAAACTCGGTTTCTTTCTGCCCCTTACTCTCCAACCTCACCCACTCCTCCGGGTACTCCTCCTTTGCCCAGGCCGCGAACTCCTCCTTGGAGAAAGGGTCGGGAAGGGCGTTATAGGTTACTCCAAGCCTGTTTTTGATCAGTTGTTGTCAGCACTTCACATTCTTGTCAAACAAAATTGTAAAGGGCCAAAGACAAACACTTACGTCATCATACTAGCCCCATACCCTAAGTTCGAATCAGTCCCCTTAATCAGCTTAAACACCTCCTCCATCTTCCTTCCCCACGCCGCGTTACTCCTTGCAATAGCCGCGCAATACGCATTAAACACGTACTGCGGCACCTCCAGATCCATCCTCATCATCTTCTGCCACACCGGCCTAGCATACCGATCGCCCAGCGGAATCAGCTCGCAGCACCAAAACACAATGGCCAAGCTGTTATACGACGGACCCTCAGCCGAGCGGGTGATGTGCTCCTCCCAGAAATCCAGCGCCGTGAAGGGGTCTCCGCCAGCCGCGTACGCCAGCATCAGGGCGTTGTACAGCCTCGTGCTCATCTCCACGCGCGTGTCCATCTTGAGCATGTTGTGCACCATCTTCAGGGAGCTGGCCGGGTCGCTGGGCCGCTGCTCGGGGACCGGGCACCTGGCCAATCCTTCGAGACAGCGCACGTAGATGTCGGCGGTGGGGTGCATGTTGTCGTCGTCGTGGGCGCGCATGTGGCCGAACACGAGGCAGGCCATGTCGGGCTTCTTGCGCTCGAAGAAGGATTCCATGAGCCGGACGCGGTCGTCGACCGAGGTCTCGGGGAAGTACTGCCGCAGCAGCGAGTAGGCGTCCCAGGCTCGGTCGGTTGTGGTTTTGGGAAGGTCGCAGATGTAGGCAACAAAGGCCTTGTAAATCTGCTGCCGCTCGATGTGGCTGATGGAGACGGAGTGTAAGGAAAGGGTGTCGATCACGTCGAACTTCTTGTCGTGGTTGAGGAAGACGAGGCAGAGCGCGACGATGGTTTCCGGCTCCAAGGCGGCGTGGCGCTGCTCGAGCGCCGAGGTGATGGTTAGGATGTGCTGGAGGTTGGGTTCCGGCTGCGCGCACAAAACGCGGAGGTACTTGTTCATTACGGGCAGGTCTTCTTCGAATTCGATCTCGACGGCGCCGGATGCGAGTTTCGAGAAAATTTGATGAGCCCCTTCGATGTCGTTGGCGTCGAGTCGGTATGACAGTTGGTTAAGGTAGGTGTGAACGTTGGCTTTGATGTTGAAGTCCTGGGCCAGCTGCCAAAACCTCTCAGCCATGTACGGATTCCCCTTTTCCTGGGCGGCTTGCATAAGCAGGTTGATGGTGGTGACATCAACCTTAACCTCGTGACTTTTGTAAAACTCGCCGCTGGCCATGGTCTGGAGGTACGTCTTGATGCCGTCTGGCCCCTTATCCAGAGCTAAAACGGACCATTGTAAGAAGGCCTCCAATGACCCTTTTTTCGCCCACTGATCCTGGACCACCTCCTCGAAAACTGGTAAAAGCCATTCATTCCACTTCTCCGGCTGGCTTGATCGCCGTGATGATCGAACCAGTTCCAGCAATGTCTCTCCCAAGGGAGAGAAGCCACTATGTATAGGCTTGTTGTACCACTGCTTTGTCTCCTCGATCTTGTCCTGCTTCGCATAAAACGTAACGAAGACGTGGTGCACGGCCGGGATGTATTTGACGCCTCCCGTCTCTTGTGCCTCCTCCCAAAACTGTAGTAATTCATCTTCCCGACCCTCGTCCGCCATGCCCTGCAAGACATTGATCCAGACTCTCCCCGCGCCTCTGAAGTCAACAACGCTCATCCCTTCGTCCTTTAATTGTTGCCAGAATTCTTTGACTCGGGCTGCTGCTTCCAGGGAGCCTCCGTATTGCGTCAATGCCTTGATGTATGTCGCGAAGTCGTCTTTGATCAAATGTGCTTTGTGCTCATCGGGATTCAACAAGATGACCCTCCTGCGCGTGATCTCCTCGTGCAACAACCGGGCCAGCGCAAGATGGAATTCGGGAGAGCCCTTGGGAGGCAGCAATGCTGCGTCCATCGCATTTTCGAGGTCGCTCATTTTGAGGTCAACGGGAGCGTCAGCCTCGGGCTTGGTTACCAAAAGATAGTGTAACACCGTTCGCAAGAGGAAGGCCTGGTTGGGATTCAGTGGTTTATTGGTGTCGGCCTTGAATTTCGTCAACCTCCTGAACGCCGTCACCAGCTGGTCCCGCGGAGGAGGGCGCTCCTGCTCAACCTCGCTCCTCCTGTACTGGAGAAGCACATTGTAGCCCGGGTCAAAATGGGGTAGCTTCACGACTCGTTCGGGCTTCGGTGTGAAGAGGCTGATAAACGTCCTCTTGGAGGTTCGTGGATATACGAGGACGTCATGTTGGCAGTCGAAGAGACAGCGACGGGCAGAGAGGGCTGTTACAGAGCATGGGCGCAACAAGCCATGATGATGACCGGCGGCGTGAAATCGTCTGTACACATTCGGTGTCGTCGTCGCGTTGCGTGCCAGATGCGACCGCATGGTTGGGAAAGGGATCCTAGTAGAGCACAGTCCTGGGTTCATGACTCGAGTAAGTTGAGGGGTTCTCGTGCTCCATCTCCATCGCCAGCGTCTCCATCTTTCTCCAGTTCTCCATGGAGTCGTTCTCGTCGAAGAGGGTACGTACTACTGGTGCATGGTGGTGGAATGACACCCCGTTTGTCGTCGCAAGAGCAACAAGCGACTGAGGCGACCTTGGGATCTTCTGGTGGCAGGAACGGGCTTCTCGATCTCGGGGTGTTTCTTTTTTCGAAATCTCCAAATTCCTGTTGACCGGGGCAGCTTCCAGCATAGAGGTAAGTGTTGCGAACATCGGGTGGTTGGCCCAAGCTCCACTACCCCATGCCAGGTACAGTTACCGTTGCAGCGCATCATATCCACAGCGACCCCTCATCCATGTTGTCATTATCCGATGAGGCCAGGGTTAGGGTCAGTGCTTGTTCTCCAATATCATTCTCAAAACAGTATCACTCCCGTGTCATTGAAATTCATCAAAACACTTCACATGAACTTGACCATCAACACCAAACTCATCATATCCAACCCAAACCAAAATCAACCAACACTAGAACTCAACCAAAACCAAACATGCCTCAACCACCACCCCCACCAACAATCCTCTCCCTAAAATCCGACTTCCTCACCACCCAAACGCGCACCCTCTCCCAACCCTTGGCCCCAACGCGCACCTTCCTCTCTCAAAACGACAACACCTCCTCCCCCCGGGGCCACTCTCAATCCCAACACCACCAGGGGCAGCACATCCCTCAAAAACCGCTCTCCGAAGCCCTAACAAAACTCAACCACCGCCTCACCCAACACAACCGACGCGCCTACCCTCCTCAAGCAACCCGCCACGTAGCCGAACAAATCGACAAACTTTATTTTTCTACTACTTCTGCAACATCCTTGGGAAGAAATGATGAGAGAGATGAAGAGGACGAGGACGGGGATGGACAACAGGCTGCTTGGTTGCGAGTAAACGCCGACCTGACCCTCCCCCGCTTAATCACCTCCCTACCAGACTCCTGGTCCCCTTCTGTCTCGAAAAAAGAAGCAGACGACCACCCGATGGAAGCCAAGCGGTTTGCGGAGTTGGTAGCGCAGTTGAAAGGGTTGGATGAGCAGAAACAAAAGGTGTTGGATCGGGTGGCGAAACTAAGAAAAATTAGGGGGTTGGTTGAGGGGTTTGTTGAGGCTTCTCCTTCTTCTCAAGATCTGAATGCGGAAGGGGGGGAAGAAGTAGGGAAAGGGGGAGCAGGAGCAGGAGGAGGAGCAGGAGGAATGAAAGCGGTGCAAGAGAATCTGGTGACTAAGAATGGGGAGATGGAGGCTGAGTTGCAGAGGATGAGGGTTCTGCTGGCTAGAGTGGGTGGAAGGGTTGAGAAGTTGGATAAGGAGAGGGGGAAGGAGAAGGAAAGGGGGAGTGGGAGTGGGAGGAGGAAGAGGGCGAGGGAAGGGGAGGATGGAGAGGGGGCAGGTGATGAGAGGAAGAAGGTTGATAAGTTGCTGGACAGCTTTTAATATTGTTTTTTGAGGGCTTTGTCACGGGCTGGATGGAGAAGATGATGGGAGGTAAAATGGTGCATTTTTTGAGGCGTTTAGGGTTGGAAAACGGACGGGGAGTATGTGGCAGGTTGAGAACAACCAGGGACTGGTTTTTGTTGGTCATGATACCCTAAAAATACTACGGAGAAAACGCACAAGGCCTTTAACAGTGGTTCGACCCAAGGAATGATATGCAACGACTGTTCGGCTTCCGGTAGGCTACTAATATCGATACTTCGTAAAATCATAACATTACAACTCTTTATGCAGGACGCTCAAACTCAGCGCTCCAAGACCAGGTTGGCATAAACATACACCGGTATCCCAAAGACTAATACAAAATTACCTGAACCACCCAACCCAACGGCGGAGACCACTTCCTCATGGTCCCATCGCCGGAGGAGGGGGGATCATCTCGTCATTGCCGCTGTCCTCCGGCGACTCCTCGGCGACCTGGCCCTGGATACGGCGCTTGGCATTGGCCTTGTCCTCGGCCGTGATATCGCCCTCGTCCTTGGGCATATCAGGAGTCCACTGCGGCTCATTAGGCGCGTGACCGACCGACATGCCGACACGGACCTGTTCGTTACTGTTAGTCAACGACCACTACACGAGTTACTTGATGGATCAGACTTACCAAAGTCTCCAAAGGCAGAAGCGAATTCTGCACCAGATCCTCATCCCACACCATCTTGCCCGGCTCAAAGAGCACAACAATCGTGCTACCACCAAACTTGAAGTATCCGAGCTCCTCACCCCTCTTCACCTCGTCGCCCTCATTCCTCGTAATGACGGTACTACCGACCATCATGGCGCCAACGCAAATAACCATGACGCGGCCAAACTCGGGACTGTCAATCGGCACCAGCACTCTCACGTTCTCGCCATACACATCCAGCGCCGACCGAATGGCCATTGGGTTGACAGTGTAGTACTCTCCTTCGATCGTCTTGGGCTGGCGCATAATACCGTCAACGGGGATATGGAAGCGGTGGTAATCCTGTGGCGCAAGGCGGAAAATGCCGAGCGCACCTCCCTCGTACCGCGCACCATCTTCGGGGTAAGCGTCACCAAGCAGGCGCTTGACGGTGAATTCGCGACCCTTAATCCAAACGTTGGTGGCCGTGTCGATGCTGTTGAAGACAACGCAGCGGCAGTCGGCGGGAGAAACGACGATGCGAGGGTTGTGAGGAGCCGAACAGGGGCGCGCACCGGGCTTGAGGGCGCGGTAGAAGAACTCGTTGAAGTTCTTGAATTCCTCCAGAGGCTGTGCGACTTCGGACAGATCAAGACCGTGGAACTTTATGAACTGGGGGATCTCAGCCTTGGAGTTCGGATCGTCGTACTTCTTGCCCTGCTTGACACTAAGGCTCTTGAGGAGCTTGCGGATGCGCTTCGTCTCCATGTTGTTAGACTTCAGACCCTTGTATAGCAAGCGGATGCCAAGTCGGACGTAGACGCTCATCTTCTCCTCGTTGATCTGACCGGTAATACGGTCTTGCACAAGAATGTTGGCCGAGTTGGCTCCAACCTTGTAACCGCCGTATGAGATCTTGGTGATGACCTTGGAATACCACTTGCGCTGGGCCTGGCTGGAAGTAACGAAGCCACCCATCACAAGATTGTCGACTTGGCGCCAATCCTGGCTGGCGCAAGTTGCAATGTGGGTAATGATGTCGGTATCCTTCCGCTTGTTCAGGCGAGGCTGGTGGCAGATAGGGCACTCCTTGATCTCCACAACGTGTTCCTCGCCGCTAGATGAAAGGTTCAAGTCATCACGGTCGAGCAGGTCTCCTTCCTCACCCGAGGTGCCAAGATCTGGTACGTTGATGGTTGAATCGGCAAGCTGCGAACCGCCGGCCGGAGTCTCCGCGTCCTCTAGGTCACTAGTGGTACCAGAGTCCTTGCCGTGACCAGGAAGGAGGTTCTTTACGTTATCCTTAACCTTGTCGACCATTCCCTGTATGGTCGAGCGTGACTTGGCCTCTAGCTGATCCTCCAAGCAAATGACGGCCTCATCCATGATCAAATCATCCGAGTCGTCTCCTTCCATCCTATGGGGGAATCGCTGGAAGAAGCTATCGATGGTAGACTCGCGCAGTGTGGAACCGAGGGTGTCCAGCATGGTTGTCAACTCGACCTTGCTGATGCGCCCGCTATCATCCGCGTCGTATTGCTTCAAGAGTGCCCTCCAGAACTGCTGTCTCAGCGCTGGGTACGGCATGTACTTGATGCGAAGATAGAGTTGAGGGTTGTGCTTGGACTCCCACTTTTCAAGGTTCTTCATCTTGAGAGGAAGAGTCAAGAAAGTGAAGTCGTCGTCCCCTTCGGACTGGGGCGCAATCTCGCCAGCCGTAGCAGCCGCACCCGCCGCCGCAATGGAATACTCCCCAGGTGGCAGCAAGGCCGGGCTAGGCGGGGGAAGGGTATTCGTCCGGCTAAAATCATGAGCACCGTCGACAGCAATCTGAAGAGGGGTCCCAGCTACCGATGGTTCCTTTGCGGCCGTGGAATTTTGCCTAGAAAGACCAGGTCTGGCGGCTTTGCTCAAGCTTTGAGTAGAGGCCGTCCGAGACAGGCCCAATCTCGCGAATCGGCCACCGCTCTTCTGCACTGGAGCGTAGTCTGGGATATCCTTCAGATGATAGAGACCGGTTTCTGGGTTGGGCTTTGGTGCCTTTTCCATGATTTCCCGGATCGGAAGGTTTACGGAAGCGACAAAGTCGTTGCCGGAATATTTATCATGGTCGATGACGGTAAAGTTGAAGGAGTACATTTGCTCGTAATTCGACACCGTGAAGATCATCTTTTCGTTATACACGGGATTGAGATTGTGCCGGACCGTCTTGGTGCGGAAGGTCTGCCTGCCGAGCGAGATGACGACGAAGGGATCCATATCGAAGCCGGTCTTGGTCACGTTGCGCTCGGGAGGCAAGTCGGTGATCTTTCCAATCTCGAGGTAGACAATACCCAAGGTGTCGCTATCGCCATTGGTAAATTCGTATGCGTTCTTGGAGCGCGTAGACGACACTTGAGAGGCGGTATCGGGCACAGGCGCGGACTTGGTGATGGAAATGAACTGATCGTAGAGCTCTCTGGGAGTGGCTTCGGGATTCGAGTTGTCGACGATGGTCAATTGCAGCTCCACCTCACCTGAGACGACGCTGCTCTTCTTCCCGGTCCTTTTGCTCTTCAAGGGGAACCAGCTTGGCCCAAGGTCTGTGATTCCATCCTCGGCGAAGGCCTCATCAAGGGCGAGCTCGAACTCGCCCAGGTAATCCTTCCCGAAGCGATCCTTGTCCCAGCAAATACCGGTGAGGGAAAGGCTTTGCGCGCCATTGATGGGAAACTGGTAATGTTCGTTCCAGATCGGGTCGAGAGTCTTTGGTATCGTTGAGGTCGTGTATTTGGCGTCGCCCAGGCTCAATACGAGGTACTAGACGCAGCAGGCAGCAAGTGTCAGACCACCACCCAATTGTCAAAGATGTATTATTGCCGCATAACTTACAGGATCCGATGTGCCTCCTCGATCCTTTGCCGCAAGGTTTCTGGCCTGTAGTAAACAAAACACAACCGTCAGTGCTGGAATGCGATGCGATTCGGATCATGCGGCCAACGCGCATCCACATCTGTAAACACACCTGTATGATCTTGACATCCAGAACCAAGCCCGTGTCTCTGCGCCCCTCGGGGCTTGCTGAATCGCCCTTGCTTCGCATTGGACTTGCGCTTCTGCTAGTTGCTAAGGAGTTGCTGGATGATTTGAGACGGTTTGGAATAATGCGGACCATGGCGGCGGGAAGGGGGACCTAGCGGGGTCGCCCGGCTGGGTACCTATGGAGCTATATACGGGGATATTGGCAGTAGCGGCAGTGCCCAACGGACGGGTTGACGGCTTGACGGGAACGACGGGATCAGCCAAGCAAGGCAGGGCAACCGAAGGCAAAGGAGGGGTCCGATAATCGTAGTACTGCGTAAGCGTCGATTTGTCGTAGGGGAAGCGTCGTCAATCGTCAATGGTGCTGCGGGCGCCTGCTGCTGCTTGTGGCTGCTGCCAAGTTTCTTGTTTTGAGTTGCTTGTCCTGGTTGGTACTTGGTAGCGCCGCTATGTAATGGATGTGCCCTGATGGTGTCGTGCAGGCGTGTGTGTTTGTGTGTGTGTAATCGATTGATGTGCAATGTTTGGAAGGGGAATAGTGTGGGGGAGAAAGGGTCCCAAACAGGTTCGTTCCTTATGCTTTTTCGGGGCTCAATGGCAAGAATAAAAGAGGTGGTGGTGGTATCGTGTCTCGTTTTAATGACCAAAACGTAAAAGGGGTTGTTGTTATGCAAAGATGGCGCGGCAAAAGTCTATAGCTTTACCACCAAGATCGATTGGAAAGAGGAATCTGGACTCTCAGACTTTGAGACGAACTGGGCGGGAGCCATTCGAGTTTCGACAGAGAGCTGGAGAAATCGGTGACGGTCGGGTGTATCAGGGTCAGCTGGAGCTGGAGGACAGAGGAGACGTCATTCGGGCCGGGATTGCTGGTTTATAGACAATGCGATGGAATTCCCGAGTGGAGGGGGGGCCCTGGGCGACCAAGTGGATGACAATTGATGGAAGTCGTGGAAGCTGAGATCGGCGGGGGCTTGGAGTCTTGGAACTGTTCCGACTGATCCAATGCTTCTCTCGTGTATCGAGGCTGTGAGGCTGATATCGGGTTTGGTTGAAGAGGAAACAATGGAGAAGTTCCTCTGGGGATGTTTCGAAAGGAAGAAAGGTTGCGTCGCGTGATGCTTGAACACATGCAGAGGACAGTTTCAACTTTTTGAATCCGCCAAGGAGTCTCGTCCACCGCCTTAACGCTACCGACTACCCCGGGGGATCTCCGGCCGGATACTCGGGCCCGCGGTTTATTTAGTTTGTTTAGTGTATCTTGACAAGGCCAAATCTTCAGGGGCGCATCTTTCAAAGGTCGCGTGTCAAGAAACAAATCGCGATTCGCAAAAAAGGGGAAGTTGGGTATTTGTCCAATGTACACTACGGTAGCCAAGGCTCCCATGCGGTAGGTGCATAGCCCAGTGTTACATCACCAATACATCACGATACTTCCACATCCACATATCGTACATATGTATGCAGGTGTATCTCTCAAGATGACGCGGCAACAGCGAAAAATTAACCGCCAAAGCTATTCATGTTTTCCCACCTTGACCACCCTCAAGACCTTCCTTGACCGCGCCGTTGGCCCTCAACAAAAACAAGCGGTGGGCCGTCATTCCAATGAGCCTATGGGAGGGGCTGGATGGTGTAAACATGAGACGGGCTGGAAGAGAGAAAGCGTGTCCCCCAAAACCGCGCATGCAAATCATATCCCCAACCTAGCCGCGTCCTCGGTACGTAGTGCCTTCTTCAATAGTCACCTGCTAGATAAGAAATATTTCTCCGAATACCTCTTGCACGAATCGAGGATGCTTTCCGGGGAATGGATGGAACACTGCAAAACTGTTACCTAGTGGCTTTGTCAGTAGCAGTGGATTGATTACCTGCATGAACTATGAAGATGCGGTTGGTCTTCACGAGGTTATCCAGACTGTTTAGTCGGCCGTCGTGTGTTTCCTCCAGCCCAATGAGGTTTCTATTCTCGGACTTTTGCTGACAACCTGGAATGTTTGACCCTTCTGAGACTGTACAAGTGAAAGCCAAAAAGCGGGAATGGGGTCACCTAAAGATGCACCGTGCAGGCCAAGCTTCCTCGGCTTCCCAGCGGACGGAGAGCCAAGCCAGGCAGGGCTGCCGCTTCCGCCCGAGCCGCCCCTCTAGAGTCCGCCGCGATGCCGTGCCGCCGTTGTGGGTCCTATCCTTATACCCAGGAGACGGGCAAGACGGGATCACAGGCCGTCCCGACTCTTCTTTCCTCTGTCTATCATTTGATCTCCATTTCCCCGCCTTTTCAAGGTCAAACATTTCCTTCGAATCGTCCCTGATACTTACGATGATGTATGCCGTTCGATGATGCCACTGCAATGTTCTACGACATTAGACCCCTTCAACAACCTCATACTTTAGGCTAAAAGAGGACTGGTCCCTGATACAAGCCACATTCATCATCACTTCAGCCAACATCACTCAGCCAAGGCTGACTTCTCACTGTTCTCAAGTGATTAGCTCCCAACAGACAATATTCAACCATCAACCAAACGCATCGTCAGACGCCGTGACATCAGGCCACTCAAAGTCCGGCTGTCACCTACCAGTTTAAGGCTGAGATCTTCCTTCGTCGAATTACATCAGTCCCTTTACCCCTCTGCCCCCTTTTCCACTACGTGACTACATAGCGCCGCCACTATAAAACACGCTACACCGACATGTAAGAGCGCGGCGTCCATTTCCGATGGATGTGCGACTTTCATGTCCGACTGTCCGACCAATCGAGCCATCCAACCATCCGTAACCGCCCTCTCTTATCTTCCAGTTGCACACACAACCCATCACTGTTCAGCCGAGGGTCTATTAGGGGTAGGTAACAGGGGGCACCAGAAAGGTCCGTGCATACTCCACTTTTCTTAAGCCGAAAGTACCGGCTATACAAACCTAATAGGTACGTTTATAAATACAAATTATAATTGCGCATCCGTCACGCATATTACGTATATATATAAATAGAAAGAATACTTATATATCGTCTTATATATATATAATATATAATAATATTTATAATATTCTAACGAAACGATGTAAACTAACGCGATATAAAGTATAAAATAACGTACGTAATATTAGCTATAAAATAACGTAATTCCGTTTCCTAATTTAAATCCTCTATTCTCTCCGCTCTCCCCTAATTCTTTCCGCTCTTTCCTAATTCCTTATTTAGTCCCTCTCTATTCTTTTACTATTATATACGGAATATATAATTAATAATTACCAATAATTCCCTCCCTTTCCCCTTATTTCTTTATAAGTAATAGGTTAATATCCTTATTAAATATAATTCTTTTATTATTACTTTTCGTTTACTTATATTTATAAGTAGTAGGAATTTAAATATTATTAATATATATTCTTTATATTATTTTTAATAATTAATAAAAACGTACCTTATATTTTTTAACCTTTAAAATATGCTAAATAAAGCTTTTAACCTTATTAAACGTTTATTAGAAAGGGGGGAAAAGAATAACCGTTTTATTTTAATTACCCTCTTTATATTTAATAATTAAGGAAATTATTTTTTCTTTTAAAATACGAAATTTAATAGGGGTAATTAAATTTTTTTCTACCATTTAACCTTTACCCTCCTTTCCCCGTTCCTTTTATTCCTCCTCTTAATTTTAATTAATTTAAGGAGACGGAAGGGGGAGGTTAGGTTAAGGGGGTAGAAAGGAGAGGTTAAGTTAAAGTAGAGGAGGGTAATTAATTTAAAGTAAATTAAGGAGATTTTATTATAAATCAATATATATATTAATTATATATACGAATTAGGAGGATTTATAATAATCTCGGGATTAACCCAATTATATAAAGGATAAGTCTTTAGGAAGGGCTGGCTTAATAAATTGGAGGCAAATTTATTATAATATAAACCCTTTCTGGATTCCGTTTATAAATAGGAAGTATTAATATTACGTATATATATAATAGGTATAGGAAGGGATTTATGTAATATTAAAAAAGTATATTATAAATATTTTTAAAATTTAATTGTCATGGGGCTGGCGCCCAGAGGTAATGCCTGGCTTGCATCCTTGTATAAGCCAGGCCTGTGCCTGCCACGGGCTTGCCTGCCGCGGGCTTGCCTGCTGCGGGCTTGCCTGCTGCCTGCAGTCTTCTGGCACATTCTATGCCCTATCTCTGTTGTGTATTTAGCTGTGCCCAGTCTAGGTGCCAGACTAGCTCGGACCTTTTCCTCTTTGTTGATAATTATAAGCTCTTTTCAAGGCCTACCTGTATGTATACCGCGTAGAACCCTTACATTAATTACGCTAGGCAATCTCTTCTATTTTTTAAATAATCCTCTATATAATCTAGGCGGATTTTAAGGCACAATAGAAAACCGCGGTACGCTATTATCGGGTCAAAATATATCGAATTAAAGTATTAAGAGCACCTACTATTAACGGAATTAATCTATAAAAAGCTTTTTTTATAATTTAATCCTATTTAAACGTATTATTAATACGTTTAAATATAATATTAGAATATAAATTCTACTTTTTATTAATTATTAGATACGTATACTAGATTAGATTATTAGTTGCGTAGTCGAAATTGTAAGGAGTGGATAATATAAATGTATTTTTACTAATTTAATATTTTGTAAGAAATATATTATAATTAAATATTCAATAATTAACCCCGATTCGTTTATTAGCGACCTTACCTAAATAAAAATAAAAACTATAAGAAAGTACTTATTTAATTCTTATATTTAATATATATATATATCAATAATATAATTAGACTTAATACGCTTATTAATTATATTTTATTCCGCCGGTAGCGGTATACCTACTTTCAAAATTCATTAAAGTAAATGGCAATATTATTAAATGTTATTATTAATATTTGTAAGTGAATAGCGTAAATCTATATAAATTTATATAAAATAGGCTTATTTAATATAATAATCTAAAAATGCCGATAATAAATTTATAGAGATATATAGCGACGACTTCTATTGTCTAATCTATTTATAGTACCGGTTTAATCTATATAAGCCATATATATTAACAATAAGTAGTCCGACGTACAATTCCCTAAGTATGAATATAAGTAAAAACTTATTATACTAGGAGAATATTTATTTATATACCCAAAATTCGATTAGGATTTATAAATATTATTACTAATAAATATTCTTTAACGACGTAATATAAATAATTATACTACTAAATATAAATGTAATAATATTATATATATTAATTATATATCTAGCCTAATTTCCTTAAAGCGGTTTTTAATTTGCTAAATAGTCTTCGGGAATTCGAGCCGTCTAGCGAATATTTAAATCGAACTTTTAAAATTAAATAAAATAAAAAGGGCTGTAATTTCGAAGTATTTTATACTAAATAAATAAACAGCACTCTTATTAATAACTCTAAGGTTCCTATAAACCTTCCATAATATATTTTAGAATAAATAGAACCCGCCGCCGATTTCTTCGAATCGTCGTCGCTTCTACATACGCCTGCCCCCTTCTAAATAAGGAAGAAGTAAATTAACTCTCTTATACTACTTATATATTAAATTTATATTAATTTAATATGAAATAGCAACTTAATAAACTTTGAAAAAGAAATTATAGAGGAGCTAAACCGGGGATTTTTAGCGGAATATAGTATAAATAATACTGCTGCTATTCCAGCTATTATTATAAGGGGTATTAAAATAGTAACGAAACCTTCGCGGAATAAATAAATAAATTATTCGACTTAATTAAATTGTAATAATAAGAGGAAATAAGGGGGGGGATATATTAAGACTTAGTACCGACCCTTAACCGACGGGCCTGTACTATATAGCACTTACCTAATATTTAACTTTCTAGAAGGAAGGTATTAATATATATATAGAAAGAACTTACGAAAATAAAAAAGAAGAGGTTATTTAAAATAAAAAGTAGTTAAGTATACGAAGAAATTAGGTACTTAGTAAGGCCTAACGGAAAGGATAATTGGGGACGGATTCCTATATATTTAAAATTAGCCGCTCTAGGCTTTTAAAAGTTCTAATTTTCCTCCTTATCTTTATTTTCTTTACAATTAATTCAATTAGTACAAATTTTGCTAGCACATATAATATATATATACTTAGCCTACGCTATATAAAATATATTAGGGTTAAGTATAACTGGCTAGGTCGGTGCGCGTATATAATTTATTGAAATACGGCTATCAATGGCGCGTTCGCGGGCTTCGTAAGGGGTTCGTACGGAGAAGATACAAAAAGGAACTCATCACGTAACAAGACCCTCTTTTTGTAATGCCCCCCGTGACAGTACCCGGGTCTATTGAGGCTGAAAGTTGAAACCTTGATCATTTCGCCAAGGTTACTGTATCGGAATACTGCAAAGAGATACGACATGCTGCTTTCATTCACCCAGCTGTATAGTGCATTGCTACACATCTTCCAAGATCCAAGTTCAGAAAGCATTGGATCGACTCGACCTCATTGCCGTGAGAACCATTACTCCTCTGTCTAGTATTTATACTCGCATGTCAGCATCACTACCAAGGTCACAGAGCTTCTCTTGTTCTCCTTGAATCCTCTTCAACAAACATTATTCCACGCCCTCGTCTTTCGTCTCTCGTTGCTTCCCCCCGCTTGCCCTTTTTGTGAATTAAGAGATATCTTTCATGTTCATCATCGTCTCGCCCAAAGCATTCGCTTAAGCAGAAACCTTGGCCTTGTACTTTATCGCCGCCTTGTCAAAGAGGTCGCTCTTCTCGGCCAAATCGGTCAGGAAGGGGTGGTTGGGATCAGCCTGCTCGAGGGCACTGTAAAGCAGACATATATGTTAGCATGTGTAAGTAACAAAGGAGAGGCATAGGTAGGAAACCGGAGCCATGTGTGTATATGTGTAACGTACGCCTTGTACTCAGCCGAATCTTGCCCAGTAATGACGCTCCAGACGAGCTGGTTCGCAATGGCGTCCGCGAATCCGGGCTCCTTCTTGAGCGCCTGGTCCAGAGCAGCCTGAGACTCCTCTGTGCGGCCGAGATGGAGCTCGGCAACGGCCTGCGAGACGAGACTCCGTACGGAAGAGGTAGCGGGTGCTTGTGCAAGCTCTTCGAAGACGTAAAATGCTTGTTGGTACTTGTCGCCGCCCTGTTGAGTAGTAGTAGACAAAAAGTCAAGAGTCAGTAAAACCGCTTATTCCAATCGCACACAACCTGACCTCCTGGATCCTCCTTCCTCCTGTCTCGCTCAAAAGGGGGAAAGGGGAGAAAACTAACCAGCCTCAACCCAACCCACGACTCAGCCAGGTTAAACAGCAGACTATCCTGCGCCAGCCTCCGCGCGCTGGCCACCTCCTTAACCGCCAAGTCCGTCCTGTTCTGCGCCAGGTAGATGTGCACAATCAGCGCGACAGCCTCCAGGTTGCCCTGGTGTCTCTGCAGCAGCGCCAGCGCCTCGTCGGCTTTACCCGCCGCCGCCAGCACCGTCCCGCCCACGACCTGGACGATCCCGATTTCGCCCGCGTCCGTGGCCGCCAGCTGCTCGATCGTCTCCACGGCCGACTCGGCGTCGCCCGCGCTCAGCTGGGCCAGCGCGCCCACCGCCTCGAGCTCCGGCTTCTTCTCTCCCGCAACTTCGGCGAGCACGTCCTCGGCCTGGCCGAGCGCGATGCGCGCGCGCAGCTGGAGGACGCGCGCGGGGAGGGCGTTCTCGGACGAGAAGGAGGTGGTGTCGAAGTCGATGACTTCTTGGTATTGGCCTTGGTGGAAGTGGCTCTCGATGTTGATTAACTCGGCCTCGGCTCCGAAGGGGTCGGACATCTTGATTATCGGTTTGGGGGAGTTTTAGGATTATTAGATGATGGTGGTATTGATCGAATGGCAAGGGTTAAGTTGGCGTCGAGGACCGGCCTGGTGTGAGATTATGGGATGACCCAGGTATTGATGTCGTAAAGTTGTTGGTTGTTGTCGGTATAGGGACTGTTTGTTGTTGATTGTTGAATGATGGACAGTTCAGTATAGCTTCAGTGGTTGATAGGGGATAAAGCCACCAAGTAGAAAGTGGACAGCCAAACGGGTACCTCGACGTGGAGCTGTCTGGTGGAGGCGGAACATGCCCGCCCCAGCTTGCCCGTGGAGGGGATGTGGGGATTGGTCAGTGCGCACGTTCGTCTGGAAAGAATTCTGCCGGTCATAATTTTGGCGGTGAGCAGCCTGCGTCGACTTGTCTGCAACTTCTTCGATTTTCTCTTTTCATTTCCTTCTTTTTTCCCTTTTTCTTCAATCTGCGCGACCTCCACAATCCGGTTGTCGCCTCATTCAAAAACTCAATCCGAACCACCGCCAACATGGCCCAAGGCTCGGGCAGCAAAATCACCAAGCCCAACCCTGGACTAAACCGGTCCAAGGGCGGCAAGACTCCCAAGAAGTCGGGCGTCTCCAAGGTCAAGAAGAACAAGACCAAGGCCGACAAGGTCCAGAAGAAGTTCACCGCCGGCATGGCGGCCAAAACCGAGAAGATGTTGGGCGCCAGAGCTGGTCATCTGGAGCTGATCGGCAAGGGCAAGAAGGAGGAGAACAAGGAGAAATTCAAGGGCGGCACCAGAAAGTTCGGCTAAACAACTGCTTACTCGAGAACGCCTGATACGGGGACAACGGCAACTCACCAGACGTTTTTCTGTGCCAACGCTGATGGATGTTGCGTGGCAACGTTGGGGTATCTCGCGGGGGTGGTGGATGAAGAGGGGATGCCGGGGTGGACGCGGAGGCACAGCAGGAAGAGCGAACGAGGAGGGAGGACACAGCGACTGGGAGGGAATCTCGTCACGACGAACGACGAACAGCACATTTTCAGCGTAAATTTACGGGCACTCAATCCCACGGACACAACACTTGGGGTTCAAACAAAATTTTTTGGCAACACTAGCAAAGCGAACACTGTTCTGGACAACGATTCACCAGGCATACAATACCCCTTCTTCTGGAATACAACACCATTTATCGCTGTCCAAAGATCGCCTGACGTCCACATTGCACAAATTAGATGAGTTCTGGGATTATCGGCAGCGTGACATAGTTGTCAAAGCCGTCTCCGAAATGGATATGGTTCTGGCCAGCAAACTTGGAACCGGGTCTGGAGCAATGTTAGCACGCGACGACCAAACCCAGGGAATCCTACCGTTGAAAAGGAAACTCACCTGTCTGTCTCAGAGTTGTGCTGGAAGATCCCAGCTCCTTGCGTGTCGCCACTGGCAACCTCAAGCACAATCCTACCACCTACGCCCACCACCACGTTGGTTGGCCAGAGCTCAACGTCAACGCCGTACACCTCCCCAGCCTTAACGGGAAGAACATCCGCCGAGAAGTATTCTCTATAAGGAAGCCACGGCTTGTGCTTGGGATTCTCCTCGTGGACCTTTCGGTTGCTCACTCGGAGCCAGCCTTTGCAGACAGGGACGGGGTCACCCGCCGTTCCGGTGTAGAACACTTCGTTCCCCGAAGGGTCGATATGGCGAATGGTCAGGAAGAGGTCAATGTCTGCCTCGTTCTGCGGGTTCTCAGGTGTCACCGAGACATTCAAGTGCGCCACGATGTGGCCGGTTATCTCGGTCTCTTTCTCGAAGGGTGCCGAGATGAACTGTACCAGCTCAGGCTTGTCCAGGCTTCCGAGAGCTTTGTATCCGATCTGCTTTGGCGTGGTCGGGTTTGGCTTGTTCCGGGAGAGAGTGTGATCAGATCCAAGATAGAAGTCTGTATACTCTGTTGAATTAAGCGGCCATTGGCCCTCTGACCTTTTCTCGTACGCTTTCTCCTTCTCTGCATCATTGAACCCGATATTACCTTTGCGCAGCGTTATCTCGATTGGAGAGACTTTGTCCGGGACACTCCAGCCGACCCTGTCCTCTCCCTTGAGAAAGGCATCAAGGAAACTTTTCTGGAGCTCAACTTGCTCCTTATAGTAGAACGGAAGATCGTGTCGACCGGTGATGAAACGCAGATACTTGAACTTTGATCCGGCATACATATAACCCAGCACGTTCCCGCGCAGATGGAGCGTGATGCCACCCCAGTTCGCCACGCTAAGCACAGGAACTTCGATGTCTTCAAGTCGATACTCCTTGCTGGCGTAATAATCCTCATCGCGGAACCGGTGCGCCTCGTTGTCTTTGGTCTGGTCGTTCCTGTTTGCTGCCAACTGTTCCTCGGACAGGTCACCTTCGATCGTATCTTCCTGGCCCCTGGCGCCGGGTCCGTCAGGTGGGAACTCCAGTTTGGAGCGGCCGGGCAAGCCATACTGGTTAACCAGCACCTGCCGGTTCCACCAGATATCGATGAAGTTGTTAGAAAGGATTCCGCCATGTCGACACCGATCACGGTAGTAGTCCGACATGCCTTCCCAGGGGATGATGGCCGCTAAGCCTTTCGGTCGACGAGCAGCGACTCGCCATTGCGAACCTGTTTCGATTGTCAATAACCGTTCTTATTCTCCCCCTTTTTCTCCTTCTTCTCTCAACCACCACGGCACCCAACCCCGTATCAACACTAAACAAGCGACCATCGCATAGTCACTCACCAGCATAATAACTAACCCCCAACAACCCCACCTTCCCATTCGACCACTCCTGCTCCGCACACCACTCAATCACCTCACAGAAACACTCGCTCGTGTCCCTGCTCATCGTATCCAACAACCCCGGGCTCTGGCCCGTCCCGCGCTCGTCCGCCCGCACCACCGCGTACCCCTGGCCGCACCAGTACACCGGATCGGGCGTCTCCCAGGCGGAGAACTCGGACCGCTGCTCGGCGTTGACCTCGGCGAAGGAACCCGGGTGGAATGAAGAGTAGGGGATGTCCTTGCCGTAGGGGCCGTAGGTTACTATGACTGGGTATTTCTTTTCAATATCTGGTTGGGGTTCTTTGGGGAGGTAGACGTTGGCGCGGATGGGGAACGGGGAGGATTTGAGATGGATGAAGACGTTTTTCATGAAGAGGATTCGTGGGTCGGGGACGGTAGTTTGGATGTCGAGAAGGCGAGGGCGGCCGTAGATCGTTCGTTGGGGGTGAGTAGTAGAGTCGCCCATGGTTGGTAGCGGTTCGTTCTGGTTCGGGTGTTGGTATGTATGCTTGTTTGGTATGATGCTGTTTGGTGTGCTGAGTTGGTCTAATATTATCTAGCGAGGTTCGAGCAGGCGGATGATGACGGATGAAAAGGAAAAGGATATCTTTACTTGCCCTGGCACTCTGCTGTGCTGTTCACGTCAGTAGTTGAGGCAATGGTTGAGTACACGATTCCCATCACGATCATCGAGTCTCATTAAAAGGCGGGGTACTAGACATCAACTGCACATGCAGCTGTGTTGCACGAAGTCCGGGTACTACTAGCTATACGGAACTCGGTGGAATTCACTTCCGTTGCATAACGGGATTCGAAAACGCATGAGTCGCTGTTTCCTCTTTTTGTCGTCCTTCGGCTCATGAAGAACCTTCAAGATCTGCTTGACTGATTCGAGAAAGACAAAGAACTCAGAGTTCCGTCGATACAATCACCAAAAGCATCATCGAATGCAAAATAAACCATCTTAAATGAACAGCACGGCCGCATAAGGACAACGGAACTGTCTCCAAAAAAAAAAAAACACCACGGTTATGGAGAGGGTGACGATGCTTGACCATCTTGCCTCCATGTTCTCCAAGAAACTCGAAGACATTTCTCTCAACTTCCCAACAAGGAGAAGAGCAAACTTCGCACACCCCAAACTCTTTGAGGGAGCAGCATGCCGACGCCATTTGCAATCGCCAACCTCAAACAACTTAAAAGACCAAGGTCGTCTCGTCGTTTCGTGTTAAGACCATAAATGCGGAGTGTCCGAGTGTCTGAGGAGGTGCAAAAAGGCGAAATCTTAGTCGGTCGAACGGTGCTGCAAACGACACTACAAACAACAACCCCCATTTTAAACCTCAAAACAAAAAACAAAAACCGCAAACCATCATTTACGACATCCTCATCCCTTCCCCGATCAAATAAAAAATGCAAAAAAGCTAAGTCGCCCAGGTAGGTTTGTAGAACGAACGACAATACCCCAGCTGCAGACTTTACGAAAACCGCCACGCTAAGTTATTCATCAACGGTAACCACTGCGCCATGAGACCACAGGGCTCCCCGTTGTGGTAGAGGGGCTAGGTAACGGACCTTATATGGTGCTTGCCACTTGTGGTGCCTGCTGCCTGGGCCAGTCTGGGGAGGTGCGCGGGAAGGAGGGGGTCTGTCGTCCGATGTCTGGGGGAGGGCAGCGCGGCAGGAGCGGTGGCAGGAATGATGGCAGGAGCGATGGCAGGCGCATGGCATCGTATCGATGCAGTACAGCAGCGCTGCGCTGCTTGACATGTGATGACTTGGAAAGTCCCATGACATTCGATCATATACTTTCTGAGAAAGACCTCGCGCTATCGCAACTAGAAACCCTGGGACCATTGAGGTTTGAGCTCCTTCTTTCCTTCCTCTGTTCATACGTTTCTATCCCTGGTATATGACCGGATTCTAAAACCTTTTAACCATTGGCGTTCAATTTCCAGGAACTAGACCTCTAAACCAACTACTCAGGTCCATCTTCAACGAGCTGGCGAACCAATCCTGATATTCAATCTCATGGTACCTAGCTTCAGATACGACTATCCGACCTTTCCCATCGACTCTGACAATAGCTTCGTGCATGGTGAATCAACAATTGGTTGATCCTCATGTGTCATGAACTACTCTGCAAGCATCATCGGCCTCTCGTCGCGAACAGTTGCTGAGTGGCAATGGTCAAAGGACTGGCAGAATAGACTACGCCAAAACAGTTGTTGTTGTTGTTGTCAAGGCACGCTTTGGCTTCGAAAGCACTTTAGTTTAGGGTGTGCCGGATGTTGTTTTGGTTCAGTCAGTCAGAAACGCCACCACGAGTCGTTGGTTGAGAACTACTTGGAGTGCGGAAAAGATAAAGAGTTCTGGACATCACGGATCGTTGAACCGGTACATGTCCGTTCGCTGTGCATGTCAACTCTGGCCAGCCGTACCGGACATATAGAGTAGTGTTCGAAGGCAAAATCAGTGTGAGCTCGACAAAGTGGCAAGGACCCATCACATTTTAGGGAAGTGTGAGGGGATGGAGTGATTGCCTCATCCGGCTGCTTTCGTTCCGGGTTGTGCGTCAGAGAAGGCAGATGAAATGGATGAAGAGAGATAACAGCGAGGACTTGGACGGAGGTAGCGGATACGCAGGACTCATAGGCCACACTGGTGTGGTGGGGGGTGGTGAGGATTGATCCTGATAGTTCGATCAACAATGTTGATTGCTGTTGTCAAGATTTGTTGAGCTTTAGAGGTAGTAGACACTCTGTGAGCAAGTGACAATAGACGCCGTTGAGATATACACTTGTCGTCCTATGTGCAGACTGCTCTACTAACTTGATGTATTCTCCTGTTTTAATTTCGTTAAGTACCAAAAGATGACACGTCGAGTTAAGTCAATGGCCTTGCCATGGTTGGCTGACGGTTCCTGTGTTCGTGACTCGTGAGTGAGTTCGTAATGTTACTCAACATGTAAATTTGAGATGCCCCCATCAGGAGGATGGCAATATAAGCTATGCCCCTGGATCCAACAAAGATGATCCGGAGGTGAAAATAGCAAAATGATAGTTCGAGTAAAGCGTGTTTACTTGCTTACCAACTATAGCCGACATCACTTTTCGGCAAGTGACGCAACATCCTCCAGTCTTCATCCGCCCTCTGATTTTCCTGCTTGCTGACCTCGACGCGGTGAGGCTACAACGATCGATCGCAGACCTCTGATCAGCAGCTTACAAGACATGAGCTCAAATCCTACGATTCCGAAGAAGGGCCGAGGAAGAGCATCGGGATCCAAAAGCGCACGCATGTAAAAAAAATTGCATACCAGCCCTCAACCTCTAATCGGAAGAGCCTTCCGTTCCTTCCGGATCGGCACACACCGAAGCCGCCAAACCCGACCCGCGGTCTACATTCTCGTGACTGGCAGAAAGCCCGAGGCTCGTTCTCGTCTCAACCGAACTCTCATACGGAATGAACGGATCTTACAATATCTGGGCACCAAGGCAAGGTCTAGCTTCCGTATGTGGGTTGGAATGCCGTAGCCATATCAAAACACTAGAAGCGCAAGGCCGGGGTGGCGATTTAAAGAAAACCTGTGCTTCTTACTGATCGGTACCCGTACCACCCTTGTTCGTATTGATGAACACTCCCCATGTCGTTCATGTGGGTAGGGATCGTGCAGACGTCATGAACTATCGAAACATGGCTGTGGACCCCTATGATGAACTTCCTTCGCATCGGGCGGTAGCAGCATACAAAGCAGGCGGGGCTGTATGTAGAGCATCACTCTAAAGTCAGCCCTGAGGAAACGGCTGGGGCTGAGTGGAGGGAGTGGCGTTAGGTCCCCTGGGAAAGGAGGGAAGCTTGCTCACAGGACTTTGCCTCAGAACAAATCTAGACTGTCCAGAAATGTGGCAGACTCATGGGGAAGGGTTGCTGATCGTCGGTTTCTGCCCTGCTCGCAGCCGTAGTAAGCCTCAAAATACGGCGATTCGGCATAGCATTGAAAAGTGGAATCCCAAACCAGAGATATCTCGTGGTGTTGACGCGACTGGAAAGCCACAGTTGACCCATAAACATGTGACTGCTCGCGTGCCTCGCTGTCTCAGGGAATAAACGGTCGCTAAGCTCGTAGTGCTGGTGAGATTAGCTGCATACATCATTATGCGGGGGGATCTGGTTGATCTTGCACGATCCAAGGCAAAGGTTTCACCGATCACTGATCGCTTCTCAATTATACTGGGGAGTGGTGACCTACGTCCCGCCACGGGTGGCTGCATTTATTCAGGCCTTGTGCTTAAAGGTGACCCAGGCCGTTGGCACCGCCCGTGAACTAAAACAAAGGCCCGGCCGTTTGTAGCTTTTGTGAAAGGACCGACGCGACGCATGGCGTACGCCTCGCATCCTCAGAGTCGGTGTTCCGGAAATCTAAGCATATTGAGTGGATGGGAGTCCGGTAGGGAGTCGGCGACATGGTATGTCGGGGACCAAACAACCCCAACTGGATTGGACAAAAACTATAGGGGCAGTCATTAGCCGGAACAGCCGCCGTTCGCGTGTAGTCAACCCCCCGGGGTATTCAGTATCAGTGCATCCCATGGTGAGTTTTTCTCCGACATAACGGCGGAAGTGACAACGTGTTGCTGTGAGCGAACACCAGAGGTTATCGAGTACCGTCACGTTACTTTCATGATTGGTCAAGCACTGCTCTTTGATGTTCGGTGTGAATCACCTCTCTTGGGGATGTTTCCGGTGCATGAGTCGTCATGGTTCGGAAACTGTGTCCAATAAAGTTATTCATTGGTGATCTTTGAGGGGACTGTATAACGTTTCTCTGCACACAACTTTAGCTAGCTTTGGGTTTCTCGTGATTCTAGACAGTGAGCTTATCCATAAAGATCGAAGCTGTCAAGCCTGCATCGGCTTCTCTCGTCTTATTGTCCTTGGCCATGATGATTGTGAGGATATGCGATAGAGGTAGAGGTATGAGCAGAAAGGGTTGAGGAGAGGGAGACAGCCACAGGAACTTGGCCGCAGGCGGGAAGCCAAGGCAGCCACGGAAACACAGTGGAACATGTCAAGCACCATACCTCAAACACTCGACAATAAACCAACAGCTATGTTCCCTGGTGAGTTGAAGAAGGAGTTCCCTGCTTGAACTTTGTCGTAGGGGGTCGAAATCTCGTACCTGACATAAATGAACCGGGCCGTGCCTGTTAGAACCCTTTCGGTGTCTGAAACCTGGGCCTTGGTGTGCCGCTGTGTTTATTCCATGCTTTATTCTGAAACCAGTCAGCCTCCAGGATGTGAACCTGGGAAAGTAGAGTAACGCTGGGTGAGAATAAACTTAATCAATAGGGGTTATCATCCAACCAGGTGATGGCGGAATGGGGATGTTCGAAGGGGGCGATGATTATCATGTTGTAGGTGAACGTGACGGGATTGTGTGAAACTTGTGAGTTGGAAATTCAACAGAACTAAGTTGAAGTGCAGTCGAGTGAGAGGGAACACTTGAACAACTGCAACCACGAACGGTCCCGAAGATGGGAGTCCCTTCCACTTGGTGCTTCGTCGGGACAATTTGGTAGTCCGAACCGGTGCCTCAAGCCCGGGCTCCTTCCCGTTCTGTGCCCCCTTCTGTGTTGCCTTCCTTTAGTTGTAGGTAACTTCATTCCATTGTCGGGGCATCTTTACACTTGGTAAGCACCTTCCAGGTTCGTCTTGGTGTTACTCGGAAGTTTGGATTTTACCCGTCGTTTTTGTTTTGGTCATTGTGACCACTTGGAGTTCGATACACTCCGCTTCGCTTCAACTTCGAGTTCGGTGAACATCCAAATCTCTTGCCCATGATGCCGAATGTTGCCGTGAGTAAACATATCTCTGAAACCTGCCAGCCACCTCCAGTTGCCGTAATAGAGTGGCTTGCCGCCTTCGAGCTCAACGGTTAAGGTACGACACAAGAGCAATATGCTGAAAATTCAATGCCCATTTTCTCGAGGCCATTTTCGAAGATGCGAATGTGGTGACCATGTCGATGATGAAAGAGGAGAGTCTAGAGCTTACAGATCTCCTGTTTTACCATTTCCCATGTCTTGTCGCAGAGCCTCACAGGGCAGCCGAGACCCTGCTGGTCCTCCGCAATACGCTTTACCGTTTCAGGATTGGCGGGGTCCAGGTACCAACCTGCACTGAGCAGGGCGTTTGCAGCGCATTCCGTACTAACAATTACGGTGAACTGTAAATTACGTACATAGTGCACGGGCCAGACGGGAGGACATGTTCAACATCACCGCAGCGAAGTATGTCGGCTCCTCGCGGCTTTCTCTCCTTGACTTGAACTAACAACTGCCCAGTTGATCCAGTTCCCCTCTGCCCCGGCCATCCCGGCCGCACTCGCCCAAGGACATCCAAGAATCACTTGCGCATGGATCTTCCAATTTCTATTTCAGATTTACCCTATTCATTCATTCTCTCTGCGTCGGATGGACGCCTTGCTGTCCGGCCATGAGTAGGACAGACTGAAAAGCTTCGGACCAGGCCGGACTTGGAGTTTCGAGAGAGGTACCTCACGTTCAACCTTAGGGGCACATCACAATCAGTGATGAGCTCAAGTTGAGCGTTGTACCTTTTCACAGTCCCCTTGTTCGCCCTTACTGGTACCCCAGCCAATGATGGCTTGGCTACGCAGGTCGGGATCACACTGGGTGTCGCCAGTCCGCACACTCGGGTTGACGGATGCGAGGGGGGTTTTGCCGTTCCCCAAGGTACGGATGCTGGGACGCACCACTTCCCCGGGGAATCGACACCCGCATTGCTTCCGTCTGCTACGCTGCATAGGGTTGGACGAACGCAAGATTGGGACTCGATGCCCGGAGAATTTGTGACCAGAAGATTGACCAGTGGCTGTCGGATGGCTTGGGGCTGGTGACTGCTTCTCCCAGAGCATTGGTAAGTGGTCAGTATCTCATTTACTTGCATATTTTATCTCTCACGTCTTTATTCAGCAATCCAGCGCCATCAAAAGATTTGGAATACCACAGCTACCCGATGCAGATGCCTGGTCAAGTTCATCAGTCAATCCCCTGCCATCGCCAATCCCCATCTGTCGCCAGGACGGGCATGGACCCAAGCTCAGCCAACTTGCCCGACATGCTTTTCATGAGCGAAGGAGCTGAAACCCGGCACATATGAGCGGTACATGGCTACATGCTTGGAGACGTTACATTCCTGATTGGATATGGTTGGAAATAATACCCGAACTGTCAGCCACAGGGTCTTTTTTCCAGGGACTATTCGGCTTTCATTCAACATGCAGTGCGCCCTCTCAATTATCTTATCTCTTCCATCTGGGTCCGACATCATGAGCTCGATGTGGAGCCATCTCTTTGTCAAGCACAGATCGACTGTGTACTTGGCTTTACTTGTGGACAGGTCTTCCTCGGTCCCGCAGACCATGTCACTTGAGAATTCAAAAGTAACAGTTGGACTTGACAGACTGCCGCGTTACGTCGTGCCCGGGCTTGCCCTCCGGTGTAAGAGGTTTATCAAAACCATTCCGTTATCGCGAATGACCGAGTTCCTTATTCTTTGGCAAGAAGTTGGCGGTTGCAGCTGTAGAACAGGAATCTGCTAGCCAACGCTCTGGGTAGAGCTTAGTCAAGGGAGTGCGCCAGGGAAAACCCCGAAACAATGGCCGTTTTCTGCGCTTCGTGGATCAAACCGCGTCAAGGGCTGTCAGTGGTATCAGCTCAAGCACTTTGGACCCATCCAGGCGGAACCCTGATCACAGTTGTCTCAGACCGGGACGCTTTCAAACTACCCGCTGCCGCTGACTGACAACCAAGCCTAGACAAAGCTAGCTAACATGGCCTAACGAGCCTTGGTACCTGGCGCTTCCCGAGGAGGTCGGCTAATGTGAAGCGGACTTGGTCAGTATCGTTGACGGAATTCAATGCCGTCAACGGACGGAGGCTCTTCCGGGCGGCCTGGACTAGTGAGCGGCGAGAGCTTGAGCTCCTCGGACCGACCAATGCTACATTTCCATCAAGTAAGCGAAGAAGGTACTGGCGGCTAGGTTAATATCACGATTACTCCACGAAGTAGGTCCCCGATGCGGCCTAACATATGGTCCAGTGGATATCTTACCTTTACAGTCTTGGATGTCTCTATGACAGCATATGAACTTCCAACCAGGGAAGTCAAGGCCGCAGCTTTTCTTGGGCCACTCACCAAAGAAGTGCTATAGCCTATCGCTTAAATCAACCACAATAGTTTGACTTATGAACGCAGAGGAACCCCAACACATTGCCCTTGAAAGTTTCGATAGGCCATCCAAGGGCGCCGCTCGTCACATCGAAGCTCCCTCCCTCCCATACTAATGATACTAAGCCAGCTGAAGCCAAGCTACAATGTCTAGTGATCACCGGCCGTAGCAGCTGAGAAATTGATACCTTTCCCATCATTGCCAGGAGAACAATCAAGACCATCCAACCCCATGTCCAATCATGCGGAGAGAATATGTCGTTGTTCCACCTTACCGTGACGGTTGAAGTCCAGACGACGACACAACTAGCTTATCGCTTTAGACAAGGCACGGACCATGTGCGCCAGTGATGGTGGGGTGCTGAGGGGAATCTCCACCACGCTAGGCTGTTTGGGTGAGTTGGAAATGATGTGCATATCCTCGCCTGCCCCCCGCCATAGCATGTAACTTCCCTTCTGGGAGTGCAACTCGTACGGGCACCAACTGAAGCAAAAGAACGAAGCCAAACTCACTCGCTTCAACAATACACAACAACAAGAGCTACAACAAAGTCAAGTTTCAGGGTCACCAAGCTGCGTCTTCCAGCCGATATGTGGCTCTGTTATCTACCTCTACAGTTGCCCGACATGGTACTTTCATCGCTGTAAGCCCGTACCAAGAAAGCTGAGACTGCGCCCATCAACTCCAACACACAACCCACTCACTCTTCGATGTCATGGCGTTTTCTCGATACCAAGCATCGCGTCCATGACATGAATTTGTTGCTTTTCCCTTCCCATCGATCGGTAGGTACAAGGTGGACGCCATCCCCCATCTCTCACTCCTGCAGAAAACCCCCTGGCGCATCAACCCAAGTTCCAACGTCAGATACCGCACCTGGTAAGCAGCACATTGCATCGCATCGCATATGGATCGCAGCAGAGACCTGGAGGACCCTTGGAAAAGTTGAAGGGAGAGGACGGTGTGAGGTCTGTAAGGTCTCTTGCGAGGTCTCTGGTTTGCGCCTCACCCGAAGCTTCATCAAGCCATATCACATCGCACACACAGCATCACTGTGTAGGGTCTATCAAGATGTTGCAGCCTCACCGAGCAAGTCCCCGTCCCGTCGTCGATCCTAGCATCACTGGCAAATCCAATTTCTCAACCTCGCTTAGACCCTTTCCATCACAGACATGGACAAACAAACAAGCAACTCGTAGAGCGAGCCTCGCACCTCTTTGCCATCCATTCATCAGTCACGACAGGGCAACAGAACCAGGATGGTTTCAGAGCTCAGGTGGTCCGGCTGTGGTGCCTTGCATAGAGGTACCGGACCCATGCTGTCGCCTCCATAACCCCATTCCCACCTCATCTTCTCAAGTGGAAGCGGGACTCTTGCGGGACTCTTGCGGGAGCAGGCACTGCCCGACGGGTTATGAGAACCACGGCTCGCTCGCCCTCCTTGCAGTCGGCTACCGTAAACAAAGATGGCCTATCCTTGTCGCCACAACCCCTGTAAGCCTCTCAAGAGTGTCGACGGCTCTCTAGGGCTCTCCACTACTCCTCCCGACGTCCCGCAGGTGTTTCTGTTCCTCGCGGCGCTCCGCGTTTGACTTCACAGCAAAAGCTCGACATCCAGATTCCAGATTGTCCAGACCACCACCCACCACCACCCACCACCACCCGGGGAGGCAACGCGGACTCGGAGTGGAAAAGAAGCGCTCGACATGCCATCCCATGATGCATCCGCCTTAGATTCGCACAGGGCATCGCGCTTGCTTCATCAATCAGGTCTCGGAGGCATCCATGCCCCGTCTCACACTGGCTATCCAGACACTGTCCAGACTACCAGGTACATATCTTCCGAGCCCGGCACTGCTTCGTGATTGGCGTTTTTGATCTCCCCCGCGATGACGGCGACGAGACCCGTCTTCAGATCTCCCACCCATGCCCGACTTCAATCCCATCATGCACATCACTTCGGCCTTTGCAATTGCCCATCCTCTCGCAAAAATAGTATCCCCCCGAAAGTACTGTGGATCTTTTCTTTTTTTCCCTCCTTCCCCGAGCGCACCTCAACCTTGCTTGCGATGGAGACGGAGATGGGTACAGTCATAGTACACACTGACTCCCGCCGTCACTCCGTCGCCTACACCCGGTGCTCCTCGTTGTTTTAGTGCCCTGAACGGGACGTCTTTCCTCAACCCCTGTTTTGTTGTTCTTCTGGTACGCAGTCCAGACAGGTTTTCTATCATTCTACCCCCATGATGGTACATGCACATCATGCGGCTTGGGGACCTCCTACAGCGGCCGAGTGGGTATGCGGTTGAGAAATCTTCCCGAGGTTGATCAAGGATTCAATGGTCCAGGTCCGCATCTACTCCATCCGGGGCTATATAACATCTTAGTTCCCGCTTCAGAAAGCTTAAACTTCCGTCCCGTTATTCCCCTCATCCTCTACCAAGACGACCTGCCCCTTCACAAGCTCCTTCATATCATACCATCTGTTGTCAGTGTGAACTATATACGGAGGTCGATATTGATCAAACAACATTCCCAGCCAGTTCGTGTTAAATATTAGTCAACTTGACGCCTACACCAAGACGAGACGATAAAACATCATCACCAACATAACAAGCAAGCCGTTTGCGTTGTCATACCGCTTCTCGTTGACGCATTCATACCTCGGTCAACCCCGCCCTCACCTAATCCACCGACAATCACCGTTGCCAACCATGGCTTTCCCTCAACCAGGCGGGCCGGCTTTTTGTCACGCACAGGTACATGGTGTTTTCTCCTTCCCGCGACCGGCTTCCAACGCTCGCCCGAAAGTTGTTAACACGCCCGCGCAGTCCTTTGCGGATGCCCAATCCCAGTTCGACATTCTCGAGTGGCACCCCTATTTCATGTCCTGCATGCGATACTTCCTGGACCACGCCCAGTACCATGGCCCCGTGCAGGCTCTTGCCGGATTCATCAACATCCGACTACCTTTCCAGAAGCCCAACCCGGTGCTATCTTCACAGACAGTCCGCCCACCACCGGAACTAGAGGCGTCTTGTGTCCGGGGAGCAGGGGGAAAGGCACCCGTCGGGGGCTACGGTCTTCAGTCGTATGCAAGTGTCAACTTGATCCCCTATATCCGCCGTCTGGTGGCTACGGGATATGACTTTCCCGGAGTTTTGCACGGCTTTTTCGGCGACGACTGGGAGGCTGGTATCGGGCCACTACACGAGAACGAGCGACGGAACTACCTCTTTGCGGCCAAGAGCTCCAACTGGCTCAAGGTCAAGGCGGCTTACGACATGAACGAGGAAGAGTCCATACCGTTTTTGAAACCTTTGCGCGATGCGACCGAAAGAGAGATTGTTCTGGCTGAGAGAAGCTGGAGCGAATGGTTGGCGATGCAGGACTGGATGTTGGGACCACGCGCACCGGATGTGCAACAAGCAAACGGCAACGCCAATGGAGGACGGATGCAGGGTATCAAAAGGGAAGGTGACTAAGAGGATTCATCCCAGGAGGTTTTGTAAGGCGAATTGGGAACGGACAAGGAAAAGTTCATGGGTTGGATATGAGTCTTCTCTCTGTTGAGTGTTGGCATTCCATTGTACAGCTTTCCTACGGGCCATGTTTGAGCATGTTACTATACGGTTATGGATGGCTCTGTATCATACAAGTAGCTATCAGAAAAAGGATGAATGTGCTATCTGGACAGGTCAGAGCGTCAACCTCAAGTCGACCTCCAAACAATCGGGTAGTACACGGGAAAAAAAAAGTACCGGAATTTGAATGAAAAGATGATGACATATTCCCGGCTCTCCCATGGAAATCGTGATTAGTTACTGCATCAGAGCGACTCCTCGTATCAACTCCATGCTTCCCCAACCTAGCACAGGACCCTTAATATCAACTGCAAATATCGAAAGAGCATGGGCAGGGAACAAGACCTCAACTGTCAATGTTCCAGTGTCTCCGTGTGTATATACCGTACGAATATCGGCCGGTAGTGGCGGTACGTCCACGAGACTTTTGATACTGTGAAGAGGGATGTACAGTACAAGACCGGAGTGCCGAAGACGGAGACAGCTTCCGTCAGAACTTCAAATGGCCCAAGCTTTGAGTCTTATCCCCACTTTAATTGCTTTGTGGGTCTTCGGCTCGTGCCGACCTACGGCGATAGGTAAGGTCGGGTTCGCCTGGTGTTTGCCCGGGTACGATACCTTACAGCACTTCCACATCAGTTCGCTGCAGACGGGTCGCGCTGTGGTGCAATCTGACTGCCCTGCTTCACACTTCAACTTCATCTTTTGCGCAGCAAAAATTAGGCCACCCAGATACGGCGACGCAGCAGTCGAAATATAAGATTCGGACTCGAACGCTTTACAGTGTACGGCAGCAGTATACTACACTACGAATATCATCAACCGATCCAACACATTTTCCAGATTTGAGCCAACGCGCCCATAGGCGGATCACAACGGCCGAACGCATCTGGAACCAAAGCCCCAACGAAGCGCCCCTGTCGGTCATCTGGAAACTTGTTGCTGTTCAAGTGAAGTGGAAGGGGCGGGACCAACAGCTGCGTCAACCACATGCTCGAAAGCTGACCCTGACAAGCGCATCATCGGACATTGGTCGCGACGCAACAACGTCAGCTACCAATACCACCACATTTAAAATGACCCCAGCCCCGATATAGTACGCGCCCGATTTTTGCTACTCCCGTCTATCACCTACTATCACTACCGTCGACAAAACCGGTCTCGAATGCCCCGACCATGCCCGGAGGTCCAGCGACGGCAGGCTTGTCGGCGGCCGTGGGACAATGGACCAAGTTCCTGGCGCGCGCCGAAGCCAAACGACTAGACCCAAGCGACTTCGCGAGATTCGTGCCCATCCTTAACGCGGACTTCTATCCATTGCCTCCCATCATTATTGCCAACCTCCTCCTCAAGCCGACGAAGCAGTCTTCCTATTCTCTCGACCCCCGCCGACTACAATATCTCACCATCCTCCTCAACCAGAAGCTCGTCAATCCCCAGTCCGTCCTGAAAGTTCTACACCACTACTCGACATCGCAGGCCAAGATTCAGAGTGAACATGATGCAGGCACCACAAACGACGCCGCGACGGCCAATAAAGACCAAAAAGGAGACAAGAAACCGAAGAGGGTGTTCTGGCAGAACTCATACAACGACGAGGAGATAATCTTTCTGCGGCTCTCCAAGGTTATTACACATGGTCAAGGCATCAGGCATGCCTCTGACGCCTACGAGATGGCCACGAACCTGAGCAAGTGGATAACGCTCTTCATCGACGTCATCGCCGCCTTTTCACGAGATACGTTCGGCACTATTCAGGACATGCGGACCAAGCAGGACATGGAAACCTCTCTTCAGGCTTTCAGTTTGCTTTTGGTCAACTTTTTGGGAAACCAACGGGTGGTTTCTGCCTTCAGCCGGCCCGAGGCTAAAGGTAACGCTTCTTCTATGTCTGTGAACCGAGCACTTGGCTAATGACTTTCTTCTCACCAGGCCATCGCAAACGATTAGCGAGCTCTATCGACCAGCTTATACCCTATATCCTTCAGAATCCAAATACCTCTGGAATTGCGGAGAAGTTAGAGTTCAGCCGAGGGCAGGCACTGGCCGGGGAAGAGTCTTCTGACCTGAAGGACGCTGCGGTAGCGGAGATGCATAGCTACATGGATAACATGATCGGGCTGGACACATGGCAAATACCCGACATGCCCCTAGTTAACTCTCGCGCTGGTCTGTACATTTATATCAATGCTGCGGTATGTTCGTCGGCCAGCTATGCTGATTTGGAGTGGATGGGGGACCCAAGATGCTGACGGCTATATAGCTTGTGGGACGACCTTTGATCGATGACCATTCTCTTTACACCTACCTACACAACAGATACCAGGTTTGTCCTCTCGCTCAAAGTCCAACGTGATCTGTGACCGTGCTGACAAAAGGCTCAGGGTGACTTACAAACAACAGCAATACACCTTATCCTAGCATCCTTCGATGTCTTGGCGAACGCCGTCTTTAGGTACGAAGGATCAAAAACCGGACACTTGCTCAAATCATACGTCGTCAACAAGGTTCCCCTAATATTGGGTAACTTTGCCGCTTCCTCTACACATATGTATCCTTTCGACGCAGAGTTCTGCATATCCCAGGCGCTGGGTCAGGTTGACACCAATGTGTTCCCGACATTGTCCAATATGTTTGACATGTCGAACACGAGCAGCTCCTTTCAGGACTCTGTACGACAAGACTTTTGCTTTGCCTGCCAGTTGCACGGGCTGTTGTCTTCGTCGGCCATTGAGACCTTGTTGGGCGAGATTACGTATCAAACACTGCCGGACGAGGGCCGGTACGTGAAAGAAACGCTTGTTCAGGCATGTTTGGAAGATTCCGAGAGAAGTCAGAGGCTTATCGGGGAATTGGATAACATGAATGGAAACGTGGGCGCTGCCGCGCAAGCTATTGTTGAGGTTGGTCGGCATTCAGTCATATAACGGAAGCCTGCGAGTGATGGCTGCTAACATGATAATCATAGGTGATTGGTACACTCTGCCGCAACAAGGAGACCATGACTCTCAAGCAATTGTGCAGTCAGCTGGCCAGCAAACCGTCATCTTTGGATATTCTACTGCTCTTCGACAAACCATACAAAATCCTTCATCCTCTGTGCGAGCTCTTGGACAACTGGGGTGGGTACGACGAGGATCAGGGCGAATATCAGCCTGTATACGAGGAATTTGGGTCTATATTGCTTCTACTACTGGCCTTTGTGCACCGCTACAGTTTGACACCCACTGACTTGGCCATCCGGTCTCCGGATTCGTTCGTGGGAAAGCTGCTAGGAAGGGGCTCGTTGAGTCGGCCTTTAGACGAGCTCAGCGACCAGGAAAAGTCGCACCTGAATGGTTGGGTACATGGGCTATTTGACTCGGAGGCTGGTGGCTTAGGAGACGATCTTATGTCGTCGTGTCCTCCGCAGGACTTCTATCTACTCATGCCGACGCTTTTTGATCAGATCGTTATGGCTTTGAGTACAGGCTGCTTGAATGATTACCTGTTAAGGAGTGGTCTAGAATGTGAGTATAAACTTTCTTATCACAATTATCATGGCCTTGTCGCTAACTGCCTCTTAGATCTCTTGGATACCCTATTATTGCCCTCACTAGTGCCAGCACTCTTGTTCCTTGCAAACAATCTGCGAACCGATAAGCAAGCCGGTCAAGGAGCGGTCATCAAGATTCTTCAGCTCATTCTGCGTCCTAACTCGATCTCTAATGAAGCATCTACCATGCTCTCATCGGTCCTGAACATCGTCGCCAAGCCCCTGGAACTCTCACTCCGCTCCTATCAGCGTCAAGTTCCCGCCTCACAAGAGGTCGAGCCCCTCTTGCGCGCTCTCAAAGAGAACCTGGCCGTGTCCGGCCGCACCGGTGGCGCCGATCATAGCGAGCTGGAAAACTGGACCGGCACGCACCACAACGGGTCCGGGTCCGTCGGGGGTCTCTACGGCGCCATCCGCCACGCCGTCCAAAACCTGGTCCAATGGGCTCAACACTCCCCCGGCAACGGCGTGCCCACCACTTACACCCACCGCCAGGTCCTCGTCGCCCTCCAGATCTGCGGCGCAAGGCGTCTCCTTTCCGCCTTGCTTGAGGAGCTGAAAGCGCAAACAGAAGCCGGCAACGGCCCCGTCGCCTACGACGTCGTCACCGCCATCATCTGCGCTCCCGACGTCCACAACACCCCCGTAATGGACGACGACCCCTCTACCAGAGGTGGAGGGGATTCAAATAACCACCCCGTCCTCAAACGCCAGCGGAGAATCACCCTCCGCGAAGCCCTCAAATTCGAAGCGGAAGAGTTTAAGAAAATCCAGAAATCGGACCCCTTAATGGCCGAAACGGTCGTCAGGTTGCATCGCCGCGTCGAGGCGCAGATGGCCCTCCCTCCGCCGCCTCCGCCGCCCGCGCAGCATCATCATCATCATCAGCAGACGATGCTGCAGCCGGAGCTGAGCGCGTTGGGTGTGGTGGCTGGGGATGCCATGGGTGATTCGATCATGAATGCTGCGGCGGTTGCAGTGTCGAGTGGTGATCATCACCATTCGGTGGATGCAATGAGTCTGGATGCTGCTGGCATGGGTGGGTTGGATGTCGGGGGAGCGGGTGGGATGGATTTGAGTGGGATGGGTGATATGGGTATGGGTGGTATGGGTGGGTTGACGGTTAATACGAGCACTGGAGGGGTGGGAGGCGGTGTTGGAGCGGGTGCTCAGAGTGGCGGTGGTGCAGGAGGAGGTGCTGGTGCGGCCGGGAATGGAGCAGGAGGTGCTGGCGGTGCTGGCGGTGGAGGCAGCGGCAGCGGTGGTGCGGGAGGAGACTTGAGTGGCGATGATATCTTTAGCGGATTGGGGACGGGGGACTTTACAACGGATTTCGGGAACTGGGATACGATGGACTTGGGGTAGTATCCTCAACGTCCAAGACAGATGGTCCCGGAGGATGGGGACTGAGAACGGTGGAATGCGAATCGTTTGTAGACGCAGGTTCGTGAATTGAGAATTTCGATTTGCATTGTGCGCTTTGTTTTTGGGAGTTGCGAAAAGTTTAGAAGCTGGCAAACCTTGGGCGACCAGGGATTCGAAGGTCATGATGAAAGGAGTCAGTCAACATGTCACGCCTGTGTGAAGGAGAGCGTGTGTTGGTGGTGTTCGAATGGTTTGTTTGATCTTGCGTAAAGCGTGGAAACACTCAAAAGTTATGTATTGTATTACATTACATTAGCTGAATCAAAGATGTATAAGAGTCAGAAACCCTGCCGAAAGAATTCACAAATGCTGCGTTGTTGCAATGTCGGTGGACTTTCTGCCCGGTGTAGGGAAAGAAAGTGTGTCGACACCTGCAATCTAGAGAGCAATCAAATGCACAAAAAAAAATGAAAAAAAATGGCAAGATTCACACAGGACAATTTGATGCGTATCGATCGCGTAAACCGCAAAAACCCAACAATAGAAGTTAGTTAATAAAGGGGCGAGAAATAGCAATAACGGAAAGATTTTAAAAATGCAAAAAAGAAATGATCGCGGCAGGGCTCGAACCTGCGATCCTCTGCGTTATCGTTTGTAAAGCAGATGCCTTAACCACTGGGCCACGCAACCATCGATACTGGTTTGTCGTATGGAACTAGCTTATTAGCGCTGAAACCCTGACCAAAGGGGAGGGGAGTGGAGTTGGGAATGCCACCATCATCCAATGAAGGCGGGCAGGTTGGAGCTAACTAGCCCCTGAGACAATGTAAACAAATGCGGATGGAGCTTTGAGATCATAATAGTTCCGGTCACGAATGATGTGACGTCTTTTTGACACTGCCGATTGCTGGATCTTTTGGGTGAACAGAGCATGCCCTCGAGAACGTTATCCAGAATTCGGCCTCAGGGTTTCCTCGACATCATTTATGCCGCCTTCTTCCTCATCGACGGCCTCCATTTCGCATACGGATGTTCCTCCTCGACCGTCTCCGGCACCAAGTGATCAGCCGCCCTCGTATTAAGCAGTCCCGGATGCACCTGATCGAGACTCGTAATCCCACACATTTTCATCGTCGTCTCCAGTTCATCATTCAATATCGCCACATACCTCCTCACCCCTTCCTCCCCATATCCAAGCCCATACAAGATCCCCCTCCCAATCCCCACGCCACTTGCCCCCAAACACAATGCCTTGAACACATCCGTCCCGCGCATTCACCCCTCCATCGATCAGCACCTCCATCCTGTCAAAAACCTCCGGACAACACCTCTGCAGCTCCAACAAAACCAAAATCGTCGCCGGCGCCGTATCCAAGCTCCTCCCCCCATGGTTCGACACCACGATCCCCTCCACGCCCGCCTCCATCGCCCTGACCGCATCCGCAGCCGTCTGCACCCCCTTTAGCACAACCTTGACCTCCTCCGGCAAACACTTCCTCAACCAAGCAATATCCCCCCACTGGACACTCGCATCCACAAATTTCCCCGTGATCCTCCCCAGTCCGCCTCCAGACTTATCATTCTCCGCCTTCTCCCCCGTCATCGGCACCACCCCTGCCGATAAACCGACCGCTTCGCTCGCGGAAATCCTCTCATCAGCCTCCCTCTTCCCCGGCACCGGCGCGTCAACAGTCAAAAACACAGCTTTCACCCCCGCTTCACAAGCCTGCCTTAGCAACCGCTCCGATTTGCTCCGGTCTTTATCCACATAAAGCTGAAACCACAACGGAATCTCTTTTTGTCCATCTTCCCCGTCCGTCTTCGTCTCCCTCACAACCCCCGCAATTTCTTGTATCGAAAAACTAGCACTGGTACTAACCGTCATTCCCACCCCCAGTCTTTTGCAAGCCCTTCCAATCTCCTTTTCGCCCTCGGGGTGGACGGTGATGCCCAAGGAGGTCGCGGCGGCGAAGATGGGCGAGGAGACCGGGTGCCCGAGGATGGTGGTGCGGATGGAAACCTGAGAAACGTCGCGGAGGATGCGGGGCCGCAGGGTTATGAGGGAGTAAGTGTGCGAGTTGGAGCGGTGGGTAACAAGGTCGGTGGCGGCGGAGGTGACGAAGGCGTGGGTTTTGGGGGGGAAGGAGAGGGAGGCGGCGGAGAGGAAGTCGTGGGTTGAGAGGAGGGTGTGGAGGGGGGGTTGGGAGGGCGGGTGGTGAGGGTTTTGAGTGGAGGAGGGGGTGGTTGTTGTTGTTGGAGGGATGGTCATTTTGAATAGTAAGTAGTTGTGGAAGTAACGGAGATGGTAATGGTGATGGTGTTGACGATAATGATTGGTGGTTGTGGTGGTGACGGTGCAGATGGGAGGGGAAGGAAGGAGGGGACTTGGGATGCAAAGCAGAAAGATCAAGACATGCAGCCTGGGTTTAAAAACATTGGGTATCGGGGTCTTAAAAAAGCAAAACAAGACTGAGGTCGATGATCAACACTCGGTCAAAACTTGTGACATGAGACACAATTAAGAAGAGACAATGAACTCGGGGGAATTGGCCCCGAGCTTAGACACCTTTAAACGGCCGAGACCCGGCCGGGATCCACCAGTCCCCGCCGGGCCCCGGAAGTAGTGGGGTTGTTCGGGCCGGCACTGGGGAAGTGGATGGCCCCTAAAGCCAATTGCGTGCTGTATTGAGCACAGGATGCATTAGAGCAGAATATTAGTTGATAAAGTGTTCTGATGTTTCCAAGTTTTAAATCCTTTATTTTCCAACGATAAAATGCAGTTCGGAGCCGAGTCTTGCAGCGAAATTTGCAATTGTGCACAGGCCATTATCACCCTATAAAAAGGGACCCCCAATCCCTACCATAGCGCTAAAACGTTACACAGCTGGTAGGTAGTGCATCCAGCCTCTCACTCCTCTCTGCATTTCACAAACACGCGATATTAAATGTCATTGTTTGAACCCCCCATTTGACAATTTATTCCTGTTCTCTTCATTTGTCATGTGACTTTCCATTTCTAAACACCCAAAGCCTTTTCGATCAGGATCTTAGCCCGTTCGCTCAAGTGCATCTGGAGCGCCAGTGCATGACCAGACGGACTCATCTTGCCCCATGTCTTCCTCAAAATGCCCACCATCTTTTCCTCGTCGATATCCGGCCGCTTCTCAAAGTCGTCGAACTGCTCGTCCAGGAATACCAGGCAGGCGACGTCCTCAAGTACCTGAGTGTCGCTATCGGTCTTGAGATCCTCCTTCCTTACCAGGGCGGCCACCCTGTCGATCTCCTCCTGGCTCAGCGGAGGCTGGATGGAAGCGTCGGCGAGCAGCTCGGCCACCTGCTTTGCCGCTTGGGACTTGAGCTTGGCGCGCCAGGTGAGATATCCGGGCCGAGTCATGGGGTAGCTGCTTCGCGGGATTTCCCAGCTGTTTTTGGCATGTGTGAGAAGAAGTTATACATATCAGCAAACAAGAAAAGTTGATAGAACACGAACCGTCGGAAATGCTGAGCCCGGCATGCAAGCTGCAAAACGGGCGATGCTCCAGGTTCGCGCAACGCCAACCATCTTGTCATGTGCTGAGCATAATCGAGCTCAAACGGCACAGAACCGGACTCCCTCTCGGCCGATCTCGGATCCCGGGCGTGCGCCTCATCGATGAGCTTGAGGGCTTGGTGGTAGTTGTCGGGAAGAGGGTTGATTTCATCCATGGTGAGTGAGTCTTGCGTTCAAAAAAAAAACTGTGTGTATAATGTTGACACTAACGTATGATGATGACAGGAGAAAGAATCAAAATAAGCGAGAACCGACAAGAGGCAAAGACACAAGGAACATGAGTAGCACTGAATGATGATCCTTTCAGGGTCTCCCTTTTCATGTGAGTGGATATCTTCCAGGGGACATTGGGGGCCACACCAGATGAGTCAGCAGAGATAAAGAGCACGGGAGACCCTCGTTCGGAATCCGGAATGCGGCTTACACCTTTCCCAACGTCATCCCACGGTTTGCGTGTGCAGCCTTATAACAACCACATCCTTTTTTCTCTTCAGACGCATTATGTCTCGATACATCTCGTTGAACATGGAAAGTACCATGGTTGAACAATGTCTTCTCGTCGTTCCTTTGGCTTTATCTTTCTTGCCTTGTGCGTGGGGTCGGATATCTTGACCAGTGGTTTGTCCATGGGACGAAAGCGGTCCGGGTTGGGGACGGGGTGAGGACGGCACCGGTTAACTCCTGTTTCCATGGCAACCTGCGAACTTGCAAGCTGGCGACCTTTGAACGTTCACCTGCCATTCATTTCCATCCTTCACCTTCCAGCATTTGCCACCAAGCGGGCGTACATCAGGACTGCAGGCAGTTCAAAGACGCGCTTCCTAAACAAACTGGCACCCGATCTTGCGACCTGGGAAGACTTTCACCCACGCAGCATTTTAGGTTGTCTGGCATTTCTGATTTTCCACCGTTCATTACCCCTCCTTCTCGAAACTGCACTCAAACCATCAACCAAAAATCGTGTCAAATCACTTTCGATCAAAACACCACAAAACATCACAAGTCTGGTACATCAATCTGTTTTTCCTACTTCTCATCATCGCTGACAAGTGCTCAGTTTTCTCTACTCTCGAAACCATCTTCTATCACCTTGCAATCAAGTCTAGCGACACTCACAAGCTTTCCTCATATTCTCCAAGATGGCTCCGTCTGGACGGAAGAAAGGCAAGGAGGTTGACCGGTCACCTGCGAGCATCTTGAAGCATGGTGACTACACGGTCTCCCTCACTAGCTGGCTTGCTGGCGGCCCTGCAGTTCTCGGCAAGAAGCCTCGTCGGGTACTCGATTTGAAAGTTGAGCGCGATCGCAAGTCTGAAAAGTCGGACCAATCGCTGGTCCTCGCCAGGAAGAAGGATAATGGTGCAGCTGCTTCCGATCTGGAGGTTGGCACTTCGGGATCCGAAGGAGCCCTGATGCACACCTCGAGACAACGACGACAAACCGAAGGCTCTTCGCAACCGGTTGTATCCTCAAGACCATTTCTCACGTACGAGGAAGAGAGAGTCGAGAAGTTCACTATTCGGCCTCCGCCTGTGGTGTTCAACACGCCCGAAGACGTCCCAACTGGCTGGCTCGAAACGATCTTGAATCAGAGGAAGAATGGCGAAAGCTCGAAGGCTGTTCCGAAAAAGGCCATCAGTTATGAACACAGCGATTCGGAAGAATACGAAGCTGGCTACGACTCTCCCCCTCACAGCAAATCAAAATCACTGCCAAAGAAGTCATCGTCTTCCTCCAGGAAAGCATCTGAAATTCGAATCAAAACCAAGTGTTCATCCAAGAAAGGCACTCGGGAAGTTGAAGTCACAACTGCGGATGCAACAGATGAGTCGTCATCGGATGTCGAGTCACTCCGCCCAACGAAGACGAAGAAGATCGATCATCGGAGCAAGACCAGAGAGAGACGCAAGACGAAGAAGATCCAAGCCAATTCTTCTGATGAGGAGACAGCAGATGACGCCACAGCCGATTCCGAGTCATCAGATATTGAATCGACAGATATCGAGCTACGTTCCAAACCCAAATCGAAGAAGAAGCCGAGCGCTTCATCGAAGAAAGCAGGAAGTTCCAAGGTCAAGGTCGAGAAACGGGACAGAAAAGGCAAGCGCAAAGTCGTGGTGGAGGCTTCAAGCGAAGGGGAAATCTCATCTGATGAGTCGATGACGGATGCTGAGTCGTCTCCCCCGAAGAAAGTCAAGAACAAGAACCGTGTTACCGTCACCGAGACCACGAGAAAGGGCAAAAGGAATATCGTCACAGTCGAATCATCAGATGAAGCTGACACAACGCACGTCAAGTCACGTTCCTCCACGAAGGGGAAGAAATCTGAAGTCCAAATCAAGGCCAGCGGCAAAGCGAAGACTAAGAAGGTTACATTCGAGACTACCGACGAAGCTGAGATTACTGACGACGCAACAACGGATGCGGAGCCCATGCCTTCAAAAGCCCATAAGGGCAAGGGTAAGATCAAAACCAAGGCGATCGACAAGGGAAAGACCAAGGCTAAGAAAAAGGTCGAAGTCGAATCCTCTGACCCCGCAGAGACAACCGATGCCGTTACTACCGAGGATGCAACCCAGACCGAAGCTGAAACTACTGAAGCCGCGACGACCGAAGCCGAAACCACGGACGCGGAGACTACTGTCGCCGAAAAGCCCAAAGCAACCCCAGTGGGTAAAGCCAATGACGGCTGGACACCTTCCCTAGATGCAATAATTCTCGGCATGAAGGAAGGGGGTCAATCCTGGGCTAGTATTGGCAACGCCACCGGTCGAAACAAGAACGAGGTCAAAAAGCGGCACCAGGAACTCGTTGGCAAAGGTGTTGTTCAGGTCAATAAGGGCAATCACAACAACAACAAGAAGGCTCAGAAGGCACAGAACAAGGAGAACAAGAACAACGATAAGAACGATGCCAGTTCCAGCCAGACCGCTGCCGCGGAGGAGACCAGCGGCTTTGGTGGCTTTGGTGATTTTCCTGGCTTTGGCGCTGATCAAGATGACAGCAATAACAACGACAACAATGGTGATAGCTGCGGTGGAGGTGGTGATCAGAACAACAACAACAATGACAACAACAACGGCGGTGGCGGCGATGGTGCCTGGGGAAGCGGTAATCAGAACAATAACAAGGGCGGTGGAGATGTTGGACCTGGATTTGATACTCCTGCCTGGGGTGCAGACTGTACCGGAGGTGGAGATCAAGCCACCAACAATAACAACAACGACACTAACAACAACGACACCAACAACGACAATAACAACGGCTTTGGTGATGCGGGTTGGGGTGGCGGAGATCAGGACAACAACGGAGGTGGTAATGTCGGTCCGGGACCTGGTGATTGTTGGAATGCCGACTGCACAGGAGGCGACAAGCCGCCCAGCAACGCAGGCTCCAAGAAGGGTTCAAACCAAGGCAAGCCGCCTAGCAACAAGCCTCCTAGCAACAATGGTCGGGGAGGAGGCTCCAACCAGGGAAACAGGCCGCCTAGCAACAGTGGCAACAACGGTTGGGGCGGAGGTTCGAACCAGGGTAATAAGCCTCCTAGTAACAGCGGTGGGAATAACGGTGGTTCAAACCAAGGTAACAAACCACCCAGCAACAAACCGCCCAGCAATAACGGCGACTGGGGTAACGTAGGTCCAACTCAAGGCAACAAGCCGCCTAGCAACAACGGCGACTGGGGTGGCGTAGGTCCAACTCAAGACAATAACGGCGGTTGGGGCTCAGGTTCGAATCAGGGTAATAAGCCACCCAGTAACAGCGGCGGTTGGAACAACGGAGGCTCGAACCAAGGCAACAGGCCGCCCAGCAACAAACCGCCCAGCAACAACGGTGATCGGGGTTCAGGTTCGAATCAGGGGAACAACACCAATACCAAGCCTCCTAGCAACAACGGCGGTTGGAATAACGGTGGTTCGAATCACGGCGGCAGCAACAACAAGCCTCCTAGCAACAGTGGTTGGGGCGGAGGATCTAATCAAGGCAACAAACCGCCTAGCAACAACGGTGACTGGGGTAAAGCAGGTCCAACTCAAGACAACAACGGCGGTTGGGGTTCGGGTTCGAATCAGGGTAACAACAACAACAACAATACCAAGCCTCCTAGCAACAGCGGCGGTTGGAACAAGCCTCCTAGCAACAACGGCGATTGGGGTAACGCAGGTCCAACTCAAGACAATAACGGCGGTTGGGCTTCGGGTTCGAATCAGGGCAACAACTACACCAAGCCTCCTTCCAACGCAGGCTCTGCTAGAGGCTCAAATCACGGTAGGCCTCCCAGCAACAATGGAGGTTGGGGTTCAGGTTCCAACAGTGGCAACAAACCACCCAGCAACAACGGCGACTGGGACGGAGGTTCTAACCAAGGCAACAAGCCTCCCAGCAACAGCGGCGGTTGGAATAACGGAGGTTCGGATCAGGGCGACAAGCCACCTAGCAACAATGGAGGTTGGGGCTCAGGTTCGCATCAGGGGAACAACAACAATACCAAGCCGCCTAGCAACAGTGGTTCAAACCGTGGGAGCGGCTCTCAACAGGGCGACCCGAAGGCTAAGTCTATGGAAAAAGAGCTGAGTATTAGGGACCAGGAGATTAAAGCTCTAAAAGAACGAGTCAGTGAAGAAAAGCTGCAGCGCTTAGATGCGGAAGTTTTTGCTTTGAAACTACAAAACAGCGCTAACAGGTTGAACCAGAACAAGCAACCCGAGGATGGCATGGGTTGGAACACAGGTGGCAGCGACAATAATTGGGGGCCCCCTTCAGCTGCGGGTTCGACCAGAAGCAACAAACAGCCCGACAACGGCACAGGTTGGAAATCCGGTCCAAGCCCCGGCGAGGTATGGAGTGTTGCTCCGAACCCGGATTACAAACTGCCCAGCAACTCGGGCTGGGTTCCCAAAGATTTTGTTCCGCCTCAGGGCAACAAACCCCCCAGCAACAACAATGCGCCCCCCGGCAGTCCCGATGGTTGGATTTACGGTTCACCCACAGAGAGCGAACGGAAGGACGTGGCCGAGCGAGTGGAGACCTGGAAGGGATCGATCAGTCCACTCAAAGAACAAGGACGTTGGGGCACGCCCGACGGCGGCTGGCCTGCCACTCCGGTCACAGTTTCCCGCCGACGTGAGAATATGCCCGACAACACCAGAGGTCGAAGCCCCGCCGCCAGGTCTGCTTCTGCCAAAGATTGGAAGCAGGGATTAACTCGCGTCGATGAAGAGCCGGACAAAGGTTATGATATGTGGAAGAAGCCTCCCAGCAACAACGGAAAGCCGGGCAGCAATGCGGGCCGTAACTCACCTGGCAACTTCAACAACAGCCAGCCATCCGGAGAGCAATACGGTTGGAACTCCGGTCCTGATGCCGCTGCTGGAAACGGAACTGGTTGGGGCGGTGGCGCGGACCGAGTCTCTACCCCAAGCTTCGAACCCGCTGAGAACAATGACTGGACTGGAGGCAACACAAGGAACGGTAAGCCTCCTAGCAACAAACCTCCCGGCAACAAGCCGCCCAGCAATAACGGAGATTGGACTCCTGGACTCGGCGGCACTGGCTGGAAGGCAGATTGTACTAAGCCGCCGAGCAACAGTGGTTGGGGCGGAGGTTCAAACCAAGGCAAGGACAACAACAAGCCTCCCAGCAACGTAGGCTCCGCGAGAGGTTCGAATCACGGAAAGCCACCCAGCAACAACGGAGACTGGAACGCCGCCCCGGCTGGAGGAAATTCGAAGAAAAGCAACAAGGTACCTGGCAGAAATGAGAAAAGCTTCTCTACAGGTAACTTGCCTAGAGCCCCTCCCACCTGGGAACCTCCCGCGTGGGGCGCGGACTGTACCGGTCCCTGGAACGGCAAACAACCGGCCGAGCACAAAGCTTCGAAGGGAGATGACCAGAACGCCCTCAACATTCACACAGTCACAGACTTACCCGGCTACAATAGAGATGTAGCACCCATCGGCCTCTCTGGCTTCCCTCCCGTCGTGGACCATCGTGTGCCAGTTCCTCCCGTCACCCCATGCCCTCCTGGTCGCTACCCTTCCACCCCTTACTCGAACACCACTCCTCACCCACCTGGTTACTTGCCCAACACCTCAGCCCACACGACTATCCTCCCGTTATACAACCACCCTCCTCACGATCAATACCCTTCCCACGATGCGCCCTGGAACGCCAAAAATGCCATCACCACCACCGCGCCACGCGCACCCGGCCCGTCATCGTACCAACCCGGTCAACGCAGCGCGCAGTGCAAAACCCTCTCCGAGGAAGACCTCCAGTCCCTATACAAACAAGTAGTCTTCAGCGCCATATCCTCTCGCCAGCCCCTTCTCCAACCCAAGCCCGACCGCGACTTTACCTTGAGAGACTGCTGGGTGCTGATCGCGCTGAGCGAGCAGTACGATCGTTCTTCGGCTTCGAAGGAGAAGTGGTTTGAGCTGCAAGCCAAGTTTGCGAGCGCCACGGGAAGGATGGTTGATGCGAAGCTGTTGAGACAGAAGGTGAATCAGGGGGAGAAGGTGGGAAAGGTGGTGGAGGGGTGGGAGGATGATGAGGTTGGAATGAGGTATAAGAAGGAGTGGGAGAGGGCGACTGCTTGGTGAATGATGAGAAAGGATGGGAGAGAAAGGAGGAGAGAAAGGAGGAGAGAGGTAGTTGGTGAGAGAGGATGAGTAAGACGAGAGAGGAGGAGAGTTCCAGGTTTTTGTAGCGTGATTTGGAAGGTGGAACGTGGCAGGAAGCATGTTTTACGAAAGTAATGTACTTATGGCGTAGTAGTTCGATGACGACCCTTCACGAGAGGGAGCTGCAGCCGAAATGTAGAGGTCTGCGGTGAAGCATGTTTTAATAGGTAAATGGGAGAGGAGTTGCTGCAAGTTGGCCGCACCACATATGCATATGCCAACGACCGCTTGAAATGGGGCAGTCGGAGGCAGTCGGGGACTCGAAGGTATCGGACTGTGGACACTCGGAGAGCTTCAGCTGGAAAACACCGTGGCGCGACCTCAAACTCGGGGGAGACAGTCATGAAGTTCGGAAGTGTCCGACAACTATGTGCATGCCGCCGAACGCAACTGGCAGAGCTTTAACCCTGCATGTTCCGCACGACCGGGATTCCGGGTTTCCCGAGTCTATACTGTGGTTCAAGAAGAGGGCAGGGCTGAGCTGCATAGAGACCCCAACGATCCTGCATCATCAAGTTTCCTCTTGCAATATCAATTTTCTCCGGTTTGAAGCGCATCTATATGCCGCCCTCATGCTCACAAAACCTGCAGACTATCTTAACAACAAGTGTTGCATCAACGGCCAAACATAAATGCCACCACCACACACCGACGGCTACAAAAAATGGACTTTAAATTCTTTCCTTTTCTCTGCCACCAAGAACGAAAACAGCAGTTGGCAACAAATAAGATGGCTCTTTCCCGGTATCTGACGGAGGAAGGTCCAGTGAGTGAAAAGGTGTCCTGGATAATGCTGCAATAGCTGTATCACTTGAAAAAGTTCATGACAATTAAAGTCGAGCTTTGGTCTCTTTGCAAAACCGCGGATATTTTATTGAGGCAGGTGATGTTCGGGGGATTGTGAGAGTGCGATCGAGGCCGGATCCATTATGTTGTATGATCGACTGAGTGCTTTGCATAGGTATAAATAGAGGGGTACTTCTTGATCTTCTGTTCCCGTCCGGGTTTTCTTGCTTTTCCTTCTTCTTTTACCAGCCCCCCAAGCCACCATGATTGTGCTGTGGTCTCGTCAAACATCCCTCCTTTTCCACCATCTTACCGCCTATCCACGAGAATGCTCTTTCGTTTGGACGAGCATCCAATCTACAGGGCTCATGAGCTCCTCGCACGCGCGGTGGGGGGAATAGAGAACCTGCCCCCAAACCTCCAGAGGATGGATTTGGTGGCAGGAATCTTCAGTTCCAGCATCCAAGACCAGACCGAAGCCTCTGCCGCCTCTGCCGCCTCTACCGCATCTACCGCCTCTACCGCCTCTACCGCCTCTGACCCCTCTGCTCACACTCCTACCCAAGATGCTCCCCAACCGAGGACCGTGTTTCGGGTCCCCTCGGCCGCCTGCCGGGACTTCGATCCTTTCATCACCGCCGATCTGGGCGAGTGGATGGCCCGTATCAGACACGTGTTGAGCTTGGTTCTCGGACATCCTAACTGCACCGACGAAGACAGGCAGACTGTCGTGGACTTGTGGTACTGGGTTCGTGACGAGGTGGAATGGGATGTCTTGTTTATTCGGGAGAACAAGGACCGCTTGTGTGCAGCTTGGGAGGCCGGCCGGCCTTATCTGGGCCCTGACACTAAGGCTGGTAGAGCGAGGATGAGGAAGGAGAAAGCTACGATGGCGTCTGGGTTTGCAGACGATAGTTCTGGCAAGCCTGGCAATCCTGACAATCCGCCGAGAGAGAATAATGAGGCCTGCTCCCCATCCTCCTCCTCTACTGCTACTGCCGCTGCCCCTCCCGCCGCTACCGCCTCGACCTCGACTACTGCTACTGCCTGGGAGGCCACCTCCTACGCCGCTCTTGAAGGCATGAGAAAAGCACAACTTCTCTTGCGCGAGCGAAATATGCGACTCCTTGGGTACCGTGATGCCGTCAGCCAACATAGTCACACTTCTCCCCTGACCGCCAAATCGGCAACAGAGGCGTCCTACCTTAGCCATGACCAGCACGGTGAAGCGAGTATGTCCTCCGGCCGGCTCGAACAAGGAGGTAAGCCCGGAATCCGTCCCCAAGAAGAAGGCTTACGCCGATATCAACTTGAACAAAACTCGACGCCCCCTGGACCGTTTTCGCCGGGCCATAAGGAGCAGTGCGTGGAAGCTACGCGGGCAGCTTTGGGGGCGTTGTCGCTCTCTGAACAAAACAGACGGAACAACAAGACCCAAACTCCCGAGAGAGTACGCCAAGACCGGCACGAGAACGACGGCCACATGTGGTACGCATCGCACATGGTTCACGTATCACCCGAGGACGATGACGATGACGACGACGAGGACTTCGACAACCAGGAGAACGAAGAGGTTGACGATGACTATGACGACACCGACGAGGACCGGCACCGCCACCAGCACCACCACCGCCATCACCACCATCACCAGCACGAGGACGGGGGCTACAACGTATCGGACATGGGCTACGTATCACCCGAGGACGATGACGATGACGACGACGACAACGACCGCTACGAACAGGGCCAGGACCAACTCCAGCACCGGTACCCTTTCGAGTACCAGGAGGAGGAGCGCCGACTCGGTGACCAGCTCCCCCAGGTCGGGGACCGGCTTCTGCACGATTTCCGGCGCCAGGCCCCGTACCACCAGCAACACCAGCAGCAGCAACATCAGCAGCAACACCAGCAGCATCTCGACCCTTCCGGCCATCAGGAGACTCAGACGATGAGGAGGATGGAGCTTATGAACATGGCAGGGGAGACTGCGACGTCGAGGTGGGGTCACATTGATCCCTCGTCAGAGGAGGGTCAGATGAGGTGGGGTGAGGTTGAATATCCCTCGCCAAGGAGAGGTAAGTCACCATCGTCACCGGATTTTTGAATTGATCTGTACTGACTCCTCTGATGAAGTAGTGGAAGAAGCCGAATCCTCCACACAATCACCGAGTCATCCCGACCTTATTGGCCAAAACATCACCGATGCCGATGGCCATGGCTCCGATATTGATCCTTCAATTGGGGAGTACACATGGTGTTCATGTTCCCCCGAGGACCATAGCTCCAATTGGGAGCCCTCCGAGATGTGGAACTCTACACTTGAGTATGAGTGGTACGGTGCCGACCCCAACCATCGACGACAGATGGCCACAGGGTCAGAGGCTGCTTCGATAGCAGAAGCACACGATACCTCTGCTTCGAGGGCTGCTTCCACTTCCACACCCCCGAGCGTCAATACTAACCCAGCAGTCAACGCCACCTCCAATCTTTCCTCGCCGTTGACTGACGTGCCCCGGACCCACGATTTGGGGTCCCCGTCCACATCAGCTTCTGAAGCGATGTAAGAACGCTCATCCTACCCCCTCGCCCGCACGAAACATGTATTGGAATCTGAGGAACTTGAATTTGAAGAATCCGAGGACGAGTCCGACATGTACAACAAAATACACGGGAAATGCTGCCGGGGCTGAGGAACACGACGTTAGCCCCGGCCAGCCAGAACAGCACGCCCATGATCCCCGCGATATACACGACTTTTTTTTTTGTTTGATTTTTTTGGGGTTTTTGTTTTTATTTTTATTTATTTATACTTGCTTTTTTTTTTTGTCTTTTTGAATTTGGGTTTTTTTTTTTGCACCCAGTAACGAGTATGCCTGCGATGGTTCAACAGTCGATGGTACAACAGTCGACAAAGGCCCAACAACAAAATCAACAACTAGAATGAATGGAGAATCACGACTCAGTGATGATTGCTTGGGAGTCATCAGATTGTATCAGCTTTTTTGTCCGGAGGACTAGGTAATCTGGCATGGACGAGATATGGGAAGGAATGGGGATTGGGGATATTTCAGTGGATTGGCTGTTATGTTCAATTGGTTTCAAATTTGCAACGTAACAGAAACTGGACATCATAGAAGGGAGGAAGGAAAGGGAAATCTCTTGTAAGTAACAGGTAATAACAAAACTCCCGAAAAAGGACAGTCTACCAGGTAAGCCACCCCCAAATCTGAGAAGAATGAAGCTAACAGAAAGTCTAGTGGAAGCCCAACAATTTGGTAAACGATCAATCCAAAGTCTTCGATCACGCTATGCAGACACTCGCCACAAGAACGTGCATATATACCCCAACGGACCCGACGCCGAAGCCATCCCCGGAACTCCGATTTTATGTCCGCATCTTTGCAGAGAGTTTCATGCTTCATGACGTGAAGCAACAGGTCCCAACCGGCAGGACCAAGTCGCCCCCCTCGGTCATTCGCAGTCACTACCCATCCTAACCAGTAGCAGCGATACTACCCCCTTTGCACTCCTCGCAAGACTCGGCCATTCGAATCGTCTGCCAAATCTGCCGCTCGCCGCACCGGGTCTGGATCATGCTAGCCGAGGGACAGAAGCGGGCGAAGGTGAGGGAGACGTGTTTGCAGGTGAAGGCGTGGGCGTAGTATTGACACATTGCTTTTTTCGAATTTGCCTTATGAACTGGTTGCTTTGATACTGAGGGCAAATGTCAAATGATGTGGTGGAAGCTCGGGGATTTTGAGTGAGAGATATGATGAATGATCTGATTGATCTCTCAGGATTTTGGGATGCCGAGATTTGGGGGGGTGGTAAGTGATATGGTAAGCAGTGGTGTTTTTCTTGGTGTCTTTGTAAGGTTGGTTTTGATACGGGGGGGGGGGGGGAGGGGAGGGGGGGGGGGATAAGGTGGGATCTCAGATTTCGAGAAGAGATATGATGGATTTCTGATCTCTCGGGAGTTTGAGGTTTTGAAACGGTAAGGTGGTAAATGATATTGCGAGTAAGTAGTTTTGTTGACTGTTGAGGGTTGGTATTGATATTAGGCAGAGATGTGGTGGAATCTCAGATTTCGAGAGATATGATGGATTTCTGATCTCGCGGGAGTTTGAGATTTTGAAGCGGTAAGGTGGTAAGTGATATCACAATTAGTGGTGTCGTTGACTTGTGAGGGCTGAGTGACTGCGGTGTGTCTAGAGGTAGGTTGTTTTGTATAGATTGTTTGGTCCAGTATAGTCCGTGGGTGATGAAGTTAAGATGACGATGTTGATGGAGACTGGACCACCCAGGAACAGTGCGGTAAGACTTTTTGTTTATAGGAACTCTGGAAAACAACACCGCAATCGTCAATATCCCCTTTCGTAACTTGTCAAAACAGAGATGTATATGCTGTCGTTTTTGCCTCAAAAACAAAGAATGGGTTTTCCCGATCGTGAAAGCTGAAAAGAGTGGCGACAGTCTGACACGCCTGTGCACAGCTGAGATGTTGGACAAACCGTTGTTATTTCGGTACAGTCAAGTGTCTGGACTATTGTGTGCATTATATACCGACGAGAGATAAGTGCTGAAGTATGTGGTCGTGTTTCCCTAAAGGGCTGAGCAATCCCGTATCACCAGTCTAAGTTGAGCCGCACTCGTGCAGGCATCTACTGCGTATCTTCTCGCCCGTATCCAACTCGGCCAGTCTTCCAACATTGTAGGTAGATCTGACTCATTGCCGTGAAAAAGAAAGTCAACGCTCGCAGACTTGAGGCTTCTGTTCTATACGTCTTGGCTTGGTTTGCGATGATCTACCATAAATAAAGCCCTTTTCCGCTCTTCAAGCCATCACTGAAACAGACAAACAACACTCAAGTGTTCCGAGTGTTAGAGAACCGAAGTGGTGTTTCGGACAGCAGGAAACAAGTCCAAAATAGGAACTTTGGTGAAATCTGGATGATCAACGGTTTCCAAGAAATCTTACATACAGAGATAGGGCTGCATTCATACCTAGGCATACAAGTACTTGGCAGATATGCACATCTGGTAATGATAGGCATGCAACTAGGCAGCCGCATAGGCAGACAGAACCCCCAGGCATAGGCATGGACCGGGCCGTTGGTAGTCAGATTGACATGTCAGATTGATAGCAGTTGTCATATGGAAAATGCTTGGCGAAGTTGGATGTCATCGAAACTTTGGAGTTGGGGACAGAGCCTCAACCATGGGTGATGGTAGTCCATATGCGGGAAGGAAGCCGAGATATCGACTTGGTTGAAGAGGAATATGATAAACACAAGCCAACTTCTTTCTTGACCGCTTACCAAGAGCTGATTTTTTGTGATTTTGATTATTTGTGTTGTGTAAATGAGATGAGCATGTCGTGTATGGTGCAGGAGAAATAAAACTTGGTTAGAAGTGCCGGCAGCTAGCCTCTGGATGCTTTTGTCGTAGGTTGCCGCGCAGCCGCGGCGGATGATGGCAGATAGGAACCTAAGTACTTGGAACCTTCCGTGCGCTGGCACCAATTGCAACTGCCGGACTCACTTGAGCATCCCTCCGCTGCTTGTACTAATATAACCTCCTACGACCTGCCGGCGTATACAAGATTGAGTGACGACGGCGAGGTAGGTACACAGGCTCAAATCTTGACTTTCGGGAATTAGAAGAACTCAAGGTAGTGAGTGAGTGGTACAGACTCGGAGCACAGAGTGAGACTTCACTGCGTTTCCTCCCAGGTTGTAATGATCAACGCCATGATGAGAACCACGTAACAAATGAATCCGAAGGAACACAGAGCGTGCGGGTGCGACATAACGACTAGGTAGTTCCATTGCAGCTTCGTGGTGCTCGTGGCATCCAAGCAAAGGCCACGAGGATGTTGGAATACAAAGGAGACAAGAGTCCCCTTTTCTGCGGTTTGTGCGTTTTCGGTCCGAGGCATCAATGGTAGATGAGATCGTCCGGCAGTTGTGATATGAAAAAAAGCAAAGGAGAAAAGTGAAGTGACAAGATGCTCTTTGTGGTCCGTATCCGGGTGTGCTGGCGCTTGTTGCATCCTGATATTTCGCTTGCGGGCTCTTGGGCTCCAGCTGTTTGAAGGTTTCAGCTTCGACCATAATTACCTTGCACAGTATTCCGGCAGCGGGCATTTTCAGGGCCGTACTGTGTAAGTAAGGCGTAAGCAGGCATCGTTACGCAGGTTGTGTAAGTCGGCGTAACGTACGGCTGCAGGTGTTAGATATGACCGTGCAGAATTGATTGATTGAAGAGTGTGTGTGTCCGCCTCGAGCCGTGTATAACAGAGGGTATGGGGGGTGCTAGGGTAACTTAAATATGCTCAGAAATTAGGTAATATTAGGGGGTTGGGCAGTTAACCTATATAGAGTTTAGCCAGAATCCCAAAAATCTACCCTCTACTCTAACACACCCCCTCACTTACAATCCTTCCTAAAACAGGGCAAAAGTAAAATTATTTACAAAATATTTCTTTTAGTACGTCGATTTCTCTAGCTAAATTATAAATATCTTCTAATACGTTATCCGTAATCTCCTTATTCATCCCCGTCTCCTTACGAACTAATATATTCGCTATTCCCATTAATTCCCGGAACTTTTTATACTCCAATTATCCTAAAACCTTCGTTAGCCCGTCAATTAGTATCCTCTTTATTTTTAAATATTTAATTTGAATCCTTCCTTCTATAATCTCCTACTTTAACTAATAATAATAAATATTAATATACTTAAGCTGAGTTATTAACTTTGTAACCTCGATAGTAAATACTCGTATTATTTAAATATTATTACAACTAATTACGAGGATATTTTTATTAAGGGGAATATTAATCTCTCTATATAAATACATAATAATAATAGCTTCCTTTATTATATTTAAAGTAGAGAGGATTTGTATTTCTATTATTAACGTTAATACTATTTTTTATTTAATAGTACCCTAATAAATTAAATTATTAAAGAGGTTAATTATAAATCCTTATAAACTCTTTCGATCTAGAGAATTAGCAGCGTACAATATATTTAAAGCAATTTCGAACCTTACTAACGTACTGTAATAAAAGGAAAGATTAGAGTAGAATTAAAAGTAATATAAGATTTTATTAATAATTTTATAATATTAAAGATTAGAATTATAATTATAATAAATTAATTAGTTGGTAATAAAAGTAATATTAAGCCGGGTAATTACGGCGGCGTATATTATAGATGTGACGGCGCTGGCAGACTAGGTATGGGTGCTATGCACGGACGTGGTTCACGAGGGTGCTGGAATGAAGTATATGGAGGATTCTAGGCTATGTAAGTGAAGAGGATACAAATGAAGGGATTGGCTAATAGCGACCCGTATATGGGTCCCGCTATCGCTTATACGACTAGGGTATTTATTTAGGTCTATACGCTTATACCTAATTCTCTTCCTCTTTTCTTTTCCCTATTTAAAATCTTCTATTATAAATAGAATCTTAACTTTGCTTTCAACTTACCTATACTATACCCTTACATTATTTTAAATCAACCTAATAATTACTTAGGAAAATTAAATCTCAAA